CTGACTTCTACATATACTTAGCTGCTCAAGCTCACGGCTTGATGTAGACATCCTATACCCTTGACCATAATATAGGCTACAGAATCACTACAAATCACCCCATTATGTACATGGAATAAATCCATTGGTTCCTTGGGTAAAATCGAACGGCGCCTCCGCGTTCTCTACACCTCTCAGCTCAACTCCCACACACCACGCCTGTCCACGCCACCACCAGAACCACCCGAACCGAAATTTCCGGCCATCATTGCGACCGAGAAACCGCATCAAGTCACGATTCGACGCCGTAGAGGTGCCGCTGAATTCCGCCAGCAGTGCCTCGCTACGGCAGAAATACAGGACCTGGCTAGCAATGGTCGTGGGCTGCCTCGGCATGAACGGCCGTGTCCTCCGGCTCAGCAGCAGAAAGATCATGTTCCCAAATATCACCAAATGTATCGCGACGGCAGTGACCACAATGGCGAGTCCGGATTTTTCTTGTACGAAGCCAAACGCACGCTGCTGGTACGGCGAATCATTCACAAGCCCTGCTGCATAGCCCAACTCCAACAGCGGCGGCACAAACACCACAGCAACATGCACCATAATAACGGTGAACGACGCACCTAGACTGACCAGCCACCCTTTTCTCAAGCTAGCAACCATGCCGCCAACGAGGCCTAAGTTCAGAATGTCCGTTTGAATCAGAGAGTCGAATATGCGACCACCACCGTTCCTTGCGAGCTGTCGCCATGGTTCAAGTACTTGTACGTCGCGCTGGATGCTCTGCCACATCATACCACCCATAGACGTACAGAGGATAAAGACCATCCTAGCAATCATGGGCTTGATTCTGTTTGCTGTGCTGTCTTGCCCCAGGGCCATAGCGAGTTTATAGATGCCGGTTGCAATAGCAGCCTGGCCTAGCCAGATAAAGATCTCCGCACCCCAAATCCCGCGCTTGGAAACCCACCATCCAGCTGCATCGCCGCGATCACGGGCGAATGTGCGGTCCTCGGGAGTGAGTGATAGCAGGTGTGCTGGATGCCAATTTGTGATGAGCTGTAACGCCGTACGGGTGGTGCCGTCAGGTTGTTGGACTGGTAGGTGTTTTAGCTGGAAAATAACCCCTTCCAGAGAACGAGATATTACCTCTGAATGCGCAAAGGACGATATTTGACGAAAGAGAGAAAGCGCAGTGGAACCAGCTCGATCAGCCTCACTAATGAGAGGTATGATCCCGCCGATACCCCTCGGATCGTGGTGCAGGCCAGTGCGTCGCTGGTTGAGGACCCAGGCAAGCACCATGCCTGAGATGGCGGCCGCTCCGTGACAGACCTGAGCTGCGATTGCAAATCCTGTGGTGATCGATATCGTGGCGAACTTGGGACCCTCTGTCTCCTGGGACGAAAGGCTGCCCCAGTTAATACCCCATATGGCTCCGGTGACTGCTGGAATGATTGAAGCCGTTATGATATGGAGCGTCGCAGAGATGGCGACCGCGTAGTGGCCATTGCGCACAGCATAATACGGGACGATCAGAGCGAACTTAGCCACGTAGTCGAGACACATTGCATTAGACGCGGTTCCGCCCTCGTTACTGCATAGCTGGTAGAAAGGCTCGAGTCGTCTGACGGCCACGTCCAGCGACTCCCAGCAAATAGCTATGAGGACAGCGATCGCCACTGGAAGATACTGCCACGCAAGGAATGCAGTCGCACTATTCTCGTCGAATATAAAGATACTTTTGTTCCCGGTGGGTGTTGTTGCATTCTGTCTGGCCAGGCTGAGCCCCGGCTGGTCACTGTGATACTTATTCCTCAGTAACTGGATTCCGACAATATGTAGTATATGCAAAGCAACCAGTGCCAGTGGATAGAGAGGGTTAAAGGGGAAAGGCTTCCAATTTGGTGCATTCGTTGGTGGATCAGTTTGACGGCTTAATTCATCTTTAAAACCGGCAGCCATTGCAGAGTAGACTATAGAGAGGTCAGTAATTGTGTGTCAGTCTCCTTCTCCAAATCGAATTCTACTCTCCGAAATAGTCATTGCTTTATAGAGACATTGTGACGTCTCTCTGGGCTGGTCAAAAGCATGGACAAATACCCCTTCCCCCCAGCTCGTTTGAGCCTCCACAGCCTCGCGGCGCTCTTGGATCTGCATGCGATACAACTGCAGGAGGTCGTTCCCAACCACATGGGTCCCATGCCAGCCTAATTATATTTGCAAGTAAGCTGCATGAGTGGACGACGAAAAGTGACATGCTAGGTTTATATCTCCTCGATTTGTTGTTCTTCCCTATTTTCATTGGTCCGGACCGGTGGACAGGGGGCGTTCACAGGGGCGATGTTGATTTGTTTTCTCCCCCGCCCTTTCTCATCGTCGCTCGCGGATTATCATCGGGGAGCATTCCCTTTTGGGTATGAGGTTGGTGTTTGTTTATTTTTGTTACGTGGCCGCCAAGTGGTGACGTACGTTAAGTAGGTCTTAACAGTCGTATGCTTGGGATTGGGAGCCTTCGATAGAGCTACAAGGCTACAAAAGAGCATCGTCATCTTCTCTCCTCTCCTGGGCGTTCATGTTAACGTTAGCCTTGAGTAAGGGCTTAAAAATATCTCATGAGGTCGGTGTGCTCCCGTTATTATCCTGGGAATCCGACTTCGTTCCGTTTCCAAGCAGACTTTGGACAACCGCCTCGTGTCCACTGGTTGCAGCCCATGAAAGTAGCGTACTCCCAGCGCTATCATGAGAACCCACGTCGGCATCCCCAGGACCAGAAATTGACGTCGACTTTCTACTCCTCTTCTAATAAAATCTCCATTGTTTCTTCGTAACCCTTAACTGTATCCCATAGTAATATGGTTCGGTTCCATTTGCATCGGCGCCCTTTTGAGTAAGTACCCTACCGTCTTTGGATGTCCGAATCTTGCTGCGAGGCATAATCCAGTTTGACCTCTTTTATATTTGGTTGTTCCTAGTCTTTTTAAAGGTCCCGAGAACCCTAACTTAAATATAAGCTTTCTACCGGAGATTATGGAGTAGGAGCAACATTCTCTCGGTTTTGACCGTCCGGTGGTTCAACTGATCGAGGTAAGTTGTCTGATTGCCATTGACAAACTGGAAATGGAATGGCCAGAAGTGAGTGGCATAATCTTTCAGCTTCTCGTTGTGCCCGGGTATCCCCGAGACTCTTTCCCAGCGATATACATCGAAGCATCTTCTCAGGATATAAAGAGATGTACAGATGGCACTGTAGATATGTTTTCTGAGGTCGTCGTTTTGGGTGAGTAAATTCGTTGGTGGTCACGTGAGTAATGAATTATGTAATTATTGTTTAGTAATAACTTAAGTAATCAATATTCGCGACTCCGAGATCTTTTTATCGTTCGATATCTCAGGCTTCTTATGACAAATTCCGATGGGCTTCTAGTCTCAATATCGAAAGCTCGGTGGCTTCAGCCAGCTAGAGCCTATTCTCGCGGTCTCTAGGCATTGGTGCTCCCTATTGTCTCGCCCAATGCGTTCGTCCTGTTGTAAATAAACATGTTTACATCGTCGCAGCATAGGAAGCCTACCCGTTTTCCTTTGCTAATCCATTTTCAATGCTTGGATTCCAGATGTCGTCGCCTTGAATATCACTAAATGGCCGTCTTATCAGCTACAACGAAAATACCACATGAACTACTTGGGGCTTGGCTGCCTGGGACTGACGCCCTTGATGCCAACGCCACAGCGTAAATCCGCAGCTTGAAGAGCAACCGGAGTGAGTAATGGGGCCGTCTTCCCGCTTCATCTTCCCGCCAACATCCAACAAATTGAAATTCCATCTGCTCGATCGACTTCATGCAGCAGCCCGTGATGGCCATCAGCCAGGAGGCTTCTTTTGAGAGGGCATCAGCTGCACTTGTGCAACACTCTTGCAGTGTAAACCCCGGAGAGATAGCCAACCTGTTCCCTGCTTTCGATGCATGGACCCGATACGTATTTAGATATCCTTTCTAAATATTGAGCCTCCAATGAAATTGTGAGGCTCGTAGGTTGCATGACCCCACGGATATATTCTGCTTAGCGGCCTTTCATTATGCAGCCTCTGTCGATCAGCTTCTATCAGAACCCAGTGCAGTGGTGGCTCGTATAGAATCATCGACTACTAATGAGATACGCTGAGAGCATATTTATTCATACAAAGCGGCCTTTATCATGCAAAAACTCCCCTGGATCCCGTCGAGAGAAAGAATGATGATTTATGCCCACCATGGGCTGCTACACAAACTTACCACGTTGGACGGATTAGCCTCTTGTTCCTTGGGACAGGATACTCTCCGTAAACTTCTGGCCTTTTATGCCTCGCATGCATTCCTTCAGTGCATTATCGACCTATCAACTGGCAAAGGTTTTCTTTCTTTTTTTTTCTCTCATTTCAGTCGAAGACACTGATAGTCGCGCCCATTTTTGAGGCCGAAGCTCACATAAACTTGATTCCTATGTTGAGTTAGCCGCGGTTCAGATTGAAATAACGGCATCAGTCAAGGGCTTTCTTCAGTCATGACATGACAGAATCATTTCTGCTAACGGTACGTGCTCAACGAGACTATGGCAGTAGCACCCGCGTGGAGTATCCGTACTCTGTAGCTGCTTGAGACCAATACATAGAGTTACAAAGGACAGAGAGAGCGTCATTTAACCTACTGACAAACTTATAGCTCCCGCGCCCGAAGCTAATCTTATTCTCTCAGATCCACATATCCAGCCCCTAATTCCTCGGAAATACTATTGAACTGCGGCGGCATTGGACGGCCATTTTTGCAGTTACTAACCATATTAGGTTCCCCTCTGATATTAAGTCTTACAGCCGGTTTTATATGGTAAATTTAGCCCCATGGCAAATTACCCCAAGTCCACGCAATGGGCATCCAGAGTCCGGTCGTATAAATCACGGTTGTCCCCCTACTTCACCATAGCCATATTTTCTCAACTTCCCACCATTAGAAGCACTCCTATCTCAAAAGCTAGCCTACATCATGATTCTATCTCGCCTACTTGCAGCTTTTGCTGCCCTTATCACATCTACCTCAGCTTCATGTCTATACGGAACCAGCTTGGAGCCTCGCTCCCTCAGCGCTGATGGACATGTCCCCGTGTCCACGTTCAACTATACCGGCGAAGGTGGCCCCCTTGGTTGGGTCGGTCTCAACCCTGCCGCCAACAAAGAATGCGGCCACGGTCTCACACAGTCACCCATTGTCATTAACTCCAAGACCGTCCCCAGAGCAGCCAAAGGCTCTGTCACCATGACCATTCCATCAGTCGACATGGCGGATTTTGAAAACCTAGGTTCCACCGTGGAGGTGGTTGTAGGGGGAAAGCTCAATGCCGAAGGCAAAGACTATGAGCTAAAGCAATTCCACTTCCATACCCCGAGCGAGCATCGTGTTGATGAGGAATACTTCCCCATGGAAATTCACTTCGTGTTCCAGAGTCCTTCTAGTAAGTTTGGCCAATGCATAACCTATTTTCCCCTTTCCAATCTTTCCCCTGCTCTCAGGCCCCGCCTATATCCCCATACATATGAACCCAGAGCCCGTTCACAACTGACATGGGTTCGCAATTAAAGCCAAATCGATCGCCGTCGTTGCATTCTTGGTGGAGCTATCGCCCTACGGACGTTGCAATAACCTGTTGAAGCAGGTGTTTGCAAACCTGCATCAGATCACAACCCCTGGAACAATCACTAAAACAAAGCGACTTGATTTCCCAAGTGTCGTCAACCACCTCCACCAGTATGGTATCTACACCTATACCGGGTCACTCACAACTCCCCCATGCAGCAGCAAGGTGTCCTGGTACATCAGTGCCACGCCCATCCTCATTGACGTGGTTACTTTCAATGCCGTCAAGAAAGTTGTCAAGTACAACGCCCGATATACTCAAAACATACTCGGCGAGGAGAATCTGATGGAAATTGCGGCACATGATATCGGATGTGGGCTTAAGATGCGTGCTCAGCCAGGTCCATAGGGGGATTTCACTCCGAGTCTTCGCACCCGCGCTTGGGTGTAACAGGCCGGGATGGGGACGTTCTAACCCCTATCTCGATACAGCAAGGTGGCATACACAGTATAATTAGAGCCCTGTTCAGTCATACACGTGTACTAATACGCCGCAGGCCCCCCTGTTGGGGCCATGCAGGGGAGCAACCACAATGAATAGTCATGTACTCCCGATTGCGTTCTCACAGGATTCGAGGTGACAGTACCCCCTTCGCCAAGCGTCATTGTCTAGTGGCGATACGTATAATAGAAGTTGGCGCCGTCTTAATTGCTGCAGAGTCCCGATAGATGACTTGATGCATGTACCATTGATTTTCTTTTTCAGGCTTTAAATATCTTGGAATCGTGCTGTTGGCTGGTGTGTCGCTTACATTGCCTTCCCGTTTGTCCAAGCCAAAACAATCAAAATGATAAGAGGACACTTTCTTCCCGCGAGGCAGATCTTTCAGCCGTCGCTTCAGCCGGCGTTGCTTACCCAGGCCGTAACTATGTTCGTGGGGGGGAAACTATATTTACGGGTGTACTTTAAATCCTTGCACGCCTATCCTCGGATTGGGTATAGAAACCAACTCTTCTCTGTACTCCGAATGTCCCGCATGAATTATATCTTGCCGTTGGATCCGGTTTCGAGTGGTTTCAGCTAGGGGGCCGCCGCGAGATAGTGAGATAGAGATGCCGTGAGCCGAGGAAGCTTTCTGGGAAGTCAATCAAGTGGTGATGCCGAGCTATCAAAAGTAAGCGCTTCCTTGCCAAATGTCTTAATTCTGGGCATGGCTTCTGGGCCTGAAAGCTTCTATAAAAGCTTTTCACTACCACAATCATTGGACGAGCTATTTGGCAGCCATCCTTCCAGCCTGTCGTAAAGGACCTTTTCTTTTTATTCAGGACTCGCTGACGAATCACTCGTGTGTTTTATCTTGTGCTGACTCCTTTGTCTCTCGCCGTTCGTCCAGTAAAAGGCCAAGCCGGAGGCCCAAGGAAAATTTCAGGGGCTGCACGGAGGAAGCCCGTGAGGTGGTGCTAGCAATTGGATAACCACTGGACAATTCTTCTGCGTGGCTGGTGTGATGTCTTAGCAAGATGTCTAAATAAGACTTTTTGCCAGCGAGCGTACGTAAACAGGCAATATCATCAAGAGCGCCCTGCCATTGTCATACTGTCGCTGAGGCATATTATCAGACATATATTCAGCTGCCCAGCTGCCCAGCACCGGAATAAAGGCCAAGTCGCGGGCCAAGTCGCTATTTCTGCATGTATAATCGGAGATAATCGACGCAAAGAGAATGCCATGCTGAATATCTCCCGGTCGACAAGGCGTCGCTCGCACGTCCGGAAGATTTTTTCTTAGCTGGAGCAATAACGGCTCAGCGCCAATGCTATTCCAAGAAGTTGAGGCTTGGAAGTTCTCTTGGGATGCACGAGTGAATGCCAGAAAATATCCGCAATATTATTACCAATATCCTAAAGGGGTGTCGCTGTACCTGCATGCTTCCCTCCATAATTAACAAAAATACATGCTCGCAATGTAAAGTACATGAAGCGAAATGATAAGCCAAGCAGAACTAGCCAAAAAATATCAATAAAAGGGTTAAACCCCGCCCATTCGGACCTCCCGCGCGCCGCGTAGGTAGGTCTCATCAACATCTTCTCGCCTCCTCAGAAATGCAGCCTCTTCAAAGTCTCCATTTTCGTTGCCGTTGAGAGTATATGCTGGATCCCAATTTTCCTGTTCCCGGTCCCCTTTCAGCGTTGAAGCACAGAGTGAGGATGCAGATAGTGCTTGGGATCTCATTGTTTTGAGTTTCCGCTCCTAGGTAATATAGTCGGCCGTGAATGCAAAACTGCGAAAGGGAGTGTCTGTGAGGGAATAACAGAATCTTGGCCATCGAAATCGTCGTCGTCTTCCTCGATTTCGAATCCTCGTTTATACGGATTGGGTTTCGAGAGAATAAAGGAATCAATGGACTGTGTGGAACCTTGGCTGCTTGATGGAAGTGATTCTTCGTCCAGCTGTCTTCCGGCCATTGTTGACTCCGTTGTGACTGTATAAGAGGACGGAGGCCTGGGGAAAGATTGCACTCCGTAGTTTCCGACCTTAAATGCGCCGCTGAAGGGGATAAGTTCGGAGTACGCGGCAGTCGTTAATGAACATCTTTCGTCGCTCTGTGGTGTAGGCTTGGACTGATAATAGGTAGTCTTGGCCGTGATTTTGGTCCGATATCCCTCAGGCACAGCTTTTCGAACTCGCATGCCAACGCTTAGAAGAGATGATTGTATGGTGGGAGGTAACGTAGGGTGAGGTGTGTGTGTGGGCGCATTGTAGTTATAGTGTGAAGAGGGCTCGTTTTCGGACGGCTGCGAAGGCGAGGGGGAGAAATATTGTGTAATCGGGATCTGAAATCTGCGTTTCTTGGAGGATGAGGCGGTTGTAGTTTTATGAGGAGCCATGTTGAGACTCAGGTCGTGGTTAGCACTGCTAGAGGAGTTGAGCTGCCGAGCCCTTTGCAGCGATATTCTGTGCTGTGAGCTATTCCAAAGGTCGATGACGATGATAGCTATTCGGTGATATAGGAGGCGGGGATGCTGATAGCGAGCGATGATGGAAGGTTGGCGATAAGGAGAAAGACGTTTGAAGTCCAAAAGTTGGAGGTTGGGAGCAAAGTCAAAAAAACGCAACGCGAACGCCAAAAAACACGGTTCTTCCATTTAACCCTTTTTGGCACTGACATCATAGATCGAATATACGGAGTAAATAATATAAAGAAGTGGATAATATGAAAGTAGAATAAGAGATCCAAGAACTCATTTCTATGTATTATGGACTACCCCTGGTTCCCTCTCTTCCCTCCTCTCTTATTCCGTTCGTGATGCGCCTTCAGTGAAGCCCGCGTCTCAACAAGACTTCGCTTCCCCTTCGCCTTTGCCTTTCCAAGCGTCATCAGGAAGTTCTTCTTCCTAGCCTTCTCCTTGTTCGTCGAACTCTTGCCCAGGTTGTCCTTGGTCTCCTTCTTGCGAGCGAGCTTGCTCTTGAACTCCGACCGATCAGTCTTGGTCTCGTTCACATGGGCAATCTTCTCCAAGCGAGTCTGCTTTCCGGCTGAAAGGGCAGCGAGGCCCTCGATCTCAGCAGCAGTAAGAGGATCATCGGCGTGTCTGTTTGCAGCAGCCTGTTGTAGGAGTCTCTTGCGCTTGTTTTCGGGGAGCAGAGCGTTCACGCTGGCTGCAGCTCGTAGTTCAGCCAGTTTCGCCAGGTCGGCAGGCGTGAGAATTCTGCTCGTTGCAAGGCGTGATACCTTCTTGACCTCTGCCTCTTCGGCTGGTTTCTCACCGTCGGCTTTGGCGGCATCGTTGGTTTTGGCCTTCTTGTTCGTTGGCCCTTCGTCCTCGGAGTCGCTAAAGACGATATCGACGTCGCTTTGAACATCGATCCAACCTCCAGAGTCATCGCTGTCATCCTCTTCCATGTTCCACGCCGCCCAGTCATTCTCGTTCTCCTCATCTTCATCACTCTCTCCATCAGACGGCAGACCGTTCTCCCTCCTGTTCTTCCTCCTCTCTTCTTCCTTCCATTTTTCAAGTAGCTCGAGACCTTCGATTTCACCAACCTCCTCTTCACCGTATCGTTGTGACTTCCGCTCGCCAACCTTTAAGCCCATGGCTGCATCTTTGCCACGATCTCTCCTCTTCAGCTTCTCTGCGCCAACTTCTCTGTATAAGCTCAACAGCCCCTTCGCCGCCATCATGACACCCTTGTCTTTACTCTTCTTATACATCACGAGATCTTGTAGAAGAGTATCGTTCATCGCCAGAGGTTGTCGAACACATATTTCTCTGATGGCGTTTAGACCAGCGGAGGCAACCTCTGCGGCAGATCCCTCGGAAACGAACTCATTTGCAATCTTCTGGATGAGTGGCTCAAGGGTATCTGGAGGAACGAGCGAATGGCAAGACTGCGCAAGGGAGGCCAAGAACGAGGTAACGGACGGCTGTTTTGGAGTAAGATACTTCAAGAAGTAAGAGTAGAGCTGGATTATGGTAAGCTTGTGTAGACCAACGAGTCGGGAGACAAGTTGCAACACCAGTAGCTTCTGTTCAAGGTTCAGTTTGGCCTTTGTATTTTGTAGGTGCTTCTGGAACAAGTTCTCTGCAAAGCCCTGGGGATCGTGCAGAAGATGTAGAGCCGAGAAATTCAACGGATGAGGCTGGTTCTTCTTCTTCTCTTTCTTTTTCACAATAGCTTTCGCCTTTTCGATAGCCTTGGCCCGCTTCTTAGATCCCTTGTTGATGGTAGCTTGATGTTTCACTTTGTTCACGTCCACAGCATCGTCATCACTGCTCTCATCCTCAAGTTCCTCTCGCTCCTTATCACCGCCGAGGAAGAACCGCACACCGCCGATGATGACTTTTTCGTTGTCTGCCAGCGCAGCTTCTTTCATGATTTCCACGGCTTTGGATTCGGTCCATATCTGGCGCTTCCATAGTTCTCTAGTGATTTTAACGGACCAGAGAGCCTTTGCAGAAGTCCGGTCAGAGGTCACAAGGTTAAACAAGACGGTTTGGATCGTTCTGTTTAGCTTGTGGTTTGTAGTCTTTGCATTGGCAGAGCGTAAATCTGAAACTATTTTCTGAAATAGGAACGCTCGTAAGGTCTTGCTCGGTGTAGTTACTAGGATCGGAAATAGAGTCTGTAGGAGCCTGTATTCTCAAACCCGCCGCAATTAGTATACCAAAATTGATGAAGTCTCTAACATTCATACAGCCGTATACGTACGTTGACGAATCAATAATCTCTTTTCTTTTTAAAAGCACCAAACTCCCAACGATTTTCTCCCTCAAATCTGGGCTGAGGACAGCATGATGCAAAGAGAGAATCTCAATCAACTCTTGCGGAAAATCCTTCGTAATACCCGGATAACAGTCTGCAATATGCGCAACGAAATCAATCAGGTCAATAAGAGATATTATGCCGGTATCGGTAGCCGCAGATGGCGCAGACATGAAAATTTCACGGTGGTTTTCATATTGAAGATGTTGACTTCGGAAGTCTTCAACGTAAGATCTATTGCGCAACAGGGCGAGTTAGCATTGAGAATAGATATCGCAGATGCCCAATCGTCATTCGTCCTTGGGATAAAATTTCTCGGGATAGAGGATACGGAACATACTTTGGATCTCGTCGAATCTTGTACTGCAGGTTTGTTCTATCGGAGACCGAGTGTTAGTACGGTATTTTGGCAATAAAGAGCAAGAGCTGCAGAAACAACAGTATGGAAATAGTGAAGGTTCACTGACAGATCAGCATCGACCTTTTCTAATGCGCCTAATTTGCGCTTCCCCATGATGGCCGAGTTGATTAAATAATGGCTGGTTGTGGTTGTTGAAATTGGAATGTTAGGGACGAGATAAAAAAAAGTTACTATCTTATCAATTTTTCACGATACACAACTTCCACCAACCTTAATGGCGGGAGACTACAGCACAGGCTAAATATTTTTTCAAGTACCAACCATGCTAGAAAATATATCTAGAGATGAATCAAGTGTTACCAGGCTTTTCAGGGGTTTGCGATTGAGTCCAAATTACGAGGTTAACTGTAACGCTTTTGTGTGATTATCGCTGCTACCTCTAATATGATGGCACAAAATTCAGAGTAACAGCTCGTGATTGAAGATGTAGATCATAATAGTTTGCATTGCGGCTACATTAGAAGAAAGGTTATCCATCTTGGATTTTTCCTGTCCTTTCGAACACCATATGGTTCCCATGGCCCAAATTTCACACACAAAATGAAGAGCCGAATCCATACAGAGAAAAAGGACAATTCCGTCCTCGCCTCACATACACACCCATGCGCAACACGTCAGGGAAAAAAACGCAATAACCCCCCAAGGAAAATGTATAGTCCTTGCATTTTTTTTATCGGTTACTCTTGGCGACACGCTCCAACTCGTCCTTCTTCTTAATAGCGTACGAGTTTGAGGATCCCTTGGCGGCGTTGATGAGCTCATCAGCGAGACACTCAGAGATGGTCTTGATGTTGCGGAAAGAGGCTTCACGGGCACCAATGGTGATGAGGGCGATGGCCTGGTTGACACGGCGGAGGGGGGAGACATCGACGGCTTGACGACGGACGGTACCGGCAGAACCAATTCGGGTGCTGTCTTCTCGTGGGCCACAGTTGGAGATGGCATCAACGGTGATTTGGATGGGGTTTTGGTCAGTCATGATGTGGATCTAAGCATACAGGGTTAGTGGTTGCCGCATAACTCCAGATATATATTCGTGATTCTCGAAGGGTAGAAAGACAGTACGTACGATCTCGAAAGCGTGAGCAACAATTCGGACGGCCATGACCTTCTTTCCGTTGTTTCGGCCGTTCATCATAAGAGAGTTGGTGAGACGCTCAATGAGTGGGCATTGGGCTTTTCGAAATCGCTTAGCAGCATATCGGCCGGCGGAGTGAGGAGTATAAACAGGTTGTCGGATTTGGATGTAATCGCTATAACGCGCAAGCAAGATGTCAGTTTCCACATTGCGATCCAAGCCTTTCCATTCTCCCATCCATCCACGACTCGATCCCTCCTCCAGTCTCTCTCAAAAGTAGCGGGGGGGGGGCCAATCTTGTGCGGTAGAAGCCCGCAAGAGGAATCAGACGTACGTCAAAGAGATATCCCGGACCTGGATGTCCTCGTAGCTCCATTTGTTGAAGAGCTTGATGTTGCCCATCTCGGCGGTGACATCCTTGGGCAGCACATCGTAGGCGCCGGTTTCGACCTCGACTTCCCCGTCAGACATGTTGGAAGCCGTTTACCTTGAGTCGACGAGTTGATATATGTGGACGAAAGCGAGGTTGTGGTGGTCGGCGAGTTCGTCCAGGTCGTGCTGTCGAGAGAGAATTAGAGATGACTTTCGCTTAGCGACTTTTCTTGCCCTTTGTGGGCTGCGATTTAGGGCTCGCTTCTGATTGGTCGGGTCTTGTCTATGCTTAGTCATGGTCAACGAGTCACGTGTAACATGAATAAGATATTAGTCACTCACTTAGTCAATATTTAGTCAGCTTACTAAGTCATTCACGTGACACGTTACCTTCTCTGCCCAAAGGGGAAATCAGCACGACGACGACGTCGACGCCAGAGATGAGATATGAGATGCGCTTGAGACGGTCAAGATGATGCTGGTTGCATATACGTCCCCTGTCTCAGTCGAACGGCAACAGGGAACACAGCTCCAACCTGCCCCGGCCGGCCCTCAGACCACGCGATCAGGGCCGTCCTCGACCAGCGCCAGACCAGCTGCACTGACAGAACACCCATGCTCTCGTCTCATAGACTAGGATATCCAAGGGGCTGATGTTGATATGAAGTCATCGATTCGCGAAGCCACCTTCGTCGGCCTGCCCCGCAATACAATTCAGCTACGACCCGCTGTTGCATCTACAATGTTTACGCCCTTGAGCTTCGCCGCCGGTGCCAGCCTGATGAATTGGGCCAGCACTGAGAAAAACCTTACGGGAGCAACATATCTAACGGCTGCCAGGATGCCTGGTTTACAACGCCTACTGTCGACAAGGCCAAGTCAGGCCGGGCCGCGGCAAACGGAATGCCATGGTCGAATGATCTCGTAAGGATGGGACATCCTGAGCTACGGTCGAGGCAGGATATTCCGATTGGTGACCTCGACCATGCCGTCCCGTGCAAAAGGTCGCCGTTCACTGGTGTCTGTGGCGGTTCCCTTGTCCGAGTCCAGAAATTGTGGCCTCAACCCTTGTTTAGAGGCCTTAGCTCTAGGGCCTTGGCGCAGGCGAATCCGATCACTCAGAGCGTGGACGAACAAGCTAGGGAAACATAGATTGGCATGCAGTCAGCTTTCTTTTCTTTCACCATTGTGCTCTTTAAACCTGCCAAAGCCTACGTCGCCGGCGACACCACACCTCTTTTTTTTTTTTTTTACCATTCCTCAACCTTTTGGTCGGTTCAATCCGGCTTGCGAACCACATCTAGTCCGTCAACATCGGGTGGAACATGAAACTCCCCGCAGAAAAGGAGGTCACTTGCGAATATAACTACCACGCTTTGCCCTGTAACGAATGAATGACGGGTCACATCCTTCTGTCGCTTCTCAACTGTCTATTTATGGTCTCGGCTTATATATCCCATGCTTAACTCTTCAGATAGCCCGGTTTAATCCACGCATACATCACAAAAAGCAGGCGTTCCTGGCTTCAGCTACTACTCCGTATACCTAATACTCTCTTCGCGGCCCTTTAAAGATGCCGACCTCAACGTCAAACCAGTCGAGCTCGCCGAAATCCCATAGCCCTGTGCGCCGTTCCTCCCCGCCTCAGACCCTGCCAGAACCCGACGACCCTCATGGCAATCCGTTGGTACGCCTGGAAATTCCTCCGTGGATTTTGTTAAGCGCATTACATGCTGATTGCATGCCTCTAGGAAGTAGATGATGACACCGATTCGGACTTCCAAGATGACTAGTAAGGGTCGCCTGATATCTGAGAACCGGCCCTTGCGCTGACTCGGCTTTATTAGTGCGAGTGACACTACGTCGATAAAGACCGATATTTGCGCATACCGATTCGAGAATGGTAGAAGATATCACGCATATAAGGCTGGAGCATATTGGTACGGGCTACAACCTAGACCCTAACGATGCCACATTCTGATATCGTCTTTGCTATTAAAAAAGGGGACCGAACGATGATCGGCAAAATGAACAACTAGATATTGCGTATGTCAGCAGGCAATCTTCTCCATGGGTGAACAGGCTAAGGCTGACCGGGTTATCAGGCATCATATGTTTTCACTTTTATTAGGCGGGAAACTACTCCTGGCGCCGATTGACGAGAATATACAGGTAAATCTTGGGAGCCCGCGGGTTTGAAGGGTTGCGAAACCCTGCTAATCGCTTTGCAGACTGTGCTTGACCTAGGTACTGGCACGGGAATAGTACGTACAGATAAGCCCAAATAACCTCTTTGAAATTGTTCGGACACTAACCATCGACCTCTGTTCTAGTGGGCAATGTAAGCTCTATGACGTCTCTTGATTACACCAGATGAATATTTCCTGATTGCATATATCCAGAGACTTTGCCGACGAGTACCCCTCTGCCGAGGTCATTGGGACTGATTTATCTCCGATTCAACCGTCATTTGTTCCCCCAAATCTCCGGTTTGAAATCGACGATGCCAACGAGGAGTGGACATTCCCGAACAACCACTTCGATTTAATACACATACGCGCTCTCTATGGAGCAATCTCAGACTGGCCGAAGCTCTACACTCAGGTCCTTAAGTATGATCTCTCCAAGGGGGGACTACGCGGACACTGCGTGGTCAATCTAACTGTGCAACGCTGACCGTCATACAGACATCTAAAACCGGGCGCATGGCTTGACCAGATAGAGATGTCCATTGAATTCCGATCGGATGATGGAACCGTCACCGATGATCATGTGCTCGCGATATGGTCTCGGACGTTTATAGAAGCTGGTGAGAGAATTGGCAAGACCTTCCGTATCGCCGATCTAGCCAAAAAATATATGGAGGAGGCGGGATTCGAAAATGTTGTGGAGAACCGATTCAAACTTCCTGTGGGAGGCTGGGGGAAAGACAAACAAATCAAACGGCTTGGCCAGTGGAATCTCCTCCACTGCGAGGAGGGTATCGAAGGCTGGGCGATGGCGTTGCTGACGAGAGTTATGCAGGTAACTGACCACCATTTTCCCCATTTGCATTTTCATGGAATGCCCAGTTTTTAACTTTTTTTGCTCGCTCCAGTGGACATTTGAAGAAGTGCAAATGTTTTTAGTTAAAATGCGGGCCGGACTTCGTGACCCAAAGACCCATGCATACTTCCATGTGTAAGTTCTCCATCCATTTACGTTCCTTTCCTACCATTCCTTTGCCCACGCACAATACGATGGGAGATGTTGCACCATAACAACGAAATAAACTGCTCACAATTCCACAGCGTCAGCATCTACGGCCAAAAACCATCCTCCGCACGGTCAACCACCTGATGATCGGGCTTCATATATAAGGTTCGGCATACTTTCTTATTCTTCCACCTGGGAGGTCTTCTCATGGGGGCACACTGGCCGTCGATCGGTTTTCATTTCAACTACAAGTTCCACCAGCGAAAGGTTCATCATCTTCATTTCAAGTCCCTGCGGAGCATGTCTGCATTCAGTTTACACACATAGTAAGGTAATTTTTAAGGTTCGACATATTCACTTACACGTCGTCTGGTTTGTTGATTTAATATTTTATAATACCCTGTACCCATCCCCGCATCCAATAATCTTCACACCAACGCCCACAAAATAAACCCCCTGCTCAGTGTGTAATCGCAAAGCGTTTCTAGAGGCCCCGAGTTACGCCCATACCCAGCGGGGATCTCAACGGAAGCAGCTTAAGGGTCCGGAGCCAGCCTGACCAACCAATGCTGCATCTCAAAACATCAGCTATTCGCCCTTGTGAGAGGCTGAGTCGCATGTGTTGAACGCTTGAGCTTTCGATATCTCTGCACATAAATATTGTCGATCCAGTCCTGATTTGCACTGACAGTTGAGATAATATAAAATCTTTTCTCGTCTCGAATAGCATATTCTCTATTTCTCCGTCGTCTGCGAGACGTAGAATACGCTTTCTAAAGTGTTTAACCCGAGCATCGACGTTAATTGCTGGGCTTATTGAAGCGCAGTGTTTCTAGGAGACAATGCTTGCTCTCCTCTAGAGACCGGCTCTTCGCGTACCGTGTTGATTTCAACTTGATGACGGAATGCAGCCAAGTACAAAGGAAAAGCGATGAAAACGGTTCTCTAACAGCCTGGTGCAGAAGGAGAATCGCTTGATTCATTCATGGAACTAAGAAGTCTCGGACTTAATACTGAAAGGCTTTAATAGCGATTCGTAGCCCTTATTCTGGAAGAAAGATTCAACAAAGGACACCCAAAATAGGTGCTGTACCTGGAAACTACCATACCTCAGGAACACCCGACGAGATATAGATAATGAGACAGGGTGACAAGCCGGAATTCATTGTCAGGTTGACAGCTAATGAATGCAGTATTATAGTCTTCCCATTGATATTGCGATTTTCGCTCGATCCAACTCCGCAGCATGGTCAATTGATGTTGAAATAAGCCAAACGGCTAATGAGCAACCCCGAAACATGGCCGCTTTGTGTGCACCAGGTTTGTCTAAAAGTGTGGGTTTTGACTGGCTCTCAGGGGCTGAAGATATTCATACTTCCAAACACTAACTAACAAGTGCCACACCGTCAAAGGTTTATACCTCGAGTTGACTAATTATCCCGTATTTATTTTACATGTCCAGGTGCTTTTTAAGGTTAGATTTTACCTGTGACGGAGTGGGTGGTTCTTGATACTAGTATAAAATGTGGCCCCCCAGGTTGACTGTCCTTCTAATTTTTCCTATTATCTATTACAATACTGCCTGGCTTAATGTTCATGACCTTGTAATGACTTGAATGGTTTTTTGATCCCTAAACTCGGAACGCATGCCCCTGACCATGACTGGCTTCACCGGTTATCTGCTTGATCCTTCCTCTCTCACCATCCTTGCCACAGCGGGGGCGCTGGGTGTCCTCGTCTGGTATACGGTTGTTGTCATATATCGAATCGCCTTCCATCCGCTGGCGCATATCCCTGGCCCGTTCCTTGCCAAAGCAACTAATTTATATTCCTTTTATTTCAATGGCATATTGGACGGAAAGTTTTATCTGCAGGTTGAGAAACTGCATCAGATATACGGTGCGCCCTTGACCCCCCTATACATGGAGTATATATAAACAATATATCACATCGTACTTATGGCGCTTGTCTGGTAGGTCCTGTGGTTCGCATAACGCCTGATGAGATTCATCTTAGCAACCCAGAACACTATGATGAGATTTATCATGTTGGCACAAAGTACAACAAGAGTGCCCCCTTTTATGATGCCTTTGGCGTGGACAAGGCGACTTTCACGACGGCCGATAACAATATCCATCGAATGAAGCGGGCTGCTTTCAACCCGTTCTTCTCTAGAAAACGAGTCCTCGAACTCGAAGACATCGTCCAGTCCAAAGCCAAAACTCTGGTGAAGCGTATATCTACTGCTCTTGAGTCCTGCGGGGGCATAGATCTCCATCATGGATTCAGAGCCATCTCCATTGATGTCATAAGCGACTACGCCTTTGACAACTGCTATAATTTCCTTGAAAAAGACGACTTTGATGCAGCCTTCTTTGATATGATTCGAGGCTTTGGTCCTATGTTTTGGCTATTTCAGCAGGTCCCCTTTATGCGGCCGATTTTGCTGGGAATACCACTCTGGATGGCGAAATTGACAAGCCCGGCCTTGACTCGCATGTTGTTGTTCCATCAGGTATCGCCCCCCAAACCGCATGCACGGCATGACCCCTGTTTAGTTGCTAAAGCCATATATCACCTTCTATAGAGCAGCCGAGAGCAGGTGACCAGGGTCAAACGGCAGGTAGAAGCAAACGAGAAGCCCGAACGGCCAACTATTTTCCATCAATTCCTGAACCCGGAGTTCATGAAGGGGGATATTCCGACCATCGAGCAGTTGAAGGATGAAGCGTATATCGTCGTTGCTGCGGCGGCCGACACGACAGGAAACGCCATGACGGTGGCACTGTATCACACAGTTTCTTCACCAAAGATATATGCAACCGTGACAGCTGAACTGCGCGAAGCATTCCCCGACCCAGACGGAGATATCGACCTAGTCACCCTTGAGAGGCTACCATATTTCGTTCGTCATACCCTTGTCCCGTCTTCCCCAACTTTGTATATGCACTATACTGATATCAAACCGTGCTATAGAATAGTATCATCAAGGAGGCACTGCGGTGAGTACATATCCGTAACCTACAGGGACACGGGGCGCTGACAGGGTATAAGCCTTTCATATGGCGTTGTTGGGCGACTTCCAAGAGTTGTCCCAGAACCAGGGGCTCAATTCGATGGATATGAGGTACCAGCCGGCGTAAGTATCCCTCGTCTCAGCCTTTCAAGCATGCTCAGTGAATAACTCCATACCAGACGATTGTCGGCATGAGTTCATGGACCATGCACCGAAATCAGGAAATTTTCCCTGATCCCGACAAATTCGATCCGTCACGCTGGCTAGATCCGGCAGCTAGCACCGAACTGGAGAGATTTCTCGTGGCATTTAGCAAAGGGTCCCGCGCCTGCGTTGGCATGCAGTAAGTTTACCAACTAAACCCAGCAGTTTTTCTTTTATCTTCAAGCGGTCCACCCCTGCGCGTTACTGAACCCATCCCCGACCAATTATGGCCACCCGTATATGCATGGATATGTCAAGGGATGCTGACCTTTCGTTTCTTGTGCTTTAAATCCAGACTTGCGTGTTGCGAGTTGTACGTCACGCTCGGCAGAGTGTTGCGTAGCTTTCCTGGCCTAACCATCAAGCCGAAGACGCGGGAGGAGCTGTTGTATATGGACTATTTCTCCTCGTACCATCCGGAGAAGTACAACAAGTTCTATTTCGAACGGACCGGCAGCGTAGAATGATGAACTGGGTCACTATCAAGCCGTCAACTGGAGCCGCCGTTTCTCCATCTCCGGGCAGTTTCGTCTGCATCCTTCACACGTATTACGAGGCGTGATAGCCCCGCATATCAGGCTCGTTCTCCGGCCGTTCTCATGCCGTGTTGATGTATATACCAGTTTGCTAAAGAGCCGTATCAGTTCACGTATCCGTGTAACAGCCACGTTAACTTACTAAACCTTGACTGATCGTTCACATGCGTATCGTGAAGCTGCCAGTCTAGTCCCTAGATGTTCGTATGGTATAGATGTTCGTATGTTCGTATGTTCATATGTTCGTGTGTTCATGTGTGTTCATGTGTTCGTATATTCGATGTTGTATGTTCGTCGATAGAGTCGTCACTAAGCGGCCGCGGCAATTGCAGCATCCGCTGGTGTCGTAGTCTAATGGTTATGATAACTCGTTGTGGAACAACTCCGAGTTGGTCCCAGTTCGATTCCGGGCGATGCCACAACTGCTTCAGTTATCAGTCAGGCCTCACAGGTCTGGCTTCTCTTTTTGTCTGCTGAATGTCTGTATGCTGTATGTATGTGAGTGGTGCTCGAAATGGGCGTTTTGACAAGACCTTTTTTGAGTTTTGTGGCTTCATGGCTTGCTGTGACTTTCTTCTGTGTGATGTTGGCTTGCTTCTGTTGATATAGCTTCATGATGTGGTGGTGTCGTTCCCCGAGGGTCGAGGCACCGTTGGATGGCTTCATAAAGACTGACATGTTAATGTCGACGGTTCGCGCCTGTACCTTTATCCGATTGGAACTTACGGGAGGAAAGGTGTTTAACCGATTGGATGACGGCTGGTGATAGCGGATAAGTGCATATCTCGGGTTGCAGATCGGCTTCTCATAGTTTGTATTAGAACATTTCATTAAAATATCTATGGACAGCGTTCTCCTCGGCCGTGCTACATGACCGGGAACATAATTCAATAACTCATATTCCACAAGAAAAGAAATAGATCTATACTCTATGAGGTAGGACAGTTTGGCAAACCCTCCTGCCAGTACTTGAGAGCATACTCGCGTAGGAAGCTTGATTCTCCAAAGTCCTTGTAGCTCTGGATGTCGCTGGCAGAGTATTTCCCGCCGAGCTTGTTGAGGGTAGGAATAACGTATTTGGCGCCGATGAAGTCGACGAAGGATACGTCGACGACGTCAGGCGTGGAGCCGTCCATGGGGAAGGATGCGTTGGCCTGGATGTCAATTGGGACCTTGTGGTAAGGGATACTCGAGTGTGGGGTGTCATCACCGTCAGTGCCGAAGTCGTCAGAGGTGATGTAGCCAGGGTACAGCATGGAGGAGTCGAGGGTGCGGCGGGTAAAGGCCTTGTATCCCTGTGGAGCTTCACGGCGTCTGATCTCCATGAATTCTGGTGAAGGGTCGGCGCAGACGTTATCAGCATCAGGTATCTGCTGGGGAGGCATTGACATGTACTCCTCTGCACGCTTTTGGTAGGGCCCCTTGTTCATGGCATCCAAGAGGTCCTTGGCGACGGAGTAAGGCACGTCGGGGAGGAATTGGAACTGATTCTTGAAAGGGTAGACGATGTATTCGTCGTCCTTGGTGAAGGGCCCCTTGACAAGGTCGAATCGCACACCACCAGTGTTCAGGAGGAGCAGTCTCGGCTTATCCTTGCGGTCTTCCTTGACCACGACCTTGGCCATCATGTCGATGACGAGCTGGTAAATGTTGTTCTTGTCCTCGAATGGAACGCAGTACTGGCAGTAGGTTTCGGGGACACATCCCAGAACGGTAGACGTGTTGAGATCTTTACGGGCACCGGTGATATCTTGTGTGATGTCTTTACCCTCCTTGGTGTCCAGACGGTTGTCTTGCGAGTTGGTGGCATGGTAGGCAAACGTCAAGCGGTTCCAGTCAAGATAACGGCGAGCATAGCGGAGGTCCAGTTTTCTATTGCGACCCGCGGAGTTGTATGAATCATCGGACGTATTATCGCCCTTGATTGCTCGTCGGGTTGGGTTAGGAACACCCCTTGGCTTGCTGCTACCTCTAAAGGAGCGGGACTTGATTCCGGTCATAGACAGCCATCCGAGGGTCTCGCAGTATCGTCCAGATCCGAGAGCGGTGGATGTCTCATCGTAAACGACGAAATCTCTGACGTGGTTGTGGCCACCAAACGCCTGGATGGGCACGCCTGGACGGAGCTCCTGGATCTTCTCCCTCAGCGTGCGGAGAGCTGGGAATTTGTCGTTGGTGCGAGCAGGAGTATGGCCAAAGATGACGAACAGGTCTACCGGGTCGTCTGTCTGGACGGTTTCAATGAACCAAGACTCCTCGACCATGTCAGCGGCTGTGATGATCTTGGACACGTTGGAGTTTCCGGTAAATTCGAAGAGAACACCAAAGGCCATGACCTTGAGACCTTGCTTGGTGGTGAAGTAGCGGTACTTTGACCCGATATAGTCGTATTCGCCGGTCTCCTTGTTGATGATCTGGACGTTGCTGGTCACGTATCTATCGCCATAGGCCTTGGAGAAGTTGGCAAACGTCTCATAGGCGACATCAGTCACGTATAGCTCGTGGTTTCCAATGCTCAACAGGTCATAGTCGATCCTCGAGAAAATCTCGTCAGACACAACGCCGTTGGGCGAGGTAGAGTCGCTGAGACCGTTTCCATCGTGCAGGTCACCTAGAGCCACTCAGTATGAAATTACTTCAAAACAGGCAAAGATATGAACAAACCGGTATCAACTAGAAGCAAATCAACACGCAGCTTATCAGCCTTCTTCCTCATGTGCTTCACGAAAGACGCATAGTCTCCCCAGTCGGCGCCGTAGTTCTGCTCCTTCAGATGTCCCTCGAGCCAACCGTGGGTATCGGTGGTGTGCAAGAAGTTGATCTGACCCCATTCAAGAGGGCCCTTTGGCTGCGTGAGTGCTCCCTGGGCTTCAGGCTGCATCCGACGCACCAGTCTGTTATGCTGGGCTGGCTTTCCGGGCTCATCGCAGGAGTCGCAGGCGACTGCGGCCGCCGCGTAGGCCGCAACGCTGATCAAGGCCGAGAGACGCATCTTGAGCAGTCAATTATCCCTCCACCGTGAGAAAAGATAGAGACAAAACAGCTTCCCAACGCCGGAATATAAACAACGAGCTGTCGATGTCTCGCAGCCAGCAGCTTGTCGAACAGCTTATCGAACCCTTGCATCATGGCGGAGGGGTGGAGTTTATATATTTGATTATGGGCCAGGATATCTTGATCGGCAACCCAGCCATCGCTCGAGCAAAACTCCAGCCGTCGGGCAAATATTCGCGACTGGGACATCTCGCACAGAGCGCGCAGTCTGACCCTGTCGGGCATGTTGCATCCATTGGCTGAAAGACATCGCGGTGGGCATCGCAATTTAGTCCGACGGGCGAGCTAAGCAGGCATCAAATCCTGGCCGGGGCGGACTTTCTATCTCAACTTTCTCGCCTTCACTGTACGGACTACTTACAGAGCATTCTGCTTACGGGGGAGTACTCACAGAGACTTACGGAGTACTGCGCATTCAGTGCGGACAGTCAAGATGGAGAGTATCCGTATTGATATGGAGAACTGTTCTACAGTCGTGAGGAGGGAGCGAGGCTGTCGGAGGACTCCGAGCAAGGCAGATATCGATGTCTGATCCAACCCTGGAATTCGTATGTCCGTACCGACTGTGCGGTTTGGAACCACGGATGGAGACGAAAACAACTTTTTGCTCCGGCTTCACGAGCTTGGGCCGAGTTGTTGAAGCTTGTTGCCAGCCGTTTTAGCAAGCAGATAGATATTTACATGTCGCCCCTGGACAGCAGGCCTCTGAACGAGATTATATCTCGTTTAACGTGTACTTCCGCTTCCAGGGTAGAACATGGCTTCTAGTCAATTAAATTCTGCCGTTAGCGAAAGAGCCCGGACTATGCTCATGCTTGTTCGGGCGTACCAATTGCTAGTGGACTGAATCCTCATTCTCATGCATTCCTTACTAGGGACCGTTCTTTGGTTACTGATATTCCCTGCTCAACTGGAAGAGACCAGTGCGAACAAAGTGGCCATGTGCGATTATATAGTATAGGATACTACATGTTCATATCCTATATATGTTCATGCGTTGCCGGATCTACACTGCGTCTGAAGACTGATTGGTGTGCCTAGTTCTATATAGCAGGGTACTTTAATACTATTACCTGTTAATAGATGGAGACACCAGCAGTTATACGCTTTACGCATTCGAGTCTGAGCAATGGTTTAATTCCCATCAATGCCTCTCAATGAAGTTATAAGGCTCTTATTATATAGTGTATACCCATGGTTTGTATTACATTGTGATCGTAATATTATGGTTAAAGATAGTGGGATTTCTGGACTAGAGTCAGCTGGGTGGTATCCCGGTTACTAGAGGTATAGCAGCATTGATATGCCAAAAGTCGTCAGGAGGACCTCGGAGAAATAAACAGCTCATAGTCAGAATGTAAAGGTGCATTAACTAAACCGATAGACCCATCACATCATTGGTGACTGGCCACGCATCTATATTCAAGTCCTTATTATGATACCCTGCATTTACCTTATGTCTTTCATTTGGGTAACTTATCAGAAGTCAATTTTGATGTTTCATAGAACTTATATGTGATTCAATTATACCGTACTAGAGTGGAACGTCTATCTATATTTCATTACAATATCTACCGTTATCGAGTTGGCTCAAAATATCTATACCTACGCAATATCCTTCAAAACAAGGCAATGATTAGATCTGTCTATGTGCTAAGAGAGATATTCCTTAAAAAGTGATATACATCGCATATATAGGATAAACTGAGCATAATATACCATCGGGTTTAACTAAGTATAATGGATAAGAAGGCTTGCAAAGAATGTAAGGGTATAAGATTCGAAAGTTGTGGTAGTTCTTAGGAATAAGGATTTAAAGATTGTATGCTCTAGAACTAAAAAAATAAGAGTCAACAGAAAAGGGGTATTCTAGACATTTTGTATATTCCACTGAAGGGGCGTAACCCCATGATTCTAATTCGAGCATTGACTAACCCTAGTCGTGGGGTGAGAGATACGACTATAGCTGCCTAGTGCCTAATAAATCAGGTATAGGTTTGCCGCGTGAATTTGATATCAAAGGGTATAGCAAATATGGTCGATGTGATGGATAAGGGCAGTCGTCTTCCAGGTGCCACTGATCATGTATCTACCGACATCACACCGTAACCCATCCAAAAGCGTATCTCAAGAACGTATCCAAGAATATATCTCTGATATCTCTAATCTATCTCTATTGCATGTCTAATGTATCCTGATATCACCAATGTCTCTATCTCTTATCCAACTTCGGGAAAGTGTAACATCACGTGACTTACTTACTAAGCGATATCGAACCTCGGCATAAACAACGGGCGGCGCAAGGAGAATTCACGGGCGCGCCTCGGGGAGGCCATGCGAAACCCCAGAATAAATATCCAGGCGATCGCTGGTGCCTGTTTCTCTCGGCTTCATCCTTGTACCGTGAGATTGACAGCAGGCGTAGAGAGAGAGGCAGTTCAAAATGGGCGCAACTATCTTCGAGGCCCCTCCTCACGACCCGGCAAAGTCGCAGATTGAAAACGTCCTGGAACTCACGCCAGTGACCGACATTGGACCGGTATGCGCGGCTTCTGGAATACGGGGAGAAGAGACTGTTCCCATAGTGACTCGGTCAATTAACAGTTTTCCCGTCTTCTAGGATGTCTTCACCAACACCAGGCCGCTCTGGCACCCCCCAGGCGCGAGAGGGATCTATGGTGGCGCCGCCATAGCCCAATGCCTGTCCGCAGCTCAGAAGACAGTTCCGGCTGATTTCTTCCCCCATAGCATGCACTGCTACTTTGTCTTATCTGGAGATTCACGATTACCGGTCCTATACCATGTCGAGCGAGTCCGTGATGGAAGAAGCTTCGCTACACGAACGGTTCAGGCACGACAGCAGGGACGGCCCATTTTCACCACAACCCTAAGTTTTGACCGTGAAGGCAGCGGAGGGAAGAAACAGATCAAGCATACTATCAAGAAACCGGATGTTGCCGTTCCAGAGAGCCACGACGGCATTGGCCGAGGCCGAGGTCCGTTTGAGTCCAGACAGGTCGGGATAACGAATAGTAAGTGAGCATCTGGGAATACTTATGCATAACCCCCTTATACGTACAATGATGGGTGCAGGTTTAAAGCTAATGAGTTTAAATGATAGGAGATTCCCCCCACGCCGCCGACAGAACCCTGCAATTATTCAACAAGGCCCGAGGCACTATATCCTCGGAAGGGGGCAGACAGGCGCATCTGACAGCCTTAGCGTACATGTCGGATAGCTATTTCATCGGCACGGTGGCCAAGGTTCATAATATCCCCCGCTTTTCGTCCCCCGGTGCCATAGATAAGGCGGCCGCGCTGATAAAGAAAGACGCCGGGGTTGAAGAGGAGGTGGTCAAGAAATACCTTACGGACTTGGCAGAGCAAGAGGAGCGGGAGCTAAAACTATCAAAAAAGACTTCGGACGAACCGAATAGGGAAATCGGCATGATGGTGAGCCTGGATCACACCATATACTTCCACGACAGGCGGGAGTTCCGTGCAGACGAATGGATATTCTCAGAGATGAAAACCCCATGGGCCGGGGCAGGGCGAGGCCTTGTCCTGCAGCAGATGTGGGCTCAGGATGGCACCCTGATCGCTACATGCGTGCAAGAGGTAACTAAAATTCCCTTTTTTGATATGTTTTCTTTTTCTTCTTTTTTTTCTCAAACACCTCAAGCACCCTTGCAACAAACCTCCTAGACGAGACGGCTGACCATTTCATGCAGGGAGTCGTTCGCCTTAAGCAAGACAAGCCCCCAAGCAGCAGCAAACTATAATCTAGTCGAGAGATTTTCCCTTGCCGTGCTACACGCCTTTAAATGATTGATATGTGTGTGTGGCACGGATACCCTTCTCGTTTTCATTTTATAGGGCGGTCCTGTTTCCCCGCAACTACGTATATAGAGTCTTTTTAATCCGGTTTTGTACGTATCTTTTTTTCTCTTTTCAAAATAAATATATTTATATGGGTTCCCTCCAACTACTACTGTCAGACTGGCGACCATGCCTAGTCACAGAATTTATGGCTAGAAATCAAAATACCTCCTCCAAATAATACATGCCCGTTTTCCAATCCATGCCACAAAGAAAGTCGTTCAAAAACATGCTAAAAGATGAAGTCAAAAAGTCGAAAGAAAAGCCCGAAAGAAGTCGAAAAGAAGTCGAAATATACGCTTTGTCAGCAAGTTCAGCTACGTCATAGCAGCTTCCTTTGCCTGGCAATAGTTCACGATGGTTTCTCCCCAGTGAGAGCGGCCTTTATATGCTGCCATGTCTTCAGGCCAGCTCTCGACGTCCTTGGCCAGCAGCTGGACCTCATCCAGGGGCAGGTCTTGAAGGAATGAGACAGTTGTTTTGACTGTGAAGAGGATGCCGTTGGTTTCGGGGAGACGGGTGAAGGTCTGTCTCTCACGACGGATCAAGACACGCTCTGGGATGGGCTTGGTATGGTCCTGCAGCAAGCCCTCAGGCTGGAAGAGGATCGATTCCCACGGCTCGTTGGGCTGGATCACTTGGACAAAGTAGCTTGAACGCTCCATGGGGGATTCAGGGGTTAGCCGGGCCATGAACCTATTATCAAACGGTCAGCGGGAATGAACCATGGAACGGATTAGGGTCGGCCCTGAAGAGCTAAGGAGAATGCAAAATCAACAGCAGGGCATCTTACTTGTTCACGGAAAAGGCGATCTGTCGAGCCCACTGTGGTACAGGGGCATGCATCTCGTTGAGCGTTGATCCCATGCGAGTATTGGCAGACCATCCAATAAGGAATGCACTGGACGTCGCAGCCCTACATCGAAATCATCAGTGAGCCGGGCCGTTTCTTCAAAAAGTCAATGACTAACTTTTGAAAGACAGATTCAACCTACACATAGTGATCACCGCTGTCGTTCTTCAGCAGGATAGTCATGTCCTCCATGGCCAGCCTGGCAGCGGCTTCCAGGGGTGGGATACGGCCGTCTTTAAGGGGGAACTCTTCTGCCATACGCTTATTTCTCACGACGGTACCGGATGCCGACTCTTTGAGCTCGAACATATCTGGATGCGTCTTACACAAGAAGGAGGACACCTCTTTCAGGGCCTCGTCACACGCAATCTTCGCTTCAGGGAGGCACTGTGAGACTTCCCGGTTGCGGGTGTTAAAGAGGTTTGCCCGGACTGCATGCCGGGCGTTATAGTTGTCGTCAACGACCAGCCAGCCAGCCCGGTCGAGTCTCTTGATGCCCATGGTGATTCGGTATTTCGGTTTCTCTCGCACTGGAACTGATGCCGGTGCTTGAGATGGTGCTGTTGCTGGTCCCTGGGCTTGTGCCTGGGCTTGTGCCTGGGCTGGTGCTTGAGCTGGAGAGCTGTAGGGGACATTCTTCCCGCGGGGACGCTTCTCACGAAGCTGAATCCGCCATGAGGATGAGTGGCGTGACCATTTGTGTAGCCAGGTCAGGGCAATACAGAAGATTGCTACCAGCGAGGCAGCATTGAACAGGATGAACATGACGGCGAGGATGAATTTTTATGGCGGACGACGGCAACAACAATATCTCATATAAACGGATGTTATTGCAGCACAAAGAAAACGGTCGAGAGGGCAGCTCGAACACAATAAATGATATGAAGACTGAGAGCGAAATCCATTTCTCGTGATCATCAAAAGAATTGCATCCCTGAACGGGGGATTTTATTCGAACAAGGAGCAGACAGATTCCGGAACTCTCTCACTCCATATAAGTCCAGTCCAGTCACGCATAAGAGAGCAGTGTCGGCCCCATTGACAGCGAGCTGAGCCACAGAAGCAATGAATACCTCGTCAACGCTCCCTATTCGCGAATGTGAGACAAGCACTTGGGCCGGGTCTACGAGCAGACATACGATCAACTACCAGCTCCATCCTTGGGAAAAAGCATCACTCTATCCCTTCCTTTTTCCCCTCCCCCCCAACCCGCCAAAAGCATGCCTTGAAGTGGATATGTTTCTTTTATTTTCCCGCAGGCAATCGCGCGAAGGTAAAGGGGGGTCCACTGCTCACCAACTCACGCTTCAACCCATGGCCCATGGCTCCAGATCGCCTGCCCTTGTCCGTGCGCCAGAAAACTCTGAGCTTGCTGCAGGCTGGATAGACTGGGAGAGGCTGGGGAGAGGCCGGAAGAGAGCGTTGGAAGACCGCTGATTGAGTGATTTGTGACGCCGACTACGGAGGCATCTTGTCTTCAGGGCGTTTAATGCGGCGTGGGAGCGGCATGCGTAGTACGCAAATAGTACGGAGGCATGTATATGACTTTTTGATATTTGCTTTTTTCTAACCCTTCCCGAATGCGTATATACATACTTCGGTATGGAAGCAGGCCACGCGATCTTTTCGATTCACTAGCCATTCCATTTCCTTCCATCAGCCGAAGAACATCGATGATGGAATTTGACTTGACGCAGCAGGATTCAACCACCTCGCCTCCTCGCCACAGTCCGTCTTCTTCTTCTCTCGTGACAGCCGCAATTAATGTCCCTAACCGACCATGCCGAGAGGGTTACGCTGCGTTTAATGTCTTCGAGCAACGCAACGCTCGCCAAGCAGCGTTCCATGTCGATGGTAGACTTTAATTCGTATCCACCCCCGCGAGAGAGATCCCTGGCCTATATCAGAAGACATATTAACGAACATTTTTGCGCAGAGGGCGGCTGTTGGCCCGTAACTTGTTGGTTTCTGTCAAGTCAGCCTTTGCCTTGCCATCTATCAAATGTGGCTTGATATTACGAAATCGGGTTCCAGAGCACAACCTGGGCGTAAAAACGAGAAGCTCACCCCTTTCTCGATGATCTCCTGAGCCCCGTAAAGTATGAAGTAACATGTTTTCCGTCGTGATATTGCTTTTTGTCAACTGTCATTCCTGCAAGTGTGTCGATGCTGTTCCTCCACCTACCACCTTGGCCCTGGCCTGAGCAGCTGAACACCCTCGATCCCCGTAGCACGTACTCCGCAAACTGTCAAGAGACGCACTCCAAGCAAGGATTCGCTGGCAGCAGGCTGGCTGGACCGTGAGATGGTGGAGTTGTCGAAAGTCATTATCGTTCAGTCGGTCAGGACTCGTTGCATTCGGCATTCGGCGTGGACCCCCACGATACGAACGAGCCTTTGACTTTCCTCTGGCTCTGCATCGAATCGAGTGGCTAGAAGTGGCGGGCAGAGAGAGAAAACGCCTTGCAGGGGATCAGGGGACGAGTGGCTTCGCGTGTCGATTATCGCTATGACATTTGCAGAATGGTCGAGCGTCATACACTGCACTGCGTACGAGGTCCATCTGCGTCCATCTGGTCCATCTGCGTAGTCCGTAGTGCATACCGTACTCTGTGCACTCTGTACAGGCTCATAGTGCATAGTGTATCCCTGCTGCTGCGCCTCCTGGAAGCAGACGCCCAAGTGACCACCGACATACGGAGTCCTCGACGAAACATCCATAGCATATCCAGGGTCCACTGGGCCCGCTGGACTGAGCATGAGCAACCCGTATTTTCTCAGCCTGCGTTGTTTATGCGACTCATTTACCGCGGTAGCCGTGGCTGCACAGTCCGCCTAACCCCCTAGTCGCTAGCTGCAAGCCACCGCTAGACCATGCTAGGTGGTCAAGTGAGCTTTTGCCCAATCCATCTGTCCATTCAGGATGCATGTCGACCGCTGCCAGGTGATGTGCGAGCACGTCGGCCGACATCTACAAACCTGCCATCATGTTAGCAATAGGAGGCGAACACGCTGGGAGTGTTGTACGGAGTACGGAGTATACGTTTACCACCTAACAATTGACAGGACGAGTGCGTCAACACATCACACTTCTAGCAATTGACAGGACGAGTGCATCAATGCATCGAATGGACAAGGGAGACGTGGAGATGCACTCGATCTGCTTGGGTGCCTAACGCATCCTACATATTACCCCGAAGAAGCAAAAAGGAGCCGAGACGAGAAGGGGAGGAGGTCGCGTGTCTTCTCTCCAGATAAAGTCAATCCAGGGGCTTCCGGCACAGCCTCCTCTTCAGCTTCATGCTCATGCAGGGATGGGCGACATGGGAGCGAGCAAGTGTTCAGCTAGCTCTGCACTATTTGGTTTTTTGCTTGTTTTTCTCTGGCCGTTTCGTTTCGGCGTCCGGCAAGTCAGTCGAGCCTATACCTGCGCCGCCGACGAGCAGGGAAGAGGAAAAATAAAATAAAATAGTTGAAGGACATGCCGGCGATTTATGTAAACGTCATACGATCATGGTAAGACAGAGGATGCCTTGAATTTGTTCTCCCGTAGAATAATTAATTGAGTTCTTTATTTCTTTTGCCTGCTAGCTTCCCATTTTAAAAACAAAGCAGGTACTGTACGAGTGAAGCAAACAGTGGGAATAAGAAACGGGCACAAATGAAATAGGGAAAGTTGGTCGGTCAGGCAGACAGGCAGACACGCACGGAATAAGGAGCAAGAAAGAGAAAGATTTTCATTTCGTAGATAGCTAATGGTAATAGATGGCCGCAGTCGTATCAAGGCGTCGATAGGATGGGGGTATATAAAGTGTAAGGCAAGGCTGGCTATATCATCTAGCAGAGCAGACCAATCGAGAGGATGCAGGTGCGGTTGTGGGTGTGGTGTCGTGTCAGTAGATATCGTAGATAGCGTGATGGGAGTATGCGGATGGACGGCCGGACGGTGAGCCTGAGCATGAGCGACATAAATAGACTGGTACCAACTCAACAAGAGAAAAGAAGCGCGGAGGAGGAAAGAAAGGAAAAGAAAATCTATCAAAAAAAAGAAGCCGATGAACCAAGGCATAATTCAAGAAAAGAGGTCAAAGTGGAAAGTGGAAATCCAACCTCCTGATGCGCTCCATCTCTCGCAATTTTTTTTAGGGGTCCCCCTCTTCTTCTATTTCTCCATTTCGTATTTTTTTTTTGGTCGCACAGCTTGGGCAGGGAATGAAAAGTAGGAATGCAGGTATCTATCGGAATCTCGCCGAACAACGTCCCATAACTTCGCCCTGGCAGACGAGCTCGGCGTTGAACTCGCTTCCGTCCAGGGTCAGGTAGATATCGAAGTAGACACGGTAGAAGGTACCCTGGGGAGTGTCCATGCGCTCAAAGTCCTTCTCGAGGTTCTTACGAGACAGGTCAGACGTCAGGGTGACGACCTCCTTGATTCCTATACGTCGAATCGACGGTTAGCATCCACTGCAGACGGAGTGAACGAAAGTTACGGGGGGAGGTCTTACGTGGATCCTTGGTATATTCTGGACAGACATCCTCATCACAAGCGTATAGGATGTCCTCATACATCAGCGTCGCACCTGGTGCCACCTGTCTGAAGAAGCTGACCTTGACAGGCTCGCCGTTCTTGATGCGCTCACCCTTCTGCACGAATATCTGGCGGGTGTATTTGCATCGATCCTTGCCGTCGAGGGAGGGCACACGATACTGTTCCGGGTGGTGGCCTTCTTTGAACGGCTGCAGGGTGGCCATCAGGTAGTGTCTACGGGCGACACGGGAGGTGACGACTCGCTCAGTTATACCGGCGGTTACGGCGCCCTTGACGATGGCGGCGACGGAGTCCATGGGACGAACGACCTTGGACTGATATTGTGGGGGAACATGAAGTTTTATCTGCTGGAAGAGGTATTCCGATGCACCGAAACCACCGACCACGAGGACGTTCTACGCCATTGTTAGAAATGGGATGAAAATGAAAACTAGGTGAAAAGGGCTACTCACTTGCAACGGCCTGTTCTGTGCCTGGATGGCAATGATCTGATTCCTGACCAGTTCCAAGATTCGATTAACGACGGGCTCGAAACATTGCAGGATCTCCTCGTTGGTAAACGTCATATAACCTTCCTCGATGCCTGCCTCTGGGAAATCGGCCTCGATGCCCACGTCGACAGCCCACTTTTGTCCGTTGTTCCTGAAATCGGCCTTGATTCTGTTCTCGAAATCCATGATACATTTAGCATACACCTTACCGGCCGTACGCGAACCGTCTGGCAGCTTCATCTTCCTAATCTTTGCACGTAGAATGTTGCTGAAGTTACGGTTGAGGGCGGTAGAACCGCAGCTGTCACCCGAACCGGCGGTACATTCGCAGACGCTGAAGGGGGTCTCTTCGTCCACCTCGTAGGCGATAAGATCAACGGTACCACCACCGCAGTCAACGATGAGGATGGCGTCATGAATCTTGAGGTTGAGGAGGCCGGTCTTTGCACAGAACATGGCAGCTGCCTCGGGCTCGGTGATCAGGGTAAGGCGGTTATCGTTCTCGTCGCGTAGGAAGCCGGCTTGGATGGCTGCAGCACGGGTTGCGGCTTTGCCAGCATCGTTCCAGATGGCGGGGACGGTCAGGAAGTAACGAATGTTGCGCTCTTCACGGTTGAAGACCTCGCCCAGGGTCTTTTGGAGCTGGTTGCGCATGGCGCCTCGTAGATGGAAGAGGTAGTCGGCCGCAACATCGATTTCCGACTTGCCCGGCGGCAGCGGTGGGAGATTTATGGGGTCGATGTATGTGTTTCCGCCTGAGGACATGAGCTGTAGCTTGAACCATTCTACCTTTTGCACGCCAGCTTTTGGATATCCGGTGGGAGCGAGGGCGTCTGCAATATCAGGACCCCATCCAACGACTTTCTGATACTGGTCATAGTAGAGCACCGTGGGTATCTATAACCGTTAGTATCAATATTATCAACATTATATCGTAGTATCAATATATCGTTGTATAAATATATCATAGTATCAATATATCATAGTATCAATATATCGTAGTATCAATATCGTAGTATAAATGTAGTATCATACCTTCTGCTTGGTATGCGTGCCAGCACCAGGCCACTCGGTGATGATGTCCTCGCGCGCCTCGGTGTTGGTCGCAAAGGCATAGGCAACGCCCGAGAAGGTGGTACCGAAATCGATACCCACGATCAGCTGGGCCTTGCTCCGCGCCTGGTTGTCCAGCTCCCCCGTATGGCCTCGAAACGGCGCGAGAGGCTGCGGGATGCCGTGGCCCTGCTGTCCGCCGGTCGACTGGGGCGGGTAGCCACCGTATCCCGGCGGAGGAGGGGCGGAGGTCATGCCGCCGGTGGGATAGGGCACGCCCACGCCGGTGTTGAGTGGCGGCGGGTGATGGGCGAGCTGCTGGCCGTGCGGGTGGTGCTGGCCTGGCGGGAGCGGGCTGGCGGGCCTGCCGGCACCGGGCGCGTAGGTGTAGCTGGGCGGACGGCCGAGATGATTTTGCGGGTTCATGGGGAGACTGGCGGAGGAGGCGTTGGGGTTTTGGGCGGACGAGGTGCCTGGGGGCGGCGACGGCTGGGAGGGCGACCCGTTGGGTGTGTTGGTGGAGGTTGTTGTGGGAGCGAGAGAGGAGCCGCTCTTGCGCTTTGTGCCAAAACCGAAGGACTTGAATCGAGAGCTCATGAGATCCATAAACGGGGAGTTGATATATAAGAGAGAAGAGGGAGAGGCAGAGAGCAGACGGGAGGGGAGGATACGGGGGGTACAGGGCAAGGCAGTGCTAAAAAAAGACCAGGCGACGGTGCAACGGGCAGGCTGGGGTCTTCGGGCTGTCTATCTGGCGAGGGTCGACAGAGAAGCGAGCTGGCAGAGGGACGAGAGTGAGAGAGAGAGCAGGCCGGAGCAAGCGTCCTGTCCTTGGGGCTGAGGGAGCAACGAGGCTGCGCTGCAGGAGGTGGGGTTCGGCCAGCGGTGGTGGTGGTGGTGATGGGCTCGACTGCGCCGCCTCGCTGTATCAGCACGTTAATCGAACGGAGAGCGACTGCGAGGGCGGAGGGCGGGCAGATGGCGGAGGAGCGCGAGAGGAGGAAAAGTGCCAGAAGAGGAAGAGTTGAAGCTGAAGTCGAAGTCGTTGATGATATCGCCGTATTGGTATTTCGCTGTTTCTCACCGCTTTTCCTTTTATTCTGCGCATTACGTGTATTTACGTTACGCTACACATACATATATACATAGATATATAGATGAGATATAGATGAGATATAATAGAGGTATAAGATGGAGATAGAGATGGATATAGATATAGAATAGAGGTATAGATCAACGCTTCCTGGCTACCCAGTGCACTGGTCTGTACATGTTCAGGAGCATGCTGTCCGGGTCCTGTATATAGCCACAGCCGCCTATATCAGCCTCAGTCTTCTCAACCGTAAAGCCCATCGTCTCGATCAGGGCTAGGACTTCATCCTGTGACAGCTCGACCACTCCTGGGTCACCGATCCCTTCGCCCTGCCCGCCTTGTCCGTGTCCATGACCGTGTCCGTGTCCATGGCTATGGCTGTGCTCATACTCCTTCTCCAGGTCGTCGTCGCCCGGTGCATGTGCGGAGGCGGCTGCGTCCACACCTCTACCAGCAGCCGACGGGGCAGGCCGGTCTTCGAAATGCCACAGCAGTGGACCGACGTTGGTCCATATCCCCCCCGGCCGTAGACAGTGGTGCACCGTCTGGATGTACCGTATCAGGTTCGGTGCAGTGTCGATGAAGAACACCGTCGCCACGGCGTGGAAGGCGTCCCTGTTCGCATCTTCATTGTACAGCAGCAGGAAATCCGCGGCAGTCATGCTCATCGATCCCCTCATCTTCGTCATCTCCTTCTTGTCATTCTCGTAACCCTTCACGGCAGAGCCAGGGTGCACATCCGGGATCAGCACTTTCTTGAACTGCTGCTCGCGTGTCCGCAGGTTCGAGAAATGCAGCACAAACGGATATACCGCACACTCTTCCTTGCGTTGGGTCCGGTTCAGCACCCAGCTGCTGGTCACCAGCTGATGGTACGAGATCTCGTTCCCTTCCGCCTCGAAGCCTGCCATTGCAGTATCGAAGACCAGCCGTCCCAGCCCGGCACCGGGTATAAGTAACCTGGTACCTGGCGCGGGCTGCTCACCAAATTCAGCCTGAAGATCCCGCATGACAGGGCCGTAGCATGTCTCTCTCTCCTCTGCACCTGCAGCACTCCAGTCGCGGTAGAGCTGGCGGATGGCCGAGTTGGCTTTACTCACGTCTGATGATGTGGCGGTGTCATGCCAATTGACGTCTCTTGCTCGTACCAACGCCTTCGCCTGTACCTGGGCCTGGGCCAGTGGGTTTCGAGGAAGCTGAAAGGCATCTAGAGCTGAATCGAGGATTGCTTCTGCCACTTCGGCGTTGGCATCGATAGCAGCGTCGACCTTGTCGAACGTCTCGAGCACGCTGAATGGCGGGGCAGCGAGTGTTTGCCAGTGCAGCGAGGGCAGGGCGTAAAAGGATTGACGCCGTCGATGGGTGACATTTCGATGTGCAGAGCGGCGGTATTGTCTATATCTTGATTAGCATACGTTATATCGTATATTATATCATTGTATGATCGATGCGGGGATCAATATCAGCCATCGACGTACCTGAACGAATCCAAAGACGCGAACAGCACCCTTCGCTCCTCTGGATCAGCAAAGGGATCAAATGCACCGCTCCATTCTTCCTCGTCCTCGTCTTCCTGCGGGCGTGGAGGAGGTTGAGCTTGTGGCGGCTGTTTCTCGTCAATCCCACCACCAGGCGCTTGCGCTTCTCGACTGCTCATTGCATCACACTGGGGACCGTTCCAATCGTATTATTGCGCAGCTCGATGGCCTGCCCGGTTGGTGGTGAGCTCTATAGTGAATGGAAGCCGAAGTTCGTCAGTCGAAGATGTTGATACGGTCACATGGTCACTTCATCGACCTTGATATCTTCATCTTGATATCTTCAACTTCAGCTTCATATCATCAGTAACAGCAGAACAGTAGCTACAGATACGATGGCTGCTCCACGCCAGTCGCCCGCTCTCACACCGATCGAACTGTCCTTCCCGCTGCCCAAGTCCTCGCATACGAACCTGCATATACACTTGACCTGTCTCGCTACATCGACACTCATCTTCCTGACGACGACCGCGCTCGGCGACTCAAACGTTGCTAGACCCATGGGTAGCTTTGTCTACGCCATGCCCGATGTATGGACCGTTCTCTCTTATCCTTTCTTATACCCCTGGCGTGTCTCGTTCGTTTTTAAGCCCTTCCCCGTGTCGATATCAATATACAATATACAAACAGTCCCGCCTTGGACAGGGGATTCAATACCCAACGTCCCCTGCTGCTATTCCCTTGACCCAACCTGAGGCGGCTGGCAACAACAGTTCTTTTGTTGTGACCCTTAATCTCTCAATCCACTCGTTCGACCGTCTATCATGAAGCCAGAAATTATGAGAAAAAGGAAAAAAGAAAAGAAACTAACCAACTGCCCGCCCGATCTTCCGATCCCGCGCTGTTGTATCTCGAATTACAGAACTCAAACCAAAAATCTACAATCTGCTCAACGCTCTATTCATCTCCCGCGAGCATAGACTATGCAACGCGCACGGCCCGGATCCTGGCTCGTCGAATGAATATTCCCGTCTATGTTGGCTGCAGCGCCGATTTCTCTGGGATGATGGTCGAGGAGGAGACCGAAGGCCTGGCCAAGGTGGTCAATACCATCATGGCAGAGTGGGAGAAGTAACATATCAAAAAATAGGATCTGGTTGAGTTGTCATAATTGCTTTGGCAGGATTAAACGAACGCGGGGGCTCCCTTTTTCTTTTCCTCTTGCCGTCTATATGATTCCTTTTCACCTCTTCATCATCCAGTATTGCTTCTTACAAAAAGAAATAATGTTATTTTGGAGAACTTCGTGCGGATTCTCCGTATATATCACGAACTGGTTGGTGTAATGTCGTGTTACGGAAGGAGCAGAGGCCACCCCCAATATCGGCACAAAAGATACAGGAGGGCTGCATCCTGCATCTCCGGAGGCATCGCGACCGCGACAAGTAAAAAGCAAAACGGGCCAAGGAGCGGGAGGAGAAAAAGAAATGCGTTGATGAGGATGAGACGCAGGTGAGTTGGCCTCTCCTCACTCCTTCAGACGGGTTCATTTGAACGTGCGAGGTATCCTGTACGGAGTACAAATTGCTCTATTCACAGATGCAACTGAGTTGCTGCTATTCAGATGTATATACGGGCGGGTATGCGTGGGTCTGCCAACGGTCAGTTAAGCTGACAGGTCATCAACTCAACGGTGAAACCAAAAATCCCACGCGATATTGCCGTCTAACCCTATTCTACGGGTGCAAATCCCATAGACAGAGGACATCATCTCGAACTGCGTAAAAATGAGCTGTCTCATTGTGATCAGCACATCCCGGAGACGCAAGACAAGACACTGCAGGTGCGGGTGCAGGACGCTGGCCTGGCGCAGGCGCAGGCCTAGCCATGGTCATGGGCTCATTTCATTTGGGCGGACATGCGGCTGGTTGGGAACAACGCCGCGGAAAGTTGGCCGCCTTTGAGCCTTTTAGGGCGATCTCATTGTTTGATGGCGCGATGGCGTTCGACTCTGCGTGACAATTGGTGGATATCAGAAAATATCCCAAATTTTGACAGGGTAGGTATGAAGTTGACAAACAAGTTGCAACTCATCCATTCATCCATTTTGCCATGTCTATACAAGGCTGAAGTCACAATTTAGTTTCCCGTCACGAGAGTTCTTCGGCGTTAGAGAAAGTACATGGGTACCCTCCGCCGTCCGTATAGTGCTAATATGTTGGACTTCCATTCAACCGACGCCGGATAAGGACGCTATTATTAGTGCGCTCCACCCTCTCTAGCCACATACATATATACCCGCAGTAATATCCGTGCTAATCACGAAGCATAAGTAAACTCCGTATAATGGGATATTTCCCTTGTGGGTGCAGATCCTTCAACAGGGAATATCCAACATCCTAAATGAGAAGAGCTGCCCGATATCATATTAGCAAGAGAAAAAAAAAAGCTCTGGCGCGTTGCGCTATCCATGCCGTGAAATGTGTTCACACAGCAACTGAACTACTCAGCTAAGCGGGTACCTTCCGCGCTAGTTTTAATCTCGCTAATCGTTAATCATGCAACTGGCGTCGGCTTTTTTTCGATTTGGGCTTTGATCGCCAGCGTGGGATGTTCCTGATAGAAGCGAGCGAAGATGGGCTTCCATGAACGTAAGGATAAAATACCGCGCATCGGTGTACGTACTCCGTGCGACTACGACGACCGGGCGGATCAACATGGCGAGAACTAGATCATCCTGCAAGTGTGGAAGGTTATACCGGGCAAGGGCGAGTCGGGATCTGGGTTCTTACGGTTAGATGCCGAATGGCCTGACCAGAGATACGGAGTTCTGCAAGAGGCAACGTATACACAGTCAAGTTACATGATCCTCTACTCCGGAGAGCCACCAGAGCCCTTGCCCTCCAGCGTAGCAGACGCAGTAGCATGTATGCAAGGACAAGGAGCTACATGCGGGTTTTCGATAGCGTTCAACCTATGCGCTGTACTATATTAATTAGTTGAGGATGATTTCACATGGGAGGGGTTGGAGAGGGGGGACGATAATATAAAAAATGTACCCGTATATGCATGGAAGAACGTATAGGTGTGAAAATCCGAGCGGCGTCATCCTAGTGATGGCGACCCTCGTCCCCATGTCCGCAAATTATCCAAGGGCTAGAGAGGCATGGGTATAAGTTTTTTTGCTTATTTTTTGCCCTTTCCCTTCCTGTTTTTGTTTTTACAGGCTCTTTTCCTTTTCTTTCAGAGTTGGTCCCTGGATTTGTTTAGATTGAAATTTGGAAGCCGGATAAATGAGCACGGGCCTCGAGAGCGGGAAGTCTTTTTCGCGCCACTACCACGGCACACGGATCCAGCAAGCCTGGTAGGTCCCTGGCGCACCACAGGAAGTTACACATGTGAGACGAAAATTGATTGTGCTTCGTATATCCTTCGTGACTGGGGACGATGTCTCCTCGGATCTCTTAACGACCGTTATCGCCAAGGATGGGCCTCCATAAAGCATGAGCATGGAGAAAGCTAGCGGGCGATACTTTCTTTTCGATGTATTTTCCGAAGCGGGGAGCGGCATACACTCTCCCTCGTATAGGAAAAGCTGGCGAGAACGAAATGCTTCTCGGAGCGTAACCGACGATGCGCCAAGATGGGATATGTATCTGGTGGCGACCAGGTCCGTTAAACCTTTCCCCAGGCCCCGGGGTGAAGTTTGTTTGTTGGACGGTGGAGACCCTTTTTGGGTGTGTATAGTGTCGGGAAGTGCATTACATCATATAATATATGTAGGCACGTAATAGTGCAGCCGAAGAACGAACATGGGTTGGCCTGCGATCGGTTAAAAAGGGGAATTTTACATCGTCGCCAATTTCCATTTTAGCCGGCTCGATCTCACACTGACGCTGGCCCCGGCCGTGCAATCTGCTGCTACCCATGGCCCGCAAACTTTGCACTGTGGAGGGGTTGAGCGTTAGTGGACGATAAAGCTGGAGGATGCCCGCATCTAGTCCAATAGCGAAGCGAGCGACAAATCACCGAACGGATTCAGCTATCAGGCTGGATGTACGGAGTACCATACCGGCGACAAGGAGATTCCAATTGGCGGAGGGCCGGTTGTGTTTTTTTTGGATGCTGATTTTCTTCACGGCTTGTTTCATCGTGAAAAGCTTTGCCAGAACCACCTTAGCCTCCTTGGGCCGTGGAACCGCCTCTCCACGGTTGGGAATAGGCTTCGGCGGACGTATATAATTTCAATCGTCGGCGCTGCTCGTGAAGCGATGCGATAGTAGCGAGCTCTGGTGTCGATCATGGTTTCAAGACAGTGACCGGCGGGTGTATTTTTATCGTTTGCAAATGACTCTTGTACATCTAGGAGCACGGCGGCCAATAAGGATCCTTTCGTACTTCTTCATACCGTATCGAGCTGCAAAGCATCGTGGGTAGATGATATGTAGATGTATGTAGATGTAGATGTAGGTGTAGATGTAGAGACGAGAGGGTGAGGTCTGATATTTCCCCTTCTGGCCGTCATGTGAGCGACTTCAACCTCACCTTCAACTTCGACTTCAACGACTTCAACTTTGACATGATATCTCGAACGCCATGAACTTCTGGAATCCCGTCAGAAGCCCAGGGTAGAGCTTGTACGGCAGCACCCTGAGGCTTGGCCCGGCTGCTATCCGGCTCAGCAGGGTACCGGGTTCAAATCTCATCTCCTCCGTCTCTATACAGATACATATATAGACGACGATACAGGGAGCACTGCCGGCGCCTGTGCTGCTGCCCTGAATGCGAATGCCGTCTCCGCATCCTTTTCCGTGAGTCAGGACAACTCAAGGGCCAGTGATCCAAGGACAGAGCTCCTCGCTACTGGACGATCCCTCCTGCATGGCGCTGACGGCCGATGATCTGAACACCCTCCATCAGCCAGGCAACCTCCTCCGCGATGCACGCCGCTCCCAGTACTCCGTATACATACAAAACAGTTGGGCACACCACCAGCGTTTCCATGTGGTTTCACTGCCACAAATGACTGTCGCAACTAGCGTGGAGACGGAACCACTCTGCAACTGGCCAATCCCGCCGGCGCCCCTCTGGATGTCGCCCTACTTGGCGGGCGCTCTAATTTCGGCTCAGCCTGGGTTAGGGACTTTAGGGCCCCTAGGAAACCAGGTCTTCCGCGACAAGATGGGGCCGGAGCGCGCTCGATGGCCGTGGAACCTCGGGCCCAAGCGAAAAATATACCCGGCTCGTACATATACACTTACATACATGCTGGCTGCGGTTGCGGCAAGTGGCCTCCTCGGCGTGCGGCCTTTTACCCTCATCGTTCGTTGGGGCCCAGGCGCAAACCAAGCGAGATGGAGCCCGTGATTTGATCAAGCTGCCACTGGATAGTAAATCGTTTCAAAAATCGCCATACTATGTAATACGAGGTTCAAAGCGCATTGTTCAGGGTGCCTTCAGCCTTTGCAAATAGAGTTGGATTCCTCGCAGTCTAGCCGTCCGCCTCCTTCGCCTGTGGAACTGACAGCCGCATGCGCAGTATGTAACAAGCAGACTGTCCCAGGTTTCAATCAACACCAACCATCTCAGTTCCTGACCCCAGCTTTTCCTTTCCCTGGCCCAGTCTCCTGTTGGGGCGATTCCCACTTGAAATCAACCACCATTTAGCTTGGGAGCCTGAGATCTCCCCACGAAGTTTCCACCACCGTCTGCCCGTGAGACACGGAAACGTAGTTTTTCGAATCCTCTTTGCTCCCTTAACCCGAGAAAAAATACAGGCCGCCTGAGTTAGCGTTGTCTTAAGGCAGCTGATAGCTTGCTCTTGGGTTGAAGTCCGCTCTTTGAGTTTCAAATCAGGTACGGGGTTTAACTACCCACGAGCCACACGACAGGAAATCTCGTGAGATCTACGATATTATCCTCGGCACTCTTTCCAACTGCTCGGAAGATTCCTATCTGTGGGGTGCATTTGCGCCATACCGGCACGCAACGCTTTTCTGGAATAGCATCCGACACAATGAGGGCTTTGGACCCCGCGAATTGACTTCAGCTCGTCCATATATTCCCGGCCGTCGGCATTAAGGCCGCATCTTGTTGAGCCCCCCCGGTACAAAAAGACATCGGGCCTTACGACCTACCCAAACGAGCATATTTGATATCAGAGCCGCCTGGGGTTGAATGGCTAGCATCGTTCGAGACTTACGCCTTGGATTGTATCAATAGTAGACGGAATGCTACGGTGCTCTCACTTGACAAAGCCTTTATTCTGCTGAAATTTGCGATTCTGCATCCAAACCAGGCGAGATATTCAAAATGCAGAGACAGCAATACCCTCCTCCACCTCCACGGAACCAACAAGGTGGTTACTACGCCTCATCGCCTGTTTCTTCCATCAGCTCTACCTCGACTACCGCTCAACGACCTCCATCAGAGCCCAGTTGTGGCTCCACACCTCACCGCGGCCCCAGCAACGGGCTCAAAATATCCAATCTTCTCTACACGTCTGCTCCTCACGGTCAACAGATGCCGATGGGTGCCGTATATCACCAGCCGTATGAGTATCCGCAAATGTCACACGGGGAGCGGCCTGGTTTGTTGCTCAGTCCGCTTCATAATGGTTCAATGTCGGATGCCTCGAGCACTGCAGGTCATATAGTATCAGCAGTCCCCCAGCAATCACACAAGCGGGCTTATAGGCAGCGGAGAAAGGACCCCAGCTGCGATGCTTGCCGTGAAAGAAAAGTAAAGGTGTGGAATTACAAATGTTATGCTACAAATATCGACAGGACATGAGCTAATTATTGAATAGTGTGATGCTTCAGATTCCTCGAGCTGTACTGAATGCTCGAACCGCAATGTTAGATGCCTTTTCACAAAGGAAACAAACCGACGCATGTCCTCTATAAAGTTAGTACCCGAACGACCCTTTCTTACCCTGTTTTCATATCTCTGATAATATCAAAAAGACAAGTTCAAGATCTTGAGAGACAACTTGCCCAAGCAAAGCTCCAGCTACAGCAACTACGCTCTGGAGTCACCAAAACCGATAGTGTCATGGACCCCGATTACGACGTTAACGAGGATATGCCAACAATCCCAGAGATTGGATGTAAACCTCTGCGTCTCAACACCCCGAACGTGAACTATGACTACTCTCGTGTATGCTCTAAGATGCGACAGTACGGTCAAGGCCTTATCCATTTCCCGCAAACGCCATACTTCCTCCGACCGCAACCTATTCTGGGTGCGGACGTACCTCCTCTTCCGCCGACCAACATTGCACATGTTCTTATGAGGCACTACTTCTCATGCGTTCACTGTCTATATCCAGTCCTCCACTGGCCTACCATTCTACACGTCTACGAGAGAGTCCATCAAGCTGGCACACTCCAGGGCGTTCCACGAGGATGGGCAGCTGTGTTTTTTGCCCTCCTCGGCTGTGGATCTCTGCACTCCCTCGATCCCGATTTAATTGCTAAAGGCAAGGAATATATCAAGACTAGCATGGGCTTGATCGATCTTTGGCAAGACACTTTTTCGATTGAACAAGCCCGCGGCGCAATGCTAGTAAGTATATATTTGTCCGAACTTAATATCAACTCGGTCAGCTGGGTATGGCTTGGATCTGCAGTGCGGATCGCCCAGGACCTTGGGTTCCATATGGAGTCAGGCCCATGGGAGCCGATGGACGGTGAAATGAGGAAGCGTGTCTGGTGGTCAATCTATTCGTGGGAAAGGTTAGTGTTAAAGCCTGCTTATCCTCTTTTTTAGGCAAGTGAATCTGACAATATACAGACTTAGCGCCTTAGAACTTGGCCGACCACTTGCGATTAACGACGATGACTGTGACATTGGCCTTCCATCCTCCATCGAGGAGCAACTTATCCCGGAAGGTGACCATACCTCATCAGAACAAAAATCAAATCCTTTACTCGTCATCGTCCACATAATGCGCTGTGTATCTCAGCTCACCAAAGCCCTCAAGAGTTCGGTTATATCCAGTGATACGCTAGAGCTATTTGATCGCCATTTTAGGATGTGCCTTAACACCTTCCCGGCGGATTATCACATGCAGTCAAATCAATATCTTGACCCCCGGTCACTTTCCCCAGTGATAATCCTTCAAAATACGCGACTAGTGTTGCACCGTCATAATCTTTCTCCCGCTTGCCCACCGGAGACCAGGAGCGTCGCCATGAATCACTGTTTGGCAGTTGCACGCGATACGACTGGCATTCTAACCCGATGCATGCGTTCCCCGACATCTGCGGAGCCTGGTAGCCCATCTAAAGCAAATGGGGATGACTGGCGCTATCTCCTAGCCGCAGCAGCCACTTCTGTGATCTGCAAACATATATGGCGATGCATCTTACTGCTGTTATGCCGAGCGGATTACGCGGCCGCTCTCGTATGTATCCAAGCCTCCTCCGCCATTGGGGATGCCAGAGCAGCAAACGTCGCTTCGGGTCGATACATTGCCTTCTTTCTAAAATTTCTACTTGAGAAGCAGCAAAATGGCAACTCCCTAAGCATCGAAGAAGACGAAGAATTAATGGCCTATGTGTCTGGTGACCTCCAAAGTTCGATGGATAATTCTTGGGTTTGGAGGGCCACTAGTCCCAGCTCTGCCTTGGACCCAAACACGAAATCTCCCTCTACTACATCAAATTCATCAAACGCACCTTTTAAGTCGGAGGCGGTGGAGAATGCTCGAACAGATGTGAACCCCGAGGAAAAAGCTCCAGAATGGGAAGGGTGGGCCTGGGTTGAAACGGTAACGCAACGCTTACTGTCAGAGCAACAGAAGAAGCAGCAGCAGCTTAATCCCGCCCCTGTCAATGGCGTGGAGACTCCACGCTTGGACCATCCAGTTTTAAACGGCATTAATACTTCCTGCCGCCCACCGGAGCCAACCAACAACCCATGCCAGAAGAGTAATATCTCCAAGATGACAATCGCAAACATTATATGACAGTATTGCGAGCAACACGACGCCGTGCCTCCGCTCTCAGTCTCAATTCCGACGGAGTTATATCACCAGCAGCACGCCTCTCTTGCTGCAGCTTGTGATATGACTGACATTGCAAAGTGACTTTAGTTTGTCTTGAACACCCGACAGCGAGGTCACTATATCTAAAATGCTGATGAAAAGTACAATCATCGCTATATTTTCCCACGCCATAAAAGAAACGAGAGTTCGACGGGCAATGGGTTAATGAAATAACGAATGTACCAATGATACCCATCTAAAATAGGACCTTTATTTATTAGAAGTTTTAATAATCTCAACTGATCTCAACGATCACGTTTTCGATTCTTTTTCAATTGGCATTGTTTATTGTATTTTATTCAGATGGAGGTAATAGACAGACTGTAGTGGAGTCTGTGTCCTAAAAAAATACTCATATATCATTTTCAAGTCTCCAGATTGATGCTTTTTCCAAATCGTGCATATAGGGAAATCTTTAACTCTTGCGCTTCCTCCTTCAGCGCTGCTAGCTTCTCTTCTATTTCGGACACCTCCTTTTCGATTTTCTCCGTAGACGCTGCAAGCATATCCTGGGCCTCAGACAAGGGTAGCGACATGAACGAGTCGCCGATTTTGTATCTGCTATTTTATTAGTGACCATGTACTAGAGGTTCCCTTTCCATATATTGGGTATAGTAGAAAAGACTTACGGGACTGGAACGTCTTCATCAGCCAAGTCGAGCTCTGCAGAAACTTCCTCGAGGTCTTCCTTGTCCTTCTATATCATGATATAATTGCGTTAGCCCCTCATTTTTTATTGTATACTTCAATTCCAATCAAACAAGACCCTAAACGGCAAAAACAGAATTGCAAGAGGAGATATAATGTAAATATCAAATCATTGGGACCGATATACGTGCAACCAGGGATATATTCATCGACACGTCGGTGGGGGGTCTGCTAAATGAGTTTGATATACGTACCATTTTCGCCTTCAGCTGTGCCTCCAACACAGCCTCTCGCTGATGTAGCCGGCTAAAGCGGTTTATCTTTTCCTGGTCTTCACGACGGACTTCTGTTTCTTCGCTGCCTGTGGCCTCATCGTCCTTGGAGAGCTAATGGGTGGGTGTCAGTGAGGGCTCGGCAACCGGTTACAGTTTCGCGGGCAAGAGTTGTATATTTACCATTCGACGCTGAAACATCTTGATGTGCGGTGTATTGGTGTTCTCTATAAGCTGCCTCCTAATTAGGTGTGTGCGGTGGCTGCGAGAATTTTTTTAGTCTGCTATGTTGCTGTCGTTGAATATCAAGTGAGGGCCACAAGGATGGTCGAATCTAAGCGGTTTTGTCAAACAAGCCCACATCGATAGCACCGACTGGCTAAGATGCACCAAGTGCAACCTGATACACCTAAGAAATGCTTAATTAATGTAATCCACCGCGATTATCTACAGATCTTATAAAAATACCCGGATGATTGTCGACGAGGTAACCCCAACTCTGCAAATCTAAGAATACATCCATATAAATGTTCAGCCGGCATCTACATCGCTTATCAGCCAACTGTATACATCCAGTTTGCTCCTATACGAGATATAAACCTGCCCTGGCGCCTCTTTGCATCGGGAGGCAGCAGCGTGAAGACATATCACGTGACATGTCCTTAAAAATGGATGATGCAACGCCAGAAAGGCCGAAAGTCCACCTGGCACGACTTGACGATTTCATCCCGGACAGCCTCATCTTCCGCCACGAAGCCGCTATCAGACTTCACGGAGCGTCTCGCCGTCTCTACTCGTTTTGTTTGCTTTGATCTTCTATTTTGCCCGCCAGGTCGCCGGTCCGGAGTAACCGGGGCGAGCATCCGTGTGACGTTTTGATATAGAGCTGAGCTTGGGCTGCAGCTTTCTGTTTACCACAACAGCGACAGCAACAATGGCGAGACACCAGGGACTGTCTGTCCTGTCACTACTTGCGCTCTTTTCCACATTCGCGTCTGCAGATCTAGACTGCACTCATATCAAAGTTGACGGGGTATCGTGGGATCTCAGCAAGCTTGGGGGTGCTCACGCGCTCTCAGAAATCACCGGAGACTTCAATACAACATACACCCTCGATATATGTAAACCGTTAACCAAGTCTATGTGTAAAAAGGGAGCTTATGGTTCGTCTATCTCTATTCACCACTCAACCATGTTCCCGTCTTGCGGCTAGTTCGCTGGGGATATAACAAGAAGAGTATCGCTTTTACTAATACTTTATATTTACGCGGAATCTAGTCTGTGGCGTCAGAAATGCGACCGATGTAAATGGCATAGAAAGGACCATGGATATTTATAATATTGCAGGCAACTTTGTTCTCGACAGCGGCAAAACGCTCGATCCTATATTTACACGGCTTAAGAAAGACAACCCAGAGAAAGAAGGCCTACGGATGGAGCTACATGGTGGTAAACACCCTTTCAAGAAGGAAGGAAAGAACCAGAAGGCAGTTTTCAACTTTCTGTGCGATCCGGAGCGAACTGGGCTAGAAGGGTTGACGGATGCCAAACCGGAGAGTGGTAATAAGGACGAGGACAAGAAGGGTGATGACAAGAAAGGTGACGATAAAAAGGGCGACGATAAGAAGGGCGATGATAAAAAGGAGGGCAAAGAGGAGGGCAAGTCCCGGAAACGGGAGGAAGACAGCTCAAAGAGCCTACAGTTGAAGGGCTACAACCAGGAGGAGGGTGTTTTGAACCTTGAGTGGAGGACAAAGTATGCTTGTGAAGATGTGGAGGGCGGCGGTGGTAATAAATCATCGGGTCACTGGGGATTCTTCACCTGGATGATCGTTCTGTAAGTTCTGTCCTTCTACCCACCCCTGTCATATCTATAATAGGTGTGACTCGACAGCTAACGCGCACTGCCATTCACAGACTCTTCCTATGCACATCGGCTTACCTCATATTTGGATCCTGGCTCAATTACAGCCGGTACGGAGCTCGCGGGTGGGATCTACTCCCTCACAGCGACACCATCCGTGATGTCCCATATATCCTAAAGGACTGGGCTCGGCGGGTGTTAAACACTCTCCAAGGAGGCGGTACCCGAGGAGGTTACAGTGCAGTGTGATTGTGCTCATTCCTCAGGAGACCGGGGCGCTACCATGACCTTTATTTTCCCCTAAATCTGAACAAGGGCTGTATATCTACGTTCTTCGACTTGTACCTTTTCCGTCTCGCCCTTGTGACTAACCTTGTTTCAAGAACGGGTAGTATGGCTTGTCTTTTGAGGTTAAATGTCCTTCTATCCTCCATCACTCACAATTTTTCCGTTAGATCGCACCGCCTATTTATTTTCACTATAATTTATTTAGTTCATTTTTCTTGGGAGCAGGTGGCGCTCTTGCTAGCTCTACCCTTACCTGTTTAGCTGGATGATTTTTCTTCATTGCCGGTGCTTTTGGGTGTCTGTCCTCTGTTTCATATACTTTCCCCATGATATCAAACAGCTTCGGTCGCCGTCTCCGATTATACGTTGAGGAATGCCTTGCCGTGGAACCCTCGGTGGGATACATTCGATATGCTGTATGGGTTATATAGCTAAAATTCTATATACTATTTATGCTTTAACACATGCTCCCAGAGCTACTTGATAAACCCTTTGTTTGCTTTTGAGACATCAATAATAATAGCCAGTGTATTATCTAGTAGAGTATAGCACATGATAAGGTACACACAATGCAAGATGCTGTGGCATGCTGTGCCTGAAAACTCCGTTCCCGAACTCGTCCCATCAAACCATACATAAATGATGCACTCTATAAGTATACTCCGACAACCTTTTAAGATATGTTTGGAGTAGCCATAGAGGGATAGCCATATAAGACCATAAATAGTAAGCTATAAATAACCCGATAAATAAGGAAATATTAGCCAGGGCATCACTATGCGTGTTAAACTGTTTGGCACGGGTGCTTAAATCCGTTACCCCAGCTCTTACATCACTGAGGCGTTAAAGTTATATCTTCGTGGCAAATTTCTTCAGGTATCGGTAATCCGCCATGTTCCGGTCAACGGCCGAGCGAATAATCTTCGCTCCTTTCTCGCCATACTTCTCCTTCCACTCGGCGTCAAATTCGGCTTCAGTCTTTGCTGCTTTCTTCTTATTGGAGACAGAAAGATATGTTAATATATAAATGTCTGAATGTAGATTGCCAGCTTGCTGGTTTAAGTGCTTTCTGGATATCTTCTTGGGAATCACTTACGTGGGCTCTAGGACGGAGGCACTTGGAGCCAAGTGCATCATCATGGAAGCCATGCCATTTTGCAAAGGCATCGTTGGCAACCTGCTGGTCTTTCTCTGTGGGCCACTGAAGCATGTCGGGTGTATATTCCTCACCCACGCTCTTGCAGAAACGTTCGATGACGGCCGAGGGGTTGTCAAGGAGGTCGTCTGCGTCGACCACGCAGATTTCAACCTTATCTGGGCCATCGGGGTTGGTCATGGCACCATTGGTCCCGTTTGTGCCATTTGTCACATTTGCAGGGGCAGTATGGACTGTAGACGCATGGTATGGGCCGACATACTGTACTTTACGGAGGTAGTCAAACAGCCGGCGTAATTCGTCATATCCAGATTCGTTCTCATAGAACTCATAGAACCCCGTGATATCATCCAGTGGTGGGATTGTGCAGCGGTAGTACGATGGGATACTGTAATGTGGATCACGAATCAAGAAGGCGAAGTGAAATTTCGAGAGCAACTCCAGCGGGACAACGGTTGGGTTATCAGATTCCGCGCTTGAAGAGCCCCCGTTTGTACGGTGTGGCGTGTCAGTGGGCAGGACTCCGGCTCCATTCGATGCCACACCGTTAGAGGAGCTGCCGTTGCCATTCATATCCGTACCGATTCCACGTTTTGGTATCTGAAGCGAGGCTACTCGCGTTGCTGGTTCTCCGTCAGGTGGCATGATGTAGTATGCCATATCCTTGATGAAGAGTCGTTTCCCCTATATGAGAAGGTGAGTATTTTCGCAGTACGAGGTAGCCTATGAAGAAACCGCCGTGGGTACATTGCGGAGCAGATAGGGATAACATGGCCAACTTTCTCGAAACGAGGTCTCTTAGATGGAACATTCAATGGATGGATATGGGCGTCACATGGATCGGTGCTTGACAGAATATAGTGTATATCCTCATACGGGTTTTCAAACGTAGGGAAGGCTTGGAGGTATTCTCCAGGCAAACACGGTGATTTATCCAGCTCAAGGAACTGGGGGTCCATGTATTTGGAAGTAATATGGATGGGTTGAAAGAGAGTAGAAGAAGATATGAAACGCATGAGAAAAGCAAGGTGGTGGCCGCGATTTTCTCAATGGCAGGGAAATGAATCACACCTCAGATGCTTCTCTGTCAAAGCGGTCAAAAATAGTCTTGTACGTTGACTGGTCGAAGCCGGTTTGAATCCTGGCTTCCTCGTCGTCATCATATCTGCGACTAAGTCTTTCAGGTCCGTAGTAAAAGGCATCACCGAGCGGTTCGTGGATGCATTTCAAAGTATCATGGCGAGTCATGAAGACCTGGTTTGAGGAAAAGTTAAGCACTATCTAAGGAGACAAGGAGAAGACGGTGGTTACTCTTTCAAAGGCCGTAGAACATGCTCGGGGATGAGTAGCCACGAAGATTGAGCGTTTAGCCATGGTAAAGTCTGTAGAGAAGATCCAGGTGTATTCAGGCGGAAAATAACAGACGAAGAGAACGGCTGTCAATGGTAAAGAGAAGAAAAGGGGAAAAGTTCCACGTCAGGGTCCAGCAGAGAGATTTTTATATGAAGCCTGCAAAGGGGTGCAAGCCACCGTGCTTAGTTTGTCTGAAAGCGGCAATCAGCAGAATCAAACCGCCAGCCAAACAACACAACGTCACGCAAAAAGAAAATGAAGCGACGACTCGGCTCGAGGGAAACAAGGGATATCGGAAGGGTATATATATATATATATCTCAACAAGCTGGGTGAGTTTTGGCCGCTTCCCATGTTACTAACGTGGCATCCGTTCAGTGAGGGCCTCCGGAATGACGTTGACACGGAATGATAGGATCAACTTCTGCCTCTGATTGAGCAGAACGAGGAATTAAATCTCTGCTACCTCGAACCTGATCCATGGAACCTTCGCTAACAGCTGTAGGGGCCGCGCTCTCTCCATATTTTCTTGCCCTTGCTCCATCTCGATACTTTTCCATGACACATTCTGTGGACACCAAATGAAATGAACGCCATGAAAAACGTGGATTGAGTTCGACTCTGGATAGGAACCAGCCTGGAGGGTTTCCCGTTCTATTGCCACTCACGATATCTGTACGAAGGGAGGGAGGAAGCGCAGGTTCCGAGATGCACCAGAGAGCCTCGAACTGCACCGGGTGGAAGCAGGCGCTTAGTGCCACCAGAAGGACCTGTTTTAGCCAAACAGCTCGACGGCCGCCTGATCCGCCGCCCCTGTTTTGCTGCATCATACACTCTTGCATAAACTCTTGCATCATAAACCCTGGGGCGATGGAACCATGGGGGGTACAGTTCCATTCCTCGCCATGAACGATGGGCCTCGGTGTATACCCGGGTAGAGCTACTGATAACAACATAGACCAGTCATGACGGGTCAATGTATAGCTACTTGCACGTCGAGTCGGTTACTAATAAGGATTGCTTGTTACGATATCCAAGGCTAGGCGGCGGTTCCATTCATACTCATCCAGTCCAATTGATCGTTTCCCCCGCCAGCTATGGAGACATATAGCGAGAATTGGCCCATCCTGCTATGCAGCATGGGTATCTGCCTGTTATCCCGCATTCTCAACGCTAAATGCTGATGGCATGCCAGCTCTCCAACTCTTCTTCAACTCTTCAAGTTTTTCACTTTATATAACTAACTCGGAGGAAAGATCTTCCATAACGTGATGACTAATCGTGACATCATAGAGGAAATACCTGAAGCGCGACTTCTAAGACTATAACATGCCACCATGATATCACTCTAGGGAGAACTTCGGTCTGGTGGAATGATAGTCCCATTATCTTTGATAAGCATGATACAGTTAAGCTCACAAGAACGGATGTGAGCGGAAACTATCTTTGGGATTTCATACGGCCATGACGTACCAGTGGGCTTGGAGACATCCCATACGGGATCTAAGTTATCGTCGCTCTCCGTGGCCTTCTAAAATTTAGAGGATCTCTAATTGTCAGTTTAAGACGACAAGCTTGAGGTTGAAATAACATTAAACTTGCGCCCTCGATGTTAACTGAGAGCGTTTCACGTTTGTGCCTGAAGCGCTGTTTCACAACATTGCCGTTATACTTCCGTTCCCCTCTGATTTGGTCTTATTGAAACAATCATGATGGGCGGCATATTCGGGCTGCAGTCCTGTCCCATCCAGATATTCAGGAATAGGTGCTATGAAGAACATGGTCCCATTATATGGGAATCGGAATACCGGAATAAGGATTCACCGGATGACTAAGATGACATCATAACTCTCTATGCCAAGATATGCAAGAAGGCGCTGGACAAGGCGCGAAACCACCACAAGGCTCACGATGCGCCCTTAATCAATGGTGGTCTGATACGATGGTCTGATGCGCCGCCTTGGGGTATATATACGTTGCCTGATACTGATCTTTGTGATGTTTTGATCTCTTTCTCAAGGAACACTACTGAACACACGCTACCACATCGATCCGGGCTCTTTACGATCCCACCAACGGCTAACCGCCACTGTTTTTACACAACAGATCTAGATTCGATACACACCAGAACTATTCGACTGCGACGCCGCAATGGCACCCAGTCGCGAATCATTCACAGACAGAGCGTACAACGCTATAGAGAAGGCAGCAGATGAAGCAGAAGAACATGGCCACCCGCAAGTGGTACCCGCCCACCTTGCCTATGTGCTCATAAACGGAGACGACGAGGAAGGGCAAGACACCGTGCCGCTCTTCAAGCAGGCTATTGAAAAGGCCGGTGGAGATGGAGACTCGGTGATTCGATTCCTGAAGAAGACCATCGTCCGCCTACCCGCCCAGTTTCCCGCCGTCTCCCAAGTAGCAGTCTCCTCGGCCCTCACCGAGATCATGGCTGCAGCATACAAACTATCCAAGAAGCAGAAGGATTCTTATGTTGCAATCTACCACCTTATTTCCGCCCTTGTGCAGGACCGAACCATCGAACAGGGTCTCAAAGAAGCCGGCGTTCCAGATATGAGCAAGATCGACCAGGCTCTAACGGAACTGCGAGGCTCGAAGAAGATCGATAACAAGACCGCAGACTCGACAGACGGCGGCAACGAATGGCTGAAGAAATTTACTGTTGATATGACGGCCTTGGCCAGGGAAGGGAAAATCGACCCCGTCATTGGCCGAGAGGAAGAGATGCGGCGAGTTATTCGCATCTTGAGTCGACGAACCAAGAACAACCCCGTCCTCGTCGGTGAGCCTGGTGTTGGGAAGACGACCGTTGTCGAAGGCCTCGCGAGACGCATCGTCAACTCGGATGTCCCCACCAGCTTAGCCAAGTGCAAACTGCTGTCTCTCGACATCGGCAGCCTGATTGCTGGAGCCTCTTTCCAGGGCCAATTCGAAGAAAGAATCAAAAACGTTCTAAAGGAAATCGAGACATCCGACACGACAATCATCCTCTTTATCGATGAGATCCACATGCTCATGGGCGCTGGCGCCTCCTCCACTGGTGGAATGGATGCCGCCAACCTTCTAAAACCAATGCTTGCCAGAGGCCAGCTACACTGCATCGGAGCAACGACCCTCAACGAATATCAGAAATATATTGAAAAGGACTCCGCTTTCGAACGTCGTTTCCAGCAAGTCCTGGTCCCTGAACCAACTGTCCCCGAGACCATATCTATCTTGCGAGGACTCAAGGAACGTTACGAAGTACACCATGGAGTCAACATCCTCGACTCGGCCATCGTCTCCGCCGCCACCCTCGCTGCTCGCTACCTCACCTCACGACGACTTCCTGATTCTGCAGTTGACCTTATTGATGAGGCTGCTGCCTCTGTCCGGGTAACCCGCGACTCTCAGCCAGAGGCCCTTGACCTCTTGGAAAGACGCTATCGCCAGCTCCAGATTGAAATCCACGCACTCGAACGAGAAAAGGATAAAGATTCCATGATGCGACTTGAACATGCCAAAAAGGAAGCCGAGTCCGTCAATGCAGAGTTGGTACCACTTCGGGAAAAATATACCAAGGAGAAGCAACGCAGCCAGGAAATCCAAGAGGCTAAGATTAAGCTGGACTCACTCAAAGTACGACTCGACAGCGCCACAAGATCTGGAGACACCTCCAGAGCATCTGACCTGGCCTATTATGCCATCCCCGATGTGGAAAAGCGAATCATCGCCATGGAGCGTGCAAAGGCCAAGGCCGACGCCGAAGCTCGTGAGAAGACTGGAGGAGAGTCTGACTCGCTTGTGGTTGATGCAGTCGGACCCGATCAGATCAATGAGATCGTTGGCCGATGGACAGGTATCCCAGTCACCCGACTGAAGACAACGGAAAAAGACAAGCTGTTGCACATGGAACAGCAACTCACAAAAACCGTTATCGGCCAAAAGGAGGCAGTTAGGTCCGTGTCAAATGCAATTCGACTGCAACGATCTGGTCTCAGCAATCCCAATTCGCCCCCGAGTTTCCTGTTCTGCGGACCATCAGGAACCGGAAAGACCCTTCTGACAAAGGCTCTTGCAGAGTTCCTATTTGATGACCCCAATGCCATGATCCGTTTCGACATGTCCGAATACCAGGAACGCCATTCACTGAGTAGGATGATAGGTGCGCCACCCGGATACGTTGGCCATGATGCCGGCGGGCAATTGACTGACGGGCTACGGCGTCGCCCATTCTCAATCTTGCTATTCGATGAAGTTGAAAAGGCCGCAAAGGAGGTCCTTACCGTCCTCCTACAGCTGATGGACGATGGCCGAATTACCGATGGCCAGGGCCGCATCATCGACGCTAAAAATTGCATAGTCGTCATGACCTCCAACTTGGGCGCAGAATACCTCAGCCGCCCAACCCTTCCTGACGGATCCATTGACCCAACCACCAAACAACTCGTCATGGGTGCATTGAGGGACTACTTCCTTCCCGAATTCCTGAACCGCATATCCAGTACTGTCATCTTCAACCGTCTACCAAAACGCGAGATTCGCAAGATCGTCGATGTCAGATTAGCCGAGATCCAGAAACGGCTTGACGATAATGGCCGCAGGGTGAAGATCGAGTGCGCTCCCGAGGTTAAAGACTACCTTGGAAAGGCAGGATACTCGCCTGCATACGGTGCTCGACCGCTGGCCCGACTTATCGAGAAGGAACTTCTGAACAACCTGGCCGTCTTTATCTTGCGAGGCAGCATCAAGGATGGCGAGGTTGCTCGGGTCGTGATGCATAACGGGCGAATCACAATTGTCCCCAATCATGAAGATGATGCGGATGCCATGGAAACATCATCTGATGAGGAGAACTATGATACCGAAGAGGAAATGGACGAAGATGAAGACGACAAGCTCTATGACTGAGCCTGATAACCGCCTAGCTGCACAGTGATTTTGAAAAAATTTTGCACCAATTTTTTTCCTCACCCGTTTTCAGTGACGAAGTGACGAAAATGCATTTTCTCCCTGTTGATTACTTTGATTAATTTGTACCGGCAGGCACCATTGAATATATGATGACCGTTTTTTTTCTAAACATGTTTTTATGACTTTTATCATACCTCTTCTGTGTCTGAATGTTAGTATTATACTAGCGGATGGAGTTGCGGGCATCTTCCTCTCCATAAAAGCATACAAAGCATTAACATATACACTGATATTTTGGACTTACCTCTCTTTATATAAATATGCAATATAAAATCTAAACTGCACTTTAACTGATAGATATATTTATTTAATATTCAATCAGTCTCGGACGGAATGAACTCTTCTAATCCTGGCTGGTAAACTGGTTGATATTGTTGTTAGTTGTATGTTGTCGACGTCGACGCTATTGTTATATCGTCTATCACGTGACCACGCGACTCGACGCGATTTTGTTAAATTAATTTAGAAACGCGACGTTAATAAAACCTCCTTTATACCACGATCAAGCGGATGGCTACCTAACGACAGCCAGGCTAATATATCTATGAAAGCGGACGAATTATCTACGGAAGGCCGATAATATGCCTTTTAAACCATTCCGGCCACCGCTCCAGAGAAAACCGCAACATACCCCAGAAGCAAGGACAAGCATAGCATCTGTCGACCGGCCCTCACGAGATGACGAACCTCTGCGCAAACGAAGACGTGTTATCGATAGTGATGATGATGCTGAAGAGGTATCGGATTCGGAGGGAGAACATCTGAAGCAGAAACCACTCATTGATAGACCTAAACCCTCGCTGGGCAATGGGTCGATTAATCGAAAGCCCTTGATTGCTGTGACCAACTCGCATGATACGGTTTCTGTGACTGAGCAAGGAAGTGATAGTGATAGAGAGACATATTATAATGTACTTTGGTAATTATTGACTACTGAAAATTTCTTTCCTTGCATAATTTGAACCAGCCGTTCCTTAGGCCTATGTGCTAATGATCGAGCCTATCCTTTCACTTATAGGCGTAAACCCACCGCGAAGAAGAATAAAACATGGGACGGCGATGGAATTGTTATCGTCCGAGGTGGCTATGGCTACCTGCAAGATATATCCGGGCGAGAAATGGGAAAGGCCATGCTGAAGCTCTCTAGCTTAGAACCTGGGGCCTCTTTGTCGATTGGAGGCAAAGATGTTGAGGTGGATTCGGTAATCACCAAGAAGGAATATCTTTCTAGTCGCCCCTCTAGAACGGGAACCTCGTCATCATCAAAGAGCGTGGAGGCGCCCCCGTCAGGAAAGGACTCGGGCTATGTAAAGCCCAGCATCTCTTCCACCCGTTACACCGTCTCGAAGCCAGGCACAAAGATCTCACTGAATGACTTGAAGGAGGCCTCCAAAAAGACGCTGAATGTTTCTGCGCCGCAAAGTGCTGCGATAAACAACACCTTTAAGAACCCCCTGAAAAACTCCACCGTTCTGCCACCGAAACCAAATGGGCCACTGCCTACCCCTAGACATGATCCCACCCTACCAGGTGCTGTGGTTATGAGAAGACCCGACTCCGTGCCACTGGGAAAACAGATAGTCGATGTGGTTGTTGACCCTCTTATCGGGAAACACCTTCGAGAGCATCAGCAAGAAGGAGTTAAATTCCTTTACGAATGCGTGATGGGGATGCGGCCATTCAACGGTGAAGGCGCTATCTTGGCCGACGAAATGGGGCTAGGGAAGACTCTCCAAACAATTGCACTTCTATGGACCTTACTAAAGCAGAACCCCATCTATGGATCTCAACCTGTGATTAAGAAAGCCCTCGTTGTCTGTCCGGTGACCCTCATTAACAATTGGAAAAAGGAGTTTAAGAAATGGCTAGGAAGTGATCGGATAGGCGTGTTTGTGGCGGATGGTAAGAGAACTAGACTCTCTGATTTCACCATGGGGCGAAGCTACAGTGTTATGATTATTGGATACGAAAGGATACGTTCCGTACAGGAACAGCTAACCAAAGGATCTGGGATCGATATCGTGATTGCTGATGAGGGTCATCGACTGAAAACCGTTCAAAACAAAAGTGCTCAAGCTATACAATCGCTGAATACTACGCGTCGAGTCATCCTTTCGGGTACCCCAATCCAAAACGAATTGAGCGAATTCTTTGCCATGGTAGATTTTGTCAACCCTGCGCTTCTCGGCACATTTAAGTCGTTCATGAAAGAATTCGAAAGCCCAATTGTTGGAGCGAGGCAGCCAAATGCTCCCCGAAAAGCTATCGAGAAAGGGAAAGCTAGGAGTGAAGAGCTGGCTGAGTTAACTTCTCCGTTCATTCTTCGCCGAACGGCTGACATCCTTTCAAAACATCTGCCGCCAAAGACCGAATATATACTGTTTTGCAATCCAACACCAGCCCAAGGGAATTTATACCGTCACGTCCTCTCGTCCCCCCTTTTCCAATCCGTGTTGAGAAACTCTGAAAGTGCTCTACAGCTCATCACCCTGCTGAAGAAAGTATGCAATAGCCCGTCTCTGCTTAAGCCCAAAGTCGAAGACGGCAAGGTTGCTGACACCTCCATGAATGCATTTATATCATCTCTCCCACCTAATATCCAGCGTTGCCTATCCGCCGCCTCCAGCGGTAAGATCAGAGTTCTTGACCAACTACTCTATAATTTGCACAAAATGACATCAGAGAAAGTGGTATTGGTATCGAATTATACTTCTACTCTTAACCTACTAGCGAATTTGCTGACCTCCCTGGATCTTCCATTCTTACGTCTCGACGGCTCTACCCCTGCTACAAAGCGGCAGGCACTAGTAGATGATTTCAATCGCTCGCAGCCATCGTCATGCTTTGCATTTTTGCTCTCCGCAAAGGCTGGAGGGACAGGATTAAACTTGATCGGAGCTAGCCGACTTATTCTTTTCGACGTTGACTGGAATCCTGCCACTGATATACAAGCAATGGCACGAATACACCGAGACGGGCAAAAGCGACACTGCCATATTTACCGGCTTCTGCTAAAAGGGGGTATAGAAGAGAAGATCTGGCAGCGGCAGGTAACGAAGCTTGGATTGGCGGATAGCGTTATGAACCAAAAAGGTGGGATAGCTCACTTTTCACAGGAAGAATTGAAAGATCTGTTCCGCCTGGATGAGAGCTCTCAATGCCAAACTCATGAACTATTAGGATGTCAATGCCGTGGGCAGGGGGTGATGGTCAAAGAAGACGAGGATGAGAAGGCTGAAACTACTGCCGAGTCCTCGTTGGATTCTCTGTCTGAAGATGAGGATGAGGATATGGATGATTCAGAGGAAGATGTGCCTGAACTACCCACGCTGATGAAAGCATCCGAGCTCAAGTCATCCACGGTACCACAGCCTCTATCGAAAAGGCAGCGAGCCCATGAGAAAGCCAAGAAGCGATTTCTCATGCAATACTCTCACATTGACACTAGCATCTTGAGTATTGGCTCGAGTGAAGAAGTTGGGGCGAGTAATGCAGGCGACGACGTCACAATATCAAACATTGAAAGCAGTATTGGAGACGAAGTTTTGTTTTCATTGCTCAAAGAAGAAGGGAGCGGAGTAGGCTATCTATTCAAAAAGAATGGTTTCTCAAACCCACCGCTTTTGGTGGACTAGAATAATCCGATGAGGTCTAGCAACTCCACTAAGTTAAGGATGGATTGAGGAAAGCTGCGTTCGTTTTTAGGAATACGTGACAAGAGGATATACGTGATGTCTTATATGGTGACGATGTTAATGATTAATTAGATTATGCTATAGATCTAGATATATGGAAATCATAAGCTATATTCATCTCTAAAATAGTCATTAATCGACATTTTCGAGGTTGTCGATCGTTATTATTCACAGCGTAGACTCTTCTAAACACGCTCAAATCACATAGGATGGTAGCCACCACTCCCACAAGAACAATAAACACAGGACAAATAAACTGAGCAAAGGTATCATGCTAAATAATCACAAGAATAAACATCAAAGCAAATACAACATTCTATCAGAATTAGTGTTTCCACTAGCAAAGATATTGCAAAGGAAAAGGAACAAAATGATCAATATCTCAACTTGCCAACGAGTCCGAAGGTATATGCCGCCTCCGCCTCGCTCTTCATCTGAATCATGTACACCTTGAAACTCCCACCAACAACACCGCCCTCCTTTGCAATGCCCTCAAACTCTTCCCAGATGGAGACAGCAATACCTGTTCTAGCAACTCGTTCGAAGCTACTCTCACCCAGACATGCATCAACTAGTGTCTCGCCACTCGCCTTGCTTCGAACGAGAATGCGCTTTTCATCCTTGCCTCGTGCACCAGGTCTAGCAGCGGATGGAGGCGTGCGTGGAGGGCCTACGGTATCCGCGCTTGAAGCATCACCAGACGCGGGAGTTGAAGTACCGCTATTCCCTTGGTCATCCTGGTGTCTTGGTGGAGTATTTGAGGATGCAGGGTCGGCAGGCATAATAGTAAGTCTTGCAGCTCCTAGATCACGCCATTTGGCCGCTGACTCTCGAGCATAGATGCGTATCTTCGCGTTTGCCAGACCAATGCCGCCTTCTGCTGCTATATTTGCTGTCTCGGGGTTCGTTGAAGGGAAACGTTGTCCTGACCCTGATCCTGTTGACGTAGTATATAGGCTGGTGGCATCACGACTACCATTTCGGGAGGTAAGGGTTGATCTCGCGATACTGAACATTTTACTACCGCCGCCGAATCTTTTAAGTGCAGAGAATGCGCTAGACATTGTCCCAACACTGCTGTCTGTCCCACCTGCTAAAGAAGCAGGCGGTGCGGTGGAAGCACGGTAACTGCTCTTCGAGAATCCGCCGTACCAGCTAAACCAACCGCCGCCTTTGTTTGATCGCGTGGAATTGTGGCGCGAAAGTGGAGTATGCTGAGGCCCATGGGCATTTTGTAACGCAATATATGTGGGATTGTTGATACGAGAGTAGTTGATGAGGCCGTAGAGTTTTTCGCATTCGTCAGGATTACGGGATCGGAACATGATGTTGCTGCCAGATGAGATTTTTGACTGTGGAGTTGGAGGTGATCGGATACTTATGTCGAGAGCCGTTCCACGCCGAATTGGCACAAGGGGAGTTAGTTCTAGGGCAATCAATGGTTGGCGTGATATTTCATTGGAATCAGTGCCTGATCCATCGTCTCGACTAGTTGGTCGCGAGTGGCCAGGGACCATCTCGAATGCTTCAATGAGCCCAGGAGTTACGATTATATTGCATTCATCGAGATGAAGCGGCTCCCAAGATCCCTTGTCGTGCCAGTAAAATATTGAGGCAATAGTTTTAGAAGGCCTTTGCGGCGAACTATGGATAGATTTTGGTGGGGATCGGTATGCAGACTCTGGTGGACTAACTGTCTCTGCTGTAGCGGGTCTATTGTCGGCTGATTCAGGGTCATACGTCCGTTTAGGGGCGCGGATTGAGGGAACGGGCCGTAAGGGAGTGGGCATATCATCATCCTCCAACTCTTCATCCGATGATGTATCGGAAGATGATTCAATATCATAGCGTTGAATAGAACTTGTATCTGAGCCAGACGACTCTGAGGCGGTAGAAGGCGCGTACTCATGCTTGAGTGGGGAAGAAGTTCGTCGATGTCGTGCATACTGCGGTGCTGGAGGGCTAATAATGGGGTCCTTATGCCGTTTCGATCCTGCTGGGCTAGGGGTGCGATGTGGAGGCGGCGAAGGAACGTCTTCAGTAAACATTTGGTCGTCATTATGAGTTCCTGATTTCTCAGCTTTCTCTGAAGATTTTTTGCTCTTTACGACTGGACTTTGCTTCGCCTTGTCCTCGCTTGTTTTTTGCACTGGAGAAGCTGGGAGAGGTATACTCTTAGGAGACGGCGGTGGTGAAGGCTTAGGAGAAGAACCCTTCCTAAGTTTGGGGATCATCGGAAATTCCAGTGAAGGGACAGGTGATAGGGAACGACGCCCATGAGGCTGTACTAGCGCTGCAATTGGGCGTTTCGTTTGTTTATACCCGCTTGATGTTGGAGTCGTTGGCGAGGGAGTCCTATCACGGCCACGTACGTCTGAGCCACCTCTAGAGAGCAAAGGTGAGGGTGGCCGGGGAAACTCTTTGTCTGGAGTTTGGACTCCGGAGGAAGTAGGGCTGATAGGGGAGCCACCGTAGTCATACTTGGATCGACGTTTGGCCTTGGATCTCTTCAAGGTTGACGGTGACACACTGCCTGCCAAGTCCATAGCCTCATTCAAGCTTCTTGGTGTATCCAGTTTAAGGATGCGGGAGGGAGTTGACGGAGAAGCTACTGCATGCGCTTCGGTATGGCCGCGATTCGCCGTATCTCTGTCATGTTTGAGATCTTCGCCAGCCACTGTCGCCTTTTCTCCAATTGGGACATCAACCTCGGAGGCGTTATAATCTGGGACACTGATGGCATCGCCATCTTCTCCCTGGCGTGCGAGTGCGAGTCTCTCCTTTCTATCCTTAGCACGGTTAACGAAGCTGAGAGACCTGTTTATCTTTGGAGGAACCGGGTTGAGACCGATCATTTGCACCCATTCAAACCCTATCTGCTCATCGTCCGTCGTCAATGACAGCAGCTCATACCATTCAGTTGAATTCCCCGTCTGCTCGCGAACCATGAGCACAATCTCGCCTTCACCATCTCCATTCCTGGCTGAAATGCAAGTACAGTCAATTGGAGGGAAGAGGAGCCAACGATCTGTTTCATCGATTTCACAGATGAAGAGGTCACCGCCAGGGGCTTCACCGGGAGGGTTATCTCGTAGCAATAACTCGGCTCGACAGTCGATTTGTTGGCCAGTAGAATGAAGCAAGGAGAGATCGAAATAGTCGCGGGCACGCACTCTCCTGGCCTGGTTAACGTCCACATCTTTAAGGACTCCCAAAGTATGTAGGCTACGCGCTCTAGTTGCATCAATGCTAGCCGCAGCATCGTCCTCGAGCCTGGAACGTTCCTCGTTTGCTCTTCGTCGAGCATCGGTGACCAGTGACTGGTAAGTGCCTGCCACTTCCTCCGCCTTGGGTGATGGCTGGACATAATTAAGTCCCTTAAACGTCTTTGAGAGATATTTCAACCTGACCAGAGGTCGTTTTAGTAAGAAGGCAACGTCTACCCTCTCCCCATCGCCATTGATCACGTCGCCATTCTCATCTTGCGCCATACCCGCGCATAGACTCTGGGTTTCTGCTTTGAGTGCGTCTTCTGGGTCAGGAGGTGCTAGGTTGACGACAACATCCTGAAACCCGAGTCTCCAGGCACTCAGGTAATCGGCATATACCTTTTGGGCACCGACAGCCCACGACAAAAGAGCCTCGGGATTATTCAGTGGCATCCGTTTGTGAAGGCCCTTTAGCTTCTCTAAGGAGACACCCATGTTTACAATGGGCCGGGTGAAATTTTCCTGGTCACTTGGGTTGGCCGAGCGTCGAAACAAGCCAGCAGCGATGGCTGAGTCCGTCTTTGAGAGAATTGAAGTCAATAGCACGGGAATAACGCCGCCGACGAGTGTCCTCAATTCACGCATATACTTCACTTCATCTGACGCTAGCTCTCGCATGATATCGCTTACAGTTGCGGTAGCCAGACGACTCCTATTTGTACGGATGCTCCTTGCAGACCGTATGCTCCGGCTGCCGGCTCCGGGGATTGATAGGACAGACATCAAATCCGCGTGTTTGGTTAATCTGCGCTTCAGAGGTTGAACTGGACCAGGCAAGGACTGGGGATCGAATGTGTCTCTCTTCTCGGACTCGGACACGGCGTCGTCTTCGTTCTGGGATAGTTCAGACTGCGAGATGGGTTTCAGCTGCTCCTTGGTGTTATCCGGGTTTGTACTTGATGTTAAAGTGTCCATCGATGCGATGGTAGACAGCCTATGGACACCAGTGCTCGGGAATGGCCTCTTTAGCATCAAAGGAGGTGGACGGTCGACAGCTGAGACTTCTGATCCGTCAGAAGAAGTTGGCCGGTCGAGACTAGAGCCCTGAAGCGCTTCTTCGACTGACTCTCTTAGCATGGACATCCTCTCCGCTTCTGCAGAAGCACTCAACCGGGACCGTGACTTTGTAGCTTTCCCTCGCTTTAGCGTAGAGGGTTGGGATTCACTGGCGCTTTCAAATGACAAGTCTGACTTGGACTCTCGCGCATGAGAGGTGGATTTCAGCTTGTGCGTCTCATTGCTCTCGCTCTCGCTTCCATCAGAATAGTCGTATCTTCCCTTGGCTGGTTTGCTCTCGTGCTTTTTGTCATTGGAACTTGTATTGAGAGACCTTCGTTTCTTGGTATCTTCGTTGCTATGCTCGTCGTCCGTATGGTCCTTGTCCTTGCGAGTGGACGAAGATTTGAGAGGTGCTGGCATACTGACCGTAGACTCATCATTGTCTTCGACAAACGGGTCGGCCGTGGATGAGAGCCAGGCTTCCACCTTGGATCCGTGAGTTGCCTGTTCCTGAGGTGGCTGCACTGGCGGAGATGGCTCAGGTGGTTTCATGGAGAACATCTTCTTGGACTCGTCTATGACCTGGGAGATGATGTTCGTCTTGCCTGACAGAAGATTTCGTGTCCTGATATCGCTTCTTCTCACAGGTTCAGCTCGTACAGGAGCAGGTTCAGGAGGGGAGTCTACCTGCTCTGGAGACGGTGGTTTCTTTCGAGGCGTACTCGCTCGAGAAACAAACTCTGGAGACTGGACTTTCTTCCTGGGCGAGGCAGTTCGATGGCTGTCCTCGTTGACACAGTAATTCGGCTTCAGCGTCCTCTTTGGCGTACGATGCTGCGCCGCTGTCTTTTCCCTAACACTAGGATCAGCCGTTCCCTCGCCAGCTGATGAGCCCAGATCTGAACTCCACGCAGATGAAGCTGCTTTGAGAGGCTCGGGCACTCGCAGTGGCCCTGGATAGACTGCAATCCCATCACTATCCTTGATAGCCGACGTCCTGGCGGCCTTCTCCTTTGCCTGTTCATATTTATTCAGCACGTCCGTACGTTTGGTCGGCGTAGGGTGCGCAGACGAGGGAGCACTGGCGCTGGGAGGCGACCTGTTCCTCCTCCAGTGTGCATCACTGACGACTCGTTTCTTGGGCGTGTTTCTGGGCGTAGTCCTGGGTGTAGTTCTAGGCGACTTCTTCGGCGTAGTCTTGGTCTTTGTAGGACTTCGTACCGGCTTCTTCTCAGGCTCTGGCGACGACTTGCCCTTTGGCGTGCGCGGTCTCTTGCTCGCCGGGCTCTTGTTCGTGGCCTGCTTCGACTCCTTCAGCTTCGACCCGGGAGAGCCCTTCTCGCCCTCATCGCTGCTGGCACCGACATCTGGCGCGATCACCACGCCTCCACCGAGCTGCTGCCACTTGCGGACCTTCTCTCGCACCGTAGCGGTATCATGAGGCCCCAGGGATTCACCGAGATCGAGGGGCTTGGTCGGGCTCTGTTTCGCGCTCCCACGGTTGGGGGTTCGACGAGGGGTGTGAGGAGAGGGCATTTAACGTCTATCGAGAGAGTAAGCCTTTGTCAGGTCTTTTGTCAGGTCTTTTGCCAGGTCTTTATGAGAGGTCTTTATGTTGTTGGCGATGCTAGTGTCGGGAGATTGGTGGTGGTGTATCATGGCGGAGTGTTTGTTTACATACCGATGTCGATAAACGAAACGGTCTGCGCATGCCTCGAGAGTCAAGCAGTTCGTTTTAAGAGCGTCTTCCCTAGGAGAAGAGGACGGAGTAGACAGGCGCAAATAACGGTTTGTAGCTTGTCCGCGCTCATGCAGTGTTTGAGGCCAGGGTAGAGGAACTGGGCTGGGAGACAGGAAAAGCTGTAGGCATCAGGGGTCAAGCGAGACAGCAGCAAGAGAATGAGATATCCCGGCCTCGCATCCCAGGTGCTCATATGTCGATGTCTTTATCTTGATACGATGATGGTGTTTGTTTATCAACTTGAAAGTAAACAAGTTTAGCGCTCGCTTGGCGATGACTTTATGAGTATAACATTAGAAGCAGAGTATTATATAGTCTAATTACAATAATAATACAGTTAGACGAAGATAGTCCGTCCGTCTAGTTTCCCCGTGTTGAGTCTATGTCTATAGAATATCATTGAGACTTGCGGCCCTGGGTGGCCCTTTGCATGAACTGGATCGACTTGGTGATGATTCCCACGCTCTCGCACATGTAGACTAGAGGCGTTAGCAGAGATCGATTGACAGGCAACTGGAAGACTTACAGGCCGGGACCACGATCCAGATGGCGTTCATGGTGAAGTAGTAGAACCAAAAGTAGTATCCCTCTGGCCGGCAGTAGCTGACCTCGTTGAAGTAGTGGTCGAACATGCTGGTGGCATAGTACAGGATGTCCCCGTAGATCTGGCCGAGCGAGACGATGACCTGGAACGAATGGCGCAGCGGATGGTCGACGGTGATGAAGTACGCGAGCAGGAAGCACAGCGGTCCCCAGCAGACCTGTCTCCGTCAGTATGCCTCTGTATATAGAGCAGATCTAACCTACCGCGGTGATGGTCTCCATGCAGAGGACGAAGGGGTCAGAGGTCAGATATCGCGAGTCCGAGAGAGAATATTCCTTCCACAGCTGTCCGAAGAAGTCCTGCGCGGGCGCCATGCGAGTGTGATTGTACACGAAATATCCTTCAAAGAAGAAATGGATGCTTCCGCCTGCTCTCGTCAGTCTCTCTTCAACCTGATCATCTCTCTCAACTTCTTTAGGTAGTCACTTACTGAGGACAAACCACAGGATGGCCATCTTATCCGCCGTCTTCATGCCTGGACGAGCCATCGAGACGACCGCGAGCGTCAGGAGCAGCAGCGCTCCCCATCCGCCGAGGAACGCGCATACCAGCGTCGGGACGTCCCAGTCGTTGGCCAGGTAGCCGATGACCTTTGCGTCCAGCGGGTAGTACGGATGAGCTGCTTCCATGGTGAGACTGTAGCACTGTAAAGGATTGTAGATGAGAGCGTTGAGATAGGGGAACGTTGGAGCTTTAAAAGTAAAGAAAAAGATAAAGGCCAAGGATCGCGAACGTCAACTTCAGCTTCACATCGAACTCGCCCTCTCCAGCACTCTGGCGGCGCAGAGCCATGCCTTCAGACTGCAGACCGGCGACGACGAGGATGGACCTGGCGATAGATTCTTCAGGCTCTCCTCCTGGCATCGCGGCCTTGTTCCTCATCCGCTTCGACGTCAGAGCCGGGTATGTCTCCCTCCCACTGTCTTCTCCTACACAGCTAATCGGCGTAGATATACGATCGCCTGGAAGAAGACAGCCTCAGACAGTACGTTTTCTTGCTTCCATCGCAGCGTCAGATAGTTAACTGCAGTTAGTCGTCCTTGAGAATGCGGTCGAATTCAAGTCGCTACCGTCCGGCCTACACAACGTGAAAGAAGATCTCGTGTACGTCTGATGGACTCCGGATACGATAAGATGGAATGCTCATACTCGGTAGATACTTTGTCCACGAACGATATGCCGGGCTCAGCGCCTTCGTCAACGAGCCCGCGGGGGAGGCAGAGCGGAATGCGATCATGCTCTCCGTCGGCGTCCTCGCGCCTCTCAGCCACGGCAGGCTGGGGAGAAGCTGGAAACACGCTGCCGGACTGAAGGACCTGGCTCTGTAGGGACCATACGCTGCCTGTCAACAGGTCGTGGCTAACATCTCGATAGGCAGCTCGCAGCGGACCCGGACAACACCCAGCCCTTGACGGAATACTGGGACAAGTTTCAATTGAGAGACGACGAGGCCAGCTCGCCGCCAGATTCTCCCCTGGACTCGATGTCGCACTCGAAAACCGGGCCTGCGCCCATTGCTTCCACCAAACGTCGGCAGCGTGCTCTCAGTGACGCAACCGCTCTCATCTCGAATCACACATTGCCGTCATACCACCCGGCTTTGACACTGCCAGACTTTCTAGACACGTTTGGACCGCTGATATTCCCGTTATATCGAGCGGCTATCCTGCGGAAGCGGATAGTCTTCCTTGGTGATGCGCCCGTCGAGATGTCATGTAATTTTAGTATGTATACCTACAATTCTATGAGAACGAACAACGAACAACGGCTAACTGCAATCAGTATATAACATATCCTTATTATCCTCGCTTCCTCACAACCTGCTATCTTTCCTACCTTCCGCCAAAGACATCCCCAGCCTTCGACCTCGACCTTTATTCAACGTCGGCATCCACGACATGGCATACCTGTCCACACTATCCAATTCAGCCGATCCATGCTGGATAGCATGTTCAAGTGATCGCGTTCTTGGACTCAGACCGGAGCTCTACGATGTCCTCATAACTCTCCCTCCAAACTATTCAAGGCAGGCTCCTGAAAAAGCATATCCGAAAATGTCGCTCTCCCCACGGACTGCTGCAGGCCAGCAAAGGGACCCCAAAGCAAAGTCAACCCCCATCAAAGCAACACAGCGAGATAGCCGTCGATTCGTAACCTTACGGGACGGACTGAAGGAGTTCGCAAGGCTAGGCGAGATATCTGTCCCTGACCGAGAAGACTCAGATAACACGTCTACCTTCTCGTCAAACTCCCTGGTCGAGCCTGTTTCCTGGCCGCTGTTGGCGTATACTTCATTCATATGGTGGGCGTCTGCCGGTGAAAAGGGTGCAGGCCTCTCAGACGAAGAAGCCGAACAGGACGCAGCCCTTCTCCAGGTAGCACATGATGACAGCGAGGCGGTAGATGACCCTTCAAACACACCATACCGACGAGAATCCATGGCCGTGCCAGATGCAAATAACATGTCCCAGGAAATCGCCATCATCACTTACTTCCGACGACTCACGACCCAGATATTCACCATCTTATTTGACATCGTCAGTCGCGCGGACGAAGAGCTTAATGACTCGCCCGAGTTCAGCCAGAGTGAATCATCCTTTACCCGTCGCTATCGTGACAATGAGGGCGAGGAGGAAGTAGAAGGCGACGAGGAGGAACTTAATTCCTCCACCCTCGTTGGCGAGCATGATGACGACCAACCGCTCCTTCGCACGCCGGACGACGACGACATCATCACCATAACTTCTTCTGATATTACCAATATGGGACTTGACGCGTGGAGCCATGCGGATAAAATGTTTATTGTAGAACTGGTGAATGTCTGGTGGGGGAGAAAGGCACAGGTCGAGGGTTCTCACATTCAATGCTGCGGGGTGCGGATTATATAGATGGTCTCCTGGATACTTGGTATATTTTATCATACATATTACTCTCCAACGGTATACGGTATCTGTATCTTGGGGTTGCGTGGGTTAGCAAAATACCTTTTTTACTTCCTCTTAGTCTCCAAAATTGAGGAGCAGATCATGGAAGTGGACATCGATGTATATATACGGGGTGTAGGGCATGCAATTATCAAACTTCCAAAATAAGTCTCTGAACGGATTCATAAACGTATATATACCTTGGATGAACCTATCAAGAGATATATACAATCATAAACTCTAGCAACTTTGTTCAGACGGAAATCAAACGCTAGATGGAAAAAAGGGGCAAAGGAAAAATGTCATAGCAGATGCATTATTATCATAAAAGTGAATGGCAGGGGAATGCAACGCTATGAGACAAAAAAGCAAACTAAGCACCAAATCATTAAATATGTATAACTTCAAGACAATGCTGGCGTTTTATAAACGGATAGAAGATTAAACAACGGTCACAACATTACAATCACAGCTATGGGTAACCTAGGATCAACCGGTTTTATCCCATCAGGAGTGAAGTCGGATATAGAGCTTCGATGTAGGAGGTTCTAGCAAATACCATGAACTTCATATCCCCCGCTTAATACCCATGGCTACCGGAGGCACTGAGTCCTCGTCGGCTAGGCTTGGTACGGCTGACATAGCTCTCGGCCCTTGAAACGCTTCTCGCTCCATTGTTTGGGGTCGTCGCTCCACCCATGGCATGGGGACGATGGCTTGCATCGTTTGCGCTTGCAGACCGCTTCAAGGCGCTTTGTGTGCGGCCGCGCCGTGCCCGGATCTGTGCCAGGGCTTCTTCGCGGCTAATAGGGGTTCCGGGGAGTTTGGCACTTGCGCCAGTGGTAGATGGCCTTTCGGAGTGAATTGGGACTGTCTTGGTCGTTGTGATGGTTTGTATTTCTGCAGTGGCGCTATTCTGGCGCTGGCGTTGATCTAGAGGGAGAGGGGTCTCATAGCGTTTTCGCGGATTTATTTCAACGTTTGGGGGTGGAAGGGTGTACGAATGCTCTAATGGAGCGGCGGGTGGTAGTGGCTGTCCTCTCTTCTTGGGTGCAACTGATTTTGGGACTGGGATGGGGTCATCTTGGGGTGACCGTCCCTGCTTTGGATGTATTTCTTGGAACGTTGGCGGCGGACGCTCGTTGTTTGGTTGCTCGGAATGTGTCGACTCGGCCTTGCGAGCGGGAGATGGAATTGCCTTGAAAGTTCCAGTATCTGGACAAAACACCACTGTTGGTTCGGCAGGAAGTTTCTCACTAGCAGGAGCGTCATCGGGGGTATCTTCGTGAACACTCTTTGGGGTGGTTGATGATTGAGTAATCTGCAGTTGTGGCGATGCTTCTCTCACAGGTAATGGACTGGGTATCTTCTGCACCCTTTTCATCTCCTGGTCTGTGGATGGGCACATTTTCTCCCACTCCAGATCGTGAATATATTTAACTCCTTGCCGCTCCGCAATTCGACAGGAACATCTCTTGAATTGGCATTCAAGCTTCAAGAAGTCAATCATGTCCTCCGCTCGTCTTCGCATTAATTTTTCCCATCGAAGGTCCTCCTCAAGTTCCTGAATTATCTCTTTTTCGTTTTCGACAAGTGCTAGAGGCTCCTCCTCTTCAAATGGAACAAGTGCACGGCTGGGCGTTAACTTGGTTGGCGATCTCAGGCTGGACCGGAAGTCAATTTGTTGTTGGACGCTCTTCTTTCGAATGGGAGACATTTGATCTCGGGAATCAGGCTGGTCTCGCTTTTTCCCTCGGGACGCAGGGCTGCACGACATCGGATTCATGCTTGACCTCTGAAGTCTCGTTTTGGGCGTCTCACCCCGCATCACCTCGGCTCGTGCTTCGAGAATCTCTGACTGGTTATCTGTTTCGATGGCTCTGATCTGCTCCTTTAACACCTCGTTTTCCTCCGTTAGGCCAGCCAATGCATAGGCGCGTTCGAATGCATCCTGTTTGGCCTTATCCTTGGCCTCTCGTTCTGACTTGACCTCATCCTTGAGGCTTTTGATCTCCCCTCGAGAGGACTTTAGCTCTTCCTGCGCCTTGACGAGATTCGAGCTGGCACGGAAGGCTTCTTTCCTTGCCCGTCGAATCTCCTTCTCGAACACGGCCCGCTCCTGAGACTGTCGTTCTTTGAAGGTATGTATTTCTTCTAATAATGACTCCAGCCGTTCACTAACTCGTCGTTCTCGCTGCCTCGCTTCGTTGAGCTCTTCAGTTGTCGCCTTCAGGGCGTCCTCTGCTTCTTCTCGGCCCAGAATTGCTCGCTGCAAGGCAGCGTGTGTCGTTGTTGATGGCGGGAGCGGTGCTGGGCTGTTAGGGCTCGCCAGCCTGTTAAGGAAGGCAACCTTTGACTGGACATCAATCGACTGTCTGTCTGACTTGTTTTGTAGATACGCTAGATCCGACGGGACCGGCGATGCTCTGCTCATAATCTGTTGATTTATGCGGCGCGGTGAGAGCGGATGAAGAGGAGACCCCCCGTGCTGGGGGAACTTTCGTGTTGGTGACTCCATTTTTGAGGGACCGTATCGTCAGACACCGGTTCCCAGGAAGATACCTCGATCGCTGGAGCTGGACTGATTGACGATGGCGTTGTGTGTGCGTTGTGTGTGTGTGTTTCCTCGTCCTTGCATCCTTGTCAAGCGTCGTTGTTTATCCCAGAAAAAGTTCTCGTTACTCCTGGCAACGCGTATCACGTAAGCAGTCACGTGCCTATATCAAAAGCCGGCGATAAATTTACTTGCACAGAAGAAAAAAGAAAGCAGATTCAAGACTTTGAGAGAATGAGAATGCATGTAGATTTATGCAGGGTCAGCTTTACTTGCTATGCTGTAAGCTGGAGAAAGTAGTTTCTGGCTCAGACAGAAAATATCACGACCGTATAGCTGGAATATCACGAGCGAGTTAATCTTATATCGCAAGGATACAACTCCCCACCATATGAAGATCGCAACTTCAGCTCATTTTCCTATATAACTGACAAATCTGCAAAGAGAAGAGGAGAGAGGATGCACGAGATCATCACACTCCAGCTCGGCCAGCGCAGTAACTATGTGGCCACCCACTTCTGGAACGCCCAGGTATGTATTCCATGACCCCGCGGTTGGACAGGCGGCTAATCAATATCTTAGGAGTCCTACTTTACATACTCAGAGAACGAGGAGTCGCCTGTTAACCACAATATTCATTTTCGAGAGGGCCTAGGGGCTGATGGCACCGAGACTTTCACCCCTCGTACGCTCATCTACGACCTCAAAGGCGGGTTTGGTACTCTACGAAAGTACAATGCTCTGTATCAGCTCGAGGAGGAGCAACCAGGGTTGTCAAGTGGCCTCTGGTGAGGGACATGCACTGGCTGAGATTAACTGGCCCGTCATCTATTGAGCTACTGCCCTAACGGATTTATATTTAGGGACGGCACGGGAGTTTTGCAGCAGCAGCCCAAGATCCCGCAAAGTGAATACCAGAGATGTCTCGATATGGGGCTGCCAGTTCCCAGACTTACAGCAGAAATGGTCAGGTATTGGTCCGATTTTAACCGTGTGTTCTACAGTCCACGGTCCATCCAGCAATTAAACGAATATGATCTCGGCTCTCAATTGATGCCGTTCGAAGATTGGTCCGTGGGCCAGTCTCTCTTTTCTGAATTAGATAGGGAGCATGACCTGCTGGACCGTGACCTACGCCCATTTGCAGAAGAATGTGACCAGTTGAAAGGAATGCAAATTTTCTCCGGGGTCGACGACGCATGGGGGGGTTTCGCGGCGAGCTATGTCGACCGATTGAAGGACGAGTTTGGTAGCAAGAGTATCTGGACATGGGCTTTAAACGGCTCATCCCAGCTCCAAAGAGTAAGGAAGCCGTCGTTGTTTCATGTCGGTCAGGGTTTGGCGATTCTAACTAGGGATGCATGAGACAGGAAAAACGGAAGCTTGCGTCTGCTAATACGGCAAGGTCCCTGAGCGAGATTTGCAGTCAAGTCACAGCCTACATCCCCATTACGGACCTGCCAAGCAAGCTGCCGCCCCATGTCAAGCCGGACCTGCATCATGCCTGGTATTCATCGGCCCTGACCTCGCTGGCGCTGGAGAGCGTGAGCCTCCCGAGTCGCTCGCGAGGTTACGAAGCGCTTGACATCTGGGCAATAGCTTCCAGGGATTCGCGGAACATTTATAACCTTCAATCTACCATAGGAACCGGGGAACTGACCACGGTTACCACGGACCAAAGGCACCCAACGAAGGGCGTGCCTGACTCCGAGAAAAACGGTCACGGCGACGACAACCGGGCCCAGGAGCAGCTGAAACAATTCGATATTGACCTCTCCCCACGCGGTCTTGCGGCGAACCACGATGGGCAGGTGTTCCAGCAGATCTTGGTTCAGCGAGATTCTGTGGCCGCCACAACTAGCTCTTCAAAGGCTTCACAATACACTGGATCAACCATGAACTCAACAATCGGGACACAAAGGTAAGAGAACCATAACCAATAATTGTTTCCCTCAATATCCCTTTTAGGCCTCTTCAGGGTTGCGGGGAGTTTGCCTTAATCCTGGGATATATGAAACTGTACTAAGGATCGACTAGCTTTGACTCTCCACTCGAATATCCAGTGCTAGACTCGTTCCCCCGCGACTTGCTGAGCGATCAGGGACCACCAGGGTCAACGCTCAAGGTTCATGCGGCGCTATCCATATCCTCGCAGGTTGGAGACTATCTCAAGGACCTCCAACGGTCTGTGGGGATTTACGTTCCTCTGGACCAGCGAGAAGAGTTGTCGAATAGCCTCACCACGCTATCGGAGGCTTATGTTGACGGGTGGCAGAGCGACTCCGATTCAGGCGACGATTGATACAGCCGCTGTCTGGTATTAATTAATCTCCAAACAAAAAATGAGAGAGAGAGAGATGAGCCCATGCCTAACACCCCACCTTCATCTACTTCTCTTGAAGGACACGTTTTCCTCCCAGATCGAAGTAAGTAAAAATGTATACTTACGAAGTTCACCTATCATGCTCAATAATGAGACATATTCGAAGGCGACAGTAGCAATTCGCTCAGACGCAACCTAGTCGTGAACATTCTACAGCCCCTTTGCCAAATTTGTCTGGACTTGCAAGTACTCTCGCATGGGTGGTATAATTGAACCACAGCTCAAGACCACCCCGGCTATTCTATATACTCCGGCCGCCCCGTTTTCAATATGATCTGCTCGCTAGCTCGGTGATATCTTTTCTCCCCTCATTTTGCAACTCTTCGTAAATAAAGGTACCGGCCTGTAAGAAGCTCTTGATAAGCGATATGGCCCACCAATCTAGAGCGCCGACGTGACTATCTCTTGCAGGATATCTCCCAACTCCATCAATCTCCACCATGGCAGCGATCCTTGCAACCCGGAAATAACCATGTCCTTAAAGAAGCGATATACGATTTTTATGCAGTTGCTACCAAGTCAAGGATCACGAAATGGTCACGGATGCGAGTTATATGCAGTGCCTTGTGTCTGTTCAATGATTCACGATTCCAGCATAAAAGCCGAGCAGCCAGTCCCACGTCAAACAGGGGAATCCTACAATATACTCTGTACTCCGTACAATGAGGCGAAAAACAAAAGTAAAGCGCCAGCCAGGGAAGGATGTGATGTACCTGAAGTCCTGCACACCCTGCAAGTTGTATTGGTTGTATAGTTGTCGCTGTACAAAGCAATCCATAAATTAACCTGCAAGCACAGTTCCCGATGACACCAGCTTACCACCAGCTGAATGGCCCGATTGACTTGTTTCCTTGAGTTTCCGGGTATCTCCAGGTGGCTCAACATCGAATCTCGAAGAATGGGCATGTCTCACATTTTTTTTAAGGTACAGTATCCTCCAGTTAAACAGGTTTTGCCACATGCAATGGTGCTGCTTGCATCTACGGAGAATACTCCGTATGCAACTCGGAATGTGAATGTTATGCAGCCTAGAGAAGATGACAGTGACAGTTGTCTTCCGGCATGGGCTATCGCGCTGGATCTAAATTAATGCATTGCATAGACATAATACATGTACGGAGCATCGGATCTGCAAGACGCATATTCGTTGTTTCCTGTCATTTGAAGGCACGCAACGCACGTCGAAAAGCTGGTCAGGCCCAACCTTTACGCTCGTATTCCATGCACATAACGCCGAGCTGGCGATCCGATAGGGCTAAAACACTCTGCGGAGGTGATCTCCGGGGTAACTAGTCAACAAGTCTACTAGTACGGTCAAGGGGAAACAAGCTCTCCATCTCATCGAGTTCCGATTGTTTCGATCTTTCTCCCTCTCGCCAGCTCCCCGAGAGGGAAATCTGGGATACAGACTCGGATTTCGAATAGCGCTGTCTAGGAACAGAGTACACAGCAGCCAGGAACTCGCTTGCGACAGGCCCATGTCTCTATTCCCGGCATGGGCAAGCGATCTAGCCGGGCCGCAATATATGTTACTCTTTCTTCTGCACACTCAGATCAAGGAGCCACTTAGATCGATTTGCAGCACGAGTTGTACAGAGAGCGGCGGTGCTTTTGGTTTCCTCCTCCCCGCCATCCCGTAATATCAGATATTATCGGGGTGCATGGTTACATGATACGTGTTCTGGCATGTCAGATTAAGTACGGTAACTATTCGAGCTAGCCAAGGTCTCGAGGTGCTGTGGGCAGGGGAACGCTACTCCAGTGCGAGGGAAACCTGGCTAAATGACAGTGCTAAACATTCGATCAGGAACCTGACCCCGGCCACGGAGTATGCTCCGTAAACCTGAAATTGGGAGAGAGTCTTGGCCCTGGATTTCAGGCAGTCCAGCGCGCCAGACATCGCTATGACATTGTTTGCAACCTCAATCCGATGCCACTTACTACCTAGTGATCGATTGGGGGTCCACTTGCGGCCCTTATTATTTAGTACGCATCCATGATGGTGGTTTGCCCAGCGCTAGTTCCCATCGTTTCCGCTAAGTCTTGAAACAGCGCTAGCCCACTTGACCTTCTGATATTCATGGCTGGGACATCGCATCATCATCATCATCATCACCATGAGGTCACCTCCTCCCGTCAGAGGTGGTAACGGACTTTCGGCGTCTGAGCCGCTTCGATCGAGAGAGTGTGGGAATTCAGTGCCTGTGGTGGCGTTTGTATCTGTTATTTTTGAAAAATCGAACCCACTCCACCCTGTCATTCCTGGCTGATCTGGACTAACCCTACCAGTGGGCTGGATAAAGTGCTCGGATGGGGATCTTGCCTCAAAGAGGGATGCATTGTTGGGTGTCCTACCAGTTTGTGCTTTTACACCGCATATTCTCGTCACCGCGAGGGCGTTGCCTATCCATCAACGTGGCAGTTGGACAAGGACTTTCCCTCTCCAGTACTCTACTACAGTTCTAAACCCCTCCTGGTCTTGATCCAGAAACTCTTCGGGTATGTCTTGTTTCCATTGTTCCTTGAATAATACAGCAGTGAAATGGGATTCTTGTACGATTGTGGACAACCAAGGTTTCCTTCTTACCAGGTATTTCGCCTGGATAGGCCGAAAAAGACCTACATTTCATGACCTGCACGTTATCAATTGTGCGTTATGGTCAGTATGGGCATCAGCCAAAGCCAATATGCGTTAGACTTCGACTAATTAAGGTACATTGGACATGGGGAACTGGAACTTACTGGAGCGGGAGAGTTAAGCCTCGGGATGAGGATGCACAAGGTCTCTTGATCCCTGCAATTTCTCATGGATTAGAAGTCTCGATGGGATTGAGTTCTGTGATGCAACCACACGCTGTCAAGCCTCCCTTGCAATTATTTTGGTAATACTGTATTTTCATCCAGCATTTTTTCTTTTCCTGTCTCGCCAGACTTTACGACACCAAGCTCCGACATGGTACTGGAAACCTTGATTACATGGAGTGACCCAGGTGTGTTTTATCCTGGCCCAGTGAGATGCATCATACCTCAAGAGGGGAGATATCCGCTGGAGTACATATAAGCCTCACGATGCCCCAGGATTCCCATCACTCTCCTCCCTCGCTCTTCTCCATCCATTGGTGCCGTGGACAACATATCTCACAAATTAAGGGACTCCTTCGCTACGGTTCCTCTAATTGACTCCTTTCGTTTCTATTTGTTTATCCACGCATCAATTGAAAAGCTATTACCCCACGCTTCCTTCTTTTGAGTGATTCAAAATGAAGTCGGTTATTGTCTGGTTGCCGTTGGCCACCGTGGCCCTTGGTGCTGCCATTAAACGGGGCGATAGCTATGGAGGTGACTACAACAACTGTCACGGCGACGACTGTGGCAGCTGGCCCGGCAAGGGAGGTGAATGGCCTGGCAAGGGAGGTGAATGGCCCGGAAAAGGAGGTGAATGGCCCGGCAAGCATCCTCACTGGACGAAGACGCCTGAATATCCTTCTCCTCCTACTGAGTATCCTTCTCCTACTGAGTACCCATCTCCAACGGAGTATCCATCTCCATCGGAAACGACTACGTGTGAGACTCCAGTGCCTACCTACTCTTCTCCCCCGGAGACTACTGAGTATCCATCGCCAACTTGGTCTACTGAGTACCCTTCTCCAACTGAGTCCACCGAGACTCCAGTGCCAACGTACCCTTCTCCAACTGAATCCACGGAGACGCCAGTGCCAACTGAGTCCACTGAGACGCCAGTGCCAACCTACCCGTCTCCAACTGAATCCACTGAGACGCCAGTGCCTACTTACCCGTCTCCAACTGAATCCACGGAGACGCCAGTGCCAACTTACCCGTCGCCAACTGAATCCACTGAGACGCCAGTGCCTACTTACCCGTCTCCAACTGAATCCACCGAGACGCCAGTGCCAACTTACCCGTCGCCAACTGAATCCACTGAGACGCCAGTGCCAACTTACCCGTCGCCAACTGAGTCCACCGAGACGCCAGTGCCAACCTACCCATCTCCAACTGAGTCCACCGAGACGCCAGTGCCAACCTATCCTACCTCAGGAACCGTGAACCCTACTGAGAGCACACCGGTGCCAACTTACCCGTCTCCAACTGAGTCTACCGAGACCCCAGTGCCAACCTATCCTTCTCCAACAGGTTCGACTCTCACCAATACCGTGACGGAGACATACACCAGCATTAGCTGCCCAGGTAAGTTACTTAATTCACCGTTGTGAATTATTTGAGAATGAATATGCTGATAATATATTAGTCACCACGGAGACCCAGACTACTGGAACTGAGACTCACATCACCACTCGAACTGAGACCAGCACCATGACCTTCACCACTACCACCATCTCTGAGACTGTTGTCCCTCCACCAGAGACTTCTGGTACCGTTGCACCAACTGAGAGTGTTCCTCAGCCAACCGAGACGCCAGCTCCAACTGAGACGCCAGTTCCAACTGAGACGCCAGTTCCAACTGAGACGCCAGTTCCAACTGAGACGCCAGTTCCAACTGAGACGCCAGTTCCAACTGAGACGCCAGTTCCAACTGAGACTCCAGTCCCAACCGAGACTCCAGTCCCAACCGAGACTCCAGTCCCAACCGAGACGCCAGCTCCAACTGAGACTCCAGCTCCAACTGAGACGCCAGCTCCAACTGAGACGCCAGCTCCCACTGAGACTCCAGTTCCAACTGAGACTCCAGTTCCAACAGAGACTCCAGTTCCAACAGAGACTCCAGTCCCAACCGAGACTCCAGTTCCAACTGAGACTCCAGTTCCAACTGAGACGCCAGTTCCAACAGAGACGCCAGTTCCCACTGAGACGCCAGTTCCAACAGAGACGCCAGTTCCCACTGAGACGCCAGTTCCCACTGAGACTCCAGTTCCAACTGAGACTCCTGCTCCCACTGAGACTCCTGCTCCCACTGAGACTCCTGCTCCCACTGAGACTCCTGCTCCCACTGAGACTCCTGCTCCCACTGAGACTCCTGCTCCCACTGAGAGTCCTGCTCCCACTGAGACTCCAGCACCAACCAGCCCAACCCCAGTGCAACCACCAATCTACACTGGTATGGCTACCCGTACCAAGAACACCGGGCTCTCTGCCCTGATGGCTATCGGCGTTGCCATGGTACTGGCATGAGCAATATTGTTTCTTTAATAATCCTCCATGTCGTTTTCTATTCTAATTGACCAGACACTCATTTCTTCAAAGATACATCCCGTCCACATTTACCGTTTTAATTTTAATTTCATAATTGGCAGCAGTAGTTGGAAGGGGTCACGGTAGAGTGACGAACAATTGGAATGATTTCACCCATGTTATTGCACCTTGCCTATCTATCAATTTTTTGTTCAAATCGAATCGACTAAACATTGGACGGTTGGAGATTTGCAGGGACAGCTTCCTGAGGCAGGGAATACCCCTGTTGAAGAACCCCCTTTCATTTTCTGCGAATAGAAATCATGGGGAGCGAACTTTAACCTTTTGAAAACAACGACTGCTCTCTTCACATTGAGTTATTACATTAAAAGTGTTTTTCGGCAGCAGTGTCAAGATCTGTTTTCTTGTGTTTGAGCTTAACATTGTAAAATACGACGTTAAATTCAAAAAGACCGGTTCGTCACTGATGCTGTTCTTGTTCTTAACCTTTTTCTTCCTCGCCGCATTCAATGTTGCAATTTGATATATCACGTCACACCCATGGACCCATTGACCCCTTTATTTAGAACTTGGTTGTCGATTGAGTTTTGGGCGGTAGTTCCGATGCACTGCATATCACAACGTAGTATTCTATTCGCCACTCGAATTGCAGGTAACTACCGCTTGCCTCCAACGGTAGGAATTAATCTATCATCACAGCATTGTCATGAGTATGAGCGAAGACGATGTTCTTGTGCTAAACTGCATATGCGGTGTTTGAACAATGAATATGAATATCCTGCTATTATGTGGTTATGAAATTATGTGTGATATAAACTTCATCACCATCACACACGCCTTCGATCCAAATCAATATTGCAACCAAGGGGTTTATCTAGGTACGACGGCAACTGCACCGCTTGGTCCACTCTCAGGTGGGCGTAATGGGAATACTCGGTGGCCCATGCCCTGTTCTGACCCTGGCTGCCTGTAGAATTTACAATGTAGGAAATGTCAGCTTTTAAATATGGACAGCATATCTCCAGCTAGTTACCGTAGCATCTTGCTGATCTTTGTCCCACGAGGAGAAATGGACTGCTAGCTAGCAAGCGACTAACATCGACCGCCCAATAAAACTGACTGCTACGTAGAAGGACGCATGTCATGCCGCGGTGACAGGCTTCCAAGAATGCTCTGCCTTCTTCCAGCAGGACGCTTGTGAAAGGGGCATATCAAAGCCTAACTCCGGACTTCTATGCGGTAGGGTCCTGTGGTTGGTGGGCGATAAGGGTATGCCTACTTAGTTATACTGTGAATGCGCCCTGCTAGCCGTCGACGTCCACTTTCAGGCAGAGTTCGTCAAATGATCGTTCCCGATACTCTCGTATCAACCATCTTGTATTTCTTGGATTGAAGCTCAAGTTGAAGCTCGAGAAATGAAGCTCAACAAATGAAGCTCGAGAATGGACGTTGATATCAGGAACGATATTGATTACATAACCATGGATAAACAATATTCCATAACTCTAACCACGTGATACAATCCAGCCAAGACCAGAGTGCAAACATGCCCGAAACGGAATGTTTGCCTTGTCTGTCCAAGAAGCTCGAGTCCGTCTGCGGTTTATGATGCCAAAGTGTCCTCATCGCGGATTTATCTTCTCTACAGTCATTCAAGGGCCAAGGCAGCTGTTTTCAATTTGATGATTTTCCGAGGGCCTAGCTGATACTATAGACGTGTCCTCTTCATTTCTTATTCGCCCCAGTGGCGCTGGTTCTCGCTGTAGTTTGAACGCAACATCTAGTTTGCCTTCCCACTAACTGTACACCGTTTATCTTCCACGCTCTCTACTTTCTTTCATGAAGCGATAACGAACCTACCACCATTAGCAAGACACTGACCTATTGTATTTATGTCTTTCTGCTTTGATTCCTAAGGTATGGCTTCATTCCATTGGGCTTAACCACCCGCGAGGTATATCCCGTCATTAACAGGCAGTTGCTTCTTAGATCTAGACTTAATACCACCACATCGTTTTCTGCCCCGGGTTTCTTTCACAATGACGTCACCTGGACGGCGAAGAACTGGGAGGAGAGCTTCACTTTTCTATATAATATGTTCTGTGGCTCTTGTTTCCGTGCTTCTCGCCGGGGTGCCCGCAGTCGCTGCGGCTTCCGTTGGCTCTGGCGTCCTCGGAATCGACCTCGGGACGGAATACATAAAGGCTGTTTTGGTCAAGCCTGGAATACCATTCGAGATAGTTTTAACTAAGGATTCCAAGAGAAAGGAAGCCGCCGTCGTCGCATTCAAACCAGCCCGTGAAGCCAGCCCTACGTTCCCCGAAAGATTTTACGGTGGCGATGCGAGTTCACTTGCCGCTAGATTTCCGGATGATGTCTACGCGAATTTGAAATCACTTCTAGGGGTCCCTATGGCCAGTGGAATTCAAGGATCAGGATCGGAGGGTGAAAACCTGGTCGAGATCTACAGGCAGCGCTACCCTGCACTCAACATTGAAGCGCCATCAAGCGGGCGAGGGACCGTTGGATTCAAGAGCAACAAAGTTGGAGAAAAGGACGGACAGGAACCGTTCTTAGTCGAAGAATTGTTGTCGATGCAGTTGAAACAGGTCAAGGCCAATGCAGAAGCATTAGGTGGAAAGGGGACCAACATCAAAAATGTTGCCATTACTTTCCCACCATTCTATACCGCTGAGGAAAAACGGAGTGTGGAGTTGGCTGCAGAGTTGGCTGGCCTGAACATCGTCTCCATGGTTAGTGACGGCATGGCCGTCGGTATCAACTATGCGACATCCCGAACTTTCCCCAACGTCTCCGACGGGAAGAAGCCTGAGTACCATGTTGTTTTCGATGTGGGTGCCGGTTCCACTAGCGCAAGCGTTCTTAAGTTCCAGGGCCGTACTGTGAAGGATGTTGGAAAATTCAACAAAACCATCCAGGAAGTGCATGTTGTAGGAACGGCCTGGGATAAGACCCTGGGCGGCGATCTACTTAACCACTTGATCGTGAATGATATGGTTGAGAAATTCATGGGAACAAAGAAATTAGGGGGAGATGTGGCAGTCTCGCAAGTCAAGGCCCATGGAAAGACCATGGCGAAATTGTGGAAAGACGCCGAGCGTGTTCGCCAAGTTTTGAGTGCGAACACCGAGACAACTGTCTCCTTCGAGAATCTGTACCAGGAGGATGTCAACTTCAAATATGCCCTATCAAGGTCGGAGTTCGAAAAGCTAGCCGAGAAGTACGCGCAGCACATCAATGTTCCATTGACCGAGGCACTTGCTGCCGCAGGGCTTAAGATTGATGATATTGAATCTGTGATTCTTCATGGTGGCGCAACCCGGACTCCATTTGTCAAGCAAACGCTCGAGAGGTCTACCAATGGGAAGGTTAGGACAAATGTCAACGCAGATGAAGCTGCTGTGTTCGGTGCCGCTTTCAAGGCAGCCTCCCTTAGCCCATCCTTCCGAGTCAAGGAGATCCGAATGAACGATACTCCAGGCTACGCTGTCAATATGAGATGGAAATCCGGAGAGAAAGAGAAACAACAGAAGCTCTTCACTCCTTACTCTGAAATCGGCGCAGTGAAGCATTTGACTGTGAAAAATCTAGAGGATTTTACTCTCAAATTTTCTCAACTTTTTACGCGCAACGGCGATTCAGTTGAAGCCCCTATCCTCGAGGCTCAAACGGCAAACTTGACCGCGTCCTCTGCAAAACTCAAAGATGACTTCGGTTGCGCTCCTGTTAACATCACTACCAAGATCTCAGTGAGACTGAATCCTTCGAACGGAATTCCAGAAGTAGTGGGTGGATCTGTCAGTTGTGAGGTGCAAAATGAAAAGAAGGGAGTCGTTGAGGATGTGAAGGAATTCTTTGGCCTTGGGTCGAAGAAATCCGGTCAAGAACCTCTAGAGGAGACTGGAGAAGCTATTGATTTAGACGCCTCTTCTTCCTCGACATCCACTACGTCATCGGCCAGTTCGGCTTCTTCTGCGACTGGAACGACCTCCTCCAGCTCTTCGAAGGAAACTGAAAAGGCCACCAAAGAAGTCAAAACTAGAGTCGAATCCATTTCTCTTGCCTTTACTTCCACTGTATTGGGGGTTCCACCTCTAACCGCTGAAGAGATGAAGCGTATTAAAGACCGCCTTGCAGCATTTGATGCATCCGATCTTTCTCGTGTTCACCGTGAAGAAACCTTCAATGAGCTCGAATCATTTATTTACAAGGCCCGCGATTGGCTCGACGACGAGGCATTTACCAAAGCTTCCACCAAGGACTTCCTCAAACAGCTGGAAGAAAAGGTTACTGCCTCGGGTGACTGGCTTCATGAGGACGGCTCCGATGCTGGGATCAAGGAATTAAAGGACAAACTGCGCGACTTGAAGGACTTCGTTGGCCCAGTTATTCAACGAAAGACTGAGAGTGCCACCCGGCCTAGGAAAGTTGAGGCACTGAAGGGGAGCCTTGATAGTGCAAAAATGCTAATAGAAATTATGGAATCCCAAATTAAGGCTGAGGAGAGCCTGTTCTCTTCGTCTTTGTCTGCTTTCGAGGCCGCCGCTACCGAGTCATTATCTAGCTCAACCGATACCGATTCATCCGCTACATCCACAACTTCGACCCCGGCGGCCTCCCCATCCGAGGATCCTGATAACTTGGATGAGGACAACTTCTCCTCTGAGCCATCATCTTCAACTTCGACCGCACCTGCTGTCAAACCTACTCTTTCCTACTCGCTTTACACTCCAGAAGACCTTTCTGCAGCCTCCAAACTCCTCGAATCAACCACCACCTGGCTTGATGCCAAGATTGAAGAACAGAACAAGCTCAGCGAACACGAAGACCCAGTTCTATCAACCGCAGAAATCGACGTCAAGCTCAAGGAAATCGAAAAGGTGTTATCCGCAATCCTAACGAAACAAAGGCGACCAAACAGCGGGCCCAAGTCAGGGGGAAAAAAGAAGAGCAACGGAAAAGATAAAGCAAAAAGCCAAAAGTCGAAGTCGAAGTCAAAGACAAAGTCGAAGGGCAAGCCAAAGACCACTGGAACCATCGTGTCGCAGAAAATAAGGGAGACCCCAACGAGCAAGACAGCCAGCACCAAAGATGAATTGTAATCATGCATATATGGACTTATACATTTCCATTTTGTCTTTCCCCTTTTGTCATAATTAGCAGATTTCCAGTCCCCTCCCCTCTCACCTTAGACTTTTTATACTAGGAACAATGATAAATGAGTAGAGTTTGCGGCTTGTCCTTTGAACTGCGTCAAAGTGGTGACTAAGCCGGGCTCTTCCCTGGCTTTAAACCTTATCGCAACAGCATCGCGCCTGCGCTTAACTTAATGTTAGCTACCACCTGCTACGGAGAACTGTTATTGATATTAGAGATATATCGTCGAGTTTCTTTGTGACCATCGGCTCTCTGTGTTTTATATGACCACCGTCCTCTCTAGGTTTCTAACACTATCTTCGAAGCCATGGCAATGCGGGGTCAATTCTCCGAATGCCTTGATAACGAGCCGGGAGCCTGCAAGCCAAGATTATGCTAATGTATGAATACTAGGGACCCGAGATACTCTCGTCAAACAAAACCCATCATGACTCAATGGATACGACATGCATTTCTTCCTCGGAGATTATGGTCATATCACGGACTTTGGCTAAGTCCGGAAGCTAGGAAGAACCATTTTTCACGAGCACGGCAAGGTTCCATATACCTGAAGAATAGATTGACGACAATAGTACGGAGTATGAGGAAAGATATTGTTCATGATAACGACACGGTATAAGGAAAGAGATCATTTATGAACTTGAAGCTTGCCTATTGCCAAATTTCTTCATCGATGTCGTCATGTCTGCGGAAGAAATGCGATTATGCTGATAAAAGCAGAATAACCTTAATAAGACATCCTTGACTAGCTTTAAAGGTCTTCGTGATTCTGTTAAGGCTAGTGGAGCTTCCAGGTCGTTGATTTATAATAATTCAAATTTTTATTTTTTTGACATTCTGAGCTTGACCCACCTGCGGATAATTGCTGACAAAACCGTCCACTTCCCTGAGAAATGGCACGATATGGAATGTTTCGGCTGCACCAATGATGTTTCGAGCCAGAATCATTTTACCTGTGCGTGAATGGATTCATCAATCCACGGTCATGGAGTTGTACCGTTTTTCGGAGACTTATGTTATATCCGGATACTGTTGAGTCATTATCAAATATGGCATTGACTACAAATTGCGCTACATGCCCATGGAGTGGTGATATTGATTCATTTCGCTCTCGTTGCTTAGCTTGCAATAGCTAGGCTTAACATCTCCTGTTACCTTACAATGGATACTCCAGTGCAATCCTCTGGCCAGGCCAGCGGCCGGGCTTCGGTCTACTCCTTGGATCGTCCTCTAACGAACAATTTTGATAACTCCGAGAAAGCCGCTGCTGACGATGGACACACGTCGATCCCATCGAGAGTCCATGGGTGGAAGGTGAGTACGGAATCAATGGCTTTGGCTTCCATAGTACTCACGGATTTTATAGTGGTTCATCGTCTGCTGTGTGCTCTACTCTTCGACATTTCTCTATGGACTTGACACGACCATTGTGGCAGATGTTCAGGTGCCCATAGTAGAGAGATTCGGGTCCGTTGAGAAACTGAGTTGGCTTGGAACCGCCTTCCCTCTGGGTTCAGTTGCAACGATTCTTCCAATGTAAGCTTGCTGACAAAATTTACCATACTCAATCGGCTAACAATAAAAGTGGTGCACTCTATAACATATTTGACATAAAATATGTGTATATCATTTCACTTGCTTTGTTCGAAGGAGGAAGTGCTCTATGCGGGGGCGCCCCTAGCATGGACTCATTGATAGTAGGCCGGGTGATGGCTGGGATCGGTGGATGTGGAATGTACCTTGGGTATGTGTTGACGCACCTGGACAAATGGATTGATTTGCTGATGCACACCTAGTGTTCTCAATTACATCGCAATCTTCACTACCCTACGAAGGCGCCCTGTATATATGGGCATGACGGGAATAGTTTGGGGATCAGGTGCTATTCTTGGCCCGGTGATAGGAGGCTCCTTTGCGGACAGTTCTGCAACCTGGAGATGGGTAAGTTCGGCCGGTCGTCATAATTTTGTGCCTGTCTAACGATAATAGGCATTCTATATCAATCTAGTTCTCGCCGCTGTCGCTGTGCCAGCACTTTTCCTGCTTGTTCCAAGGCACAAGTCATCCCCAGATGTCCCCGTTCTCTCTAAACTTAAGGAACTCGATATCATAGGAATGATTCTTAACGGCGGAATCTACTTTCTATGGGTTCTCGCCCTCACCTTCGCCGGGGTAACTTGGAAATGGAATGACGGACGCATAATAGCGCTCTTTGTCCTATTCGGCATTACACTGATAGCCTTTGTTGTCCAGCAGTACTTCTCCCTCTTCACCACCGTTGCTCGCCGCGCATTCCCAGGACAATTTCTCAAGCGGCGATCCTTGATAATCCTTTATATCAGTACATGCTGTTCCAACTCGGCATTTTTCGTTGGCGCCTATTACATTCCTCTATTCTTCCAGTTCAGTCGTGGTGATACCGCCATCGCCGCCGCAGTGCGACTCCTACCGTTCGTGATGGTAACCATAACAACCATCATGCTAAGCGGAGCCCTAATGCCAGTGTTCGGCTACTATATGCCCTGGTACTTTATCAGCGGGGCCTTCTTGGTTGCTGGTTCATCCCTCATGTATACCGTCGACGCTCACACTCCCGCTGCCAATATATATGGGTATTCTGTTCTGCTTGCTATTGGGGCTGGCGCGACAGCGCAAGCAGCCTACAGTGTCGCAGCAGCAAAAGTGAAGGGATCAGAAGTGAACCATGCAGTGACATTCATCAACCTTGCCCAGCTTGGAGCAACAGTTCTCTGTCTTGCCATCTCAGGAGCCATTTTTCAAAACCTAGCACTTCGAAATCTCGAATCTGCTCTTTCTGGGTATGGCGATTACTCGAGGTCGCAGCTTATTTCTGCGATTGCGGGTGCAAAAAGCGATATTCTCCAAAATGGGTCACCAGAAGTTAAAGACGCTGCAATTAACGCCATTGTTCATGCAATGAGGAACGTTTACGTTTCCCTTATCGCTGCTGGTGCACTAGAGATGGTGACATCATTATTCCTTAAGCGAGAGAAGTTGTTTATGAAGATGGAGGCTGTCGGGTGATTGATGTTTTATATGTAAAAGTCTCAATAAACGGCGAATAGTATGATTGTTGGTACTAAGGAGGCGAATAAATGGAGGATTAAACAGTATAGATAAATAATATAGGGATACATATGGAACCAAAAACGAAAATCAGAGACGCATTAGTTAGTGTAAAATCTCGCATAATATCTAGAGTATCATCACATCATTATTCATAGTTCTTGTATGTTCTTGCATTGCCAACTTCGTTTGCCTTCGGTTCGTGCACTACTAATATACTAGGGCTATCATCATGGGAATCGGATCTAGGATCGCCGTAGCCATGATTACCCAGCTTAGTCTATGCCCTGCCCACCTATGGCTCATTGCTGGGATCTTTATGGTACTTAATGCTGTGGGTGAAGTCAACCTTCAATTGGGGGTCGGCATGACGATGATATCATTTGGGTTGTCGTGAGTTTCGTGTTCTTCTTGACCTTCGGCCAAAACAAAGGGAGCCTCCTCAACACTCTGTATTGGTTTATCATGGTTTGAATGCGGGCTATCAGGGCTCGTAGCTCGGGCTTGGCTCTCTTTGAATCGCTCATTTGCAGCCCGGATCATAGTATCTCTCTGCTCCTTGGTCCAGTCTCGTAGGTTTCGATATGCAGATGCCCCCTCCCGGAATGTGTTTATGTTATTGGTCATTGAGTAGGAACATAGGGCGGTCATGATGTACTCGGGCCGACTATCCTTATCTTTAGAGCCGACTATGTGGGTTGTATATAGCTTGAGGGTGCCAGTCTGATATGTCGATGTAATGGTATAGGCATTGCTATCATAGGATGGCCTGGGTTGCTTATATGACTGAAGGGCATATATGCCTCGGGCTCCAAACGCGCCGTCATAGCAAGCTTGTCTCATGGCGACAATAGGGGTTCCGTCCGGGCCTTTCGCCTCTAAGAAAAAGTTGGGTGCGAGCGGGAGATCGTCCTGCTTTGAAGGAACGATACTGCTGCTGAGTTCTTCACGGATTTTGGGATGAAGTTGATGGGGCCGTGCACCAAAGAAATGATCAGGCTTTGGGATAACAAGTGATCCATCTGTTAAGGGGCTAAGGTTGGTAAATTGGTAGTCCCTTCCACGACATTTCGAGCGACCCCCGTCGCCATCAATTATTGGTATGACGGAAGCGATAATGTCTACCTCTTTGGATACCAGCTGATCTTCTCGTTTAAACATACGAAAGTCGTCCTTTGTGAAATTTGTAGGTGAAAGAGAGCGCCGTTGTCGCGTCAGTATGGCATTAATTTCATCCCAATTTTTTGGCTCAGCGGGGCTGTCGCCATCATCATACTCGTGCCCATCCGGGTAAACACCACTGTCAATCAGGTGTTGTTGGAAATTCCGACTATAGGCTGTTGTGCTTGTAGACTTTGTGGTGGTTGTCTTGGAAGAATTCGTAGTAGCTTTGGTATTGGCAGTAGCGCTGGTAGAGCTTGACAAGGCAACGGATTTGGCACGGCGTCTCTTAATGCGCGAGGAGGTAGAGCTTGAATCGTTGCTGCTTGTTGTTGATTTATTGGATCCCATGATTAAGTAAGGGACCTGTGAGTCCTTACACTAAATAGAAAAAAAACATCAGTAAAAGCGCTATTTTGAGACGGTAATAACGTACATTTCTAAGGTCCCTTAAGTCTGGGCCGCCGCGTCTGGCAAGATATTTTATTTCCTTCAGGCACTCGGCTGTGCACTTGCGTATGAGATTAGGGGCAGGTATAACAGTTCCACAGCGTTTCTTTAATTGGGTAGAGAACTGGCGAGTAACCGGTCGTTGCTGTTGACCCTCTTGCGGCGATGTTTTGATTCTGGTCCTCCGATCTAGCTCCCGTAAAGCGTCCTTGGTAAGCCAGATTTTAGATAGGCTATCCCAATAGCAGGATGGGTTAATCTGCCGCCGCTTTGGCTGCTGCTGGACTTGCTCTTGCTTGGGGTACCGCCGCTTGAGGGATTGGTGATGGGTGGCCCGGCTAGACATCTGGTCTGGTTTATATAGCTCGTTTCCAGGCAGCAAAAGAACGTGTTGAGGCAAAGCGGGGGCTTGGATCGCATGAATATTTGGAATTCAATGCGACTGAAACGGAGGGGCTGTCAGCTGCATTCTTCAAACGCCAGGTTTGAACATTGAGAGGGCAGTGATTGGGTATGCCTTGCTCAGAGAGAGCTGGATGAAGTGAAATGTTGAACCCGTTCGTTAATCAATGCGAAATGAAAGGATAGCAGTTGCGCAGACGGTGCAAGGCTTAGATTGTGGAACTCCTTCTGCCTTCTCTCGACCAGGGGCGCGTAAATAATTGACATCAAGAAGATCAATGCTATGCGGCTTATGATGTTATGCGCCGTGCGACGTCGCGACGAAAGTTTACACGTGACACGACCGGCAGCTATAAATAACGCTTATGCTTATGTCATTTTGATACTCCATGTTTATTGGCTAATTTTGGCCGCCCGGCGGATCGGCCCGTATATCACGTGAAATATTTCTTCAGCCGCATCCACCAATCAGGGTCACCCGGAGTTCGGATTATATATATACCAGACTTAGTAATCATGCTTATATCAACTGAAATGTCCGGCACGAGCTGCCTTTTTTCCGCAGTTCAGGGCATCTCGAGCCGAAGGCTTCCCCTTGTGGTCGTCTATAAAAGGGCAACGACTTCTCCCTCGCCCGCCTAAACATCCTCCAGCAAGCAACATCCAGCAACACCCAGCACCAGGCAGCACCGGGCAGAGAATAGTCGCCTTTCCCTGATACCCAGCGACCTCGCACTTCTGCACCTGGTGCCCTGCTCTCTCTGCTACCTTGATATATCATGATGCGTTCTTGCTGAGTTGATGTGATGTGATGCCGCGCTGATATATATGATGCCTCTGTGATGCCGCCGTGATGTCGATGTGATGGACGTTGATGGGGTGTAGCCTCTACCCTTACATGCCTTGTCCCTCGCCGTGGCTTAGCCCCTATGCCAACACTTGGTCCCCCCAACCTGCGCCATGACGGCTAGTACAACGCTATCTTCCCCCGCAACCGTCATGATTCCAAATCGATGTGCCCACTCATTACGATGGCATTTTCCCTAGTTTACGGGGACACCACTAGGTCGGTTGCCCAACCAAACGGAAACTGAAGCCGAAACTTGTTCCCTCTGCCTGTCCGCGCGGCTCAGGCAGAGGTAGCACGGAACGTCGGATCTCCAGTGATCCGGATATCAGTCTTTCTCCTTTGTCTTCTGGTTTTTCTGCAGAAATTCAGTAAACCGGGAAGCATCCTTGCATCCGTTTCCATGATACCGACCGGAAGCAAATCAAAAAGGCCGAATGCTATGACGGGGCGCAGTGCTTTCAGCTTTGTTTTTGACAGCTACCCTTTTCGTAGACGAGCTCTGAACGGCAGTTGGTCGTTGTGCTCCCTCTGCCTGTAGGACGGCCGTTGAATATTTAAATCCCCAGTCCCATCCGCAATTTTTTGTCTCATTCTACTATCCCATGTTCAATCAGAATTGACTCTGAGTAAAAATTAAGAAACAAATTTCCCCATACCAAAACTTGGTTATTCTGCTATTTTACCCCTTGAGATGAAGCAATTTTGCCTTGTCCTGGCTGCTGCCACTGTCGCTCTACTTGGATCCGCCAGTTCCAAGCCCACCGAGAATGCTGGCCCAACTGACGGTAAGTCGTTTCCCCATTGCCAACGGTTCCATGCTCCAAACCTGACCGTCTGTCTCTGTACCACTTTAGGACAAGTCCTTAACTACGCTCTCACTCTCGAGCATCTCGAGGCTACCTTTTACAAAGATGGCTTGAAAAATTACACGCACGAACAGTTCATCGCGGCTGGATTCCATGATCCATTTTATGAGAACCTTCAGACGGTGGCATCGGACGAACAGACTCACGTCGAGTTTCTCACCAAGGCTTTGGCCGGTGTGTATCTCTTCTATCCGTTTCATTCTGTCGTTTCTATAGCTAACTAGCCGGGAAGCTGCTGGTGCCACTCCGGTAGAGGCATGTCAATACTCATTCCCAGCAACTGACGTTAAATCCTTCGTTGCACTCGCCAATGTCTTGGAAGGTAAATAGCCACTCGACTGACTTACCGAAGGGCTTCACCTTGTTATTGGTGGCTGACATGTTTTGTACAGGAGTTGGCGTTAGCGCATATCTCGGAGCAGCCGGGTTTATCATGGACAAAAAGTACTTGACGGCAGCAGGCAGTATTCTCACGGTTGAAGCTCGTCATAGTGCATACATCAGGGCGACACATGGACAAGTTCCTTTCGCCCAGGCCTTTGATAGCCCTCTCGGTCTCAACGAGGTCTTCACTCTTGCTTCTCCTTTCTTCGCAAGCTGCCCACCAAACAACCCAAAGCTCCCTGTCAAAGCATTTCCATCGCTCTCTGTGAGCCCAGCTGGTTCTGTGGTGGCTGGATCAAGTGTTACCCTTACCCCTGGCGCAATGTTCGATGCTGGACATGGCGATATCCATGCAGCCTTTATCACTGTCACCGGTCCCATATTTGTGCCCTTTAAGCATACCGATTCCATGTTCACCCTCGAGATCCCTAGCACTGTTGCTGGCCAGAGCTATGTCGTGTTGACTTCGAGCAACTCGACAGTGAGCGATGATAATGTTCTCGCGGGCCCTGCTATTATCGAAGTAAGTCCATTGTCCATGGGCCACCCCTATGTCTAGTACACCTGTATATGGGTTGAACTATATTAGCTCTATTGCATTGAATGAATATATTCTATATTTTGTTTTCTGTTGTATTTCTATTGCTAACAATTCATTTAAGATCGGTACCAAAACGACCAACAACTCGATGACCGCCCCAACAAGCACGATGAACCCATCCATGAGCGCCTCCCCATCTACCACTGGACCTGCAGAATTCCCTGGTTTCGCTCTACGTCTTGGGACCAACCTGGAGAGAGTAGCCATGGGCATGGTCGTAGTTATTGCTGCGTTGATATAGTTTACTCCCTCCACACAGGGACCACAGATATAGTACATACCTAGTTATAATTACACACTTTTATCTACCTTACTATCTACACTATTTCTACGTGAGTCTGACTCAAATATGTACACCAAAGGGATGAGGCCTATCTTATCGTAACACCACGTGACCAGATAGCTGCAGGTACATGCGACGAAGCACCAAGTTTGGTGGGGGTTGGTGGGAGTCACTTTTGACCATCGACAACTTCTCTGCGCTCCCACCTGTGCTTTATTTATCTGGATACACCAGGCAGAGCAAGGCATGATGGATACGCCCACAGAGCTACCGGTCAGGCCAAAGCCCGTTGACGAGAACAAGCCGGCTGAAGAACAGAACCCCGCCGCCGAACAGAAGCCACCAAAAGAAAAGAAGCCAAAGGAGAAGAAGCCCAAAGAGAAGAAGCCAAAGCCTCCGAAAGCTCCCTCTGAAGCGAAACGCGCAGCTCCCGCCGTCAATGATCCCGATGCGATGTTCAAGGTCGGGTTCCTCGCGGATGTGTACAAAGAGAGACCACTAGAAGAAACCGTCAACAAACAAGTGGTCACACGTTTCCCGCCAGAGCCAAACGGTTATCTTCACATCGGCCACAGCAAGGCTATGACTATCAACTTTGAATTCGCAAATTACTATGGCGGACAGTGCTATTTGCGGTTCGACGACTCCAACCCAAAGGGCGAGGAAGAACGATACTGCGAGAGCATCAAGGACATCGTCAGCTGGCTGGGCTTCACACCTGTCAAGATTACTCATACAAGCGACTATTTCGACCAGCTATATGAGCTCGCTGAGAAGTTGATTCTGAAGGATAAAGCTTACGTCTGTCACTGCACAGGTAAGGGGGACAATGTTCGATCATATCAACATCTGTTGCTGACCTATTCTTAGATAGCGAGATCAAGGCCCAGCGTGGTGCGGATGATACCTCAGACAAAAAGGGTAATGAAAGATTCGCCTGTGCCCACCGCGATCGTCCCACATCCGAATCTCTCAACGAATTCCGCGCAATGCGAGATGGCAAATACCGAGCTCGAGAAGCCGCACTCCGCTTGAAGCAAGACCTGGAGAACCCAAATCCTCAAATGTGGGATCTGTTTGCGTATCGAGTTGTTGAAACGGACGATGGCAACTTTGCCAAACATTTGCAGACAGGAGACAAGTGGAAAATATATCCAACGTACGAATATTGCCATTGTGTTTGTGATAGCATTGAGGGTATCACCCACTCGCTCTGCACCACGGAGTTCGAGCTATCGCGTGAGTCTTATGACTGGGTAGTTAACGAGCTCGATATATACAAACCAATGCAAAGAGAGTATGTATATGTTCCAATATTAGGTCCATTAAAATTTCATTTTACTAAACAAATCACAGGTATGGACGCCTAAATATCAACGGCACCATCATGTCGAAGCGGAAGCTCGTCGAGCTCGTCGAAGGTAACGAGCCAAAGGGAGGTAATCGAGGCAAATACGTCAAAGGATGGGATGATCCTCGCCTTTTTACCCTTGTTGGCCTTCGTCGACGTGGAATTCCTCCAGAGGCAATTCTATCCTTTGTAAAAGAGCTCGGTGTTACGAAGGCAAAGACTACGATAGACGTTAAGCGATTGGAACAATCTGTGCGGTCTTATCTGGAAGCAACGGTACCTAGGCTTATGCTTATTCTGGACCCTATTCCTGTGATCATCGACAACCTCCCAGAGGATTACGTCGAGATGATCGAGTTGCCCTTCTCAAAGGATCCAAACCATGGCGTAAGTGCCTTCCTTATCTACGGAAATTACTCTATCAGTTTCGTAGCTGATTGCTGACGCGCATCCCTAGTCTCACTCTGTTCCATTTACCAATACCGTCTACATTGACCGGAGCGACTTTAGGGAGGAAGCCTCAGACAACTTTTACAGACTTGCTCCCGGCGGCTCAGTTGGTCTCCTTAAAGTTCCGTTCCCAATCACGGCCACATCCTTCGAAAAAGACCCCGCCACTGGCCTAGTTACCTCCATCCACGCCAAATACGACAAGCCAGAGGGAGACGACAAGTTCAAGAAGCCCAAAGCGTGAGTTCTTTCCATTTAAACCCATAGATTTCTTCGTTAGCCTTGATATTGACTTGTGTTATTTAGATACATCCAATGGGTTGCTCGCTCCCCCACCCACAACAGCCCTGTCAGCGCTGAAGTGCACAATTTTAACCCTCTCTTCAAGTCGACGAATCCTGCTGGACACTCAGACGGGTTCCTGGCTGATATCAACCCCGACTCCGAAGAGATCCTCCCCAACGCTATTGTAGAGATAGGCTTCCATGAAGTGAAGGAGAGAGCTCCTTGGCCTGCAAATAAGGGCGAGACTAATGCTGACACCCCGTCGCCTGCGTCTGTTCGTTTCCAGGGCATGCGCGTTGCATATTTCTGCGAGGACAGCACTAGCACGCCTGAGAAGATTGTACTTAATAGAATTGTGACTTTGAAAGAGGACGCCGGCAAGGCGTAAATATGTCAATGTATTTGGGTATTGTCATGCTACCTAGGAGGCAAATCATGAAAAGTCGTATCGAATGTTCTTTAATGACATTATTCTATTTTACTTTCTACTATCGACGCTGAAAATGGTGTCGGCATTTCGGCAATTATTATGCCGGAGGCGACTTGCCCCGCCTGACACCTATGCCCGATTGCCGATTCTCGAAGTTGTGTAAACAAAGAGCTCGAGGGAAGATATATGAGACATCCCCATTATAATAAATGCAGGGAGAGCTGTTGGCCATGTAAATGGTGAGAAACCGAGAGTGTGACGGCGTGAGAGTCGTACTGCGTGGGGCCCGCACACAGCATGTCTTCCACTTATATCATTTCTGCTTTTACTTGTAGAAGTGCACTAGAAGGGATTAAAAAATTGACCAAGAGCTTGGATAGGTCATAATACAGCCTCACCGGTCATCAAGGGTAAGGAAGCCTGCCGCTGGTCATTGCTAACTATTTCGAACTTTCTCGTAGTACCTCCGCCGTATAGCTTGCACAAAGTAATTTTCTGTTGTAACTTGTGTAGCGCTGTATAATGAAGAGAGAGAATAGAGAGGACATTACATATCTAGCTATTTGGAGCTCACAGTTTGCATAATGACGATTGGAAATGGAGGGTCATGACGAGCAAGTCAAAATGGCAAATGTCAAAAACCATGTCTGATCATTGTATTTTACGTATCTCGAGTCACCTCCTTAGCGATTGCCATCATCAAAGAGAGAAAGGTGATAATTATAAAAATATATTCAAATCAGTCGTAAACCTATTCCTATTCGTCCAATAATCTTCACACTTGGAAAAAAATCCGTATAATCCTAATCCGTAATTCCAGGTGATAAAGAATGGTAGCACTGACCCCTCCCTTGTCCATCAACAAATGAAATCCAAAGAGTAAAAGAATAAATAGCCATACCTGGTATAGTCTGGCTAAAAGACCGGTAGGTTCTGTCCATATAAAACCCAATCGTTCAATATGGAATGATGGTATGAGCGCCCAGTGGCCCTGATTGTCGATTGTTTCCAATAATAGAAATGTCGTTGCTGTGGTGTATTCTGTAGGACGCCATCCGGTGTAAAGAGAGAAAAAAGGCTGTTTTGCTAGATAGTTGATAATACATGTTCCCGAACGGACTCCGCGGCGACACCAGCTGAAAAAGAATTGCGAGTATACCGTATGATAATGCCTTGTTGTTTATTGCTCGGTTTTGCAAATATAACAATAAATGAATGTGATGACGCTTTCTTCAGCTGATCAGCTCTGCGAGAGGGCGTCTTTGGTCTCTATGGCCACGCTGAGGCTGCCAGTAGCGGAGAGGGTTTAGTTTGGACGAGCTTCTGTGCATCGCAAAGGGGTTATAGTTGTTTGGAGGTGCCGTGGGGGGAAGTCCGCGTTCGTACGCATTCTGTGGAGGGGTGACGAGCATCTCTTCCTCAGTATCAGCGACAGACTGGTGATCAGGCAGGTCTATTCGGAATGTGCTCTGTGACACTTCGACGCTGGGTGCCCTGTCCGGCCGTAGATAGAGACGGAGAAGCTGCCGTCTCTGCAGCTCGGTGTCATCTGGGCCTACATCAGTGGTAGCCCGAGAATTCTTCTGCCGCCGCTGCCGCGAAGAGGTCAAGGACATCCAGTAATCGGAGAAGTAGAAAGCAAAGAAGCCGTAGGCGGCGGTGGAGATGCAGGAGATAGTAACGATGATGATGGACATCATATTTAGTGGGAGTAGGTTCCGCACCAGGATGCTTATGATGACATTGAAAAGCCCGAGAATGGATGAAGTGAAACAGGCGCTGTATATAGTTAGTATATATAGAAACCATATAGTAAGCGGAGAGAAGGAGAAACATACAAGAAGAGCGAGTTGAAGAGATAGATACTCCGGCGCCACCGCACATAGTATAGCGCACTGAGGAGATATGCGAGCGTGAGGAGGATAACGGCAGCTCCCAGAAGCGCATTCTTGTCTGCTCCCAGCTTCACGGAGTTTGGCTCCATCGCGAACGGGAAGAGGAGGAAGCTAGATAGGGCAGACTTGTTAGCGATCTGACGACCAACATCGACGACACCAGATTCATTGGACATGACATACCCGGCGAGCAGCGACCACGCCGAGCCGATGGAGACGACTTTCCAGTACCATGGCAGCTGGTCTCCCAGCAGGCCTAGAGACCGGCCCAGCTCTGAATAGTTACGGGGTGCCATCTTGACCGGGCGTCATCACATCGAGGGAGCGACGAGGAGACACAGCGCGACAGAACGAGAGAGAAGAGGAAGCGCAAACTCGTCGCAGCGCCGGAGCAAGATGGTGAATGCGACGAAGAGGGAGTCCACTGTCTTGTCTCCAGCAGTTGCGTGGCCAGTCGTATTCACAGGCTAACAGGGCTAGTTTCTTATCGCCGGCAGGGTTTAGCAGTCTGCAGGGTGGTGGAGAGGAGCTGAACGGATTCAACGAAGGACTGAGAGCAGCATGAGGATAAAACGAGTGAATGTTGTCGCTGGACTGGAGACTGGAGTCGAGCTGAAGTCGAGAGGGAATACGAGCGAGGAGGAGAGCGAGACGACCAGGAAAAACGACCAGAAGGAGACCAGGAAGACGGAGGAGACAAGAAGGCCGGTAGGGATCGGTAACAATAGCAGAAAAGGAACTAATTACGTCTGGGAATCGCTTCGTCTGCGTCGTCTGCTTTCTTTTCGCCCTAAGCTACGGGGGACGGTCAAGACAAGGCGCTTTCGTCCTTCCTGGGATGCTCCGAAGATGCATGCATCCTGTGAGCCAATCTCCATCATGTACAAGGGGGAGAGACAGAGACAACCCTGGCCGTGGACGCGCGGGTGCAGGCGAGGAGACAGAGCAGCCAGTGTCTCCAAGTGAGTCGGCATCACATCGCATCACAGCTCGTCAAACCGGCGTCCGGTTGACAAAGAAGAGCGCCGTTTCGTTCCATCTTCGGCGTCGTTTATTGTTGTCAGTCGCTGGTATACAAGCCACGGCAGCTCGAACAAAGAGACAACGGAGATACTTGTTCGGATCTGCAGCTAGATGCTACCTTGTCCGTACTCCGTCCTGGTCTGATTCTGTCTCGTGCTCTCGCTTGTGGTATATTTATATCTACAGATTATACGGCAGAGATCAAGAGACTGGTCAACGATGATGATATCGACATCAACTTCGACGTCGTTATGTCGTTGCCACTACTTTCACTAGTTACGCCACATCCGAGATCCTCAACTAGTTACGCCATCAGTCTAACTGGTTGCAGGGAATCTTCGTCATTCAGAGCATTCCAACAGGAGAGAATAGATTGAGACGACACCCACGAAGAATATTGGGCGGAAACCAACAAAAAGGTCGCAGACCAGGGCTAAGCTCTGGTTACATCGGATCCCTGGATAACAAACCCCTGGTACCCCCGTTCAGGTACAACTCAAAGCCCACAGTTCCGCCACCATTTGATGCCCGCCTGGCGCCGTCGGTTTTTTTACGAAAATTATAGCGTCTGATAAGATGAGGGGCTGTTCGGAGAGCGGCTCGTTCTGAATCACCCCTGTCGAGATGGCGCCCTATCATACCTGAGATATACCCGTCAGCTACGTCATTTTCACGACATGTCCTCGTGTCGTCACGGACATCCTTTCTATGGACTGTCAGTTGCCAGAATATGTGAGATAGGCGCGATAGAAGCCTGGATAAAGCACCAATAGTCCGAAAGACCACTCAAGAGCCGTCAGGGGCTGAGATGGTTATCATGGTCAACCGTCCTGAGCTGTTCGAAAAGGCCACTGTTGATTCCGTCAAAGCAGACGACATCCGCCAGGAACGCCGAAATTCTGGCGGTAGCCATAGGAGCTTGTCTGGACCCCAAGTGATCCAGGCCCCGCACTCGGTCAACCCGACGCCCTGGCGCTTGATGTTAGGAGGTTGAGAAGGCAGTGCCCCTGTTTTGGTTGAAACATCTGTAGGTGGCAAGCCTAGCAGTGCGAACGTGCCAATATCGGTATTGACCTTAAGGCCAGCAGCGTCAAAGACAATACTATAAATTGGAGCACCTAGGGTGACTGTTGAGATAAGTTGGCTTGTCTTGATATACCAAAGCTTGACGGTGCCTTCATATGACCCTGACACAAGCCATTTGCCATCTGGTGAAAATTCCACAGATGTAACGTCCCGGGAATAGGTATAAAGTGTTTTGCTACGCTTGCCAGTTGCTATGTCCCAGATGTCGAGATATTCACCCTGTGCCGCGGCCGCAAGCCAACAGTTATCCTGGGAGAATGCAATCGCCGTGGTCCATTGTCCCGGACACTGAAGCGCTGTACTACAGCTGCCTGTGCCTGCCTCGAACAGTGTAATAGTGGCATACTCCCCTACCGCAAGCAAGTCACTATTTGGTGAGAATGCAATGGACCTGACGGTGTCGGAGAATTCGAACTTCCAAAGACAGGTACCTGATGCTATATCCCATGTCTTTATAGTCCGAATGCCTGTAAACACCTGGTTTTCGAACGTCCTAACGTGGGCCCCCGTTTCTACACTCCAGAACTTAATGCGGGTGTAAAACTCTAGTGGGAGTGCAGGTGTTGATAGAAGCTTACTACCATCCGGCGAGAAGATTATCCTCTTGATGAGCGAATTGCTCAAATACGGCTCAAAATAGGGCGGTGTCCTCAGCCTGGACGGCCTACTAATCCTTTCAGATGTAGCTGATATAAGTTGATTACCGTCTGGTGAAAACATAACCAACGTAGGAGTTGTATTATGGCCTTTGAACCCTGTAGTTTTGTTACTTGTAACATCCCAGAGCTTTATAGTAGAATCACCTGACGCCGATTCAAGCAATTTACCGTCCGGCGAGAATGCAACTGAGTTGACAGAATGGGAATGACCTTCAAAAGTCTTGACGCACTCCCCTGTCACAACGTCCCAGAGCTTTATAGAGTTGTCTTCGGAACCCGATGCAAGGTGATTCCCATCTGGCGAGAATGCAACAGTTGTAATATTGTCGCCGTGGCTCCTATCAAACGCAGTAATACAGCTGCCTGTCACTACATCCCATAGCTTGATAGTCCAGTCATCTTGTGGTAATGCGATCAGGCAGTCGTTTGGGGAGAATGCGACTGAGGAATACCCTTCAAAAGTCGGTCTAATATGACTACCTGTTTCTATATCCCAGATCATGGCTGTGCCATCGTATGAGACCGAAGCGAGTCGTTTGCCATCTGATGAAAATGAAATCGAGATAATCGGATCGCTATGACCTGTGAAGGTTTGAATACAGCCTCCGTCGCCATAGCCCAAAGCCTGATAACCGTGTCCTCTGACTGGGCATTGAGTCGTGAACAATGTTCGGATGCGGATGCAAGAAACCTCCCATCAGGCGAGAATGCAACGGCACGAACCCGGCTTTCATGGCCGTCAAATTTCGATATACATATACCAGTCGTCACATCCCAAAGTTGCAGAGTAGGGATGCCGCCTCTATTACTACCTGCAGCTACTATAAGCTGGTCGCCATATGGCGAGAATGCAACAGAGCTGACGTAGCAGATTCTGGCGTCATTCAACAACATTGCATTACCATGAACGTCAAGAGACATAATGCAATCTCCTGTTGCCACATTCCAGAGCTTAACGTCGTATGACGACGCAGTGACAATCTGGCTGCCATCCGGCGAGAATATAGCTATGGGCCCATAGCCGTTAATTCCCTCGAGGGTTTGTATACACGCACTCCAGTCGTCATCTACTCGTGGTAATAAAGTAATCCAAGATGGGAATTGGGACCTGAACAGCTTTCGAACTTCGCTTGCTTCTGGCGCGAATTTAATAGCCGAAGAATAGAGTTGTAGAGGGTACTCATCGATAATCGAGCGGTTGGTAAGGATGCCTCGCTGGGCATCATGTATAAGTACTGATAACCTACTGCTATTTATCTCCTGAAAGGAATTGAATTAGCATGTATATAGCGAATAAAATAGGGTATGCATACATCGAGCAGACTTAACAAATTATCCAGCATACGGACAGTCTCTTTGACTCGTCCTAAGATAGCTAATGCCTCAAGCCAGTGAAGTAGATGGCTAGTGAGGAAGCAGTACACCTGACCGTTGTCCTGAAGCGTGCCGGCGCTCTCCTTTATGTGGTAAACCCAATAGATACAGGCGTATTGAACCTCCGGGGTCAGGCGGCTTTCTATCGTCCGTTGATTTATTTCAGATCGCGGCTTTCCTGGCGCCCCTAGGCTGCAAACATCCATCCTAAGCGAGTTATTTGTTGAAAGTAGTTGGAGGCATTGGGCCGCGAGCATTGCGTGCGTTCCTTGTTCATCCACCCAGAACGGATTCTCATTACGGTGCTTCCGGTCAACTAAGAAGTCACGAAACGAGAGGTGGAATAACTTGATTGGCATGTTGGGGTCACGGGGGATATGCAAGACGGAATGAAGCCCATTTAGCCTTGATTCGATGCTCCTCTGGTGTTTTCCAAGAAGCCGTGCAAGTGATACAGCGGGAAGAGGGTCCGCAAGCATAACTATAGAGCCAACAAGTTCACGGAACCACGTTACCACCTCTGCTTTCCCGGCCTCGCTGCGAGGTTTTAACCCCGACTCATCACGCTCCAGGAGAAGCTGATTTAGAATGGGGAGATATGTCGTGTGCAGCTGGGGTGAGCCACTTGTATTGCTATACCCTAAAAGCTTTTGTAGCTGCTCATCTGGGTCACCACAATATACATCTGAGATGAAATCGCAAGCCGTAGAAGCAAATATAAAGAGTGGCACTGCCCTATCGACAAGTGCTTGAACGCTAGTAGGGTCGGGCCAATCTGGCGGCAGCTCTGATCCTGTGCAAACATCCTCGTTGAAATCAGCCCGAATCTCTTCTAGCTTGAAGGCTAGAAATGTCGATATGTCTTCCGAGATGGTTGACTTGGGAATTTCGTGAAGGATTAAATCTTTGGCAGTAATCCTTTTAAAGCTTCGCCGTATGTGAAACTCGGGTCTACTGGTAACGAAAAACCTCAGGCGGACAGAGGTCACTTCTGTCGATCTTGGCAGAAGACGAACAATGGCTGCAGCGTCTTCTTCCCGGTTGCATTCATCGAGAGCGTCAATCACCACGGATATCAGAGTTGGAAAGCGAGGGATATCTTTGCATTTCTTTAACGGGTCTAGAATGAGTTTCTCAAACTGATCTTTCATGGACTTGTTAACGATAGCCGAGTCCTCCTTGATTGCATATGCAACATGCGGTGCCAAAGAAGGTAACTTTTGAACAAGCTGAGATGAAATGGTAGTGAAAAGCAGGGCTGCTTTGTCCCTGTCACCTTCGCCTTTCTTAAAGAAAAAAGTGGCAACGGCGGCATTGTTCTCGGAGAAATGGGCGGCTACGCTGCGGGCTATCGTGGATTTACCTGTGCCAGCCATTCCTTGCAGCCAAAAGATGCATTTCCCCGCTGGGTCCTCAATCTGCCTGTATATATTGGTAAGAAGATCAACTCGGGTATTAGGATGACACCTGGGGTCATGTTCGTTGGCTTGAGAGTCAAATGTCGCATCTCTAGCCACTGGAAGCGTTGATATAACAAGTTTGAGGTGCATATCGAGAATCTCAATGCTGGAATGCCAGGTTAATTCGTAGGCTCGTCACGAATAGATATAGACATTCTGAGTATTAACACTCACGTTTGATCCACTTGAAGGGCGGAATCAATAGCAGCCTGGTCTTGTTGGAGACCTGTGAATATTCTGGCAGTTTCCTTGCTGCTGAACGGCCATTTCAAGGCCTGTAGGCGGCTTATCGACCATCCTTTGCGGCCACTGGTATTAAGCCTATTTTCCAGCTGCGTAGAGACGTCACTGAGATGCGTCTGGGCGTCATTGAGTGCTTTGCTGAGCTTCTGCGAGGTCCTAAGCTGCTCTCCATTTGGCCCGTGAAGAAGTTCCTGCGCAGCTTCAAGGGTCGTGTTCAGCTGCTCCGCGCGCTCTAGCAGGCCCTTGATCTCAGGCCCGGCATTCTTGACAGACTGGCAATATCTGACACAGAGGCCTATCACTTTGGCACCCAGATCAAGTACTGCGACGATGTTTGCGACGCCCTCCATAGCATCTGCTCGTTGAAGACGATGTGACAAGGTGGTCGTAACAGACGAGAAAAGCGGCGGGGTGATGGTCTTAGCCATAGGACCCAGGGTGTAGGATGCGTTGGTTCCTCTTCCTTGTCCATGACGAATCACGATGACAAGCTGAAGTGATCCTGTTGTACCTCTATCGGTGACTTCTTAGTCCTTGCTGGGTTGAAGTATGTAACGGTTAAGTGACTCTGGTCAAGTCTGTCAACGTTAACATTAAGTAGACGATAATAGTTTTACGCATCTGTTTGGCTAAAGAGTAGCTTGAATACCTGGACACTATTCGTCCCTCGTGGTCGAAGGGTAATTATGAGCCCTAAGAAGAGAGTAGGTAGTGTACCTTGTTTTTATGTTTATTTTATTTTTTTTGTTTTCATATTTTATTTTTTTATATCTTGGACGCACATAGCGACTTAGCTCATCTTTTGCTCTTTCAACTCCCGCATGCGAATTGTTTCATCCAGGCCCAAGAGCAATGGATGAACCCTCTATCCGACGGCCAAAGGAGCCTCTTACCTTGGACACCCTGCCAGTTGAAATCCAGGAGGCCATCCTTTCTCAGCTCGACAGCATCTGTACCCTGAAAGCTGCTGCGGCGTCATACAAGTCACTGGGAGATCTGGTATCATATTACCCGGATCGAATCGTCAAGCCGATACTGAGATCGACGGTTCCCGATGATATATTCCCCCAAGCCCTCGTGGTTTTCAGATCATCAAGGCTACGGACTATAAACGTCGAGATCGTTGAAAATATTCTCGGTGATTATTTCAAGTCCCTAAAGAGTATATCACGGCCAGCTTTATCGTTGCAAAAGGCTGCTGCTCTGGAAGACTTTCATCAGCTCGTTCAAGCGTTCTCAGAGGTCTTCGTTTCCAATGCACTTTCTAAGCACCCTATCTCAGGAGCCAAAGAGTATCATCCACGAAATGCCAGCACAAGTGAGCTCTACCGTATCCAACGGTCTTTATACAGGTTTGAGCTTTGCTGTAACCTGTTTAAGAAAAAAGAGAGACAGAAAGATCCCTCTCGTCACCCCCCATTGGCCATCTCTCCCAGGGACCAGCTGAGGCTTTTCTTTCACCGTCTCTCGCCATGGGAGAATGAGCAGCTGGGATGTATTCATGATTTCCTGTTGCGAATAATAAACAAAGGTGGGTGCCAGAGGCCTCCATGATGTTGACTGCGGATTCTAACCTCTATATATTATAGCTTACAACGATGTTGCTGCGCACGACGTGGACTGGGGTGTCCAGAGGAAAAGCTATATCGAGGAGTTTAGGGTCACGCAGATGGATGATGACAGGAATCGCTATGTATGTCTAAATTCTGCATAATCCAGTCTATCTATCTTACGTTCATCTAGCTATTGATGGGCTTAAGATACATTAATCGTCTCGGAACTGAAGGAGACACATTCGAACGTCGCCTGGAAATATTGAGTGAACCGACGCGCCTTGATCCTCTACACCACTTCTTAGGCAGAGCTCTCAAAGAGTCGAATGCGGTTACGGACAATGTTCAATTATGCGAATATAGCGAAGAGCGGCTTTCTTGTGAACCCCGACTGCCAGCGATGAAAGATCGTGACGGTCCGATTGAAGTTTGGAGAGTCACACATTGGCACACCTCTAGCAAGAGTTTTGTCATGGCTGACGAGCATATCCCTCTCCGTGAAAGGGGGTATGTCATGTGGGATACTGACAGACTATTAGAATGGGGGTTACTCAATACGCCCTGGCGGCCGCCTCCTCCAGAATCATTCTACCCCTCGAGAAAGGTCGAGGATGAGATGCGCCGATCCTATAGTCGAAGGAGGGAGATTTCGCTGGATGGCGGGAGTGGATGGTGGAGTGAAAATGATGAAAGCAAGGTTGTATATCGGAAATACGAGTTCAACCGCCGCCTCCAGCGCTACAAGGAGGTTGAATTTATCATTTCCCCATCTGGAGAGCGTGTTTATATTTCTAATGATTAACCGAAGCTCTGATGACAGACTTGTTCGCCAAAATGTGTTAAAGAAATAAACATGAACTTTAGCCAACAACGGCTGCAAATCCATGTCAATTTTGGTTTAATGCTGTTTGTATCTATCATACCAGACGATGTCCTATGTTGATGGTCTGTCATGAGTAACGTTTCCTCGAATTAATATGTGCATACCCCTGCCGCATCCCAAATATTTAGCCAAGAGAGCTCGCTTACGTGCAGCACAAACACCCCTGGATTCGCCTATAGATTGACCATGGATCACTGACTCAGTTGGGTTGCATCCGTTGCGTTGGGTCGTGGTTCGTATTTGACTCAGGCGTTCGAACTAATCATGCAAATCATCCAGGCGTTCAGCTCAAGGTGGTCGACTCTGGGTAGCTTGTGGCCTTCCCTGAAAATACAGCGATGATCAATCGGTATCGACCTTCATGTTGTCTGCGAAAAGGTGTCCGGTACCCGGTATATTTGCCCATATGAATCAAATCCTAGCAAGTCATTTTTACGATGCATATATTCATCTCGACGATTCATACCATGCTGCCTTTGGGTAAAGGATTCCTGGTTAGAGCTGCGTGTTCAGTAAGCGACAGTGGATAGAACAAGGGATGACGGTTAGCAGGGCCCCCAGATATCCTATCCCCAGTCCCCCCAAGGAATCTACATGGGTGAGCGGCACGAAACGTCGTTATATGCACAAGATCCCCTCCCAATTATGCTTGATAATGTGCTCTCCATCTTTTCTCTTTCCCTTTATCTCCGTCTGACTGTAATATACGGGCGTATATGACCTTTAAACATCGGCTATCCCACTCCATTACGCAGGTTATGTAACGTCAGACTTGAAAATGGAAAACACCCACGTTGACGAAGAAGCTGTTGACCAGCCTGAAGCCGCCGGCGGCACCGACCATGCGGCTCCTAAGAAACCGCTCGGATATCGGTTCTGGATAGCCTTTTGGGCTGTCGCCTTCACAAATCTAGCGGCAGCGTACGATTCCACCACGCTCTCCGTGGCTATACCGGTAATAGATTGTCCAATGTTTTTTTTTTTTTTTTTTCAGTTTTAGGACTAGATAATTGATATCCAATAGGCAATATCCATGGACCTTGGTGGTTCGTCCATACAAGCATTCTGGGCCGGCACTTCGTATCTCCTAGCAACAACCATTTTGATGTTGATCTGGGTCACACTGAGCGATGCATTTGGCCGCCGCCCAATTATTATTATAGCGTTATTGATATTTGCAGTGGGTGCTATCGTCTGCGCTCTTGCACATAACTGGACACAAATGCTCGCTGGACGGACAGTTCAAGGACTCGGTGGAGGTGGGATTATCGCCTTAACCACCGTGCTGGTAACAGATATGGTGCCGCTACGGGAAAGACCGAAGTTCTTTGCATGCATAAGTGCAGTGTGGGCCGTGGGTAGCACGACTGGTCCCATCATTGGCGGCGTTTTGGCACAGGTGGGAGCCTGGCAATGGATATTTTGGCTGAATCTTCCGATAATTGCGATTGCCATGGCAGGGATCATTCCATTTCTGCGGCTCTCTTCCTATCCTCGAACTTTGGCCGAACGCCTTGCGCTCTTCGATTATCCTGGATCAGCATTGTTTATTGCTTCACTTACTTCGTTCCTCATACCTGTCACATGGGGTGGTGTGCAGTATCCCTGGAGTAGCTGGCATACTCTGGTATCATTGATACTCGGAGCAGCCGGCCTCGGAGTGTTTGGCATCTATGAGTTCCTATCTAGGTCGTGGGCTGGAAAGATGCCTGTCTTTATACCCCCAAACGTCTTCAGAAACCGCTCAGTCGGTATTCTGTATGTTGGCAGCGTTTTCCATGGCCTCGTCCTGTACAGCATCGTGTATTACATGCCAGAGTATTTTCAGACCGTGAAAAACTACAGCCCCCTAATTTCCGGTGTATTGGGACTTCCACAAACTGCAACCATTGTTCCATGTTCGGTTGCCGTGGGCGTCGCAGTTGGGGTGACCGGTAGATACCGCTGGGCCGTATGGGCTGGTTGGGCGCTCACCTGTTTCGGATTGGGGCTTCTAATCCTCTTGGATGTGCGCACAACCGTCACACAATGGGTGTTTTTGGCGGCAGTTTCAGGGCTGGGAATCGGCTTGCTCTTCCCATCAGTTCCCCTAGCGATCCAGTCATCTGTGCCACAGGAGGACGTCGGCATGGCTGCTACCTTGGTGCAGTTTTTCCGATCATTAGGGCAGGCCCTTGGGGTCGCGATCGGAGGAGCAATTGTTGATAATCGGCTACGGGTAAACCTTGCTAAGGCTGGCTTGTCAGACCAGCCGGCCTCACTCATCAGGCTGATAAGAGTGCTTAAAGAGCTCCCGGTTAACGCACCGTTAGCCGTTGCCTTGAGGAATGCTATGTCCAAGTCATTCCGGACCATCTGGATCGTGATGTGTGCCTTTTCGGCTATGAACCTCTTGCTCAGTTTTCTAATTGCGGAGTATAGTATGAACCAGGAGCACAAGACGGAGCAACGGTTCATACATGAGAAAGATGAGCACCTCGACTCAAACAAGGGCTCGGAGGGCATATCCTCAACCCGTATGTCTGATAGCCAGTAGCTTTGGTATACTAGCTAATGACATATTCCGGCGTACCTAGTGTCGGATTGGTTTTGCTGAATTAAGGATTAAAGACTAATATGAAGCTCTTCTTTTCTTGTATCAAGACAAATAGTATAGCCCTCGTCGGCTGGCCTCGGTATTGACCATCCGACGAAGGATTTCCAGGTGCAGGACGGCAGGGCATGGCCAATTCAGAGGAAGGATTGCTGATAGGATCTGGCATTTATCGTCACCAGTATCCCTTGACGTTCACGCGCTAGAATGTTAGAGATGACGTACTGAGCTAAACAATGTCAATGCAACAGAATCAACTCTAGGTAGAATAACAGGCACACAGGCTTGTCTTGTGCGGCCTGGTGGCAAGGATTATGCGTGTATGCTTGTAACCACTGACCCCAATGTCAACCCGCACCATAGATCCGATTCCATGAGGTGGGCAAATATCTGTTCCTTGTTTGTTGTTTAGATGTTGATCTGATGCTGAAGTTTGCTCGTTTTTCGCTCCGTTATGTTATCACGTGATATCAGAATTTTCAGCTTTTTGATTCAGGGGTAAACAGCGAGTATCAAGGAGAGCAACTCTGGAATAGTTCGAACATCACGACAGAATATCAACTTCAAGACAGCCAGCGATCTTGGATATCTGAGGAAGTTCAGTGTCGTATTACTAGTTGAGTGAGTCATTTTAGGCAACCATTTAACCAAATGGTCAACCCAAAGCGACCGCCAATAGCAGCGAGCCATACCAGCCAGGGTTCGATGTCGACATCTCGAAGACATGGGATGCGTCCCGCGCCCATGAACAAGGGCTCCAGAGGAATCCATCTACATCAAATTCGATCGGTTGATGGCACGATCAAGATTCGTTGCCTACTATCCTCGCGACTGGAGAAGCAACGCTATATTGAGGTACAACTCACGTTCTCACGTATTTGATACCCCATAACTCAATTTTTGAGTAAATATTGCAAGCAGAATGATCATATATACCCCCGCAGTGTCCCCGACCAACAATAGCGTGTCTTGCCAGTTAAGCCGTAGGAATATGCCCCATCCAAGCCAAGGAATCAGGACTTTCCCCGGGTAGACAGACTCGGGGCTGCCGGAGTCGTACGAGGGAGGGCATATTCCATCGTCGCATGTGGCTACTCTTACGGAGTAGTTATAAAGGCATGCAAGTACGCCGACATATCGTCAGAACAGAATCTCATATTACTCTCTCATACCCAAACACTAGGTCCATTCCCTCCTGGTTATATGATAGCCCACGCTTCAGTGGTGTTGTCTTTGTCTTTTTGATATTATTTTCACCCCGTTCAATTTATAACTTTTTCGTGGACACATTATGGCGGTCTATCAGAAGGTCCAAGTCAGATCAACGAAGGATGAGTGTAAGCAACATACCACCCCTTACTTGATTTCAACTCTGCTGAAACACAAATAGCCCTCCTTCTTGAATGTTCATGGAGCCTTTTTAATGCGCCGCCTTCTGGAAACCCGTGGCAATCCATTGACATAATTTTCCAGCACGTATCATCACCTGGTGCAGCCGAACTCTCCAATGGATCCGATCATATCTATGTTCTCAATGCCGACGATGAACACAGCCCAAAAAGGATTCTGCCCGAATCTCTAGGTTCAGTTAAAGCATTTCAATTCTTCTTACAATGTCTTCGCGCCACTGTCGTGTCTGGGTCCGAGGCTGGCCAGTGCCGCAGACGTTTAGCGAAGCTCATCGTTCCTTTGCAAAAGGGGTATATTGTGCGCTCAGATATCGTTCCCCTCCGCCTTCGTGATTGCCAATATATTGAGAACGCAGTGTCATTTGCAGTACCTCTTCAAAACTACCAAGGAAGTCCAGTTTCACTTTCAGATAATGCAAAAAACCTGTCAGCACTATTTTCTGCGGCCGCGGCGGGCCTTTTTCTCCACCCCAATTCGGAACATGACTCGGATGCTGAGCTTGAAGCATTGTCCATGGCAGTTGAATCGGAACTCGAGAACAGGCTATCGTTTCCATGGATACTATCTGGAAATGCACAACGCAAAACATTGGTGCTAGTTGACGCCAATACTGATCACCCAGAGCAAGGCGGCACCGGATCTGGCTTCTACCTCGCAGCCATAGAAGTCGGTATTAATGTTGTCGTTTTTGACAACGCAGGGCACTGGCTCGAGGATCCTGGCCTAGACTATGCTCACTGGCGTGAGGCGTTTATGCCGACCCGATTGACTAATCCAGTCTCGGAGGATTTGGATGATCATATAACGAAATCCCTAAAAGCATATGGTAAACCGGTGGATGGCATAGTTACCTTTGCTGATACTTACTGGCCCTATATTGCCAAAGTCGCGCGACAGTTTGGCCTTCAGACCGCGCCGCCAGAGGGGCTAAGGACTGCCACGAACAAATATCTAACGAGCGTATTTGTCGGCCATCAAGCATATCGTGCATCAAATGTGGACGAAGCTCTTAACATTGCAAAGAAACACGAGCTTCCATATCCGCTAATTGTCAAGCCATGTGATGGCTGGAGTTCGGAGGGGGTATCTCGCGTCGATTCCCCAGGAACGTTAGAAGAAGCCATCAGATCTATCGATATTTCTCGTCATGGAACCGAATTTGTTATAGAAAAATATTGCTCGGGTCCGGAATTCGACGCCAATTTTATCTTACTTGACGGCGAAGTCCTTTTCTTCGATATCTGCGACGACCTCCCTAAGTCGGCCGACGTCAATGGGCCCAGTGCACGATTAATCACCAACTTCCACGAGTTGAACAGTGTATACCCCTCGGCATTGCCAGCCCAGGAAATCAAGCAGATTCATGACAGCTTTTTGAACACGCTGCTCAAGCTAGGTATTAGGAACGGCATTATGCATCTGGAGGGTCGTGTTGAGCATTCGTCGGTTGAGTACAAATCGCAGAACGGAATCCTCGAACTGTGCCCTGGTAACATCGATTCTACGACCCAGCCGCCAAAACCCTGGCTCATCGAAATCAATCCGCGTCCCCCCGGAATGACGGCCTCGCATATTACTGAATCCACGTATGGAATTGACTACTGGGGTGTAGCCGTACTGAGTGCCGTTGGCGACAAACCTGGTGTTCGTGCTCTTTCCCATACCTTCAAACACGGACCCCAGTATACCTGCGTCATGGCTTTTATTCCAGCCGACTTTTCCGCCTCATGTGAGGGCATCTTCGACTCCGATGACATTTGTGCCGATTTGATGACTCGAAGACCAGACCTTGCCAAACATATCAGCAGGTGTGCATGTTTTATCAAGCGAGGGCAAAAGGTCCCGCATCCGAACACGGGTCGAAACACTTTTCTGGCATATTTCAATGTTTTCTCAAGAGCAGGGAGGAAGGAGGCTCTCGATTTAGTGAGACAAGTCAGGGAGGAGATCCGATATTCATTTGTTTGAAACATGACGTAATTTGAGGGTAATATAGGGGTCGTGATAGTGAGAACTGGTGTTCTTAAAGCTACAGGACGGGTAGGTATGGCTTTCGATTCAAGGCGTATATGGGGCAAACGGAGCGAGCACTTGTCAACCAAGGCTAAAATATGATTTTGGGAACATCTGTTGGCACTAAATTAAACGCGGGGGGGGGGGGGCTTCCGATGGAATCACCATGGTGGTTTCTTTAAAGACGGTATATTCAACATTCCAATTGTATGTATTGCTGCCCATATGTTTCTATGATTACCTGAGGTTTTTAGCTTTTATTTTAATATGATATTATATCACGGTATTAAAGAGTAGGAGAAACATTCCCTTAACTACTGTTGCATGGTTTAGAAATTATGAGAAGTTTCGTCTATGAAGGAGACTTTTAACTCAAACTCTTCAGCGTCTTCGATATTAAGCCCACCCTGTCAGCAACAATCAGATCTACTCCAGCATTAACTTGAACCTACTCGAATACCGAGGGTTAGTTCTACTCCCGTCAACCCGAAGTTCTCTACTGGGTAAGATAGGCTCACCTCCACAGTCTCTGGAACGTTGTTCATATTCCCATAACTGGCGCACACCAGGCCCTTTCCTTTGACATAGCCCACCAACCGCGGACACATCACAAGGACGTCAGAGGCAAAAACAACCCCAGCCAGGCCCCATTGACACGCAAAGCGCACTGCAATTTGTAAACTACCGGCTCGCTGCTCTTTATCTGCCACTGGCAGCTTTCCTGCGTTAGTTATGAGGAAAACAGGATATGCCTTTTGTTTAATTGCAAGTAGAATGCAGATTTCAGGGGTGAAGGATGAGAGGATTATATTTCGAGAGCCAGCATAACGGGATATTAACGTTAATATGGTATCAACGAATGTGTTAAGGTCGATAGCCACTGGGGCGATGTCGATGGCAGATGCTTCATGGATGCGAGGATATTCTATTGGTAAATGGTAAGGTAGTTGGTCTTTAGATTAGAAACAGGAACGAGTGGGACGTACTCAGCTCAATATCAAACCCGACAGTCTTAGGCACTTCCCTCAGTGCTTCCTCCAGGGTCGCAAGAGATGTTTGAATAAAGTCTCCGCGAGTGTTGGGTTTAAAGCCCTTACTTGAAAAATAAAGGGTGTGCTTCATCCTATCTTGAGCGGCATGGGCCCTTTCCTCCTGGCTTCGAGTTAATGACCGTGAGCGTGGCCTGACAGGGTTGCATCTATCATTCGGTAATGATTGCATACTGCTGGCGTGTAGAAACTAGAAGCATGAGATATAATCGCCTAAAAATTACGACTGTACTTACTTGTTTCAGCGTCAAATCATGAATGGCAACGTCGGTACCCGACTCGCTCAGGGACAAGTCATGGTAGAGAACTGGGACAAGGTCCCTCGTCAATTGTACATCTATTGTCAGAAAGTAAGCAAAGACAGGTTCAAATGCCACAGGCTAGAATGATCTTATTTCTACCGAACTACGGAAGCGTTAGTAAATGACCCATATATTTTCACGATAGATGGTACAGACCTCGACATGGGGTGCCCCCAGATCAACCGCAGATATGAATGACTAATTTAATCAACGGTAAGTATCCGCTATCTATAATATTAAGGATTATAACTCTACCTGTATGGTATTCTCTCCCAGTTGAAGATGGTAATGGTCACCAGTATTCTGACCGGAACCTGTGATGGGTGTTAACTGTGGACTTATCAGGGAGTGATTACATCCATACCTCTATGTCCGATTAACTGTGTTGACTGCAGATTCTCCAAGTACTCAAAGCTCGAGGTAGGGGTATTTAAATGCGAAAATGGTCTTGCTATAAAAGAAGTGAACGCGACAGTACCTAACAGCTTCATTTCGTTCTTTCCCAGAATTGGTACAGAATGTTCCCTGATCAGGCTCTCACGATGAGAACCAAAGTCGTTGGCATTGGTCTTCAAAAGGGCTATACCACTGCCAATAAGTGTGCCTTTTATACCGTGAGAAGAAGTACTTCGGAACAATTTAAACACAATATGGGTTTCCGAAGGGTTATCAACCGGAAGTATCAACGTATCGTCAATTGAATCGCCTATGAGTGGTAATCCTAGTGTATGAGTAACATTTCCCGTGGAAGTTGAGATCTCCAGTGAAACGGCTGTATCAGATAGCCTGGAGCTTTTCTGTCGTACGGGGAGCTTCAAATCGATTGGCTGGAGTTGTCTCCCTCTTTGCACAGTCCCTAGGTTGATGACAAGGTAAATAGCGTTAAGCTGGAGCTTGTATTTTGGCATCACCCTAGAAGATCTGTCGGTAGCCTGTATCGTAACATTTTTCGTTTCAAGTCTCTCAGCTATTGCAAAATGTCCTCTAAACGCCGCATGTTCCTTTGCTGTCCAGCCTCGGGAGTCGACCAGCTGCTCGTTCGCACCAGCGCGCAGGAGAGCTTCAACGACTGGAAGATGACCTCTCACGCTCGCCGTAAATAACGGCGTCCACCCGTATGCTATTTCCTGAACATCGATAGTTGAGCTTTGATGGGAGGCAGCCGCCAAAAGCGTATTGATGTAGTCTTCACGGCCAATTCGAGACGCAACGTGTAAGCAGGTCTCCCCATTATGAGAGAGATAATCAATGCTGATATGAGCAGAGACAAGGAGGTCCACCATATCATCAATTTGGTATTTGAGGGTAATGTGGAGAAGGTCACTGAGCGTTTCACTCAGGCGCTCATTCATACGGTTGGCAGCTGTGGCAGAGCCTCCATCCAGGGCGGTCAAGAATAGCTGCGTAGCCCCAAGCTGTCCCCGTATTACCGACCAGTGAAGTGGCGTTAGGCCTGTATCATCCATTGCTAATACAACTTTCATAGGATGGACTTCCCAGCGAGGTAATGCTTTTAGGATGATCTCGCAAACCATAGTGAGCCCATATTGAGCACTATAATGGAGGGGAGTCATGCCAGCTGCATCTGGCATTAGTAGGGCATCTTTGGCCCTTATTCCAGCACGGTCAACGATTTGCTTAAAAAGTTCAATGCCTGGCTCCTCAGTTGGGTTGTAGTTTCTTGCCGGATCTTCCTTGTGGAGGGAATCATAGCTCCGCTGATAAGTCCTGTGAATTGCCCCAAGAAGGTTGATTAACGAGGTATGGTTAACCCAAGCTTCTGTGTCTGCAGGCCTATTCATGACCAAAGCCTTTGCGCATGACCAAGCCCGGCACACGATTGATAATTCCAGTATATCTTTGAATAGTTGTCCTGGAAGTAGCCTTGGGGATGCACTGACCACGGACTCTAGTTTCTGGAACATATCGCAGAGGTTCGGGGCTTGATCAGTATGAATATAATTGCTAATAGCAGTAGCATACGGAAGCGCTTCAGACACTTCTTTAAAGAAATGTATCAAGTAGCGACAGGCCAGAGTAGTTTGAACAGTGGAATGAGGCTTTTCAATGATTCGGTAAATATCATCGATCGATGCCTGCAGACGTTCCATCTCCTTCAGACACTGCTTCTCGCGATGAAGCTGTTCTTCAAGGCGCTCAGTTACCTCCTCGAGACATTGATATGAAATTTTTTTGTTGATATTTTCAACCTTGACGTGTATTCTCACAGAAGCTTCGTGGTTCAGCCTGTTGAACCATTGCAACTTGGTATATTCTTCGAGTAGCTCTGCAAAAATTAAGCGATTATCTTCAAGGGCCCAATATTCGGCCGGGCTCCCGCCCAACGATTCTGAGCCATGGCAGGTCTGCCTATAAGGCTCGAGAATGCCCCTCTCCCTGGTTTTTAGAGCTAGGAATTGACCCTTGGAGAACACACCCAGGGCGGCAAGGTTGCGGTTGAACGATGAATAAAATTCTAGTATGGGGTCAGACGATTATCTGACACAGCCAGAGCCCAACATACCTCTCACGTCGGCCTTATATTCAGATAGATGTGCCTTGTCTGCGACCAGTTTAAGCAAAGCCTTTAGCTGTCTGTACGGGAGATAGTGGGAGTCCCATTCTGGAGCCTGGAACGACAGAAACTTCTCCTCGAACTTCATGGCGACCTCTTCGCACAGAGGATTGACTAAAGTCAGAAGAATATCGGGAGACTTCTATCTCGATGGTCAACTAACTCGATCATGGGGAACAGCTTGTCGTCGTATTGAATGCATCGACCCTCAGCACGTCGAGAAGCCCAGGCGCAATCACCAGGCTTCCGACCTTGACAGGGACACCCTGGTATTAATCCCCTGTCCTTAGTGAGAACTATTATAACTAACTGGCTGTGATTCGTTAACTAGTTAACTAGTTATGCGTGGTCAGTCCGGGGCCGCAACCAATTGATGCTTGGAGCGGAGTTCATACTTAAACAGCAGGACATCACGACGTTTCTAAGATCTGGGAGTTAATATTCAGCTTCAGTCTGATCTCGAGGCTATTGTCTCCTGATATATACCTTCCATGGACCCCCTATCGATTACTGCCGGTATTATCGCCGTTGGCACCATCGCGGGCCAGTTATGTTCTGCTCTCACTGAACTGAGATCACTCTGCCACAGTCTTCCTGGTCGCCTTCATGCGTTGAATAACGAGGTCGCCGACTTAGAGATCGTTCTCTTTGAGCTGGCTTCCCTCACAGAAAAACGAACAGCGTTGCCTGATAGCGACCGGTCATCACTCCAGCATCTCCTGAAACAGGCGAAAATCAAGCTACTAGAGTTGCAAGGCATAGTGAGTCGGCTGCGGACAGCATATCGAGATGCGGCCGCTCCTTTTGTTCTGGGGGCCTTTAGCAAGGAAAAATCCAAACTCCAGGCATTGCAGGAAGAAATCAGATCTGTTAAGTGTGATTTGAACATCATGCTGGGCGCTTCTAACTCGTAACTACGCGTTTTGTTTGTGTTCTGAGAGTTGAAATTTCCTGAGGCTGATTTGTGTATAGACAAGATATGACCCATATGCGTCTCCAGCTGGAGGCCATATCTGTTCTCACTAGAGAGTCCTCGCAGGAAAACCTTGCTCTACAGGGTCATCTCATGAGCAGCCTTACCCATGTGGACGCGCGAGTAGCCCGTGTTGAGGAGCTTTTACGCGATCAAGCTCAGAGGGTCCAAGAAGGCCAGTTTACACAAGTCGGGCCTCTATATAACGTTGTAGCTGCAAGGCGACGTGTGTCTCATTCTAAGAAAGCTGTTACGCCTAGAAACAGGCAACCGGAAGGGTCCAGTACTGGTATCACACCCTATAGGCTTCGATGCGCTCCAGGATGCGCTTGTGCCTGCCACACCCAGCTTAAGACGGCCTCTCCTGGCCTTCTCAATCGCCTTTTTGGTCAGATGTTCATTGGTTACTCGGGGATTCCTTACCTATCTCCGAGTTGTGATATCGATACCTGCACTAAATACCGTGCCAGTAAGGTTAGTATGGAATACTGGTTCCCCATGGGATTCACATCGACAATCCTTCGCATACAGGCCGGATACCAAGCAAATACTGGCCTCCTTTTCCAACTCCAGACTTTAAGAAGTGTCCCAAACGATGCTCAATGCGTCAAGTTCGCACTGGATGGAAACATCGAGGGTCTCAAATACCTTTTTGCCAATGGGTTAGCCTCCCCTCGAGATGTGAGCCCTTCAAGGGGCTATACCCTCCTACGATGGGCCCTATATGGGAAAAAATATGCCACTTGTGAATTTCTGATCCACGCTGGTGCAGACCCGGACTATCGACCCGTAGCTGCGTCTGATAATAGCCCACGCATCAAGGCCTGTCATTTCCTGCTCGAAGGCGGTCTTCCAGATGCGGGTACCGATGCGCTGCGTTTAATTTCTAGAGGAGGACATTATGATGACTTCATTGATGAGTCGAATTTCACGCAGGTCCATCGAATCGTCCTTGGGCTATCACTTCACAGCTTGGAAGAAGAGCTTAAGCTGCACCCTGAAGATATAAATGTTCAGGACGCTATGGGCCGGACGCCGTTGGCTTGGGCAGCAGCTCGGGGAGATAGTTATTCTGTGGTGACCTTGCTAAGCCACGGAGCAGATCCAAACATCATAGATGTGCAGATATCCGGACCAGTGTCAAACGCAGCAGCGCGGGGCTACACAGCATGTGTTCGGTTGCTGCTAGAAGCCGGTGCGCACCCCGATCCCCAAACGCCACCAGGAATAAAGAAGGGCTCTCCCCTGAACGTTGCCGCCCGCAATGCTACCGATGTCCTCCTTCTTAAAACCCTCCTAGATTTCGGGGCAGACCCTGACTCAAGTGGGACCGATGGAGATACTGCACTTATACACGCAGCTCGAACGGACAATGCTAGCTTTGCATTGCTGTTCCTTGAGTATGGAGCAGATATCAACTATGTCTCAACAACAGGAGCTACTCCTTTAACTACAGCCATCACTTATAATAGCCACAACGTTCTGCGTCTAATTCTTGACAGGTGGCATGAATATTGTGACTGCCCGCGTTTAAAGGCCCCTCATCTACTTCAGGCTATAGCCCTTTATGCAGATGTCGAGATAATTGAAATCATCGCTAACATGGAACACCTCCAGTCGAGACAAGATAGAGAATACACGATGGGAGACTTTAGCAGCCGCCTACGGCAAAGGCCCGACCTCTCCGAAGAGCTGACTCTTGCTTTCGGTGGCTTGCTGGATATCATCAATGATAGCCCAAAACGTAAAGGATGCCCTGAGAAGTTGCTTGAATCTGGTCTCCTGTCTCCAGTATTCACAGGCAGAGGTAAACTTGTCGAGGACGATCAAGATAGTCCGGGCTCTGGTTGTTTCTTTTCCTGTCCCGCATCTCCTGCCGATTCCTGCGTCTTTGTCGAGGGAGATACCCCGGTTACGGCATTAGACGACTGCCCTCCGAAATCTGCGGTGGATATTAAAACAGAACCCTGTATCTCCTAAGCACCTGTGTAGGATAATTCATAACTAGCCAACTCGGCTGATATGGTGGGATAACGGAGCATTGGGTTTGTATCTATTGAATATTGAGCCATGCTCAGTACGTACAGAAGACGAGAACAAGAAAAACTGAGGCAGAGGTCATCACCCTTGACACAAAATGTAAATGCCTAATTCTACCCGACAGGACTTGCTCCGTAGAAGGTATCTAGCGGGACTACATGCTCGCCATAACTCCCAAACTGCGATTTCCCCACTGCCTGGTCTCCTCGTATAAGATCCATCATCATGCCCAGCTCCTCTGACAACAGTAAATGGCGCTCTGCACTTCTCCTGAGCCAAGCTACATGATATAGCTCATTCCTTTCCACCTCTTTAACAATCATAAGCCGTCTAGACAAAAGGTGGCTGAAGAGCATTTCTACTCGATCCTGATACTCAGAACTGGACAACTGCATGGCAATTTCATCAGCTATCTGCTCCCTGGCTGTATATGTTCCGATAACGCCTCCAGAATTCAGCCTCCTCTTGTCTTCGTAAAATTGAGGGCCTGGTTCATTCTGGTTAGGCCCCGGCGGGTACCACCTGCGAAGCAACCTCAACAGCGTATTAGCAATCAAGAGTCGTCTGGTATATTCTATATCCGCTGGAAAATAGAGGAACGGAAAGTCTCTAACGTCGGATGTAATGTAATGGCGGACCAGATGGAGCTGCCCATGCTCGATGTATGAGAGGATATCGGGCGGTAGCATCCCCCGTCTCCCAAAGCCAAGGACTGTTTCCATAGATTGATACCAATCGATGCCCAGCTGCTTGCATACCTGTGCAAAGGCTTTTGATGCTGCAGGACCTCCAGATTGGGGATGGTATGCCGCTTTTTGTTCGCCCCTGATGCGCTCTTCGAACGACGTCCACATCGATATCTGATCAGCTACCGTTTTGTCCAAGTCTGGAGACACATTCATGCTCCCACGCAAGTTTAAACGTTCAAATATTATTCGATAGCGGTTGACAAAGACGGCGCGCCGGAAGGCCAGTATGTGACGGGCGTAAGATGTATTCAGCTTGCTCTCAATGGGCCTTAAGCTCGCCTCCGTCTCTTTATACAGCTTAAACTTGGCGAGGAGCAACATCCACCTTTGTTCTACCCTGGTCGCCTCTTCCAGATAGATTTCCCGCTTTCTCCAGTCTACTCCAGCGGCCGATGCGTCGTGAAACCAACGTTCGGCACGCCTCTGAAAACACTGTAGGCGACCGGTGGCTTCGCTAGCCAGACTCCATGCGCGCTTGGCGATGGGAGAGAGGTTGACTTGCACTGGAAACTCCGGCTTGTTGGCATTTTCTGCCTGTCCTGGTATACCTGCTGCCTTTGATGTTATCACTGTCTCTGATAAATCAGAGAGTATCTCTGGGGGAGTCTCTTCCATTCCGGCAGTTTGCGTATAGCCAACGCAGGAAGAGTAGACTGACACCTGTATCCTGACTGTAGATATAGGTGAAGACGTATTCAGCCTGGCTGCAGACGGTGTTTACTCATCTGGGATATAAAACAGCAAGAGAGACCAAAAGGCAGCAGTTTCTCTGCAACCCGACCATATATACACACACATATATATATGTAGACGAGTGGATAAGTATGTCTGAATGTCTGAATGTCTGAATAGATGGATGTAGGATACGCGGCTAGCTGTAAACCTTGCGGCGGGCATTTTATAGCGCGACGCCGAAGTCGAGGTTGAGCATCAAACATCCGCCCCGGCCATGCTCGCTTCCTGCCCACATTCTCTCCTCCCGGGGCTTCGAGTCGCAGTCGGTTCCTGTTCGTAGGAGCTGAGGACACCCATGAGCCGGAGATGAGCCTGCCGTCTTCCCAGCGGGCAGCCGGCGCACAACCAAGACCGATCAGGTTCGTGTCGTCGGATGGCCAGCCGCAGACCAAGCGGCGCAGGGTGATCGCAGCGTTAGTGCTCCCCTTGTTTCTTTTTGTATCTTGCATCTTGCATGGCATGTCAACCGTATATCGTGCATAGGCGTCGCTGACGACTGCTGCTGACCGTCGTATATAGTTGCCGGACATGTCGAAAGCGAAAGAGCCGGTGCTCGGGCGAACAACCAGGTATCTACTTGCTCTGGCGGACTATTCTCGCATGGAGAGCACTGCTAAGCGGCTTTAATGTACGACAGTTTGCAAGACGTGCACCGATTACGGGCATACATGTTTAGGATACAGCGAGCCCGCCAACTCACAGCCCGCCGCGACCTCCTCGCACACCACCCGAACGGCCGCGCAATCAGACGAGAAGGAAAAGGGAAATGCTGAGAAACTGCCCAGCCAGAAGCAGAAGAACTCGCCCGAGGCCTTTGGGCGCAATCTTCCCGGTCCCAACACAGAAACTCGCGAACAGAAACAGATACCTGAGGCAGCCGATAGAGCGCAGGAACTTCGACGAGAAATAGCACAGGATGATATTGCGCCTGCGGGGATTACTAGTCCGGAGAGCAGTGGGTTGACGGATGATTTATAGCTGTTTGCAGAAAAGCTGGCTGATGCAACGGTGGTTTTCTAGCTCGGTCTGCCCTCCTGTCGAGCCACCGAACTCATGTCCCTTATTTCCGGTATTTTGGGCCGACGGCCATCGTTCCGGGCTATAAGCAGATGGTATGGGTCTATTTGCGCATATGGACTGTGATATGATTCTAATAGGATGGGTTATTTCAGGTAGTTCGGGTTCGGGAAACCCGCAAGAGCAATCCGTCACTTTCAACCGGTGAGTTATGAGCGATATCCTGGGCAGATATGAAGGATAGCTCTCTGACAGACATCTCAGAATCGATATCCTCCATCCAAGATCCAACAGCCGCCCAAACTATTGGAGTTTCACGGTTAGGTCCTGCTGGGAACTCGAATAGTATACATTTTTATGACCCAGACGACACGCTCCCCAACAGCGAAATCGTGACCCATCTATGCGAAGTCTTCTTCACGCATTTAGGCTGCAACTTCCCGTTCCTCCAGCGAGATAGATTCCTCCGTAGCCTGAAAGAAAAGCAGCTTGCGCCAATCCTCGTAGATGCAGTGTGCGCCCTCGCGGCAAGGTTCTCCCTCCACCCTCTACTATCGGTTAAGCCATCCGACGAGGCGACCTATCCTCACCATGGACATGCTTTCGCCCACCGGGCTATGTGCGCCGTTGTCGATGCATTCGCTTGCCCAACTTTGGCAGTGGTACAGGCCTGTCTCCTTCTTGCTTATGAAGAATTCGGATCAAACCATGACAGCGGCCTCTGGATGTATCTTGGGATATCAATCAGGATGGCGCAAGATCTAGGAATCCAGAAGCTCGATGGCATGAAGTTTACATATGGCTGTGTTGGCCTTACTCCCAAGAGCGTTATAGCAGGTCAAGTTGTTGACCCGGAAGCATCCGCCCTTACTGATCGAAAGGACAAGAAAAGCACGAATTACGGCACTGATGCAGAATCCATCGAAATAGAACGTGCAAAGGAGAGAGAAAAGGTCGACTTGTTCTGGAGTATATTCTTTCTTGACAGGGTTATATCCTCTGGAACCGGACGACCTGTCACTCTGCGCGACGACGATATTGAAATACATTTCCCCCTGGAGTCCCAGTCGATGCTTCACAATGGCTGGCCGTCACCGTACCCTCCGCTGATGAGGATAATACACCTCTACGGCAGGATGACCGATTTGTTGAACTCGATAAAGGAGGTGGTTCATGTTACTCCCGACGTCCTCCGTCGTCTAGCAGGCATGGAGAGTGATCTCACAGGTAAATCTTAGATCTCGAATCTTCGTACCGTCTATTGCTAACAGATATGCAGGCATCTATCAAAAACTATCTCCCAAGCTGTATTTCAATGCTATCAACTTTCAGACCTACGTTAAGGCTGGCCAGGGAACAAACTTCATTCTCCTGCACTTTGTAAGTATCCCAGCGCAATCCAGTACAAGTCCGTGCTAATATTCAGTAGTGGTTCCATACCCTCATTGTGCTCCTTCACCAGCCGACACTGTTGCATTCATTCAGCGGCAAAATACAGCAGCTCTTCTCTAACAGTCGAGAATTATCAATATCCTCTGCCAAAACGATTGCCGATATACTAGCCTTTGCAGAATTGATTGATGCTAAAAGTTTCACCGGAAACCCGTTCACCAGTCAGCCCATTTACATTGCCGCATGCGCTTTTCTAATGGAGAGCGCTTTCTATTCTCTTCCCTCGTCTAGAGCTGAAAGTCCTCCGCCGAAAGCCGAATCATCAAGTCAACCCACTAAACCTTCACTTCCTCCCGCTGAACGTCCCGTGGGGTCTGATCGTAACTCCAGTGCTAAACATTCCCTCCTAGCGGCTGCTGCGAAGGAAAACTACCAGCGGTGTTACAAGGCACTCCAATCTTTGGAGAAATCCTGGGCTGGCACAAAGTATATTCTCACAGCCCTGGACCAAAAGTCCAAGGGAATATGGGATCCCCTGCTCTATACGGAAGAAGAGATGGAAAGTGCCGCAGACGTTGACGCATCGTTAGCATCATTAGGATGGAAGAAGTCAGTAGCACAGGAGGAGGGCAATGAGAATACGCAAGCCACTGGTGATGCCGGCCGCCTTGCTTCTTCCCATATTCCCACTTCCACTGTACTAGAGTCGGCGAACATTGATCCTAGCCAAGGCAAGTATTCACCAGCCCATGTCATATATGTATTCACCCTTTTGCTAACTGATCCCCAGCCATCGGTTGGTCATTAACCGGTGCTACAAATTCGTCACAACCGAATCTGAGCTTCTTGTACCAGCTCCAAACCACGTCAACGGAAAACCCAACACAATATCCCGAAACCTCACAGTTCCAACACGCCTATCAACATTCCCCTACCTCTAACCCGCACGCGGCTACTGTCACCACCTCACAGCCAATGCATTCCTACCAACAGCATGAAGCTCCAAACCAACCGAGAAGAAATGTCCAACTCTCATCCCCAACTCAACAGAATACTCTCTCGCCCCATTATCCACATGTTCAAACCGAGAGGCATTCACCCTCAAACACATCCTTCAATCTAACACAAAGTCCGCGATTTGGCGGCGCATCTGCATCGATGGCCCGTTCTCAACAGTCTGTATCACCCGGCGTGCCACTCCCGCGAGAGAGCAGCACTCAGTATACCTTCCACAATCCGTCGAGCTATAGTGGCCACACCATTCCCGTGCTAGACAATACCCATGTCCCCGGGTACGATAACGTTCCCTTAAATGCTCAGAATCTCACCATCGAAAGCCAGGATATTGATATGAACACGCTCCAAGACCAGAACCATTTTCCATTCGCGTTCGAGGGAGGAGGCTTCATGCCGTGGCTTGAGTACTTACCTGAAGATGTCTTGCATTTCTTTGGTGACCATCAAGGTTGAGAGCTCGTTTTCTCCCTTTGAATTTATCTTTGTACATTTAATTCAGGTTTATGAGCGATGATTTCATGAGCGTTTTGATTCCTGGGTATTGTTATTCGCTCGGAGTGCGGTTAAGCTGCTTTCATTCTCATTGCATGGTGTGTAATTATAACCGACATTCATTCTTCAACAACGAAGTACCAATAACTGAGGTATATAGATGTATAGGCGATGACGTAGACCTGGCCATCTCGTACTCTTGCCAGAGATCAACATTGGTTGTCCCTGGCAACCGCCATCCCAGCCACCACAGACACATCATCATGAAGCACAAAAATGTCACTGAAATTAAATATGCTGCTCCCCAACGGTTGAGTCGAAACAGATTGTTTTTACTTACCGCTACGGAGTATTCCTTATCCAATACTGCTTGGTGTATGCAGCCAGACAGTCGGATGACCTTTGTTTACTCACCATAGCGAAACAGCAAACTTGCGGGATCAGGTCACAGCTGTTTCCTTGACCGCTGGTTGCAGCATCGAGATAGAATAACAAGTTATACCAAACCGCAATCAAACTCGCTATACAGCCTACGGTCGACCATGAGCCTCTCACAATCCCCAGAGGAACAGACAAACACAGAGGCAGGGAGCCGTAATGACCCTCCGGCCGATGAAGCGTTAGCAACGGAAGTCTCACAGGCGCCGGTAGAGTCGAAGGAGGACGGTAATAAAGACGATGAGGCCAACGATTTAAGCTCGCTTGCACCGAACGATGAAGACAAGGAATTGGAACGAGACAACGATCCTACGGAAACCGATCCCAATGCCGAGTATAGATACAGTTCATCGTCCACTTCGCTGCCTGGATCAAGGGGCAGTTTCGGGGAAACAGAATATGGAGAAGGAGAAATAGAAGACTTTCCAGACGATGAGCATTTTGACGACGAGGACAAATCGTTTATCAGCGATCTAAGAGGCGGAGTGAGAGGCATGCGGTCAGCTCGAACCTCGATCTCCTCTCTGCCTGGATCAGTTGTCGTATACCCGACTGGCAAAGTACAAAGCAACGGACAATTCCAACGGGGAGATTATCGACAAAACATCAACGCCCATGACAGGAATTCCATGATAGATGGCAATTTTGGTGGCAATAGGGTTCGATCCAAGAAGAATATAGCCAAAGACAGACGTTCGTATAACTATGCGCCTCAGGTGAGAGATATGGATTCGCCGTTCCGGCACCCAAGTTCTGTACGAGCTATGCAGATGGGTGACGAAGATTACTACGATGATGGGGGCATGGACGATGGCAATTACTTTTCGTCCCCTGCTTCACGAAATGGCAGGATGAACGGGCACCATAACGGATCCCCCAGAATGTCAGACATGTCATTCCGTTCAAGACCCATGTCTCCATCGGATCAACGCTCTTATCATGCAAAGTCACCTCAAGCAAGTCAGCAAACGCAGGAGTATGCGCTTGTGCTACTCCATTGCACATTGCTCCCACCATCTTTCCCCCTCTCACTACCTGCAGGATCACCGCCACCAAGTAAGGAACAACTTCGAGAAATTTTACCCGAGCCCTACTGGAGGAGATGGAAGCTGTTGGAGGAGAAGATTGGTGCAACTGGAATTCTACGTGACCGAGGCATACTGATATCCCATCCTCAGGAAGCATATGACTTGCTTGAGGAGCGATTGCTTGAAACTCTGGAATTGACCAGGCCCAGACTTGCATATGGCCATTTTATTGGCGGTGGAGACGAAACAGATGGCGAAGAGCACGGTAGTGATGCTGACGAGAACGATACCGATGAAGGTGGCCGTGTAAAGGAGAAGTGCCAGGACTGTGGCCAGAGGGTTATCAATAACCTCGAGAGCATTGAGAAGAAATGGGAGGTTAGGGTGTACGCTGCAAACGGGCTTATGGGACAAGGAGCATGGGCAGCCGCATGGAAGGAAATGGAGAAGGTTGATGTTGAAGTCGGAGTGTGTTTGCCAACCAAGCTGAGAAACGAGTTGGAGCAGAGGCTCGTCCAGGAGGAGACATTGAGACTGCAACGCCTGGCGGAGGAAGAGAAAAAAACAAAGGAGTCTCAGGCAGAGAATAAAATGCCGGAAGGTCATCCAAATCCCGCCCAATGGAAAGTTGATGGTTTAGATGACTCCAGCCGTACAATTCCTACTCGTGAGCAAGCACCACGTAAACCGTCCGTTCGGAAGAGAGAACGTCCTGCTCCTGGCCTGGCACCAACGCAATACCCTGCGGACGACATTAATCTTCTAAAGGCACTCTTCAATTACATACGAATGGTCTGTCAAGGAAATCAACTTCCTATAGTGACAGTCCTACTCGTGCTCCTAGCTCTTGTCACGCCATCACCATATAGCCTTTTCGGCCGTTCCTCGGATACGGCCACGCAGATTGATCCCTTCGTATCCGCTCAGCCTTCAATTATATCAGAGCCCAGCTTCCAGGCGGCATTTATGTCTCACTCTTCCATTTACCCAAGCGAGGCTACGCAGAGCTCATTAACGACAATTCAGCAATCATCAACGGTGTCATGTCATCAACCCCACTCCCTGGAAACGGCGTCAACTCAATTGAGACCCTCAAGCTCCTCCGCTTACCAGAAACCCCAGCCAGATGAAAATGTATCAACTCAGTTGGAACCGACCCCCTCTCATCGTGATCGTGAGACTGAAACAACAGCGTCAACCCAGTCGGAGCCAGCGACTTCCTTCCGTGAATCCTACCTGGACACAACAACTCCTATGCAATTAGAGTCATCAGCTTCCTTGGCCCCCTCAGCTCCTTCAAATTCCCCCCTGTCTATAGTCTCTTTGGCTCCCCCGGCTTCCCCAGATTCCTCCGATTCTTCTGGATCGGTAGCTTCATCCACTCCGTCCGCCATGCCGCCTAACAACCGTGAAGAACGTCCAGTGGAGGTACCGGAATGTCTACCCGCTTCTACTTCTCAAGCTCATGCAACTATTTCCGTGGAACCCATAGTTATGGAAGCTGAATCAGAAAGAGAGGGGCTACTTGAATCTGCCTCGCCGCCACCATCTGCTTCCCGTTCTATCAACCCTATTGTCATGGCCGCGGACAAATGGGTTGAATCGCCGTCTGAGCAACCGTCTAAAGAGGAAGACACTCAAGCCATTGAGCCAGATGCAATAACCTCCACACATCAGGACACGTAACTCTATTGGTGCTATTTTCCCTCATAGTGCTTTTCTATTTTTAAAGCAAGTTTTTTCTTTTTAGCGCGAAATAGTTTCTTTATACTCATGACCCCCATAACGACCTGCATGTTGCCCAATGTTTGTTTCCTTTCTTTTCTTGCTAGTAGGTGCCCCCAATATACCCCTTCTGCCATGTTATGCCAACGACAAGAGATTATGCAGCTTTGCCCGTGTTTGGATCATTATTGGCAGCGTTTCGTTATATTTTCCATTTCCGTGTTTTTGACTTACCAAGTTCATCCTGCCCTTCAGCAAGTCAATATCCTTCCCATCTTAGATATTACTTAAAGCTGCATAATTCTGCACCTACACCACGGCGATGTCTCGGGGTTCAAATCAACAATTAGGACAGCAATACACAAACATAACTATCCGATAAAGTTCCATCGCAACAAAAGGCCGTAGCTGGAGAGAAATATAGGATTCATTCCACGATCACGAAAACGGGAGTCTCGTATCAAAAGTCCGTAAGGCCCCTCCGTTCTATCAACGCAATGGATAAAATCCCCCAGGTTTGTCATTATACTATCCCCGTTAATGTCTCTGTAACATTGGATGGACGATAAGTGTTCTTGAGTATTCCTCGTACATGGTTAGCTTGTTATAGGGCAGCTATATTAAAGGATTGGATTTACATAGTTACTTGTAAGATAGAGGATTTCAGCTTTCCATATCATCCTGATGCCGAATGAATAGATAACAGGGAGAAGGGAGGATGAGTAACTACTAAACAAAAGATACAGAACACCTTTACTCCGTAGCTCGAGCGATGCTCTCCCTCTTGTTCTTACTCGGGTTTCTATTTCGCTGGTACCAACTGAGATGCGCGACGTGGATTTTCTCTAGACCATCTTGGCAGCCAATGAACAGTGTTGTCTCTAGGCTAAGTAGGATATTTATTATGAGTACCCCGTACATCACACCATATGGCATTTTGTAGATATCGCTTCGGATACGGGGAGGCAGTCCGTGAGCCTCAGGATAGGCAGGGCTCAGCCCCATCTAGTCCGAAATTCCCGAAGAGCCCCATATCGACATCTAAGACATCCTCTGCGTGGCGTCTGGGGATACACGAAAAAGCAAATAAAAAGCCAGCTAGGCAGGGCTGGCACATGGCTATGTCGTGTAATATGAAGAGCATCGACCAGGATTTCTAGAGCGTATATTTCTTACCAACGGAGTAAGGATCAGCCGTCGCAAGAAGTTCGATTACACGGATGACGGCGTATATGGATTCTGACACCACGGTCACAGCGGTCTATCCAACGTTTGTCCATCGTCAAGCACCGCACATCTCGTAGCCGATATTCTCGTATCAAAGTTTAACTAAGCCTCCGCGAGAGATATGTATGGCGTAAAAATGTACCTATAGGACTGAATTCGCTAAGAATAGCGTACTCATGAAGAAAATGGTAAGGCTCACGTTCAACTAGCATGGCACATGATTCCGCTAGGAAGCTGGAGGCTGAATTGTCGACTTAGCATTCGCTTGATGCACTCCGCCATACTCTATTCCTGCTGTTTGGACCCAGGGCCCATCAGTCTAATGAGGTTAATGATAAAAATAAACTGTGCTACATGGTACTTTTCGTCTGACTTACTAGGTGAGAACCAACGCTAGAATTGCGGCCGGTTGACGTTAGTGTAGACATTGTAGTTAGTGTAGATATTGCATGTAGTATAGAGGGAAAACAACGCCCACGAGCCCGAGCGTCGGGCATCTTTCCATCTCATCAGCCTGCACGAGTAGAACGGGCAAGGAGATGTCTTACTTTGAAGGCCGAATCAGGTCACGGAAATTCCTGAGCATCCAATTGTGCTGGACGTAAAATACGGCATGGGAACCATGGTTGCGGATTTCCCTTTGAAGCTGAGCTTCATGTTGCATCCGGCATACCCAAGAGCTTCCCCCAAGCCACTTTTACGCAGACCTGCCATTGCTTGGCTACCGCTCCAGGAATAGCCCTCCAATTGTGTTTCCTGGGTAGCCGAAATGCAATATAGCGGAAACTGACGATGGAGCTCTGAAGAAAGCAGGTCGGAGGCAAGGCGGTGTATCCTGCTGAGATCGTCATGAAGGATAGCACCTCAGGTCTCGGGGTATAAATAAGACAGCAATTCCCCATACAAGATTATCTCTCTCCCCATCAGCACTCACCATCATCCGATATCCTCACCTTTCTAAAGAAAAGTTCGAGCCTTGAAATCAATCTTAGACTCTACCTCCAGTCAATCAATCAACATGAAGTTCACTGCCCTCCTTCTATCTGCCGTTGCAGTTGTCATTGCTGCCCCAGCTGGCAAACCCAGCAGCCCGGAAGTTGCCACCCGTGGTAGTCAACTGGTCCTCCCCAAGGACACATTCCTCCATTATATCAATACCGGCGTAACGAATCATGATATTTACGGCAGACCCCTCGTGGTGAAGAACGGGAAAGCCTCCGAAGAAACCAGCGCCGTGGCTACCTTCCAGCTTGGTAGCAGTGTCAGTGGCCACCGATGCAGACTCCGCTTCGATACCGCAGCAGGTGACATCTCCAAGGGCTCGCAGCAACTTGATATCTTCAGTGTAATCAACCCACCAACCTGGCCACTTCAAAACTCGTTCAGCAGAGACCAGCACCGTGGACGCATCTACGTGCCTCTCCCCGGGCAAGCGCAGTGGATCCAGGGTTACAATGGGTATCCCGAATTCGACTGCCCCGTCAACCAGCTCTTTGGCTTTGAGTTCGTTGGTGTTTATGATTATGACATTGTCGACTGGAATGTTGGCTCAACCGGACCTCGCATTGAGGTCTTGTAATGTGGTGGAACAGAGACAGCTCCGGGTATCCTCCGTTTTTTTCTTCTTATGACCTTATTTTAATGTTGTTTTTGATCTTCTCCTGCGTTCCAAGTCATGTCGCGACTGGGTCAGTCGGAACTAATGAGTTGTGGTTTGCATATAGCCCTGCAAATGATATGTTTATAATTTATAAGTACCAGAATAAATTCTGTTGAACATGCATATTCTAATCCAAGACTGGAATCATGTTACGTTGTAGGAAGTTTTCAAGACTCGGAAGGACGTCGTTGTGATGTGGTCATGTGATCAAACAACCTTCCTCGAACGTCTTCACAACAACAACATCAAAAGAATCCATATAAGGTACTTGATCTTCGATGACATCGGTAGCAGCCGTTATTATATGAGATATCCTTATATTTATCTAACTAGAGTTATAGCTACCTTACGACTCTCATTTTAAGACGAGGCATTCGTCAAACCTAAGATCAATTAGGCTCCCTTTTCCAATGCTTGCTGTCAATCACATCGTCAATACCCTACTGCTTCTCTATTAGCTTTCATGATGAGCCGTGTTTCTTAAAAAAGGAAAAAATTAAAGAAATGAAATACTTTAAAAGGTTTTTATATATTCCCCCATGACATCAAATCATGGCAAGGACACCGCAAGGAATTCAGACCTTCTCCGAAATATCCAGATTATCCGTCAGCTGTCCTGCAGCCCTATTACTGGCCTCCTCCTCTTCGTCTTCTCTCATTCTTTGTTCCTTTAGCTCTTTCAGATGCTGGCAAAACCGGCTGCCGGCCCTGATTCGGTTGCCGTATCGTATGAAAGCAAACGGGACAGCTGTCATAGCTAAGCTGGCAAATGCAAGCAAACTACATCCCCAGCTCACGCCTAGGACGGCGTACATGCGTCCTGCAGCAATTGGTAGGGCAGTTCCGAGGATACTTCGTGCAAAACTCGCGGCTGACTGCGCGCTAGCCGAGTAAGTTTCGTACGCATCGGAAAGGTAGTTGATCATCGCAATGAAAATTAGGAGGAAGCCTGCACCAAACGGTATGCCGGAAAACATTGGAACAGACCAGTGGATGTTAGGAGACGCAGTCCATCCCAGCCAAAGGAGGGCCACAACAAAGAGTGGGCCACCGACGCCTGCAAGGGGGAGTCGCCGATATTCCTCAACCGAAGACCAAGGAGCGTGTCGAAGTTTAGCACGGTGGAGGAAATTGTCCCAATAATAGAAAAGGCCAAGGGCGAGAGCGACTCCAACACCGACTAGCATAGCTTATTAGGATCCGATAGGGGCAGAGGAGAATACGAGGCATTGGAAGACTTACTTGGTAGGTACATCAGCCCTGCAACTCCAGGGTTCATATGATACATCCCTGCGCGGGTTAGTGGTTGCTTTTCTAGATCGACGGAGCCATACACTTACTTTGAAAAATTATAGGGTATGTCTGGAAGTACATGAAGAAGATGGCATATACCAACGACAGATACAGGCATGTGAAGAGCACAATTGATTCGAATAAGATCATTCGAAGAGGTCTCGTCAGGGTCACAGTCATTGTCTCTTTAATTCCTTTCTTTTCAAGATCGAGTGCTGCAACAATCTTGTCGTCGCCTGTCTCCTTGCGCAGCTTTCGGGCCCTTCGCTGTAGGAGAACTGGTGCATATGATTCAGGCATCAGAATCACAAGAGGAGCAGTTAGACCTGCAAATATTAGGCCTACCCAGAAACTCCAGCGCCAGCTTACCACCGATATAAAGCCAGTAATTGGCGGTCCAACGATAGGACCAGCGCACGTCGCCTGTCAAAGTCAGCTATGGCCCTGATAACAAGTGAAGTCAATGCTCTGCTTACCGCCATAAAACATGCCATATATCTCCCCCTCGTCCTAGGCTCGTCATAAACATCCGCAAACATTCCTCCCACAACGGCAATGGGTGCTGATGCCGCCACACCCACAAAAAACCGCATAACTAAGAATGCTGTCCAACTCTGGACCAGTGCACACGCAAGTGTGAATAAAGTGAAGGCTGTGAAACCCACTACCACAACCGGTTTGCGGCCATAGGACTCTGATAACGGCCCACACACGATGGGCCCAAAGACATAGCCTAATAAGAATAGCGAGATGGGCAGAGTCAATTGTTCAGCTGATTGAATGTTAAATTCGCGTGCGATAAATGGGATGGCACCGCTGGGAAGGGAAGAGCTAAGGGTGCTATTGAGTACGTTTATGACCCCAGAGAGAAGGACAAAGAGTTTTTTTTTCTAAGAAATTAGCATGATGGCTGATGGAGATAGTGCGAACAGACACATACCTTCGACCAGTTGACTGGGTCCTCGGGATCTTTTGAGTGGAAGGACAGAACGGTCTTTGAAGCCACACGGCGACACCTATAGGAAGACGTATAGGCTCCGTTTATGGGCAACCTCCCACCAGCTCTTTCACCATTGCCACTGATATCAGAAAGCGAAGACTCAGATCCGGCATGTGGCACGGCTACAGGGCCTAAGGATGCATCAATAACACAACGTACGTATTCCTTGGGTTCTGGATCACTAACTTGCCACTATAGTGACTTCCTTCAGTTGGGCATCATCCACCTGCACGGAGGCCTGTTCGATTTCTCCCATCGGCCTCATGAACGTATGGTATGGCCAAGACGAGAAATCCCGAGTTATGGCCGAGTATTCGAGTCAATGTTTCAATATGTAAAACTAATTCAAAGGCATGAGATGAGGGCAATGCACAACTTCTTGCACACTTTCAGCATCTATCAGCCGAATATAAAATGCTCTTGATATATATGATGTGAAAGAAGAGTGCACGGGGGTATGGTCGTGGGGGACGGACCGGTTAGCACGGCTTCTTCTGCTTCTTTTCTTTTCTATACGGACTTCCTGGATTCCCTACCCGAGCTGCGGATGGAGATGGTGATAACTAACCAATGGCCAACTCGCTACCCATCATCTCGGAATTTGAAGTGCGGAACGTTGGCCTCGTTTAACCTTATGCCGGGGTCCCTGGAGCCTTTGCCGGTGGGACTGCCGACGACCTCTATATTACATGTTTACTCGACAACAATGTCCTACAATTCTGCTTGATATACAAAGTAACCTCCTGCAATTCCGGGGTACTCTGCTCCCCTCCATGAATGCGCCTCGGGATGCATCTTCAATTGCTAGCCTTTGGGTCAGTGGGGTGTCGGTCAGTTGGCGGGAGCATTGTGCCGGAACTTAGCGCCAACGCCTGCAGGCGCTTTGACGATACAAGGACGGAATACTCCATAACAAGGATGAGATGCTGGTGTCTGGATGTTGATAAGACTACGAGGTGAGCTCTTTTTTACTCTCATAAATATTATTCTCACTTTAAACGTCATTCTCACTTGTCTACATCAGTAGGAAACTGTCGAGTATTACCATCGATGAATTTCTACTTACCGGCCCCACTGGACTGGATGTAGCTATCCACGGGCCGGTAGCAGGACCAGCCGCTGACGCTGTGCGACGTTAGCATTCTCGATGCATGGAGTTCACCGGAATTAGTACGCAAACTCAACGGCCACGCAATATTTGCATGGGCGTGAGCACGGTCTTCTGTGCAACAGTCTCTGGCCTTTGGCCACCCGGACCCAAAGCATGTATCAGTTCTGCGGCCCGATATCAGCGATTTCCGGTTTCAGGATGCATCATGCGGTTTTGTAAAAACGTTGATGGCCTTAATAGCAATGCAGATACTCCGTACGGAGTACTGTGGGAAGCTATTCAAAACATTGCCCAAGGACCTTATGCATCTGGGATCATACAGATTACCCCAGCTGAGAGAGTTCACCTTATACCTTCCATCTTTACGGAGTTATACCCTCTTTATTCCCATTTTCGACGTTTCTCATCCTCGTCTCTCTTTTTCCACACACAAAACATTGAGTCACGTGAATAACGCTTACTAAGACATGGTGCAAACAAGACAAATAAAGCTGAGTCAGCGTCATGTCCGGATCCCGTGATCTGATTGGCTCGCGAAAAAAAATCGGGCAAATGAGGCAAAAAAGGCAAAAAAAGGATCTCTGCAAAAAAAACGGCTTCCGTTTTCTCCCTTGTCTATATCTTGCTTGGATCTTGACTTCGAATTCGACTTCATCAACACCAGCATTCAAAGACCCTGGCTGTCGTTCTTATACATCTCCTCTCACTCTTCACCCTTTCGTCGTCGGTTCTGTTTTTTGTCTACTCACAATGGCTGCTGCTGGTTCCAAGCTGAGCGATGCTCTCCCTGCCCCAGTTGTTCCTGCTCCACAGCAGATGAGCGCCCTCGATCTCTATGCTAGATTCGCCTTTGCTGGTGCTGTCTGCTGTTCCGTCACCCATGGAGCCCTCACCCCCGTCGATGTGTATGTTCTCCCTTGCAATTGAGTGGTTATTTTCAAATTGCCGGTTCTGATATCATTCCAGCGTCAAGACCAAGATCCAGCTCGACCCCGTCACCTATAACAGAGGCATGTTTGGTGGTTTCCGCCAGGTCATTCAGAATGAAGGTGCCGCTGCTCTCATGACCGGATTTGGCCCAACTGCCGCCGGTTACTTCCTCCAGGGAGCCTTCAAGTTCGGAGGTTACGAGTTCTTCAAGAAGCAATGGATCAACGCCCTCGGCTACGAGACCGCCCGGGAAAACAGAACCGCCGTCTACCTCGCTTCTTCTGCCGCCGCTGAGTTCTTCGCTGATATCGCCCTCTGCCCACTTGAGGCCACCCGTATCCGTCTCGTCTCCGAGCCAACCTTTGCTAGCGGTCTGTTGAGCGGATTCGGCAAGATCTTGAAGAACGAGGGTGTTGGTGCCTTCTACTCTGGATTTGGCCCAATTCTCTTCAAGCAGTAAGTCGCATAACCGCCCTGTCCTGTCAAAGCCGCTCTTTATACTCACCCATCTACAGGATCCCATACACCATGGCCAAGTTCGTCGTCTTCGAGAAGGTCTCCGAATTCGCCTACACTAAGATCGACAAGGATTCTCTATCCGACGGTGCCAAGACCGGCGTCAACCTTGGTTCTGGCCTCCTTGCTGGTTTCGCCGCTGCCATCATCTCCCAGCCCGCTGACACCATGTTGTCCAAGATCAACAAAACCAAGGGTGCCCCTGGTGAAGGAACCGCCACCCGCCTCGTCAAGATCGCTAAGGAGCTTGGTCTCCGCGGCTCTTTCGGTGGTCTCGGAACTCGTCTCTTCCTCGTTGGTTCTATTACCGCCGGTCAATTCGCTATCTATGGTACGTCTGCCCTTTCCCTTTGTCGTCTGTGTTATGATCCAATATTAACAATCTGTACAGGTGACATCAAGAGAATCCTCAATGCCACTGGTGGTGTTGAATTGAAATAAACGACCTCCTCCCTCTCACCGCGCGTCCCGTTCTCATGTCAAACCGCAACCACCTCCTTTAACCTTTACCGGGCGGACGGGCTTATCCATACCGCAATCTCCAAAAAGAACCTTTCCCTCGTCTCTTTCTCTTTCTGATCATTGGGTCATATAGAGCCGGAGGCATCATAGAGCATTAATGCATACACTTGTAGATGAATGCTTTTCGTTATCCCCTGGTATAATCATTTTCTTTCCTTTGTTCTCATCATACAATCAAATATTAACCTAACTTCTTCGATATTTCATCTATGTATTACCTACTGACCTACACGTGGTTTAATGTCATTTTCTACCTGTTTTTTCCTTTATACTAATTTCATATTTGTTATTGTGGCATAAGGTGGAAAAAAAAATTTCTTTTTCTTTCGTTGGTTTATATGTTTTTTTACTCGCGCGGCTAGGTACACACAAGATAGATTTCATATCTCTTTTCGTGCTTTGGTTTGATTTTTCAAGCGAGCCACTACCACATTGCACGACTGTTCATGAGTTATGGATCACAGATGAGCTGGGTATTCGCAAGGTTATAAATTTGGGTTGACAAAAGGTGGATTACCGGAAAATATATTGGTGTATACGTTTCTCTTATAGATGCATGACATAGATCAGCAGCTATATATAATATAAATGATAAAACATTGTATGCTAGCAGTTTCCTTTGATGGAGAAGGATACACATTCAATTCTACTTGGTCGTTCGGAAAATTTTTCATTTTCAACCTAGCCTAAGCAAACTCGCAACTATATCCCTACTGCATATCTCCATCTGCTTCCTCCCTCCTGCTCTCTCATTAACCCAGACGCAAACACTCTTCGGCCCAATTCGAAACTCTCCGTACCCTCGTTGATCAATCTTGACAGCCGATACCATGGCCGTACTCGACGTGAAGACTTCAGTCCATCGCTCCCCGGCATGGCTAAGGCCAACGTACATTGTCTTCGACTTTGGTGTGGTGCTATTGCTAAGCAGACAGGCCAGGCCAGACGGGTGCGCTGTATCGCCGTAACGGATGAAGCCTAAGATGTATTAACAATTGTATTTCACCCAGTACTACGGAAAACGCACCAATACACTCCTTGTTGTCGAAATAATCCCTTTGTTTCCCGTAGGCGTACAACTTTCGAACCATCGCGAGTGTCGCTAAATTGTCGACGGCTGGAAGTCGATACTTTGGCTCCGTATTTGTTATTCCATAGAGGTCGCCGTAGAAGAGGCAGGGGTAGCCATCCCGGCGGAGGAGAATAAGTGCATATGCAAGGGGCTTGAACCAGGCCGCTATCAATATCTAGATTTGACTAGTTAGCAGGCAGGCTGACCATTTGTATAAGGGGTAAGTGCCTTACTTCGAGGGATTGTCCTGGTTGCTATGCTTCGTTAGCTATGCTTACATCTTCAGTTCAATACGAGTGGTCTCTCACAGTATCATGATTGGCGACAAAGGTCTACTCAATGTTAGCAATATGTTCTATATCTAAAAACTGGCATGTGGATAATATACCACTGCATTTTGTGGGCGAAGTTGCACAAACGTCTTATCGAACACCTGCCGCATGTCCTGTCCATCCTTTGAAAGGAGAGAAAATTTCTCTGCCAGTGGAACATCAAATAGCGAAACAACCCCTTCCATCTGCTCGAAATAGTTAAGTAGGATGCTGATATCGCCAGTCCAATACTCTGCAACCAGGAACCAATCACGGCCAACGGTTGCTCGAATATGCCGAATAAATTCCTTCAAGAATGCTCGTGAATAATGCTTGACCGCATCAAGCCTCAGTCCCTTCAACTCAAATTGCGCCCCCAGCCACTCGATCCAGTGTTTAACGTCCTCCTTCACTTCAGCATTTGAATAGTCGACATCTGCAAAAATAAGGTAGTCATAATTCCCGTTCTCAGTGCTAACGTCTTTGGCCCAGTCCTTGCCGTCTGGGCCAGTCAATTTGAAGATGCCTGTTTGCTGCTGGAGGATATCATAGTTTACTCCACTGAAATGGTACCAGTGGTATTTCATAGCGCTGTATTGGTTTCCCCGGCCAGGGAAATCGTGGCCTAGCCAGGCTTCGATCTCCCTGGGGGGAGCAATATTCACCGTCCTATCTTTTAGCCGGTCAGGTAGTGTATCTCACGGGATATTGTATAGAGCATAGGACAGTTGTATATGCATGCTTACCTTTGGGGTCAACCTGAACAGCAATGCATCTCTCCTTGGTATCCGCTCCTGCTTTATGGTTTAGTACTGCATCCCAATATACTCCTATCCCGAGCTCGCTTGCCCGAGAAATAAATGCCTCAAGCTCTGCCTTTGTACCCCATTTCGTTGCTATTTGACCCTTTTGATTGAATTCTCCAACATCATAAAGATCGTAGATGTCGTACCCATTTCCGTCTGTCGCCGCTTTGCAGCCAGGGGGGATCCAGATACTGCTTATGCCCATAGATTTTAGACGGGGAAGGCTTTCGTTGAGTCTGTTCCAGTGTTGATGATCGCGAGGAGCGTGCCATTCGAACCCCTGGAACATCAGGCCGTTATATTCGGCGGCTTGGGGTTCTTTTGGTGTGTTAATTCAACGCCATAACAATGAACTCTAGGACCTAGATGGTTGAAGTAACGAGTTGAAACGAGACAGAGACCAACCGTCTAGTACATCCCACTTTTCGTTCTTCAGTCTATAGTATGTTGACAGTACTGGGCCCATCGTGGCGGCAATTATTGGTTCCCGATATTTTCGCTCCTAGAGCAGGTGGAGGGAATTGTTTCTGTCGAGTAGATAATGTTGGAATCAAGTGAAGATATATATATTCCAAGAATTTAACGCGGTTATAAAAGAAATTTCATCCTCGTGCCATGCTGAACTCTGGCCTTGATAGCTAGTACGACTAGATAGGGCGGGGAGGAGCACAAGCTCCAGAGCAAACACGCTGTGCCAATGAGAAGCCAAATAGGGCTATAGAAGAGGCCTCTGACATATAATATGCTATCACTATCGACAATAAATCACAGTAAACGATGCGATGTCGAAGTCGAAGTTGAAGTTGAAATCCGGATTTAAGCACCAAACCTTAACGTTGAGTTCAGTCACGTGACAGTTATTTTTATAAAAAAAAAATATCCAAAGTCGACACCAAAGGAAGAAAACAGCAGGATTGTCCTGCGGATTACCTCCAGGATGGATGCTTTCAAGCTTCTTACGAGGTCGACCAAGCTCAAGCCGGCTGCTGCCAATGCAAAGCGATCAACTGCCAATCGCCTACCGTCGACAGGCGAAGCCAGCACACCACAGCTATTTCCCACGAGAACGTCGAATGCGCCAGGAAGGCAGGGCGATGATGATAGTCGGGGGAAGAAAAGGAAACGCGGGTCCGGATTGGGAGATGGAGGCGACTCTATGACTAAAGATGCAGGGTTGAATTTCTTCACTGGCCTCTCCTCATCAGCGGCCGAAGTGCCTTCAAAAATTCCCGATGTAGATGCCGGTGCGGATGAAGATGACGATGACAATGACGGCGCGATACTGGACACGCAGCATTCTTTGCTTTCCGAAGCCGAGAGGAAATCGATTCTAAAATCGCACAAAATCAAAGTAACAGATCTCCGAACACCAAAGGTAAACGTTGACGATCTTGAAGCGACAAAAACGAAGAAAAAATCCAAGAAACGGAAAAGAGAAAAAGAGCCCGCCGTTGCTCTTACCAAAAAGCAGCGCAAGGCATTGCAGGCGCTTTATCCAGAACCGTTAGTCTCGTTCGACCTACTACAATCGAAGTACAAGATCTCAAGGAGGCTGGTGGAAAATATTCGAAATCAAGGTTATACTGTGCCTACGGAGGTACAGCTTGGCTGTCTACCTATCCTTCTAGGCAGTCCGTCGGGATCTGTAGAAAATGGTGACAGCGGCAGCGGGACACAAGCTAATGGGGAGAGCGAGCCTGATCTTCTTACAGTTGCGCCCACTGGAAGCGGAAAGACGTTGGCATTTATGATTCCTCTCATCAACAAGATCATGAAATACCGACACCAGAACGCTAACCCTCAGTCAAGGGGGATTCTAGCCATTGTTGTTGCGCCAACCAAAGAGCTTGCTAGTCAAATCGCGAACGAGGGTAGGAAACTCGCTCTTGGCACCGGAGTCAAGATTACCACCATGCGAAAAGGCATGCGAGTAGTGGAGGAGCGCGGTGGGAATGACATGAAGGAGGAGGAAGAGAAAGACGAATCCGACGAGGATGATAGTATCGCCGACAGTGATGAAGAGCGGCCAAAGGGACGGCCAAAGACTCTCGCGACTGTAACGAAAAGCGATATCCTCGTTACAACTCCGTTACAACTAGTGAACTCCCTCTCTGATAATGGACAGAACGAATTGGCCTCGATGCCATTAGTTCAATCACTGGTACTCGATGAAGCCGATGTTCTACTAGACCCCTTATTTCGAGACCAGACACTCAAAATATGGCAATCATGCGTCAACCCCCAGCTACGCGTTGGCCTATGGTCAGCCACAATGGGATCCAACATTGAGGAACTCGCCAAGTCAACCATCACGGAGCGACAAGCGTCTTTAGATCTAAAAGAGGAATCCTTCCTTATCAGACTCGTTGTGGGTTTAAAAGACTCGGCCATTCCAAACATCTCCCATAAACTCACTTACGCGGCAACAGAACAAGGAAAACTTCTGGGGCTGAGGCAACTCCTACATCCAACAGCGGCTACTTCATCCACCGGCAAACACCTTAGACCTCCCTTTATCGTTTTCACGCAAACAATTCCCCGAGCAGTAGCGCTGCACTCGGAACTTATGTACGATATTCCTCCCGAGGCAGGCGGCTCTTCCCGAATCGCAGTTTTACATTCAGAGCTCTCCGATTCCCAACGATCCGATGTCATGGCCGGATTCAGAAAGGGTGAAATTTGGATTATTATAACGACAGATCTGCTCTCTCGAGGTGTGGATTTCCGCGGAATCAATGGCGTTGTCAACTACGACATTCCCAACTCAGCTGCGGCATATGTGCATAGGGTTGGACGAACAGGCAGGGCTGGACGAGGAGGCGGAGTGGCCGTTACATTCTATACTAAGGAAGATATTCCCTACGTCAAGAATATTGCCAATGTCATCGCTGCTAGTGAGAAGCTACGCGGCGGTGAGAGTGGCGAGCCGGGTATTCAGAAATGGCTTTTGGACGCACTCCCTGATTTAACGAAGAACGACAAGAAGGATCTGAAACGATATGGAGTGCAGGTTAGAAGGCGGACAGCAGCCATGAGCAATGATAAGGATCGCCGCACGACACGTATCAGCACTAAAAGCGGATTTGAGAGGAGGATGGAAAATAACAGAAAAGGAGCAATCAAGGGAAGCCAGTCGAGAAAGCTCGCGCAGGAGTCTAACGCCGACGCTGCAGAGGATGATGCATGGAGCGGCATTGAGGATTGATATATATTACCCTAAACGCCATATCTTGTCGACAAATAGAAAAATTCTCACCTGCATCCGTAAGTTCTCGTCGTCTTAGTACTTGTTATATCTCGACGTTAACAGCTTTATCTTCGTATTCATATAACGTGACTACTAAATCACCTCTAGTGAATAGTTACACATTGTAAAGTTCTTTCCTTTCAACTACCAACTCGGATTATCAAAGGAATGCAGAGGCCTCAAGCAGCAACCTCAACATGGCAGCTCTTTACAGCTACTTCCGCGGCCAGAGCAGCAAGGGAGGCGCTCTGCAGTATATTGAAGATGGAGACGTCGGCAGCTGCCTGCAGAACTAGCATATTGCGCAGCTCGACGGCGATGAGCGAATCGACTCCATACGTGGCTGGCGTCTTTCCAAGATCAATCTCTGCCACATCGATCATGAAGATATCAGCCAATTCGGCAGCAATGGTAGCACCGACGAGGAGAGCGGCATCGTCGTGCGAGCTTACATCGCCCAGCTGTGCAGCAAGTGAAAGGCCGGCACCAGCTATGTCTCCCTTAGCTGCCGCTGGTGCACGCGATAGCTTAGACTGGCGCTTGAGATGCCTATAGCTAGCCTCTCGTCCGAGTTGTGAGCCGCCGTTGGCATCCCACTGGGGGCCTGGCGCCGTGTTGAAGCCGATAATAATCTGGCGGCGGCCTCCAATCGGATGGGCAACAGCAGCAGCCAGCGCGCGCAGGACGGTGGTCTCGTCCAGCATGTTATAGTCAACAGACTTGCGCAGTCGCTCGGCAACGGTGGCAGTCTGGGCGACGTAGCCGACATCTGATATAGGGCCCAGGTCGATAGAGACGCCCGGCAACCCCTTGGACTGGCGCCAGTGTGCCATGGCATCTTCATAGGCGCCGCCAGCAGCATAGTTGGTCTGCGAGGGAATGCCTAGCACTCCAGAGACGGACGACAGCATGACGAAGAAGTCGAGTGAGCCTGGTGCCGCGAACTCGGTATGCAGATTCCAGGTGCCGTCGACCTTGGGCCGTAGGCCACTGTGCCAGTCAGTGAGCGTCATCTGCTCGAAGATGGCATCGCGCAGCAGCATAGCTGACTGAATTACACCACGGACAGGGGGGAATCCGTCGTCGGCGCACACACGCAGGGCGTTGACCAGATCGCTAGCCAGAGAAATGTCACAGTTGACGGGCTTGATACGGCAGTCGGCCCTCTCGCGCAGCTCGCGTACGAAGAAAAAGAGACCGAGGAGGAAATTGCCATAGTGGGCATGTCCATTAAAACGTCTCCGGCGCCGAGGATCTGGAAGAATTCGCGGAAATGCTAAAGACTGGCAAGTCGCAGCATGAATTGATCACCCGAGAACGAATGATGCAGGATATGCTGTTCCGAGATGCGGCAGACGCGGATGGGAAGAGGTATTATGGCAACTTTTTGCGCAATACAGATACCTTTGACCATAAGTTCTTCAAGCGCAGCCCACGCGAGTCGCAGGCGATGGATCCGCAGTGCAGGATATCGCTGCAGGCGGCTTACCAGGCGGTCGAGCAGTCGGGCTACTTCACCGAGTCAAAAACGAAGAAGAACAAAGAAGCGGAGCACATTGGCTGCTACCTAGGTGTGTGCGGTGTCGACTATGAACATAACATATCCTGTCATGCGCCGAGCCCATTTACGGCGACGGGCGGTCTGCGCGGTTTTATTACCGGCCTGATCGCGCACTTTTTTGGGTTTACGGGCCCGGCAATGACATTCGATACGGCCTGCTCATCGTCGACGGTAGCGATGCACACGGCTTGCCGTAACCTACTGTCAGGCGAGACGACGGCGGCGCTGGTAGGTGGTGTCAACGTTATAACCAACATGCAGTGGTTACAGAACTTCAGCGCTGGCAGCTTCTTAAATCCGATTGGTCAATGTAAGCCGTTTGATCGTGATGCCGATGGCTACTGTCGAGCAGAAGGTGTCGCTTTCGTCTTCCTGAAAAAGCTATCAGACGCTAAGGCTGCTGGCAACATGGTGCTAGGAACGATCAAAGCGACAGCGGTTAACCAGAACCTTAATGTCACGCCATTGTTTGTACCTAATGTGCCATCGCTATCGAAGCTGTTCCGAGGTGTGATTCGTAAGGCTGGCGTTGACCCATCTGAGAAATCCTTAGTTGAAGCCCATGGCACTGGCACACCGGTTGGCGACCCAGCAGAGTACGAGAGTGTCAAACTAGCGGTGTCCAGTTCTCATCGCAATACCGCCGTGGCCATCGGCTCGGTGAAAGGCCATGTAGGTCACACAGAGGGGGCATCAGGGGTGATCGCGCTGGTGAAAGTGCTTATGATGATGCGCGACGGCTTTATCCCACCTCAGGCCAGCTTCACGCGTATGAACCCGCACATCCACACCTCGGCGGCTGACATGATAGAGGTAGTAACGGAGCTGCGACCGTGGCCTGCCGATCGCAAGATCGCGCTGCTTAACAACTACGGCGCCTGCGGGTCCAACGCCAGTCTTATAGTGGCCAGCTCATCGCATAAGCCAACCCTTGACAACCAAAGCAGTCGCTGGCTAGCTGAGAAGATGACGGCGCGGCTACCGTTCTGGATCACTGGATTTGACGCCCGCAGTATCGCTACCTAGCTCCGTACTTACAGCGCGTCCGCGTCGGGGATATCCAAAAGGAAGCAACTCTGGCCGATGTGGCATTCAACATGGCCCGGCAGTCGAACCCGGGCGTACCGCAGGGGCTTGTCTTTAGCTGTCGTTCGCTGGAGGAGTTGCAGGAAAAGCTCGCACTGGCTGCCGCGGCTACAAAAGAAACAGCCGCAAGCGCTAGGATCGCTGTTGCCAAGACGGAACGGCCCGACGTGTTATGCTTTGGCGGCCAAAACTCAAAGTTTATCGGGCTGGATCGTGCGCTTTACGAGGGAGTAGCCATTTTGCGGCAGCACCTAGATGCATGCGATGCGGCCATCACGGCAATGGGCTTGAGCAGTATTTTCCCTAGTATCTTCTCGCGCGAGCCAATTCAAGATGTCGTCCAACTGCAAATGGCGCTATTCGCTATACAGTACGCCAGCGCCCGGGTGTGGATGGACTGTGGGCTGGCTGCGAAGATCGTCTCAGTCGTGGGTCACAGCTTCGGCGAGATCACGGCGCTTTGCGTGTCCGGTGTGCTAAGTCTTGATGATACGATCCGCCTGATTGCTAGCCGGACTCGAGGCCCATAATGGCCGTTGAGGCCAATGAGGCACTCGTGCATGATCTACTCAAGGAAGTTAATCGAATTACTGATAACAATTGCTCTACCTACATCGCTTGCTATAACGGTCCACGCAGCTTCACGCTAGCGGGGTCGACTCAGGCTATCGATGCTTTGGCTGTGACTCTCGCAGCCAATCCTGAGTTAGCTAGAGCCGGTATAAAGAGCAAGCGGCTCAATGTCACCAACGCCTTCCACTCAATGCTGGTAGAGAACCTCGTTGGCGAACTCGGAAACATTGGTCGGGGGCTTACCTTCAATGGCGCCGTGATTCCGGTCGAAAGGGCTACCGAACACGATTCAACAGACGACCCGTTGGACTGGACCTTTGTGCCATCGCATATGCGCCGTCCAGTCTACTTCAACCACGCTGTGCAGCAGCTAGCTAAGAAATATCCGCAAGCCATATTCCTGGAAGCCGGTTCTAACTCGACAATCACAATGATGGTAAGTAAGGCATTAGCCCAGGTCACTTTGGCCAGCCCCGACTCGCTCGCTTTCCATGCACTGTCCATCACCAACACTGAAAAGGGTTTCGACGCCCTCACAGATGCTACAGTAGGGCTATGGAAACAGGGCCTACGGGTGTCCTTCTAGCCACACCACCATTCCCAGGCCGGCGAGTATACACAGCTACTACTGCCACCGTACCAGTTCGAAAAGTTCCGCCACCGGCCCGATGTGAAGTCACCAACCGAAGTTGTCACCAATGCAGCCCAGGCTATGATTGCAGCAGGAGGTTATACTACCGCAGGGGCTACTGCCTCTGCCACTCAAATGGAAGGCGACGCCCGGAATCTCCTCATTTGGACATTCATCGGCTATCAGGACACCAAAAGGGACAAAAGAAGTAAGAAGTTGACCCGATTCCGCATCAACACGCCTCGGACTTATACTAGTGCTTTTTTTCCTCCCATATCATCGCCCAGACGGCGCCCATCTGCCCGGCAACACTTGAGATCGACATGGCTCTCGAGGCTCTCTTCAGTCTCAACCCGGACTGGAAGCTGGCTGGTTATTCGCCCACGATACACAATCTCATCAGCCATGCACCAGTGTGTGCCGACTCAACTCGTGTCTTCTACATAGACCTGTCATCGCTGGATAAGACCGAGATGAAGTGGCACTTTAGCCTACACAGCGTGAGCAACGGAAATGGAGACAGCAACTCACAGGCCCACGCTGAGGCCGTGATACGCATGCGCGCGCCGGCCGATGCCTCCTTTTTACAAAAGTTTGGCTATTACGAGCGTCTGGTAAGCCACGAACAGTGCCAGTCCCTGCTCAAGCTAAACCTCGAGGACGACGGCGTTGAGGTGCTGCACGGCCGGAACCTGTACCGCGCATTCTCTGAAATTGTCGACTTCGGGCCGGTCTACCGCGGCGTTAAATATATCGTCGGCCGCCGCGGCGAGAGCGCTGGTGTTATTCATAAACGTCATCAGGGCCACACCTGGCTCGACGTGCCAATGAGCGACTCGTTTGGCCAGGCCGCTGGCATTCATATGAATCTGCTAACTGAGAGCCTGTCGCCGACCAACATGTTCATTGCGAACGGCTGCGAGCTCCCGATGCGATCGCCAAAGGCTCCCGTAGAGATGTCTGGGAAAGAGAACGGACCTGGCATCTGGCACGTCCATGCCCGCCACACCCGTCAGTCTGACAATGCCTATATCACCGACGTCTTTGTCTTTGATGCCGCCACCGGTGAATTGGCCGAGGTCATGCTGGGCCTACAGTATACATGCGTGCCCAAAGCGTCTATGAGTAAGATCCTCGCGCGTTTTACAAAGGACCAAGAGTTCCTCAGAAAGCCAGCAGCGGTAGAATCTGCTTCGGCTGCCACTGCTATTGCTGCTGCTCCCCCAGCTACAGTTACTGCTACTACTTCTAAAGCCGTCAAGTCCAGTGCTATGGCAAAGAAACCAAAGAAGAAGACTCGCGACATCACCGAAGAGGTGTGCAACTTGGTCGCCAACGTCTCCGGTGTTGAGCCAAGCGAGATGACCCTCGACAGTGAGATGGCTGACCTGGGTATCGACTCGCTAATGGGCATGGAGCTGGCTCGCGAGGTCTAGAACATGTTCAAATTTACCCTTGATCAAGCCGAGATGATGGAGGCCATCAGTCTGCGCCAGTTTTTCGCCTGCGTCGCAAAGGGGCTAGGCAATGCAGGGGAAGAAATCGAGCAAGAACCAGATGAAAGCGACAGTGACTCTGCCGTAAAACTCGCACTCTCAGACGATAGCAATGACACAGGCTCTAACATCACCACGCCGGACGTGGAAGAAGAGGTCTCTGCTTTCACCGAGCCCGTCCCGCTGCCAGTTGGGCCAGCGACTAGTAATCTCACCCTCTCCCGCTCCGACATCCTCGAATGCTTCGGCCAGGTTAAGCTAATGGCTGATGATAAGATCCGTGAGTTTGGCCTCGACGACATCTCCCGCGCCAGCCTAGCTGGCAGTAGCAAGCTCTGCACTGCTCTGGTCGTCGAGGCATTTGATAAGCTCGGGTCGCCGCTGCGGACCGCCACCCCAGGGCAGCTCCTGGATCGCGTTGCCTATTTACCACAGAACGGCCATATAATGGCCTATATATATGGCTTCCTTGAGCGCGAGGCACGCTTGATCGATATCGATGTGGCGACGGGCCAAATCACACGCACTCATCTGGCTGTGCCGCGTAAAACCAGTGCTGCTCTGCTCGAGGAGATGTTAGCCGCACATCCAGAGTCCGCTATCCCCAACCGCCTAGTTTACTATGCCGGCAAGCACTTAGCCGGTGTGCTCGACGGCTCGACTGATGGCATCCGTGTTATCTTTGGCAGCGCCGAGGGCCGCCAACTTGTCCAGGCCATGTACTGCGATTACGCCTTCAACCGCATGCACTACCAGCAGATGGCAGAGATCGTCACCGGAATATCTAGGCGTCTGACCCAGCCTGGACAGACCCTGAAAGTCCTCGAAATGGGCGGTGGTACCGGGGGTACAACAAATGTGATGGCTCCGGTGCTGGCGTCCCTTGGTCTGCCAGTTGAGTACACCTTCACTGACCTGTCGCCGTCTATGGTAGCCAATGCACGCCGCAAGTTCTCCAAGCAGTATCCATTTATGCGCTTCGCCGTGCATGATATTGAAAAGCCGCCAGGCGTAGAGCTCATGGGGCAGCATCTTGTTCTGGCCAGCAATGCGATCCATGCCACCCACAGCTTGCATGTATCTGTACGAAATGTGCGCCAGGCCCTCCGCCCAGACGGATTCCTTATGATGCTTGAGATGACCGAGAGCCTACCATTTATCGATCTTGTGTTCGGCCTGCTCGAGGGCTGGTGGTTATTTGACGACGGCCGTACCCACGCCATCGTGCCAACCAAAGACTGGGCGAAAGCTCTACACGCCGCTGGCTACGGTCACGTCGACTGGACCGACGGTCACCGGCCTGAGAACGCCTTCCAGAAAGTTATAATTGCCCTGGCGTCTGGAGAGCGGATGAAGACACGACTCCCAGCACCTACAGCGTCCGTGGAAGAAACGAAAAGAGCTGTTGATAGAGGCGATGTAGCATCCCGCGAGGCCGATGCTGAACGACTTGTTGTTTCTTACACGGATGGCTGGGCCACGCCAGCTCTCGATTCCACGGTCATCAATGTCGACGACTCTACCACTTCTACTACTCCCGCCGTGGTCATCGTCACCGGTGCTACCGGCAGTCTCGGCGCCCATCTTGTGCAGGCCCTCGCTGAGCGCCCTGACGTTTCCACTGTCGTCTGTGTAAACCGCCATTCTAGCAGCGTCCCGGCCCAGCGGCGACAAACTGAAGCCTTTTCGTCAAGGGGTATTGCTCTATCACAGGCCGCGCAGGAAAAGCTTCGCGTCTACGAGACCGACACCACCAAGCCGCAGCTCGGCCTGCTCCCTCAAGATTACGGCTGGTTGGTCTCGCATGCCACCCATATTGTGCACAATGCCTGGCCCATGAGCGGCACACGACCTCTCAAGGCGTTTGTGCCACAAATGCAGACCATGCGCAACCTGCTAGACCTGGCGCGGGAGATGGCTCTGGGGAAACCAAAGAGGCGCATCGGCTTTCAGTTCGTCTCCTCGATCGGCGTGGTGGGCTACGCAGATACATCCGCCGGACCGCTTGTTATCGAAGACCGTGAGCCTATATCCGCCAGCATACCGGGCGGCTACACCGAGGCCAAATAGGTGCATGAACGCATGCTCGACGAGACGCTGAATCGCTATCCTCGTCTCTTTCGCACTATCGTTACACGCCCCGGCCAGATCGCAGGCTCTAGCCGCAGTGGCTTCTGGAACCCGATCGAGCATTTTGCCTTCATGGTGAAGAGTGCGCAGGCGTTGCGTGTATGGCCCGACCTGCATGGCCCCCTGCACTAGCTGCCCGTCGACCGCACCGCCAGTATCATGGTAGAGCTGCTCAAACTAGAAAACGACAGCGAGGCAGCTTACCCCGTCTATCATATTGATAACCCTGTCGGTCAGCCGTGGGAGGAAATGTCGCCGGTGCTTGCAGCCGCCCTCGACATTCCTCCCCGGAACATTATCCCCTATGCCGACTGGATCTCTCGCGTGCGCCGCTCATCATTGTCTACCGACGAGAACCCGGCCGCCCGTATCGTTAACTTCCTCGATGGTCACTTTGAGCGCATGTCCTGTGGTGGTATAATCCTCAGCAGCCAGAAATCGGAGGAGCACTCGACCACCATGGCTGCCGAAGGTCCCGTGAGCGCTGACATCGCGCGATCTTATGTGGAATCCTGGAAGGCCATGGGGTTCCTGAAATAGGTTCTTTAGAATCTTTGCTGAGAGCACTCCGTAGCTATTGATATTTTTTCCTCGATCGGTTTGGCGTTTGGACTAGCTGGTTATAGTATAGAAACTGTCAAGATTGTTGCTCTCGGTGATAGTTTAGTATCATTTGATAATACTTATTTGATGATAATCAGGTTCTCTCTGTGTGGTACAACTCGTTCCTATATCCAACATTCTCCAAGTCTTCAAGCTTTTTGTCCCTTTTTTTGTCCATCAGTTGCATCACGTGATATGTATACCTACTTGCAAACGCGTTGTAGGGTCAGCCCTTTTTCTGTATATATATAGAGAGAGGTCTAAAATGGCCTATAGACTTAGAGACCGTCATCTTCATTCATTCTACGCCCGTTTTGAGCTCCTGTTGTGTAAATTCGGGTTTTATAACATCTAGTAGTAAAGCATCTAGTGGTGAATCACGTTAAGCCCGAAACCTCCGCATTTCTGCATAGCCGAGATTCGTATGATATAGAGAAACAACCAGTCCATCTTCACACGATTGCCCAAAGTACTACGGATATACCATCTCTAAAAGACGATAGGCAAAACATCAAGCGACGACCTCACTATAACTCGTCAACATGTCTCCCAAAACCGCTGTTCTTACCGGCAAAGCCCCCAAACCGCTCCCTGTCTTCTCCCAGGCCATTGTTCATAATGGCATGATATACTGTTCTGGGAGCATCGGAGTAGATCCAACCACGAACAAACTCGTCTCCGGCGGAGTTGCAGAGAGAACAGTCAGTCTCCATACTTATCGGCCAACCTGATGCATACATACTAAATCTTATCCTGTAGAACCAAGCGCTGAAGAACCTCGCAGCTGTCTTGGAGGCTGGCGGCAGCAGCTTGAAAAATGTGGTCAAAATCAATGCATTCATCACTACCATGGACGACTTTGCCGAGATGAACAAAGTATATGAAACATTCTTTAAGGACGAACCGAAGCCAGTAAGCTCCTTTGATCCAGATTAACAGCGCCATGAACGTCTTGCTGACCGCAGATAGTGTCGAACTTGCGTTGCGGTGAAACAGCTGCCCTTGGATACTGACGTTGAGATCGAATGTATAGCTTATTTGTACGAATTACCCTGTCTATATACACTCAAAGTCGACTCTGGCTTGCTAACTGCGAAGCGCAAATATAGGAATGAGGCCAAGGCTAAACTTTAAGGCAAAAGGAGATATGTTACCTATGACTCAAACAGTTACTTGGGGTTTATTCTCTCGATGTCGTTGTCATCGACATCGAATATCTTGATGATTTCAGATCAAATCCTCCAATTTGGTACTATTTCAAACCAAATACTGCCTTCTCAGCTCCAGCTTAACCAATATGCTTCACCCTTCATCTCCTTTCATTTTGATGGCAGTACCAAAATTTTCCAGCAACATCCTTCCATATGTACCAAGCTAGTCTCATCCATCACAATGCATTGTCTAGTTCCATATTTGAATGGTTTAAATTCAAAGAATATCCTCCATGCCACGGCAATGACCTGGAGCCACTGCCTGGTTATATCCCTAAATATCCTGAGTATTGATCCGAATTAATCAATTCTCAAAGGTCCGAACCATTGAAGGTATCCTTTCTTTGCAATTCCTCCACGCCACAACAGTGATCCTAGTCACTGCCTGGTTATATAAATCCAGTCGCAGAGGGTTAGAAGGCAAACGCCATCTAAAATTGATATTTGGTTGTGTAGAGATTGGTAATAACTTAGATTCCACCACTCCACGCCAGTGACCTTAAGCCCCTGGCTGGTTATATTTAGCCCGAAAGCGCTGAATAATCTGTGAGTCTGGAGGGATTGTCGTCAGGCCTCAATGGAAGTGGCCAAAGGAGTTGTTGTGTAAGCATATATCTGGAAAACCGAGAAAATAAAGTTGACTTGTCCTCCACTCCGCAGTAACATCCTCGAGTTGCTAATCGGTCGTATAATCCCCACTCCCATAAACTATCTCCTAGTAGGATGTAAATGCAGATAACTTAGACTGCAAACTGGTGTCCGAGGTCTGGGAAGATCGAGTAAATGTAACATCGACAAACGGTATAACTATATCGAATGTCATTGATGCACTATCAGGAAGGTGAGGAATGCTTGAATTGATTCCTCCACGCCACATCAATAGCCTCGAGCTACTGACTGGTTGTATAAACCCAAAATATCGTTGAGAAATAAGAATGCCAGAGAGAGAACCTAAGTAAAAGATTAGGGAGCCATGCGAATGAAAGAGATACAAATGGGCATAATATATGCCCAAAGAATAAGCCGAAGGACTTGATTTGAGCATGGTCAAGGTTGAACGAAGTTTGCTCGGTATTTTTTGCATGAAGCACTGTTATAATGAGAATATCAAGACATCGATTTCTTGTATTTCATAGCGGGTTCATTCCATCTCTCCACATCAGTAAACCTCGAGTTACTGATTGGTTATTGCTGCCCATTCGTAAACCCGCTAGTTGGCTTAGGAACTGAGGGTGGAAATATGTGAGAGTCGTGTATGTTGAAGCGAATAGTTTCCTTCACGCCACACCAACAACCTTGAGTTGTTGGCTGGTTATATCCTTCATTACTATCTACTGTCGTATTCAATGTTGGAAACAGTGTCTGGAGTAAGGTATCATTGTGCAGTGTGAATTCTTTGTCCTTGTGATATCGGATATCTCCAGGACCTTTAGTTGAAGTGTGAAGATTTGACAGTAGTTATCCTCCACGCCACAATCATAACCTCGAGCTATGGTCTGGTTATGCTACCCAAAACGGATTAACCAAATCCCATATCAGTAGGGGAGTTGTTTGCGCATAAAACGGAATAGGTGTTTGCCTCCACGCCACAACGACGTCCTCGAGCCATCGTTTGGTTATAGTAGCCCAAAATGATAATCTGCTTGTATGAATTAGTACTGCGTATGTGTCCGCAAATTCGCGTGTCGGGTCAATCATTGCTCTTATCGAGCTTGCGATCGATCATTTCCTCCACGCCACTCTACCAACCTCGAGTTGATAGATGGTTGTTTAATCCCAACTGTTGATCGAAACGCACCAATCGAGTCCTATAAATATTTTGTAAGCGCGGCTTTGAAGGAATGGAGATGGATGTCTCAAAACTGATGGCCTTCAGTAGATAAGCGTTTTATTGGCGTTGATGGTCAGTTTTAAGGTAGTAAAACCATGTCAATTGGCCACAAAGCTGTCAAATATCAATCGCTTCGGAACTCCTGTCATTAGTGGATATTAAACTCAATGAAGCCAATTCATCTGATCGACAGTAAACGAGTTTGCACCGACAAAGCACCAGCACCTCCAAATGAACAACCCGAATAAACATCATTTTAAACAGAGGCGGCAGCAAAAGGCAAGCTTCGTTTGAGTTTGACATTCAGTGCTCTCTATCCATTTCTTTTTCTTTGCCTTCTCTCCTTTTGTTTTTTCTGTATTTTCTTTTTCTTGTTTGCATATAATTTTTTTTTCGTTTTTCTTTCTTTCTCTCCTTTTTTTCTCTTCACTTTTCGAGGGAAGTCAAAATCTGGGTGTAGAGGTATAGGCGAGGTGAGTAGAGTTTGCGAGTGATGAAAGGCCAGAATAGGATGAAGGTTGAATGGGTAAGGGTCGATTGAGTCAGGGGTACAGGTAGAAGGACGTGATTATATAGATATGGGGCAAATGTGCGAGGGGCAGTTCTTCTGGTTTTTGTTTTTCAAATTGTTTGGTCTTTCGGTTTTCAATATTTTTTTCTTTCTTTTTCTTCTTTTTTTCTATTTGGTATATTTTGAATTTTTTGAATTTTTTTTTTTTTTTTTTTTTTTTTTGTAGGGGGATGTATTTGCGTTATCTTTGAGTGTGTGGAAGGGATAAATCTCCACGCGTTTCAAGGTGACTTGATCACTTGTAGCTCGAATGCTGCCCAAAACATATGGAATCAGAATCTAAAGTCCATTGTCGTTTCGTATGCGACTATTGGCCTAAATGATATATTAGCCAAACATGGAGGCAGCGGAAAGGGAGCGAAGGGAAAGACTTGTTAGGGAGCAAGACAGACATGAAGCAATGGGCTTATGAAGCGTGAATGGAGACGATGTACTAATTGAAAGTCTATATGAATGTCTTCATATCTCGAAAAGTTCAAGTTTGTTACCAGTCGCGTCCAAGACACGTAAGATATACTGGTATCATGTCTGTAGTTGATAGCCCTTCGAAATATGAGAATGGTAGGTAATGACCTGTTAATGCGTTAGAAGCATAAAATTTTGTAGCGTCACTAGAGGATAAAGTATTAGATAGGAATACTAGCATACCAGATTTCAGATAACTCCAAATAATCATCTATGCAGGGAGATTGAGAACTAATCCAATGATTGGTCAATTTTTTCAATATTTCCGGTGATACTGAGTGGAAATGATAGTATGATGTAGTTTCCACAGGAAACTCTAACACCGAAATATCATAGATATTCGGCAAGTAAATAGAGGCTGAATGGGTATTAGTTAGTCAATAGCAAAGATTAGATATGACTTTTATGAATACACGCGTCATAATGCGTGGATTCCATGTCATACCAAAACTTGATAGTGACTATCTCTTGCGTGAGGTTATAGCAGGCTAGCCTCATCGAAACAATATGACTAACAGGTAATTAGCGAGCTATGACGCGTATATATATCATATATATTCAAAGACTTACGCTTTGGAGATATTCCAGCCATATTTGGTAAAAGGTGGAAGCCGTCAAAGTAGTTTGAGATCGTGTAGTAGGCGGTGCTAGAGAAGGTGGCAAAGGGGCTGATATTTGCATGTGTAAGGCCATTGCAGGTTGGCAGATTGACTGAATATGTCCAGGGACTAGAAGATGAAGGTGTGGAAGTCTTCCAGGGAAGTGGTGTAATTTTGTGTGAAAAAAGAGGTGGAGGGGGGAAAAAGAGGCATGTTTTGGCTGTGAAAAAATTTCGACGCCTCGGTTAGGGTAAGCGAGGCTTAGGTCACACAGCAAAATTAAACAGAATAACACAGGCCAACAAGGACTGTTGGTTATTCTGCACTCCAAAGCCCTAGGAAGGTTTTAGCACACGACAGAATGAAATGTTGATAAGTCCGATATCTAATACCAGAAAAACCACAGATTCGGCAGTAAATTTGAGCTGAAGTCCTTGCGGTATCAGTTTTAAGTCTGCAGATTGGCGTCCAGCCTCAAAGAATGCTGTCAAGGGAATGGCCATTGCTGCCTGGCAATTGCTCCCTGCGAGTAGTCAGCTTCTATACAAAGAACCAATTCAGCGAAGGATGTTCAACTTACGGAAGTGAACGAGCGTAAGGGGTAAAAGGTAAGGTGTAAGGCTAATTAGCCAAAAAAAAATGAGATAAATTTGCTCCAGTTCCAAAGTCGAGTAGTGCATCAATTCAAGAAAGGACACTGGCTTGACACGTCTCGCTATCATGATGGCAGATATGATAGATAATGAGACACGTAGAGCGGGTCTCCTATATTATCCAATAATTGAGATACCATATTCAATATGCTTGGATAGAATAACGACGTCAACGTGGATAGTTGTAAAGTGAATGTTTGTAAAAGGGGCTTGTTGCAAGCAAGTTGATATGAAGAGGTTGAACGCGAGACGAAGAAAAGCAAAACAGACACTAGTACGCGCGAGACTAGCCAATAAGAAGAACTGTATGGCTTATGTAATAAGCTACCCTCAACGTCGAGCATCAAACTAGATCCTGAGGCCTTGAGAACTTCAAAGAGCTGGACCCCAGAGGATCATGATAATGATAATACGATGGTTAATATTACTGCATATTCACATACAGCAATATACAGATAATAAATACAAATTATATTATGATTGCCATGCAATGCCAGGCCCCGAGCCGCTTACCTCTAGCACTTCTCATACAATATCTATATTTCTAAGAAGGGCGTTATATTCTCAATGTAAATCATCTTCCAGGACACTTTAAGAGCTGTATAAATTAATTTGTCAAATATCTGGAGAATTTGGAGGCTCAAATAAGGTTGTACCATAGCTACATGCGTTACAGCTTTTTGAAAGGTGATATTACAAACATGAAGCCTTGCATAGTGTGTACATGAGTGAGGAATGTGAGAAAGGGTCTCTGAGACTAAGGGTAGGATCAGCTAAATCACCTCCTCGAAATTGGGGATGAGTAGGAGATTGTCTCCACCACAGAATGCCAGTCTCCTAAAGCATTGCATAAAAACAAGGGGAAGTTAACAAGGGGGCTGGGGGCAAATAACAACAGGGGAGGGAAGAAGAGGGAGGTGGAGGAGGCTCGGACATTATTAGGGAGTGTATGACAGCATGTAGGGGACATCGGGTAAATATTCTCAACAATGAAAATCGAACCGACAAGTCACGGCAACAGGCCGCAAATATTTTTTGTCACCGCCTCAAAGGCTTCCCTGTAACCCAAAACAACTTACTGACTAATATCAAAGGAACTGGAGGTTGGAGTATTCATTCAGTTAGTGCCAGGGGGCGTGTCCAGTCACAGGCAACCTGGCTCATCTTCATAGCATTTTCCTTTGCCATTGCGCATGCTACTTCTGCCTCCTTTGCAGCCTGGATAGCAGTAAGCATTGCCTTTTCGGCATCATGCGAGTTATTAACAGCTTCAATAAGAATTTTTCCAAGCTACGAAGTAGTTATACCAGTTAGCAAAGTCTTGACAGCGGGTCAACGCCCTCAATATCGGCATGAAACTTACTCTAATAAGCTTTTCTTTGCGTGAAGTATCAACTTCATGCCGCGCTGAATCAAGAATCTCCATTGTGATCCTGCTAATCCTTCCAGTATCCCGTAGTGCAGGCGAGCGCGGCGGCTCAGGATGGCGATGGATGAATTCTCCGCTCAAGTTCCCGTTTCCATTCGTACCAAGGTGAGGGACAGAGTGTGATGCGGGTACTGACAACTTGAGATGGCTAGTAACCGTAGGCTTCGCGTAAGATAGCAAATGGCGGGTATTTTCTTTTGGCCCTTCAGCTTTATGCTTCGTGAATAAGCCACGAAAGTTAGAGAATACCCCTTTTGCCGCTGAACCTTTGGCCTTGACTGGTTCGGGGGCCGGTGCGATAGGATCAGCGGAGCGATGATGACGTTTCTTGTGGCGTTTCTCCTTCTGTCCCTGGTTTTCAGTATTTTCGCATGGTGGTTGATCTGTTCCATTAGGATTGAGCTTGGGTCTATGGTGGGACCGATCAGTAGATTGTCGACGGGCGTATCTGCGAGGCGACCCATATGAAGTACTTGATTTATTGATGTGTCGGGGACTTCTGGGGGAATTCATCTTCAATGCTTCGTTCTGAGACTTTCTAACCCGTTCCACTGACCCATGTGTTTTCGTTGGAGATGGGGTGGTTTCTCCCACAGCTACTGGAATCAAGCTCTTCTTGGTGGATTCTGGGGCTGGAGATCCGCGCGAGTCTTCGTTTAACTCACCAGATTGGATGGGCTGTTCACATTCAGCCTTTGTGGGCGGCTTCGAGTCCGATTCTTTCTCCACATTGTCCGAGAATGGGTCGGCCGCGGCCTTCTCAGAGGATGGGCAAGGTGGCTCCTTTTCGGGCGAAGACTTTCGTCTCGTTGAACGATGGCCAGATGATACACGACGAATACCGAAATCAGCGCTCTTTGCCTTTGGAATTGACCTTCCAGTCGCACCCCCCGCAGTTGTGGGACTATTTTCTTCGGTGGGCGGTTTACCACTAAAAGACAGCCTATATGACGAACTCTTAGAACGCTTTGAGGCAAAAGTTGCAAAGAGGCCGTCGGTAGAAAGGCGGAATTCCCTCCTGCTTCCCGACTGACGGCTAGGCCCATGGTTTTCCTTAGCATTTGTCTCCGGCAACTTGTTATCCTCCTCACCCATAATCAGACGCTCTGCCTCTGCCGAAATACGTAGCTGCGGGCCGTGCGATGGTGCATTTTTTGAAAGCTGTTTCACGGTCACTTCATCAGAGAATGGGTCTGTGTTTTCCGCCAGAGATTTTATTTCTTCCCGAAGGTCAACCTGCGATGCGCGGCCCGCGTTAACAATTGAAACGGCACCCGCCTTGACAATTTCAGAAGTCTCGCGTTCTTTCACAGCTTTTTCAGTTGCAGCTGTATCAACCCTATCAAACACAGTGGATGGGCTTATCACCTCAATGGGGCTATCAGGAACATCCTCATCCCTGTTCTTATAAAGGAGCCGTACTGGCAAAGGGATGGAGCTCCGCTTAGATGGAGATAATGGCGATACTTGGCTGCCATTACTACTACCTAAATCGCTTTCAGAGGTAGGGAATAATGTCCGCGGCGACATGCGAGGGATCCTAGAACCACTTCTATCCATGCGAGGGGTTGTATTCAGGGAAACTGCATAGAATGGGTTTGATGGAGTACGTATTCCAGTTGACTTCCCCTTCGGGGTCACCACTAAGGGGCTTTTAGCGGATGGGGTAGGATGGTCGAATGAATAGGACGCCGCTCTATGTTCCCTGGACGGCAGGGAGTTTGCGCTGCTGGGCGAAGACGCGACCCTAGGACGGTTTTTGAAAGGGTTTGGCTTTGGGCCTAGAGCATGATACCCAGGTGTTGGTCTCAGATTGTGGTAAGCAAAAGAGGGCTCAGCTTGAACTGGTTTTCTCGTGAAATTAGTCACAATATTTGGTGACAGTGGCTTTCCAGATGCAGGAAACGGGACATTCGTTGACAATTGACTCCGAGTAGGTGTGTTCCATTTCGTTGAAGCATCGACAGAAGCAACAGCTGTATCTTTCTCAAGCTCGGACTTATTCCCTCCCGTATGATGCTGACCATTGCTGTTTTCATTGCAAGCAGTTGCTATTGTAAGCTTGGATAAAGCATCGGCAAACATCCTGACTCCATCCGGAACTAGAGTGCATGTCTCTTCTTCGATTCGAGCCAGTTTGGCTTCATCGTTAAGGTTATTTTCTTTGTTTCCATCCTCCGCCTCATCTTCGGCATTTGCCGGTGCAAGAGCCGGCCATTCTTCGTTTACATGAGGGTTCTCAGGAGGGGAGCGGTGCAGTGTAGCGTCTTTAGCATCAATAATGGTGCGCGAGGTGGGAGTGGATCTCTTATCAGCCTCTTGGTCAGATTCAGGTGGGCACGGCAATGGCTTTTCAGAAGGAAGTGCCTTTTCAATAATGCTCCGAGCTTGACTGTTTTGCTAAAGTGGGTAAATAATATAGGTTAGCTACCAAAAAAATTTTAATGAGAAACATATTATTTAGGAAACATGCTTACCTTGATGCATTCCTTGGTTCTCTTACCCGGGCATGGAGTAGACTGTTCCTCTGCCTGAGTAACTGAAATCAAGCGATATGAGCCCTATTAAGGTATCTATTAGCAGCCATATTAACTCCGTTTAAAGCATCAGCATCCACGTACCGCGCCTGAAGATTGGCCATTTCTGTACGGGGTTCGCTTGCTGTAGTTGGTGGACTTTGCAGATGAGCGAATTGCATCCACCCCTTTTGACGCGACAGAAGCCCACGTCTTCTGGCGAAGTCGGTTAGAACTAATAGGCAGCGATCTCGTAGGCGTCTCTGGGCATTGTTTGACTCTATCAACCGAAGAACGGCGGATGAGACTTCCACTCTGCTGAGAAACTTGATGAGATGAATCAATCGGGTTCATGAATTTGTGGTAGACTGCTTTGATATTACCATTGGACCGGGTGGAATCTGTCGATGTTATGCTTTCGTTCGTAGTAACTGGCTCGCACACAACCATTCCAGCAGTTTGGTCCTCCATTCCGGAAGTGCCTGTCATTGTGTGGATTGGTAGCTGGAAGATTCGGGCCTGTCAAGGACCTTTTGGTAGGTGAAAATACCTAGTCACAAGCAGTAAATAAAGGGCTGGCACATGGTGTTGCTCAGTCACCCTGTGAGGTGTAGGACGTAAGAACTTGCACAGTGAGAGATGTTGTGATATAAGAGGAATCCTGCGTTGTGTGAAAATCAAAGAAAGGTAGCGGCCGAGAGGGTATAGGGTTGCTTTCAGTGCTGAGACCAACACCTAGACTGAGCTTCATAGAACAGAAAAAGATGAGTAAGAGATAGTGTATGCACACTACTATCTCTCTAGACTTGTAGTATGCAAGTCTAGACAGGCTGGTGGGGGATATTGCAGAATTCCCCTGAACGGGAGGCCTTTGTATACATATAATACCCCGACTCCAAGAGAAATGATACCAGCGAGGAAGGCCAACGGTATATTGTTTCGCAATCTAACCCTGTACCATCATAACTGGTCCGGAAACAATATGGACATAGCCGGCCCAAATATTGTATCCATGAAAGCACCCGATTTGAAGGTAGACTGGGCGTAAAAGTATAAGATTATAGAAGAGATAGTAATCAAAGCTCTCCAAACTAGTATCAAGAATTTGATATGATTTTGCAATCAGGATTCAAAAAGTCTCCAGGGCACTCAGTACAATGGTATGCAGGATATTGAGAACTGTATATGGTGCTTGAAGTTGAAATAAAGTAGAACTCCACAACAACTGAGAAAGGAAAAGGAAAAAAACTCCCACGGCCATGGATCGAAACATATGAAATTGAACCCAGCAGCAACATTAAAAGGTTCTAAGGTTAGGAAACGCGCATATATTCGAGTACAGTTCGGTTGAGGCTCCAGAGCCCATTCTCGATGTGCCCTTGACCAAGAGTCAAGGGGAAGTTCACTCCTACTGCATTCGTTAGATCAGGAGATTTTGAAAGGTCAAGGATCAGGAAAAAAATTAAGTCGCTGCAGACAGGATCAACCAACCTGTGGAGACTTTCTTTTGGTAGATATTCTTGGACTAGCTGTAGCAGCGCCATGTGTCTCTGCGCCTATGCTAGGCGTGGTATCATGCCACTCGGTCACCTCCCACTCTACATGCATCGACTCATTGCCTCCGACTCCTCGACGGTGTTTACCAACCCTGCCTAACCGGCTTCCTTCGATCATCTCCTCGAACCAAGGGATACCTCCCAGCGTGCCGCGCTGCCTGGTCACAAACATCTGTGGCTCAGTGGACGCGACTTGTCTTGACGAAGACGGAGCGGGCGTGACGCTGGTGCTGGTCGAGGTTGAAATGACGGGTGCGCCAGTATCAGCATCTTCAGGAAGTAGTCCTAGGTCCTCTAGTGCACTTTGGTCTTGACTGAAGAGACTCCCGACGGTGATGGACATGTAGTCCGCCTCCTCGGGGGGGCTCTCGGTCCAATGTGTTAATGGCGTACCGCAGAAGCCGCAGAAAACACGACGACAGTGCGGATCTTCTGGAGGGACAAAGGTCCGACGAATGGCGGCATGGGTCTCGTCAGGGAAGTAGGATACTGTTGACGATTGATACCATTCCAGCGGGACTCGTAGCCATGCTGTCAGCGGAGCGGCCTGCGTCCGACCTATACAACCAAGTCAGCGGTCGAGAATCTATATTGAGCCTCGAGCCTCGATTGCAGCCATCCAGAGCGAGAAACGTACGATTCAAACTGCTCGAGTCAAAGTAGACCTCTGCCTGGTCACTGGCCGCAAGTGGGATGGTGATGAAACATTCGTTCCGGCCGCACGAACAGCCGCCTCGAAGTAATTGGCTCATGATATCGACGAGTAGAATTGGGAGAGTAGCGTGTATCCTGAGTGTCTAACACGAGGAGAAAAATTCTGGCCGCATAGCGAGACAAAGCGCTGCTCTGCACCTTTTCTCGCTGATGTTCTATGGAATTCATGACATCTATGATGTTATAGCTTATGTCATCAACTTATGTCAGCATGGTTATGTAAATGTTATATAAGCATAATGACTAAGTTCTGACTCATCTTTTCACGTGCCTGGACTACCCGATCGGGCTTCTTCCGCGCCTTCGCCCTTTTAACAAGAGAAGAAGAAGACGAAGCAGAAGAAGAAGACAACGAAGAGAGATCTTGAAGGTCGAGGGACAGGAAAGGCACAGCAGAGAATATATACCTGTTCGGCGCTCCTCGGGACGATTCTGTTTACCGGCGAGACACCGTATATCACCCACCGTTCGTCCTCATGTCACTATCAGCTTCCCCAGTCTCTCCTACCCTCCGCGCAGCAGCAGGAACAGCTCGAGGACCCAGCTCGACCCCCTGCGACGATGGCGAACCATCAGTAAAGAGAACCTCCAACTCGCCCTCCGATGCTCGACCGTCCACCGCAGAGAGGGAGAAACCTCGTCTTTCCGAGCAGGAGAAGAAGAACAACCACATTGCCTCCGAGCAGAAACGACGAGCGGCGATACGAGAAGGATTCGACAGATTGACCGAGCTCGTCCCCGGTCTAGCTGGCCAGGGCCGTAGTGAAGGGATGGTGCTGCGGAAGACAGTTGACTTCATGCACCTCAAGCTTCAGGAACGAAAAGACCTGGTCGATGAGATTGAGCAGAGAGGAGGCAGAGTCGACGACAGGTTGCGAAACGTTACGGACAACATGCGATGATTTGACGCACTGCTTTTACGCGCGCTGCGTGCGCTGCGGATTATGGATGGGCGGGCGGCGTTATGGGAGGTCTCTTGGTTGGGAAGAGATGGCGATTTTGGATGCTTGAGTTGTGATACCCATCAAGTCGTTGCAATGTCGGTTTTTAGACTGGTTCTATCCTGTATATGTTTGCTCTTTAGCTGGATCAGGCCTGATATCTCTTTACATTCAATAAGAGACTTGGTTTGACTCGGCCTCCGTCTATTTTGGAATATGACCGTAATACTCAGTTAGGTAGCATTTTTTGTATACGACAAAACGGCCCTACATTCGTATCACTTCATTCCAACTTATTCTGAATAAATAGCAAGCTTGAATTGACTCACCGATTGTGTTTTGCCTCCCGCGAGTCCAGCTGATTGATAAGCACTTGATAACGCATCATCACTTTGTACCTGCTGAAGTCCACCACCGCTGCCATCAAGTACATACATACCCAGAGGTAGTAGTTCATTCAAACTCGAAAATGAACGTCCTCAAGAGTGCCGGTTCTTATGTGTATAATATCATACCATCCTTCCAAGGAGAAGAAGCAGCCCAGCCAGATATGCCTGATCAAGACCCGTCAGCTACACCCTCAGATCCACCACCGTCCTATGAGGCCTCTCATCCATCAAAACCACTCCCAAAACCACTCCCACCGTCCCTCCCGGTGCTCACAAGCCTCCGCAAGAAGCGAGTAATACTCGCCTCGGCCTCACCACGCCGCAAACAAATCATCGCCTACCTTGGCCTGCCAAACATCGAAATCATACCCTCAAATACAGCGGAGAACTTCCCCAAAACCCTCACACCATTCGAATATGTGCTTGAAACAGCAATGGAGAAGGGCCTGGCGGTGTACAAGCAGGAAATAGACAATGAAGAAAAGGGCGAGCCGGCACTGATTCTTGCCGCAGATACGATTGTCGTCAACCCCTCGACGGGAGAGATACTTGAGAAACCTCGCTCAGAGGCACAACATATGGAAATGTTAATGGGGCTGCGAGATGCGGGGGATCACAAAGTGTATACGGCAATTGTTGCTATAGCGCCTCTGGAAAGTGCGCGGGCTCCTGGATATGCGGTTGAATCGGTGGTGGAGGAAACGAGCGTTCGATTTGATGCACAAATCACAGACGAACTGCTTCTTGCGTATGTTAGGACACGAGAAGGCGCCGATAAGGCTGGAGGGTACGGGATGCAGGGGCTGGGATCAGTGCTGGTGGAAAAGATTGACGGAAGCTACGACAATGTTATCGGCCTACCATTGCGAGCTACTCTTATGCTGATTGAGAAGGTTATGGCGACTGCAGACGAGGACGCAGAGATAGACAGCGGCGCATTGATAGCTGACGATTAAATGCATGTGGGTAGAGCGGCGGTTAATCCGTCTATGTCCAAACCACAAAAGAAAAAATTGATGGAATTCGGAAGCTTTATATGCACGTAGATAATGATAATTGAAAGGCACCTTCACATCATGCCAGTAAGGCGGTAAAGTCCGGATAAAAAAAAGAGGTCAGAATACAAAACAGAATACAGGATATATACATTTACGCCTTCCAGATCCTCTTGAGAGCTTCTGTTATGCCCACATCATTGGTCTCGAATTCGTACAAACCAACTGACACGGTCAGTGTGGCGGCACGGAGAAGCCATTTCAAGAAGGCAGCAGTCTTTGGGACACGCCATGGACGAAAGTAATCGGCAATCATAGCCCTATAATAATGAAGAAAGGGAATCAGTATCAAAGTACCCCAAACATTCTCTTTGAATAACCTCTTATTGCAAGGGTCAAGGCGCCGAATAGAAGCTGATAGGACCAGATTGTGACTTACTGGAAACCGATGTGAGAGTGGATGACGATGGTACCGCAGAGCACAGCATCAAGGACAGGGCTGACCGACCCAGAGGCGAATGGCGCAATTGTGAGGGGAATGAGGGATGCAGCAACGACTCTATATCCAGAACAAAGTCATTAGCCCATAAATTGTTCAATAACGCCCATATTCCTAGTTATATCAGGTACACACCTCTCGAATGTCCAGTGGTAGCTTCCGTGGACCGGAGACGTAGGAGGGATGGGTGCGGCGTCATTAGCTATGAACAACATTAGTCGACTTGAGATCCGAAGATATAACATCGGTCAAGACGCAATTGCGCTGAATTGGACAAGAAACAACGTACTAGTTCCCTCCACAACCTCTATATCAAGTAATCAAGAGTCCGTTAGCAAACATATTCCTGTCTTCCTGTCCAGCATCCCAAGCCACAATCCTCGGCTCTCCCTTCTAATCTTCACAGCCCAGGGTTCCGCAGTACTCACGAGGCAATGGTGGTAGAATGTCCTTCCTGCTCGTGGCATGGAACCATTTCTTCTGTAGTTGGACGGCGTTCAAAGCGGTAATGGGTGACCTAGGCTGGAATGCGGCCACACGGCAGCTCTGCCGGAGAGCGGAAACGGATGGGCGAACGATCGAGGTGGCCATCTTGTCCTAATATGCTGCGATGCGCGTCGTATTTCAGTTATCCTCCAGCTTTCGTCCTTGTTTTCGTGAAGCAAAGCGACATCGAACATCGAAACATCCTCGGGATCGGGAAAGTCAGCAGAATTGGCGTCTCCTGATTGGCTGGTTTCCCTCTTGGGCCGAAAAATCCCGTGATTGCTTAGTAAGATATAAAACACCGCGATATCCAAAGACTTTCTCTCTTCATCCTCAAAATATATTCATTATAGCGGTGTCGTCTTCATACTTGATGTGAACGGGGTACTGAGACTATATTTGGGATATATGTGTATAGGGAGTTGGTTTAATGCCAACAGATCTATCGTTTCGCACCAGCTTCTAGTTCTAGAACTAGACTGGCATTCACACCGGCAACTACATATGTAGCTACAGTCTACAGAGAATATGTAGGAGAGTGTTGTGAACTTTTCATCTTTTTTCATTTTGGATTTTTTATGCCTAAAGAAATTCCTGCCATGACCCTCCATCCCTAACCGTTGACCTCTGGAAAGAATTCCTGTATCCCAAATCTACTGACTCCGCAACTAACCCAGTTAACCATCATCAATCAATCACCCTTTGTCTATTTATGCTTAAAGCTTCAACACAGCCTTGCCGAGATTCTTGCCATGGAAGATCCCCACCAAGCCCTCGGCGGCGTTGTCGATACCGTCCGTTTCAGCGATCAGGGGGCTGAAAGAGCCGTCCTTGATCCATTTGGAGACACGCTCAAGATGCTCCTTTGTCCACTTGTCACCCATTCCAGGATCGTTAACAATGAACCCTCTCATCGTGAGACGCTTGGAGATGAAGTGGAATAAGTTTTTGATGGGATACTTCTCCTCCATGGGCAGGTTATATTGCGAGATCATCCCACAGGCGACTATGCGGCCGAAGTCGTTCATGTGCTCGAGCGCGGCTTCAAAGTGGTCTCCTCCAACGTTCTCGAAGTAGATGTCGATGCCCTTGGGTGCGAGTCTCTTGAGAGCGTCGGCTGGTTTTTCCTTCTTGTAGTTGAACCCGGAGTCGAATCCGAGGTCCTTGAGGATATATTCCAACTTCTCGTCGCTTCCAACACTGCCGATGACAGTGAGCCCTTCGTGCTTGGCGATTTGTCCGACAACTTGTCCCACTGCACCTGCAGCAGAGGAGATGAAGATAGTATCTCCCTTCTTGGGCTTGCCAATCTCGAACAAAGAGGCGTATGCGGTCAGACCAGGCATTCCGAGTGGGCCAAGGAAGACACGAAGGTCCGTGATTCCCTCGGGGTTCTCAAGTGGTCGAATGAACTTGAGATGTGACTCTGGAAGGGCGATGTTCTTCTGGATGGGCAGCAGGCCAATGACGATGTCGCCAACCTTGTACTTGTCATTCTTGGACTTGAGGACCTTTGCAATGGTGGCGCTGGGGATTGGCTCGTTGAGTCCGTATGCGGGAGTATAGGACTTGACGTGCGCAGGTCGCATACGGCCACGCATATATGGGTCGAAGCTGGTGTATAGGCATTCGAGCGTCAGTCCGCCCTCTGGGGCCGGAGCCTCTGGGTCGAAGGGGACATTCTCGATGACCAGATGTTCTCCGGGGACTGGGTAGCCCGAGGGAATCTTCTTGAAGTAAAGAGACTTGGTGGTCGACGACATTATGGGGTATGTATTATTTGCCGGGGGTGCGGTAGGAGGGCGGAATTGAGGCCGTGAGCCGAGAATTTATACAATATGGAGCAGTGAATAGGGGAGTGATGCCGTCAATGCCAACATTCATCAATTGAGAGGAACTACAGATTTATTTATATGAGATCGCAAGATCCGGACCCGGACGAATTTAGACCGTTGGATGTACAAGTCGAACGGGCGATTCGCATTGAGATCCAGCTCCAGCAGTGGAGAGGAGAGAGGAGGAGGGGGGTGCTCGGAGATGGGAATTGCTCCTTTAATTTTCAAAGTCTATACGTAAGAACGCAGTCCTTGCTCAATGTAGCATATCAATTGCAAAGAACAACAGACCAGATCGCCGGCGGCTTAAATAACGAGTTGAAACGAGGACCTTGCCACTACGTGAAGCCAAACGAATCAACCATTCACTCGTCGGTCTACAGACTTCGGACTATGACATCAGGATAACCGCGAACTTCGATCTCGCCATAACAGAAAAACTACTACAGATCGACCTCGGCACAGAGGCAGAGACGGTCGATTGTTGTCCCATAAACTCATCTGGCTGAATAATATGAGACTCCCAAAACGCCATGGAAATTTTTAATGTTTTTCTCCCGCCGCCTGTTATACCGAAAAGAGATTGCTTCTCCGACGGATCTGATGCAAGGACGGCCGTAGGCTGGGACAACGGACATGCTTTAGCCTCTTCTTTCGACGAAGCGACTTGGCCTCAGTGCGCAAGGTAGGACATATACAGGAATGCAACTCCGCAACGGCGGGGGATGTTGGTGGAGCGGGCTTCGTATGCTGGCTTCATACGGAGTATGGCTTTCTGGATATACGTACTTCGGCTATGAGAAAAGGGTCGATGCCATGCTGTTTACGCACTGGCGCCCGCCCGGTCCCTTATGCAGGCAGCTTTAATATCCGTACGTTAGTTCGTTGGGCTGACTCCCGCCATTTCATGGGGTGCATCGCGCACTGTGAATGCACACTGGGGCGGAGGATGTTCAGTGCAGATACTCGACTAGACGCGCATCAGCTTTCCAGTTCGGGTCTGTCGACCGATCCTCACGTCCGACCGCGAGATGTGATGCACTTTTTTTTATATGCTGCCCTCGTTAAGCCTTGATCCATCGGCCAGGTTCTAACCAGTTCCCTCATCCAGCCCCCTAGGAAGTCCTGGTCGTTTGCACCCGGGGGTGGTAAGGCTATATTGCCGCATTGGGCAAACTGCTCGCACCGGCGTCGTGAGCCCAGGGGTTTCAAGCCCCCAGACCTCTCAGACTCGGTCTCAGTCTCGAGTTTCATAGCTTCTGGTTCCGGGTCATGCCCGTTGCAAGCTCATCCAGGTCCTGTCCTCCAGCCAGGTACCGTGCAGCTTGGTGTCTCGGTCTATAAGGGAGGCTTGCTGGGTCGCCGAATGCAGCCGGATTGGAAGGTGGCTAACCCAGTCCACATAGATATATGTATATATCACTTGCCTCCATGGACTTGGATACAAGATAATCCTGCTTAGGCCGGCGTTCTGGACACAGACTGGGGTACTAGGGCTAAGCTCAGTTGATCGACCAGCGTATGTACGGAGATGGTAAGTAGATAGACATATATAGAGCCCGGGGTGGGATCGACTATGCAGTGGTTGGTGCAGTGGTAGCCTATTGGAGGACAAACCGGCTGCGGAAGAAGACATGTTGCTCGTTGCTTGATTTGCCCTGACCCCTGGAGGATTTAACTATCGGTAGTACGGGTACCCAAGGGAGCCTCTCTCCCACCCCTGTGGCCGATCCAATGGGACTATATGAAGGGAAAAAGTCGGCCGGCTACGACGGGATAAAGAGGTAAAGTAGAATATGCAAGATAGGTTTATAACAAGCTAGGGAAATGGAGTATTTAAGGGCATCGGTGGACGGACGATGGACGTGAGGAGGGGGTCTTTAGTACTGTACAAAATATATGACCGCAGCTATCGATCTCACTTGTGAATCTATCAAAACAAGACAAAGACCAAAAAGAAGAAACAAGTAAAAAGGGAATTACACTTATGAATCTGCGGAAGTGGATTTCTTTTTTGTTTGATAACCTTTCTAAGAAGCGTTGCGGCTCATGTCGTTGCGGAGTCTCTGGTAGTCGAGGAGTCCCTCGATGCTACCAAAGGCACTGACGGCAAGGTCCTGGTCCCAGAGTTTCCGTTGGGCAAAGTCCATGACGTCCTTCTCGGTGATGCCGTCAATGACACGCTCGATATCCTGAGGGGATAGTCGTCGGCCGGTGGTGACGATTTGACGGCCGGTGTCCTCGGCCACGGCGGTAGTGCCGTCGAGAGAGAGGAGGATGGAGGCACGGAGCTGAGCCTTGGCACGCTCGACTTCAGCAGGGCTGACGTCGTGCGATAGACGAGACCATTCACGGAGAGTGAAGTGGACGAGGTCGTCAAGGTTGGTCAGGTTCTCGGATACAAGGTAGATACCCCAGAGACTACAGCAATTAGTAATGATGTTCACAGTATATAAGAATATTCAAATTAATGCTCACCCGGTATCACTGTAGCTGGTGGAGAAGCTCATGAAGCTGTTAGCCAAGTTGTGGTGGTTGATGAAGGTGCTGAGTTTGCTTCCAAGGTAAGGAGAGTTGCCCATGGTGCGGTCCCAGTTTCCAACAATGGCCTGGGTGACGAGAGCGGTGAAGTAGTCGTCGTCCTTCCAGCTCACACCCTCAACCGCGAGGGCGATGTGGGCAGTGGGGACGGTATCATCACGGATCCGGACGTCAGAGCCAATGAAGTCTGGCAGACGCTTCTGCTCGGCAGCAATGGCAGAGGCAGCAGAAGTTGGTGGTTGGCTGGGTAGGTTGGAGAAGTGCTGTTCAGCAAGGCTGACAAGCTGCTCGTGTGGGACACCACCGGCGCCAACAAGAACCATGCGGTCAGCAGTGTAGTTGGTCTTGATGTAGTCGACGAGGTTTTCACGCTGGATGCTGGCAATGTTTTCCTTTGGTCCCAGGATGGTTCGGCCAAGAGGTTGGCCCTGGAAAGCAGTGGCGTGGAGGTGGTCAAAGACAACTTCCTCTAGCTGCTTGTCGACCTCCTCCTGTTCCCTAAGGATGACGCTACGCTCGCGTTCGATAGCAGCAGGCTCGAGCTTGGAGTTCTGGAGGATATCAGAAAGGATATCGACAGTCTTGGGGACATCGGCGTTGAACGACTTGGCATAGTAGACGGTGTTTTCTCGCTATAAGACATGTATTAGAATCGCGACTGATCATTATCAAGCTGGTCGTAGGGAAAGAGTCCGTACCGATGTGTAGGCGTTGAGGTGTCCACCCATGTTCTCAATCTCCAGCTCCAATTGATGTTGAGTTCGTCGGTTGGTGCCCTAAATCGGTCATTATATGCACTATACCACGTCCCGAGACGGAGAATGAACGCACCTTGAAGGCGAGATGTTCGAGGAAGTGGGCAGTTCCGTTGGTCTGGTCAGTCTCTGCCCTGCTTCCGGCATCGATCCAAACACCAACAGTGGAGGTCTGAGCCCATGGCGAGTATTCCGTAGCGATCTATAGAGACGGTCAGCAAGTGTCCATCGACCGGCCAGCTCGATCCGGACTCACCGTCAAGCCATTGGACAAGGTCGTCGACTGGGTAGTGCCCGAGATAACTGGAGACGCAAAACCTCGCTTCGAGCGCTGGACGGCCTGCAGAGCGCTGCGAGAGCGCACCGCCTGGTGGAAGTTGAGGGCGAGTCTCCGGGAGGCCATGGCGGAGGATGTGGAGGAGCGTGGTGGTGAATTGAGGGCAGCGTTGGACGGTTTTCGTCGTGCCTTTGTGGTCTGAAGAAGCAGAGCGAAAGTTGGGAAGTCAAACTTGTTGCCCGTTCCGATCATCACGTGATATAGGATGAGCAGCGCATTTCTCTGTCATCTCATTGGTCAGCCACACCACATACATCTCACGACGCCCATAGATATAACGATATAACAGAATATACGATGATGATGGATGATGGTGACGGCCGCGGTATAGTGAGTGCTCTCGAGATGTGATGATACATACTGACTCTGTACAGCTGCCCGAGTCGAGAACTGCGGCATGCTACGGTTACGTGGTAGAACACCATCGCTGCCAACTATTGCAACATGACAGCTTCGGCTTCACGACCAAGTACCGGCACTGAACTGGCGCTGGCACCGGTACTGGCAGATCTTATAGATAGATATTATACGACATACGCGGCACTGCAGTTAATATATAATGTCCAGAACATCCAACTTGCAGCCTCGAGCCTATTTAAGTGGATACCAACGAGAAACTCGCCTCCAGCCCGGCCTCCAGCTGCATGCCATAACGCTATTCTCCCGTCCCAGGCCATGATCGAATGTCCCCGAAATTTCGTTACTCCGCACATTAACGCATATATATAAAGGGGTTGTCTGGTTAAGACTCTCATTGCCCTTCTCTGCATCTCAGTCACCGTTGCTCAAGCATTGGGCGAGACAGGGGGGCTTTCTTGATTTTTCACCTGGTCTATCTCTCTTTTTCTTGACGTGATTTCGGGCCCCTCGGGTATCCCCCCTCCATCTTCTGGTGTCGAGATGGCAACCACAGATGAATGTCGGCCCCCCGTTAACGGACATGAAGCTGAACAAGAACCGCTGCTAAGGAGAGACAGTGATGGTGATGCTAGAAGTTCGCATCCGCGGCTCTCCAGAGCTCGTTCGACTATTATTATATTGGGGTTAACCGGCGTCACGTTCCTCAGCTGCGTGTCTAATGGCCTTCTCATTGTTGGGCTACCAGGAATTGCAGCAGATTTACAGCTCCCAGATCACCTTTTATTCTGGTATGGTTCTCTACTCTTCGGCTCGGAATCATCTGTGGAAGTTGGAATGCTAACTCCTGAACCAGGCCAACGTCTGTTTATTCGTAAGTGGGCTGTTTGTTCGCAAGGGTATTTAGGGGCGTATTCCTAATAGATCTTATATATATATAGACTAGCAAGCGGATGCGTCCTACTACTTGCTGGGTCCCTGGCGGACCTTATCGGTGATCGATCGATCAATATCTTAGGCACAGCGACTCTAGTCCTCGCTATCCTAGGCACCGGGCTATCTCGCTCTGGAATGGAAATGATTATATACCGACTCATCCAGGGTGTTGGCGTTTCTATGTGCCTTCCAACCGGAGTAAGCATCATCACAAGATCGTTCCCTCCCGGCCCGCAGCGCAATATCGGATTCGCTAGTTTGGGGCTATCTCAACCGCTTGGCTTTTCCGTCGGTATGGTTGCCGAAGGTCTCTTCTCGGAAGCCCCTGGAGGCTGGAGATTAGGTTTTTATGGCAGCGCAAGTGCTGCGTTGGTCCTAACCGTGTCGAACCTCCTGACATTACCGGCCGACAGCAAGCAATCTACCTTCAAATGGTGCGACCTCTTATACAAGGTTGACTGGGTTGGGATATTGATTGCCAGCTCCTGCATGGGAATTATCTCGTATATCTGCGCGTGAGTATAAAGCCTCCCTTCTAGAGGAATGAACCGAGCTTACCATCCTCTTTATAGCATTCTCACGGATAATGTCGCCAATATCCAGAATGCACCTCATGTGATGTTGATAGTGTTCGCACTGTCCCTTATTCCAGCGTTCGCCCTTTGGATGAATAGACAGACGAAGAGAGGCGCGCCAGCATTGATCCCCAACTCTATGTGGAAAAATACCGTCTTCGTAGCTATCAGCTTGATAGTATTCTTTACTTGGGCAGTCATTTTAAGCTCCGAGTTGGTGCTCAGTTTATTGTAAGTTCACTTTCCCCTGTCGCCGACATTGATCACTTTTCTAATTCGATAAAAAAATAGTTTCCAAAAGGTTCAACCATTAACTCCGTTTGCTACGTCGATCCGTTTACTACCCAATGTAATCATCGGCGTCATACTCAATCTCAGCACTGGACTCTTTGTCCACTTGGTGCGGGTCAACTATCTCGTCATCGCCGTTTCGATGATCGCAGCCATTGCCCCGTTGGTGATGGCCATCATCGACCCGAGCTGGAACTACTGGGCTTGCGCCTTCTGGGGTGTCTTGTTAGGCCCCGTGGCTATTGATGGTATTTACATATCCCCCTTTATATCACATTGCCCCCGCTAACCAATCTGCTGTATTCTAGTCGTCTTTACCATCGCCCATCTAATGATCACAGACATCTTCCCAAGTTCCACCCAGGCACTCGCCGGCGCAGTATTCAATACTATCGCCCAGCTCGGAAGCTCCGTCGGCCTATCTGCTATTGCAGTCATTTCAGCCGCAGTTCAAAAATCCTCCCCTTATCCCGACGACTCACCCATGGCCATCATGGCAGGCTATAGAGCAGCTTTCTGGGCCTGCTTTGTTACGATGTTAGTTGTCGCGTTTATTGGGTTTGTCGGGCTACGGAATGTGAGGAAACTAGGTATAGGAGCGGAACACTAGCGGTTCACCACCAGCCTCTGGTTGATTATTCAAAATTTTAACGGCAATACGTCATATCAGTACGTTCTTAGCATGTATCCGTATATATGAGCGATCATAGGTGAAAATAATCAGGGCCCACAGTCTTTCCGAATTCCCGCTCCGTACTTCAGGATTACTCCATATATAATTTTGCCTCTTCGGACCAGTTCTCGGATGGCGCTTCTTTATCAACTGCCCTTCGCGCATGCTGCGAGTTCCTACTTGTCCGTCACCGCATAAGCTCGTAACCCGATACCGTGGTTAGAGTGTCAATCTGTTGATGATCAATTTCTTTCATCCGGCCATCTATATTGTGCTGCCCCCCCTCGTTTCTCCATTAGTATCTACAATCACCGTATTACCTCGTTCACTCTTTTCGTTGCTTAAGGCATATCCGTTGCACCAAAATGGAGTCATCGACAGAAACGTTCATCGAACTGGCCAAAGCCAGACGGTCCGTTTATACTTAGCAACGCAAGCACGGTACCGGATTCTCAACTTGGGAAACTTGTTCACGATGCAATTTTGCATGTACCGAGCTCCTTCAATACGCAGACTACTCGTTTAGTGCTTCTCCTGAAAGATGAGAACCAGAAGTTCTGGGATGTTGTTGCAGGCGTGTATGAGACGATGGTGGCCAACGGTACATTCCCAGAGAGCAAGTGGAAAGCTGGCACAAAGCCGAAGTTAGACAGCATGAGAGCAGGCTATGGAACTGTAAGTTGAAGCTTGTATATTGTACTATCTCTTTAAAGCGCTTGGTTAGGCTTTTGACTAATACATTATGCATTAGATCCTGTTTTACGAAGACCCTACGGTTATACCAACTATGTGTGAGAAGTTCCCTCAGTACAAGGATCAATTCCCCATCTGGGCTCATCACAGCAATGCCATGCATCAATATTTTCGTAAGTTCCAGTATATCTAAAAGCAAGCTGGGCTCTTGATGCTGGAAATTAACTAAGTCTGTTTTCTACAGTTTGGACCACTCTTGAATCCCTTGGGCTTGGTGCAAGTCTGCAACACTATAACCCAATTATTGACGAAAAGGTTGCTGAAGCCTTCTCACTCCCGTTTGAGTGGATGTTAGTTGCACAGATGCCGTTCGGTGTGCCAACTGCTTCACCAAAGGAGAAGACGTTTGACCCGGTAGAACCGAGGGTAAGGGTATTTGGTATGAAAGGAGGGGAGGTGAACTAGATTGGGTTCATCTATATGGACAATAGAGAGCGTTGCTTGAATCATAAAACTAGAAAGGCCAAAAGATCCTAAATAAATATATATTGCATATCTTCCATCTGTTTATCCTAGCCATAGCCATCACGAGGTGGTGTCTATATCTCATCCAGTAGTCAATGCCCCCCTGTGCGCCTGAAAAGGTTTCGTAGTGGCGTTATATCAACCCTTGCTCACATGCTCACTTACATATCTCTTCACGCTCTCCAAAAGCGACATGTCCTCCTTGAAACCTAGCTGTTTAGCCCACGCAATGTCGAAGTTAGGCGACCACCCCTGGACGATCTTATCAACCGTTTCATCATACTTCTCCTCAACCAAAGCTCTCTTCTCCTTTCCACCAACTTGTTCCAAAACATCCAGCATATCTTGCACCGACACCTTGATTCCAGGTAGGTTCACTGCTCTAGAGTCACCAAACTTCTCCTTTGGAATGTCCTTGGCGTAGATCATGTTCTCCACGACAACGTATGGGGAGCATATCCATAGCTCTGTATCCTTTTTGACAGGCATTATGCTCTTCTCGCCCTTCAATGGCTCACGTATGATACCAGAAGCAAAGCTGCTTGCGGCCCCCGTGGGAGCACCGGCTCGAACAGTAACGGTAGGCAGTCGAAGAGACCTTCCATCAAGGAATCCACGGCGCGAATAATCGTTTAATAATAGCTCGGAAGCGACTTTTGCCGTTGCGTACGAGGAAGTGGGGAGTGGTGGGAGATTGCGCTCGTTTATCATAAATCCAGGTGGTGTCGGTCCATAGACGGCCAGGGAAGATGCAAAGACGACCTTCACGCCGGGAGTAACCTTCCGCAACCTTTCAAATATATAATGTATCGAGAAGAAGTTGATCTTCATGCCTAGGTCGAAATTGGCCTCGGAGGCACCAGACATAATTCCATGGAGGATATAGACAACATCGTAGGGGGTCGAGGAGCTGATAAGTTCGTCAACAGCGGACTGGCAGGTGAGGTCTGCCTTCGTGCTGGTTATACGGCTGGCGTCTTCGGGCTTAGCTGAAGCTGGGACTGACGGAGCTACAGTGACGTCTGTTAGGGTGAGCCGGGTGTCGGGACAGGCATTGAGGAGACCCGTGGCCAATTCTTGACCAACGAAGCCGTTCGCTCCAGTTATGAGGATAGAAGGCATCTCGTCCTTCTCAACTGATATAAACAGGTTCCAACAGAGGTGGTATGTCGTATAGGGTGATTACAATAAGTAGCGGAGAGCTGAATAGTATTCCCTGGTGGAAATCGATATTGCAATCGGGGCGTAGGCTGTCTGTTCTTTCGTAGAGATAGAAGGTGGGATGACCAGCTATTTAAATCCCCCTCCCCATGCTCGTCTTTCTGCAACATGAAGCTGCATCCCGCGGGGGCACATCACGCGAGGAGCAACGCCGAACGGTCTCTCGACCGAGCATCACGGAATCACAACCGGCTCTCGCAGCAGCTTTAGTTTTTCGCTGCACTGTTCCCATCATCATCCCATCACAGACCGAGTTGCCTCCTCGATGTAGCTCCACGGCATAAAAGTGGAGTCACGTGGCCCGGCGTTTCTCCGATCGCACCACTGCCGGCACTAGGGCCGAGCCGAGGATGAAGGCCAAAAACATAAAAGCATGAACAAGGGGAAGAAGAAGCAAAGGGGACCAAGAGAGGGACAGACTCATGCTCTATCATTCGTAAACAGACTAATTGCACACGAGCCAAACGGCATAGTAGATGACAGAGAAGCAAAAGGGGAAAAGTATTGGAACAAATGCGGCCCCATACGTTTTTTAGGAGGAAAGACACCGCCGAGCAAATGGCTATACCTGTAAATAAAAGGAAAGATACATTCGTATTTCAAATGAGAAACCTGAAGGAGGACATAACGCGGGACTCACTCGAATCAACTCGTAAACGCCAATAATGAAAATAAAACATGATAAAGAAAACACTCCAAAGCTACCCAATTAAGTTGATCGGTAGATACCAGCGACGATACAATGGTCACGCTCGAAAGGTTCTAGAGGGATACACGTTAGTCGCGGGCACTAGCAAAGGGATTAATGTGGGGAAGTGTATACGACGTACCAAGTGTAAGCTGCTCCTTTGGTTTTATCTTCTCCTCCCTCATCTTTTGCACCTCTTTGGCAAACACAACCTCTGGCTTGGCAGTACTGTCAATACAGTTGGCCTTGACACTGACAATAACACCACCGCCGGTCTTCAAGAACAAGTGGGCGTTAAGTCCAACAATACGGGCCTGGTCGGGTTGGGCAACATCGGCAAAGATGACGTCGACCATACCAACCAACATTCTGTATCGGAGCGGGTGACGAGCATCCTCAACGATAGGAATGACATTGGTGCGGTGAGTGGCCATGCCGATCAGATCACGGCCAGATCGGTGAGAGAACTCAACGGCGTACACGGTTCCGGTTGGTCCAACAATGTCAGCAACGTGACTGACTGAGGTTCCGCTGGCAGCTCCGAGATAGAGGACTTTAGAACCAGGCTTCATGTAGATGTCATCAAGACCACCGAGGATACCGGCAGCAAGCTTGCTTCGGAAGGGGTTCCAGACACGGTATTCGACCTTGGTAGCGGCTCCTTCGCCATCTGTGGAGGGGGCCTCGACGGATATGCGCTTCTCGCCGTATACAGCTTCACCAGGGGTGATGTTCTTGGTGACAAGAAGATCTTCCTTTCCACCACGGGCGACGAAAACACCGCCGTGACGGTGGGGTTCCTAAAGACACTCAATATCAGTTCCGTCTACTCGTACTGTGTGTAGGTATCGGCAAAACGTACAACGATGACCTTGGCACCACCGCGGGCACCTGGCTTACCACCGCGTCCACCGCGAGGGGCACCGCGGCCTCTGGGGGCACCTCGACCACCTCCGCGACCACCTCTGTCACCACCACGGCCGCCAAAACCGCCTAATTCGAGTCAGCCGTCCCGCTCTCCCACATCTTTGAATGAATAAAACCGGCCATTTAACAGGACACAGTTGAAGCTGGAAAAAGGCATAACTTCCATAGCAAAGGCCATTGGAAGCTCCTTTGCCAATACAAGGGATTACACACCGCGTCCACCACCACGACCACCTCTGTCACCACCACCACGTCCGCCAAAGCCACCTCGTCCTCCACGACCACCGCGGTCACCGCCACGTCCTCGGGGAGCTCCAAAGGCCATTATGTGAAGCGCTTAGGCTGTCCTTTTTCGTAAATAAAGTATCGCGTGTCAAGTAAGTCGCCCACGAAATACAATTCGAGTGGCTGCCCTGGGACCCGGATTGATTTGGAATTGAGCGATAACCAGCGGTTGAATCAGCTCTGCTTTTCGGATAAATCACTTCTCTTAAAAGAGATATACGCCGACCCAGGAAGAAATTTCGAGCTACCGGTTGGCGATGTTGGGATATAAATTTCCTAGGTCATTAAAAATTCAATTTTTTTGCTTCTTGGGTTTTTTTTTCGCACGATGATTTCTGCGAAGCTTCTAGCCTAAAGCGGTTAGCATGTTAAATATTATGTAATGACTCACGTGTTACTTGTTAACCACGTGATAATCTAAAAAGGGAAAGAGGAAGTTATTCTCTACTTCAACGACGATATATATACAGCATGTATTATGATATATAAAGATAATCCCTAACGCCAATACTCCGGTTTTTCACACTATGTTCAAGAGCTATGTACATGTCTGCTGATCTCTCGTCCAAAGGCGCGCATTAAACCCACAAACCCGAGCCAACTATGCAAGACAAGAAAAAATAAATCGACAGTTTGAGGAATGCGTACGACTAAGAGAAACTGAAACGGCTGATGTGAATATGAAGCACGATAGCAATTTATACCATTTTTCATCCATAGAACCAGTACTCAGCAGAGTATTGAATCTGGATTTGTTCTGGCTGGTCGACACACGTCGATGGCGCCTTTCCTCCAGCAGTGTTGACCCGATATACCCTCTTTGCTAGGCCCGTGCTGGATGGAATTGATTCTAGCATTAGCCAACTCACAGCGCCCTCTTGCTCCGTGTTGACACCCTTCATGGCATTTGCCGGTGCGTCTTTAGAGTCGGCTTTCTTGACGCTGGAGATTCCAAGTTTTGGTAGGTCAAAAATTGGCACCCCCTCGCCGTCGAAGTAGTGGTGACCCATTACCATTAGGTCTGCTGGACCACGAGAGTTGCCGAATGGTGGAGGGGTAGTGAGTTCGAGGGCGACGTTGGGGAGAAGCGAGAGGAGGTAAGGGTAGTTGGATGCAATGCAAGAGGCATTGAACAGCGTAGCCATGGCACCGGTGGCCTTTGGTGCTTTCTCCGGAGATGAGGATGAGCATGTATAATTCTATGACTGTTAGTTCAAGTTCATCCAGATTGGGGGGGCTCTGGAACATCCTACCTGAGTGCCTCGTCCAATTGCAACAGCGAGCAGTTTTTGGTCCTTGGGAACTTCCGAAAGTTGTGGATTGCTTGGCAGAACAGCTTTGGAGAGATCGCAGGTGGGTTGTTGAAGCAAACCGTTGTTGGCGTGCTTTGAAATATAGTCCCCAATTTCACTCAACCACTTGGCGGAACCCGGAGACCAGCCAGCTGGTGCAGCCCTAACTCCAGCAATTGCCATACAGGCAGAGAGTATTATGGAGAAGCGCATATTGGATGATTTGGCGTGATTTTTTTTTTCTTTGGTGATTTTTTGGGGGGTGGCTATTCTTGCGGTTTGTGATTTTCGGAGTCGTTAACGGCGTCGCTGGTTCGTTTCGTCAAGAAACTGATATATTGAAAACACAGAAGAAACAGCAACGGATCAACCGAAGAAAAGGAATATATAAGAAGGAAAAAGGAGATAGGAAACCGAAGAAAACAATGAAAAGAAAAGAACCGGATATAGCAGACCAGATGCAATACCGTTGAATGTTAGAAGATGTACTAAAGGAGATCGCTGCAAGAAGTCGCAAGCGACAGACATCTTTATATATTGATCGCCTCGGGGCATTCCCCTTTCAGTCATTCTTCAAGAACATGCAAATACTTCCATGCAGGCGCCCACGGCAGCCAAAAAAAGAACAACCTAAAACAACATGCAAACTCTCACAACCGCTCGTCGGCTCGCCAGCCAAAAGTGTACTATGTATGGCTGGAACTTGCACGGTTAAAAATAACCTTGAGCAAGAGCCAATCAGTTAGCTTTTGATGCATGACAGGCGGCAGGGTTGTCCCTGTGTCTATGTTTAGCTAGGGGTCACGGCTCAATATGAGTGGCTGCAGGTAAGCGCTGCAACGATCAAGTATGGAGTAACCTTTAGCTAACTCGAGCTACGCAGCACACTAACTCCTCCGCGGACTCGCCTCTGCCCAAAGCGTCGTTACTCAATCCCAGAATATCTTCACATTTTCGACATGGAGTATTTCAATTTTGCCTTACGACGCTGCAATGCACTGTGACCCGCGATAAAAAAAAACTACCAACTCGCCACCGCCTATTAAGCCAATGAACAATAGCTATTCAAAGGAACCAGGACAATTGACTCAGCTACCATCTGTCATGTAGCACGCATTGAGTCCGCCAGTTATTTCCCCTTCTAGCGAACATGCACCACCCATGCTACGGATAACTCGTGCTTGCATTGAAAAATGCCCCTGCGATATCCTGGCGGTTCGAGAAATTAATCACTGGTCGTCAGATTCACGGTCACATGGGTTTTATCTTGGCTGCTTGAAGAATATGTCACCAACTTCTGCACGCATGGGCGGACACACGAGTGCTGACTCGCAGACACGGGATGGCGTACAGCTACCCATATGCATAAAATCGCAACGACAGCCCAATAACAGATCTCCGTGGAGTTCTTAGACATGCTGTCAAACCCTTATATGTAGCAGAATTGTACAGCCAGGATAAGAGGGTAAGGTAAGGGCGATGGTACTGCAACCTAGCACATTTGACATGCAAAAGATGCTGGGGTCCGATATGATGGTCATATTCGCATTCATCTACAATGCAACTATCGCCCTAGTCTTTATTCGAGAGTGCATGATAAATCTTCTTCTGTTTCATAGCAATTATACGGATTAGGGACAGCTTTGCTTTGAATATTGGTACGTTTCTTCCTCAACTATACAGATACATACAGTGAAACAATTAACGGGAAGTCCCAGGATCCCGACAGGATTACAGATCAGATAGAGTTCAACACTGTCTAGACATGCAGAAATATCAAACATGAGATGAAAAGTGAGGTGGATAGAGTGCACGAAATGGGAGACCAAGACACATCTGGGTTCAAGAACCGGCTAATCCATATGATCGAGGGGGCTGCCGTCAGCTGCACCGATATTTTGCCCTGTCGCATGATCGAGCATGATGCCAGCATGCTTCTCGACCCCGGTTGTGCTCATAGTATACAACATGATGAATAGGAACACATGCAAAGCAAGACAATAGGCAGCAAACAGGTTTCTACTTGCTCTGTTTGCAAGCACCATCCTAGTGATTGAGAAAATGATACGTTCGGGAACACTCATACGTTTATACGCACGAGCGGATTCGCGACCTCTAAACGCAGCGAATGGCGATATCTGAGCCTCATACGCCGACTGGTATCTATCTAGTGATAGACCTGAGGGAGTATCCGGATCTATCTGGACCGTAGTCGCGTTCGGCCTGTTTGAGTACGGCGTTGCAGACGAGGAAGTCGACGCTTGGCCTCTGTTGTACGTAGATACGTACCGTGTCTTCTCGTACAGGCTGAGATTATCCTTCTGTAGGCTTGCAACTTCTGCCCGTAGCGACTTGACGATACTATAAGTTTTTGACAGCTCTTCTTCTAGTTCGCCGTTTTTCTGCTTAAAGCGGTCTCGCTGTGCCTGGACCATAGGGAGAATACCAGAGCCGCCGCCGACGGGTTCGCCTGCCCGAATTGCCTCCATGGTACTAGGAGACATCGCGTTATCAAAGCCGGAGATGATAGAGGAAGTCGGTGATGCCCACCCTCTACGTGATCCATGTGGATATCGGGATACATATGTTCCAGCCACTGACATTGCGGAGGAATTGGTTGTTTCGCGCTGCATCTGTAGAAGGTCATTCTCCAGCTTAGTGGCTAGCTTTCTTGACTGTTCTAGCTCCGCACTCGTTCGCGAGAGTTCTTCCCGGAGGGCCTCAAGTTGGCCTTCTAAGTCCTGGTGGGATACTCGTAAGATCGTAAGTTCATTAGATAGTTTCTTGTTACGTGCAAGGAGCAACTGCTCCAGGTTGTTTTCTTTGGAGCTTAAGGTTTTAGCATCGTCAATGGCAGCATCAGGCTCATCATCTCCCGTAGAAAACTCAATGGACTAATACGGTCAGTAAGTAGGCACCACACAAGAATAACCAAGAACATATAGGATCTTACCTTAATAACCTCCAGTTCGCGCTTAATGTCATTGTAATCTGCGACTTTTGCAAGCTTCTCACGGAGTTCGTCGCGCTCCAGTGTAACCTTTGAGCTAGCCCGTTCACACTGACGAAGTTTCCCCTCCCAGCTATTCTTCTCTGCGTCTTTATCAAAGCGAGAAGCCTCCAGTTTTCGTAAAAGGGAAGAATTCTCACTTTGCAGCCGCAAGTATTGGGGATCCTCTTCGATAGGGCGGGAGTGATGCTCTGACTGAGAATGAGAGGCTGCTTGTGCAAGATCAAGGCTAAGCTGCTCATTGCGGGCTTCAACCTCTGCAAGACGGATACTAGTCCTCTCCAAGTCCGATGCGACTATTTCAAGCTCTGCTGCTGCTGCTGCCGCACTGCGTGTATCATCCTCGCCGTTTTCGTTTCGGTCCAGCCGTTGGGATACCTCGTAACTCGCTTTGATCTCTTTAAGAAGACGGTCATGATTCTCTGCCTTCTCCTCAAATGCTTTCTCCTTTGCCTCCCAGTTGCTTGTCTTTTCCGCTAGTGCAGCTTTCCATGAAGCCTCAACTTCTTGGATCTTCTTGTCCTGGTTCTCTTCCAACTTTAGGCGTGCTGCACGCTCCTCGGCCAGCCGTCTCTCGGTCTCTTCAAGCTGGTATGTCAGACGGTTGACACTATTCTGTAAGAATTCCTTCTCTGCGTTTAACTTAGGGACTGTGTCTTCCGATAAAACTAGAGAGTCGATGGACGCTTCGAGAAGAGGGTATGGGTCTGGAGCCTCCGATAATGCGGTGTAGAATTGTAAGAACGAAGACGACGCCAATTTCCCTTGGTTGGTAAGGAGATCTATAAACGCCTGGTATGCTTCGCGGCTGTCAGCAGTGATCGCCCTTATCGTCCGGGAGCTATCTATACACACATTTCAGCAACCCCTTATACTCCGATAGCTTCGACGAGTCATCAAGCTTCCTAAAGTCCTTCGTCTTCTGCGCCAGGTCTTTTCGTTGGACGAGGGAATCTCTCTGATGCGATACGATATCAGATGCCGTTGTATCGTGTTTAGAGATCAGGTTTGCCAAATCAATTCCTACACCAAAGAGAGCTTAGCTATGAAACCACAGCGTCTGGATCGAATAACCATACCTCTCCATACCGCAATAGCTCGCTGAAACTTGTTCTCCTCTTGAACCTGCGCCGGCGTCTTGCTCACTGGAGGCTTATCATTGCGGCCTTCCTCGTTAGCCTGCGAAGCCAAGCTCTCCGACGCAATCAGCGGATCCATCTTCTCTCGCAAATAGGTGCTCCTCTGCTTCAAACAATAATTTTATCTATCTTGCATAATAAACCGCGGTCCAGTCGGGACGATGCCAGAGAATATAAATCAGCAAGTCTGCCTCGTGTTAACACTCTAGCATCCTGGACCTGAAGCTGGAGACAACGTCCATCGGAACAACGTTGATCCCCTAGTTGCTGCCTCCCCCAGGTCCCAAGCATCCAAAGCTCCAACAACAGCCCCGACAACAGCTATCTTGAAAGCACTGTTGAGCGTGAGTCTCGGAGGCAAAGCAGCCTTGAGATGCGCGAAGCTGAGCCGGTATTATGGGATCCGATGGTGACATCGATCCGCGCCGGAAACGGAGGCGCATCAGTCCTCCCGAAACAGGGCCTTATATACTGCGGCCTCTCCTCGAGGACGTTCCAGTGCAGGCAGAAGACGATGAGGGACAGGCGCATATAACCTGTGTAGAATATTGGAGTATGCATTGCTATCCTATGTTGTCGTTTGTTTGCCGCTTGGTTGACTTGTACTAATCGTTGGCTGTGGCTAGATGAGAATCTATATGTTGGCACATCCGTGGGTGAAATACTACATTTTGTCTCCCTACCGCCGGAGCCCGATGATGAATCCGGTAACCCTTCGTTTATACTGGCTTCGAGACGGCCTATTACATCCTCGACTCGTAGCACCTCGTCTGCTGGGGTCCAGCAAATCCTAATCCTTCCCACGGCCTACAAGGCTTGCGTTCTTTGCAATGGATCCGTTTCATTCTACTCGTTGCCAGAGCTCAGTCCTGCATATGGCACAACTAAAGTTCCGAATTGTAACTGGATCGGTGGACTTGATCTGGACGAATCGATTGTCGATGGAGAAGAGGCACCGGACCCTATCGTGATGCTGGGGATGCAGGACAAGATAATGCTGGTAAAGATCGGAGAGGGACCGCGGAGGGTGAGGAATATCGAATTCCCTGGATGTTTCATTGCCAATCGAAGGGGCACAATTGCGTGCGTTGCGGATTCACGTTCTTATGCGTTACTTGAGGTGGAACATCGTCAAAAGATACCACTATTCCCAATCTCATCAAACGACCAGTACGAGGACTTTAAAGTGGAAAGTATACCATCCAGAAGCGCTAGCCCTGCGCAGGACAAGGCCACTACTTCTAACGGGAATTCGGGGGCAAAGGGTCATGGAAGGAGTACGAGTCTAAATGCCATTGCTGCCAGTTCACAGCGGCGTCAGCAGAGTCCAAAGTCAGATATCTCAGGAACGTCTACCCCGGAATCCCTCTCAGAAAACAATTCTTTGAAACCAGCAAACTCTCAGGATAGAAGGCTGTCGATACCGAGCAGGTCTCCGTCTGCTGCTCCAGTCGATGGACTGGGACAAAAGCCTCTTCCTCCAACCCCGACCCCAAAGCGGTCCACGGCAACCTTGAAACCGCATATTGTATCACCTACGCCTTCTGAATTTCTACTAGTAACTGGAACAGATGCCTCGCATCCTGCTGTTGGTATGTTTGTCAACCTTGAGGGCGAAACAGCTGAGCGTGGTACGATCGAATTTCAGACTTACCCCGATGCAATTGTACTTGATAATGGCGATGACGATGATCCGCATTCCCACCCAGCTGGTAATGAGGAGGATGGATACATTTTGGCGGTTGTTAATGCAGCTGGTGATACCGAAGAAGGTAACGAGGTGAAATGTCTAGAAGTGCAAAGATGGGATGTCAATCCAGGGGAAGGAGAGAGGCAAAGGTCTCTCATAACCATATCGCTCAAGAGTCTCAAGAGTCCCACCTCTGGGTCAGTTGGCATTAGTCGAACAGTGAGCCCGAACCAAATGAATTTCTCGGAGGTTGGTGAGCTACTACAGGTAGTTCGACTAAAAATGCCCAATCTACGAACGCCTGGAAGTAGGACACCCCAAAGAAACAAGGACCCCAGAACGGAAGCTTCTATTGAACAGCTGCAAAAAGAAAAGGAACTTTTCGAAAACGACTCAGATGGCTCTAAGCATGGTCCTTCCGCTAAACTACCACGCGGCTGGGAAGCGGAAAGAAACCAGGAAGAATCTAGCTTTGCGAAAACACTAGGTTACGTTAAGAGCAACATTATACTCTGGGAAAAGGACCGGATATGGCGTGTTCTCCGCAACCCATTGGCTCTACAATTGGAGAATGCCCTATTGCTCACCCAGGAGGCCGAGGGCATGGGGACCTGCAGAATTGCCAACAAGACTGCCATAATAGAGATGATGAGAAGCCTTGATTCGATTTTACCTAGAACAGCGACAGAATCTCTAGGCTTAAACTACGTCAAAGAAAAGGCTAGCCTGCTTCTTTTCGGAGATCTCATCGCGACTGAGCCCGAAGCTCAGACCGCGGATGCTATCAAAGCAGTAGAGGATGCGTTGGTTGCAGGGGAGCTAGATCCTCGGATCATTCTGCTGTTTACCCCACTGCTTAGAGAAGAAATACTTCAAGGTCCACAAGGAGTTTGGGTTTGTGCTGGACTCACCAAGGTCGTTGATACCCTACTTGAAGCCTCTAAGGAGCAGGATGTAGAGACGAAATTCAACTTAACGGACCCGGTCCTACGAATGCTCGTGAGATACTTGACTTCCTGGCACCGAAAGAGAGGGTATGGAAGCGTGACAGATGATACATATGTATTCGATAGCGTGGATTCAGCACTCCTCCGCCTCCTACTACACCTTGATGCAAAGCACAACGAAGCAAATGGAACAGTATCCACGTCCGAGATACGACCAGAGCTCAATAAGTTAGTTGATAACTGGAAAGGAAATTTCACCCGAGCCGTCGAGCTTCTAGAATCCTACCAGCGACTGTTTGTGTTGAGTCGCCTGTACCAGAGCCGCAAGATGGCGGGCCATGTTCTCAGGACATGGCGAAGGACAATTGAGGGCGAAAAGGATGTTGGAGGTGAAATGACCCTTCCTGCTGTTGAAATTCAGGTTCGGAAGTATCTTGTGAAAATAAGAGATCCAAATCTCGTCGAAGAGTACGGCCTTTGGCTTGCGGCAAGGAACCCCAAGCTTGGAGTGCAAGTGTTTTCGGATGATACCAGCAGAGTCCAGCTCGATACGCCCCAGGTTATTCGAATAATGAAAGAGCGTGCTCCGGGGGCTGTTCAAGTCTACCTGGAGCATCTCGTCTTCACTAAAAACGTAAGCGTTCACATCCAAATATCTCCCACCCGCATCAGTACTAACATGGCGATTAGATCACAAGATATGCTGACGACCTCATATCATACTACCTTGACACTGTGCTCTCAGTTCTTGAAACCTCTCCTGATGCAAGGTCCTCTCTCACCGAATCTTACGCTACCTATCGCGCTCTCCGACCCCCAAAACCCTCGTACCTGAGTTTCATCACCGAGAATGCGCCTCCAGAGCCGTGGTGGCAATCACGTCTACGGTTGTTACAACTCCTTGGCGGTGGAGCAAGAAGCCAGTTCACATCTTCATCATCTCCTCCCTCAGACCTACCCTACTCCATCCCAGCTGTGCTTAAGCGCATCGAGCCATTTAAAAATGAGCTCGTCTCCGAGTGTATAATTCTCGGTGGTCGACAAGGGCGCCATCATGATGCGCTCCATCTTCTCACCCACGGCCTTGGGGATTACGATTCTGCAATCCGATATTGTCTATTCGAGGGATCGGGCACTTCTACATCTCAAGTATCTCAGAGCATGTTCTCACGAAAGTTTTCTCCGTCTGAAGGCCAGAAGGAACTCTTTGCCGGACTGCTTCGCGAATTTCTCCAGATAGCTGATCCATCGGACTGCACAGAACGAACGGGTGACTTGTTAGCTAGGTTCGCACCACTCTTCGACGTACGTGAAGTTCTCGACTTAGTTCCTAGTGAATGGAGCGTGAGCATCCTAAGCGACTTTTTTGCACGGGCACTGCGCGATCTAGTCTCAGAATCCCGAAATGCAAAGGTCCAGCGTGCCCTCAGCGCAGGACTTAATCTAAGGGTTTGTGCCGACTTTATCAAGGAATCAGAGAAGATAGGTGGATGGGTACAAGACGCCGACCAGGTTAAACCACTTAAAGGGGCTATCAACGCACAGGAAGAGCCTGAGACGGAGGCCGCAGCTGAGGATGAGGAGCTGCATAATGATGCCGGCGCCCAGATACGGCAAGACGACACTTTGAAGATATCTTGATATATTATAGACACATTTCTATTCATTTTGTTTTTAGCTGAGGAGTTGTGTATATTCTGAACCTTTAGATCGTATATCTAGTGAATTAAGTTCAAGTTCAGTACAAACGACGTCATATATGATATTATCAACTCGTAGTTAGTCCCCGCAGTCGACACTGATAAAATACATTGCGTTTCCAGCTTCAGGCGTCATCCCTGTCTGCCCATATCGCCGAGTGAGCCGAGTTCTAGTCAGGCCGTAAGTCTAGAGCCGTGGGTTGATCCTCTAGGTTGATCCTATGTGTTGATCCTGTAGGGTTGCCACGATACAGCCTCGGATATTGGGCGAAGGGCGCGGGGGGAAGTATATAAATATCGAGGGGAGCAACTGCCAGCTGATGAACATTATCCTCCTTTCTTCTCTATAAGTTCCTAAACATCAAATCCTTCAAGATGGCTCAGGCTCGTCGTACGATTTACCATAACTCAGATGCTAAGCTCTTCAGTCCTCGCCACGATGTGACTGGAGCAGAAAAGCAGTTCCATCAGTCGCTACCCTCTTATGAACCAAGTCCACTCGTCTCTCTCGACAAGCTCGCAAAGGAAATAGGAGTGGCCAAGGTGTTTATAAAAAACGAGAGCAACCGCCTGGGACTTCCGTCGTTTAAAATCCTCGGTGCTTCATGGGCTACATATCAAGCCGTTTCATCGCATCTTGGTCTCTCAAACCCGTCGTTAGATGAGCTCTCTCGTGCAGCTTCAAGTGCACGTATCAAGCTACTCGCTGCTACGGAGGGTAACCATGGAAGAGCCGTTGGCCGGATGGCGAAGATACTGGGTATTTCGTCCGAGATCTTTGTCGGCAAGAATCTCGACCAGCACACTCGAGACTTGATTGCTCGCGAAGGGGCGACAGTCACCGTCGTGGAGGGAGACTATGATGAGGCGGTTTCTACGTCACTGGAGAAGGCAAATGAATCTCCGAATTTCATTTTAATTCAAGATACTGCCTTTAAGGGATACGAAAAAATCCCCGCATGGATTGTCCAGGGCTATTCTACGATGTTGACTGAGATTGATGACCAGCTGAAAGATATGGGTCTTGAGCATACTGTAATGGTGACGCCTGTTGGTGTTGGCTCCCTTTGCCAGGCGGTTGTCTCTCACTGCAAGGCGAACAGCCGAGCGATGTCGGTTCTCACTGTTGAACCCGATGTGGCTCCCTGTCTATACAAGAGCCTGAAGGCAGGCCAGATGACTCGGGTGATGGCAACAAAGACAATCATGAGCGGACTGGAATGCGGCACTGTCTCGACAATTGCGTGGCCAATTCTACAGTCTGGAGTCGATGCCAGTGTTACTATCTCTGACCATGAGGCCCATCAGGGAGTGCAGTATCTAAGCTCAAAGGGGGTGAACGTAGGACCCTGTGGTGCTGCTGGTCTATCAGGACTACGACACGTTGCTAAAACGCTGCCTTCATGCATCGGCCTATCTCCCGACTCAGTTGTCGTTATTATTGGTACGGAGGGGAGCCGTCCATATACTATACCCAAGGATGTTTCTTCAGATGACTCTGTCGAGTTAACTCAGATTCTCACGCAAATCAACTCATCTAACCCATCGGCCTCGAACCCCAGTGGCGTTGGAGAAAGTGATATATCGGACTACATCATTTCGTGGCTAGAGCACCGAGACCTGGAAGCACATCGGTTGGAAAGCACAGTCGGCAGGCCCTCAGTGATGGGCGTACTCCGTGGAACTGGTGGAGGCAAATCTCTCATGCTGAATGGTCATACGGATACTGTCACATTGGATAGTTACTCGTCAGACCTCAACCCTCTTTCCGGAGAGCTGGTGGTATCCTCTGATGGACGTAAAAGGATCGTTGGACGCGGCACTCTGGATATGAAAGCTGGCATTGCAGCTTCTATGAGTGCGTTGGCATCTGCTAAGCTCTCATCTCCTCCGCCCCGAGGAGATGTAATATTAGCAGCAGTTGCAGACGAAGAGTTTTCATCTATCGGTACCAAGGAGCTGTTAAAAGCTGGCTGGCGCGCTGACGGCGCCATAGTGGTCGAACCAACTCAGCAGACAATTGCCCACGCACATAAAGGGATGACGTGGCTGGAAATTGAGATATTGGGCGTTGCTGCCCATGGATCCAGGCCCAACGATGGAGTAGATGCAATTCTACTTTCAGGGTACTTCCTAACTGCACTGAAAGAGTACGAAGCTACACTGCCTGAAGATAGTGATCTGGGCAAAGCCTCTCTCCACGCCAGCTTGATCAAGGGTGGAATAGAACCAAATAGCTATCCCGCCTCGTGCAAGCTCACGGTGGAGTTTAGGACCATCCCGGTGCAGTCAGCAGAGTCAATCGTGGCAGACGTCATTGAAATATTGACTAAGATCAAGAAGCGTGTGGTGGGATTCAAGTATCGCCTTCCGCAGGTGGTGGCTCACAAAGCTCCGTTTGAGATCGCGAAGGATCATCCCCTGTCTAGATGCGTGTATGATGCTACAGGCAAGGTGTATGGCACGAACTGTGCGTTCCAGGCACTGGATCCCTGGACTGATGCAGCACTGCTTCATGATGCAGGCATTCCTTCTATCGTATTTGGACAATCGGGTGCTGGCCTTCATTCGGAGTATGAATGGGTAGATGTTGAGAGCATTCGACGGACCGAGGGTGTGCTATCCACCGTGATAGAAGATTTCTGCTCTTGATAGCTGCCATGTACCTACATCTGTGGTCAGGAGGCCATCGTTAAATATAGCGGAAAGTTAATGACTTGGGTGATAAAATAAATGCAACAGTTGTTGATATATTATCTATATTTACCCCGGAGTCTCCAATCCGGAGGATTCTCTATAGTAAGAAAGTAAGGTGAGCCCATACGCATCATATACCTATCCATCACTCATCTTCATCATCCTCTTCCCCCTCCTCTTCCTCTTCTTCAATACTTTCGACAAGTAAATTAACACCCCGACCAATCCGGTCTTTTACCGTCCCCCCAGCCTCCAGATCATATACTGCGCGGGGCATGGGCGAGACAAGACGGAATCCGTACTTGTGTTCAAACTTTTCTGGCTCAGTAACTTCGGACGGTTCACTTTCATCCTCCGCCTCGCTCGGATGTAGTATGTCATAGCATTCTACAAAGGCATACACTTCCTCTATATCTGCATGGCCGGAGAAGCGACGTATCACTCTATCTCCTGAAGTTAAGCGAAGACTAACCCGGATTGCATCTTTGTCATCTGCCGGTGCTTCTGAGGGTATCGACTGGGCTCGCCATCTCTTCCACTGGAGAAGGTTCTTGGCATATATTTCAGCCGCAGCCTGTTGTTCCTTTGCTTCTCTTTCCTGGCGCTCACGCTCAGCTTCCGCTTCACGACGTAGTCTAGCCCGTTCTCTGTCCTGGGCGAGAGAGCGCTCGTACGCTGAATCTTGTTCCTGCCGTAGTGTCCGTGAAGCTTGCTGTTCTGCTCTCGTTGACCGAACGCGGTCGAGAGATGATTTATGTTGGCTGGTTGCGGCACAGAGCTTCTCAAGAAATTCAGACGAAGAGGTAAGGCCTGGAATCCGGCCGATGACGGACATGGCAGTAGAAGAGACACTGGGAGTATGCGCAATGGCCACCGCAAAGGGGAATTTTGTGCATTTAAGTGAGCTGGCGACTTGGTACGACTCCGAGTCTTGTACGTTTCCTCCCCAGAGTAGAACGCTGTTAGAAGGATCGTTTAGATACGCAACGACCTCCGGAGAGAGCAGAGTGTCCCGCACCCAGGTATCGGTGTCGTCATGTTCCGGAGAGAGCAGGACGACTAGTAGAAACTTGAGGTCCTTGTGTGACTTCTCTAGTGCCATGTTATATCCGTTTTCAAGAAACGGCAACGAGTGCGAGCCATACTCCTCCTCGAACTCCCGTATGAATCGAGCGGCGGTGTCCTTTGGCGCAAGGGGCCGCCGTCCCTGCGAGGATTTGTTGATTCTGGAGAGCGTAGAGTGTGAGAAGTTGTTGAAGAGCCGCGGTAGGAATGGGAAGAGGGTGCCGAAGAGGCGGAGAGAGTTCGTCAGCAGTCGATATAGGAGGCTGAAGGGGGTAAATAGGACGGCTAGTATGAAAGGCGGCCGGAACGGAGGGGTATCGTTTAGCTGAGACGTTATCCTGGGAGCTGGCTCTGTCTGCCGCAAGGCTGAGAGTATGCTGGAGTTGGAGTAGGCCATCTCGGCTGCTAGATTCTGGCGAGACTGAGGTATCGGAGGCGGGACACCAGAGTCCATGGCCGCCCGCGCCTCCTCGACGGGATCCGGAGCTTCTCCATCGAAGAACTTGGTGATGGCAATCTATTTTCTGATATCAGTACGCCGTATCCCACTGTGTAGCTGGCTGCCTGGCACTCACCTGTACGTTCCACTCCGAGCGTCTCAGCAGAGGTATAGCAGCAGCACGATCCTGGCCAGTCACTGCCAGATAGGTCTGCAGGGTGTCTTCCTGGCTTGTCGAGAGCTGGACGCCCTCTCCTTCGTCTCCGGCCATGCTATCTCGCGAGCTCGTCTCCCATGCGCCGTATCTTGCGTCCTATCGTGTGCCTCGTCCTCTGCTCTTCCGTGGCCGTTTTTCCCCGTTTCTTCTCGTCCGTTCCTGTCTTCTCGTCCCGTGTCTTCCGTGCACTCTCTCGTCTGTCCTTCTCGTCTCGTCTGCCGTCGTCTGTTCTCTTGTTTCTCTTGTCTGCTTGCTTATGATGAAATGAAGCTCGAAAACCATGGATAAAATGGTATGGTAAAAGATGCGTATTATAACAGTCACGTGCTCCATATTCTATGGGTAACGGCGTAATATGACCGTATTCACATAGTCTTGGCGCCGATAGCTCTTTTGATAAGCGGCAAAAGCACATCTCGAGCATCGTCAAGTTTGCAAGTTCGTCGAGGCCATCAAGAACTCGCTTTTCGCCCTCCCTCGCTGCCCGTACGTCGCTGTCTCGCCGCGGTTTCCACTCTCCCCAGACTTGCGCCTTGTGTAGGACTGGTGTGCTCGCCCGCAGACAGCAGATACCGCGCACCCGCTATCCCCAGGGCTGGAGGAATGCGCGGCGCGGCATCGCCCATCGACCCTGTCCACGACCTATCCCGCAAGCCGATGGAGCCTCTCTCGCGCTGACTTGCGTGCTGTGACCCGTGGAGGAAATGGCATCTGTAGGGAAACCGAGTCTCGAGGGCGGGAGACGCACCAATGGTTCCCCAAAGTTGAAAGGGCGCGGTAAGCTGCAGACAATCCCACTCCCCCCCGCGTGTTGCGCCGTTTCCGCTTGTATAGAACCACTCATCTAATCCGACCTTCGATACTGATCCATTAGTTGTAGAAAACGCAAAGGACACCCTCTGCCGCAATGTCACCATCTACGGCAGGTGTCGGTATGAAGATAAAGGTGTGACGTGCTCCTTTGTCGCTGGGTTCCTTTTTTTTTGATGTCATCATTCTAACGGTTTCAAGGATGCGCATTTAACCATGACCCGCAGAAAGTGAATGCGGCGCAGTATGAAAGGTTGGACAGATGCGTTCTGTGCATTTGCATGCATTTTTCTGAGGCTGGTCGGATAGCTCATGTATCGACTCAAGTAGCAGTGGCGGTGTCGGCATCAAACAGAAACGGCTGAACGTTGAATCGCCCAGTTTCACTCCCTCGACGACCCCTAACAACGGTGCCGCCCCAACATCGGCTGCAACGGTGAAGAAGCCGGCGACCTTGTCTCCAAAGGCTGCGGGCGCGGCACCGTTTCTTCCCAAGGGTGCAATTTCACGTACGTTTCTACCGCACACGCTTGATTGATATGTTTAGGGGATACCATATACTAATTATGACAGGTGCAAACTCGGGGACATCTCAGCTACGACAGGAAACTGGAACTCCGGAGTGGGGTTTGACGGAAGTACCTGACTTTGTGCCACAGCGTTTTGATACTGTGGTATGTGACTTTTGGATCCCAGCTTAAAGGGATATGCTAAGTGTGTAGGACTCGCTTCAGGGAACTGGCAACGGCGTTCTGGGTGCTTCAAACGCCTTTGACCCGTTTGTCTCCTCGACCACCCCACTGGCCTCTGCTGGTGCAGTCGTCACCCACCAGATGCAACAAAACCCATATGCTCACGACCACACCGGCATTGGTGGCACCTCATACTTCACCTCTCAAAACTCCTTCCAACAACCAGTAAGTGGCCCAGGTTCAACATAGCTAGAGGTTATATTAACGAGGATAGGTTCAATACCATCTATATGCTCCTATTGGACCCCATAATCAGAGCATCCTTGGATATCAGCGAAATGTTCACGACCTTTTCATTCCAAACGACTTTCGAGAAGAACTGCAGAAGAAGGCTGCAGCTACCCTTCAAACCCTCCCCAGTATGTTCCCTTGCTACCTTGTTCGCCCTATTTTAGCTTGTCTAATTTAGTTATAGACTCCCAACTCCCCGCTCAAATTGATATCTTCCATTCTCTGGTCCCTCTTGACGTGACGCATCAGAAGAATGCGACCATCTTCGGTTACCCTAGCTGGGTATACAAAGCCCAGTCAAGCAAGGACGGAAACTTTTACGCTCTCAGACGGCTGGAAGGTAATGCATTTATCTACCTACCATTTTAACTATCCATCGTTACTCTTAGATCTAACATTCCTAGGTTTCCGATTAACCAACGAAAAAGCTATTCGGTGTGTTCAAAGCTGGAAACGTGTGTGTTCAGGCAGTGTTGTAGCGGTACATGACGCCTTCACCAACCGGAGCTTCCAAGACAGCTCTCTCATATTCGTCACCGACTACCATCCTCTGTCTAAGACGCTCGCCGAGCAACATCTCGATGGGCCGAACCGGTACCAAAGCCGCCATGCGAGCACCCACCTGCCCGAACCAGTGCTATGGGGCTACGTGACACAAATCGCATCTGCTCTCAAGTCTATCCATAGCGCTGGACTAGCTGCGCGAATCATCGACCCCAGCAAGATCCTCCTAACTGGCAAGAACCGCATACGGTTAAATGCGTGTGCGATACTGGACGTGGTGCAACATGACACGCAGCGTTCCATCGCCGACCTACAGAGTAACGACATGGTCAACTTCGGCCAGTTGCTACTCACGCTAGGAGCTAGCTCCATAGCACATAACCCGACAAAGGCACTGGAACATTTCTCCCGTGCCTACAGCGCGCAACTATATAACTCCGTCTTATGGCTTCTAGGCGCCGGGCCATCCAAGGACCCTCAACAACCTCCTCCCGACCGTTCCATCGATGTCTTTATCACCGGGATATCCTCCCAACTTATCTCCACCTTCGACTCTTCTCTCCACCTCGACGACCAATTAACCTATGATCTAAGCCGGGAGCTTGAAAACGCACGTCTCATCCGCCTCCTCACCAAGATAAACTTCATTACCGAAAGACCGGAATACGACCACGACCGCCACTGGTCGGAGAATGGGGAACGATACTTCCTCAAGCTCTTTAGGGACTATGTGTTCCATCAGGTTGATGCGCAGAATAGCCCCGTCGTGGATCTAGGGCATGTATTGACTTGTTTGAACAAGCTTGATGCTGGAAGCGAGGAGAAAGTGACGTTGATTAGCCGGGACGAGCAGAGTTGTTTTGTAGTTAGTTACAAGGAGCTGAAGAAGGGGGTTGAGATGTCGTTTCAGGCGTTGATGAAGCGCCGGTAAACAGGTAGGTGGTGGTGGTAATTATCATGTCGATCTACCGTTCGTTTATATATATGAAGCCATCTGCCTTGTCTACGAAATGAATCTACCCTATCGTTATCTATTGAAAAAAAAAAAAAAAAAACACACACCCACACACATCTTACCGTTTTACATTGGGAACTGATGTATTCATTATCTATCGTAAGTTATACTCCAGTAAAAGAATAGTCCAGCCGCTACTCATCCTCCTGCTGCACGAAGGGGTTGGCAATCTCTTCACTCCCATCAGCCGGCGAGAGCAGAACCAACAGCGTCCCCCTCGCCACAATCAACCCGAGTGATCGCGTCGTTACATTGTCATTATCATCTACCATAGATTAGTATATCATTTGAAGATATCGTTGAATATATCAAATAGAGTTGAGGGACATCCTTACCACGCATAGTCTCTTTAACGTCATCCAGCACCAAGTTCATCAGTTGATCGTATCCCTTTAGCACGCCAGTAACTATTTTATCTCCATCAGTACGTGAATCTCAAACAAATAGAAATAAAAAAAAACACTCACCTTCTCTGCCTCCGTTGAACTTGACATGAACCTCTTTATCCATGTACTTTGTCAGGTCGAGGATATTTTCTTTCTTGGGCTTCTCCTGCTGCTGGCCCTGTCCCTGAGCCTGATGCCCTCCTCGGTGCTGTCCCTGGTGCTGGCCCTGTCCTTGATGGTGGCGGCCTCCACGACCGCCGTCGCCTCCTCCCCCTCCTCCTCTGCCTCCGCCAGAGCCACGGCCGCGAGACTGGCCGCCTCTGAAGGAGCCGCGTTCGGACATGTGTGTGTTTTTGTGGGGTATATGGCCTAGTTCATGTACTGATATACAGGTCACTGCTGTGCGATTGACTATTATCTCGCAGTGGCAAGTGGTAGAGGCAGGATGTGCTGGCTTTATATTGTATACTATGATATCGCCTTGTTCCTTTCTTGTGCTATTTTCATGATCACGTGATCATCTTCAAGTTTGCTACGCGGGCATCACTTTTCGGCCCTTTTCGAGGTTTTATCGTGAGTAGCTATCTTTTACGTGTTTGGTCCAGTGGCAGGCTGCTCTGCCTACTTTTATGCAGCTACTTCTGTCAATCTCAACCTATAGCTACTGTAAAAACAAGAGGTACAAGGGAGTACTTCTGCTCCCCGCCAACTTCCGCTGTGGCTTCAAGTTTCTCCGAGGTTCCTCTAGCTCACGTGCTGATCACGTGGCTCCGCCCCTGCCCCGGCGGAAAGTCGGCGGACTCCGCTGGCAGGGCGAAAGGGCGAGCCAGGACGAGCCAGGGAGTCACTTTGCGGCGTCAGAAGGGGAGAACGGGAAGGGCACGACTTAGCCGTGGTGGCCAGCCGGGGTTTACGCACACTCCGACCTCATCCCTCCATCCCTCCACCTGCTGTCCCTCGTTGCTTTTTCTGCGTGCGTCGGCCTCGTCGAGCGTTAGGCTGATACAGGATACAGCGGGCGCTCTCCTCTTTTCTGCCGTTCCTCCCCTACTTCCACCCGTTCTGCCGCCTGTTACCTGCTTCCTCTCCTCCTCCTCTCTTCCTCTTCTTCCTCTTCTTCTCTACTTCTTCCTCTCGTCGACATCTTCTCCTGTCACCCGCGCCTCCTCTCCGCTGTCATGACCATCGGCACACAACAGGTAGCGTAGTTATCATGGACTCCAAACGCCCTCGGTCGCCCGGCAGCGGCAGCGTCGATTACCCAGCAAAACTGCCTAAAACGGCCCATCACCAGCACCAGGCCCAGCACCAGCACCAGCATCTCCAGATCAACTACCTCGCCCGCCAGTACTCCGACACCCTCCCTCTAGTCTCCACGGACGACACCTTACCCGCCATACTCCGCTGGATAGGCGAGTACGACGGCGTCCTGCACCGCCACGAGTCCATCGCCGGAAACCTGGGTGCTTGTCCTCTCGGCCCCATACTCGTCAAGCGCTTCGAGCGACTCTTCGATGGGCCTCCGCGAGTCCTCAAGACCTCCTCTAATGGCAACGACAGCGGCAAAGAGAGCACCGTCTCCTGGCTCGATGTCGTCGAGTTTGCGAAGGAGAGCCCGGAGCAATTCACCCTCGAAAAGACCCGTACCGGATCCCGCGTCTGCCAGCTAGACATCAAGCATGCCAGAGTCGAGATCTCCGAGGAGGATTACGTCCTCATTGCCTCGGGCATGCCGCAGAAGATGATCCCACCGCAGCCTATCAGCGAAGACGAAGAGAAGGAGCTCGGTGCTCTGGAAATTCTGGAGAAGAACCTCGTCTATATCATCCAGCTGGCCGATCAAGGTATGCTCTCTCTCTCTTTCGCTCTTGACAGGTCGTGGGCAGCTTTGATTAACGGTGTATAGTATCGGCGCGTGCTCGGCAGCTCAACCATCGGTTAAAGAACCGTCGCAACGCCATAGTTTCTCGGCGTGAAAATGATGCCAGCCTTGCTCAATCGCAGTCGCAATCACAAACCCGAGCCATCAGTCCCTGGAAGGATACCAACACTCCTAACGGACATGGACAATCCCGCGCTACCTCGCCACCCGGTTTCGTGGCCGTCAACTCTCGTCAGGAGCAACACCAGCCCCATCACGATGATCCAGCCCAATTCGCCTTCTCCCAACCCATATCAGACAACGTCACCATAATTAATGGCACCTCCATCAAGGGTGCGTCCCCAAGTACCCGCGCTGAACTCATGAAGAAGTTCTTCACCACATCCGACAGACGGATGCATCAACATCATCAGCAACAGCAACAGCATGCCGAGCATGCCGATGCATCAGACTACCAACCACCATCATACACCGGGCAAGGCACCTCGCCTATCCCTCCAGTCCCCATCCCGAGTACCCCGTCCTCCCTGCTCCCACATCCGAAACCCACACCATCACACGATCGCGATGACACGGCTCCCTTCAAAACAGCCATGGTAGCTCGCATGGAAGACTTGGCGAGGGGAGAGCGTATTCTACCTCCTTGTGACAGATGTAGGAGGTTGAACATGCACTGTCTCAAGAACCTAACGGCTTGTATGGGCTGTACAAAGAAACACGCCAAATGCTCATGGCGGGATGTTAGGGCAGAGGAGCTGCATCAGATACGTGCCGCAAGCCAGGAGACTGGTACTGGCAGAGACAAAGACAGGGATGCCAGTGAAGATGCATCTGTGTCTGTATCTGTATCTGTCTCTGTGCCAGAAGATAGGGGTGGCAGTCCCGCCCATATCACTGCTAATGGAAGCAACAGCAGCAGGAATAACAGCAACAGAACCAATCAGAACCATGACAGGAGTGTTAATAGCAGACTAGATGATGACTCTAGTGATGTCCTGGCTCAGGCTATCATGGACACATTTGACCATCATCGACAACGGACTGCTGAGAGGGAGAGAGGGCAGCAGCAGCGAGAGAGGGAGCAAGATAGAGAGAGAGAAAGAGAACGAGAAAAAGACAGGGAGAGAGACAGAGAGCGAGAGAGGGAAAGAGATAGAGGAACCGGTCATGTCGTTGAGGCTCGCTGAAGTATGATATAAGCTGAAGATATTATACACTGACCCAACCTGAGAGACCACGGCTTCATCTGTCTATCTCTATCTCTCTACCTATGGCCTGAACCTACTTTTTACTGTTATTTGTCTACTTTTCAGCGGGAGCGTTATGATGGATGATTATCTGGTTTCTTCTCTATTATCAGACTCCCTGTGCATACATCTTCTTCTCTACTCTTTTCTTCTCCTCTATTCTCCCTTTTTATGTATGAATTATGACTAGATCTTACTACTTCTACTTCTCCGTACCAAGTACTTCTAGTAGTACATGAAGGATCCTTGTTCCAGTCTTCTTTGATCAGTAAACATTGCGGGGCAGGCTATCTCCATCTACATCGTACATATACAGCTGTCCTTTCATATACTACATACCCATCCATAGCTCATCAACAACAATTATATATACCATAACAGATCATACAGCTGAAAAAAATGACCGACCTCTCCGTTGACAACATCACCCAACATGCCATCACCATCAACTCGCAGTGCCCTGACCCCCGAACCCGCTACCTCCTCGAGCGTCTCACCACTCATCTCCATGACTTCGCCCGTGAAACAAGGCTGAGTACGGCCGAATGGTCGCAGGCCATCAACTTCCTCACAGAAACAGGCAAAACATGCACGGAAGTTCGACAGGAATTCATCCTGCTATCGGATATCCTTGGTCTGTCGGCGTTGGTCGACTCTATAGACCATCCCAAGCCACCAGGAGCTACGCAGGGGACGGTTCTAGGACCGTTTCACACGCATGATGCCGCAACGCTAGAAGCGGGAGCAAAACTATCATATGATGAAGCTGGAGAGGAATTGTTTGTTCTATGTACTGTGCATGATACCCAAGGTAGGGCTTTGGCTGAGACTCGGGTGGATGTTTGGGAGACGGATTCCTCTGGCCGGTATGACGTGCAGTATAGCGAGAGGGTGAAGCCAGATGGACGAGGAGTGATGCATACTGATGCGCAGGGTGCGTTCTGGTTCAAGGCTATCAAGCCAGTATCATATCCTATACCGGTTGATGGGACTGTAGGAAAGCTGTTGGCCCTGATGGGACGGCATTCATGGAGACCAGCGCACATGCATTTCATGCTAGCCAGGGAGGGATATGATACATTGATAACGTACGTTGCTTTTACTATTTTTGCTTCACTTGCTTGTTTGTTGCGGTGATGTAGCTGACGTGGACTCCGTACTAGATCGCTATATCCGCGCGGTGACAAGTATGAGACCTCCGACGCTGTGTTTGGCGTCAAGAGTTCGTTGGTGGTGGATTATGGTGCTGTCGACGAGGAGATGGCGAAGAAATATCATGTCCCTGTCGGCACTGCGTTGTTAGTCTATGATTTTGTTCTTGCTTCGGAGCAGGAGGCGAGAGAGCTGCAAGATCGTAATTCACTCGATGCCTTGAAGAAGCTGGGCCGTAACTTCAAGATCGTCAATGGCTTGCCTGTTCCTGAAGTTGATTGATGTTACTTAGCAAGAGGCACAATGCATGCCATTCACCAAGGCGGATAAAGGGCAATGGACTTGAATAAGGAAAAACCGACACGCCACATTTCATTAATTTATAACAAGCTGCATTTATCGAGTGAGTATCAGAATCATCGGCCCAGGGAGAAAAAGAAGAGGGTACAGAGAGGCCAGGCCAGCTTTTAGAACAAAAAAAAGACATAAGACAAGCGTGAATCCTTCCCCCCTGTCCTCCGGCCCATAACCCATTTTCTTCTCTTTCTCGATGGATGGTATTTATCTGTTAGTCAGTTGAATCGACTGGTATGTGTGTTGTCAATCAACGGTAACGTAACATCTTTGTTTTCTCCTTTTTTTTTGTTCTTTCCGATTTCCGATTCTTTTCTCGTTTATGCGGCAGTGATGGCTTGGCGGGTTCGGATACCACGTTGTCTCGACGAAAGTCTGGCGCCGGATAGATCGGTGCTCTTCTGGACAACCTCCTCGCCTTCGGTCAGGATCATCTCAACGTGGCATGGGCAGGACATGTATGGGTTGATCTATGACATGTTAGCAACCGGCAACGGACATTATATGAGCAATGAAATACGTACACGACCGTGGGCACGGTAAGTTCGTCGTCTTTGCTTGGGAGCCTGGTTAACCTGGATGTGCTTGACGATGAGGTTTCCGGTGTCGAGTCCCTTGGTGTCGGCGTTGGCTTCGGCGTTCTTGAGCAGAGAGAGGAGGAACTCCGCGGACTTGACGGGCCAGCGGGCCCTGCTAACACCGAATTGCTTGCCTATCAAAATATTCATCGTCAGTCCACCGCATCCAACCATCGTCAATTAAGGCCCTCTCAATATTCTTCAAGGCCCTGTATTCTTCCTCGTCCTCAATTCAATTCGACAATTCGACGATCCGACAATCCGATGAAATTTGGGTCCCCGCCACGCGCGCAATAAGTAGATTCCCTCTCCCAGTCGCATCCAAACAATCGAGAGTATCACTCACCCTGAGCAGTTCGTCCAGTGCCACCGGCATATCTTCGCATGGGAACAGCCTCCCTGTGTCCAATTACATTCTCGAGGAAAGTCACAGCACGCTGCAACTTGAGTCCGTTGATGGCCTGGGCGGTCTCACGGGTGTTCTTGAAGCTGGTTCGAAGATAGGAGCCGCGAGCGCTGGCGCTCTTTGCGCTGGAGGCGGGCTGGATAGCGTAACGGACCTATAAACATTGATATCCGTCAGTTCGTGGCCATTCAACATGGGGTTTCCGCGGTTCTTCTTCTGCGGGAAGGGAGACAGCCTGATCCAGTGGACATACCATCTTGACGAAGGGCGGTTGGAGGGCGAAGGGTGGTTGTTGATGGTCCCGTTGGTTGTCGTCGTGATGCTTCTGCGTTTTTTCGACTTTGGCGTGGTGAAAGCACGCGGGCGGTAAGCGAGCTTAGTCAGACTTCCGCCGCTTAGCCCTAATCTTTCTGCTTATGGACTAGTTTCAAGCTTAAGCTTAACTTCACCTTAGTCAGCACCCGGCTTAGTAATATATTGGTAATATCTTAGTCATGATATTAGGTAATCATTTACTAAGCGGATCCCTGATCTATACGGAAAAGGAACAAACAACGACGTCAGAGCAAGAGGAGGAAATCGTGGAAAACCATTAAGCATTATCAAGTGTGAAGGGCAATTTCAGTACACCATTTGCTAACGTTCAATAAAGCCGCCTTGCCGTCACCGCCGCTTGACTACCAATCGCACCAATCTATTCAGTAATAACCATGCCAAGCTCACCAGAATTGAAACCCTTTGTTTTTCGCATCAAAAGGAAAAAAGTGAAACCCGCGTTCCTATTCCCCGTGTACAAAACCATTTCCCCGGCCTAGATGTGTCCATGGAGTACGTGTCCGTTGTGACCGTGACGTCCGTTCTTTCGCCCGTTGCAGGCGCTGATGCCATTGCCGTTGCAGCCGATGCCATTACCGTTGGTCGCGCCGGCCTGGTTTTTCCATGCATCTCGCTGCTCCGGAATGGGCGTGATCAATTTCCCCGATTGGAGACACGATCGCACATTCTCGAGGACCAACACCTCCATTTCCTTCTGCGTCTCAAGGGTAGCTGTTCCGATATGTGGAAGCAACATGACCTTGGGGTTGTCCAGCAGCTCTGGTTCGATGGACGGCTCGTTCTCGTATACATCGAGACCAGCCGAGCTCACCTGCATTCGCGACGCAGCTGTTAGCAAAATTTAGGTTCGTCATTGGCTTAAGACTGGCTGGATTGCAATCTTTTTTTTCCTTTTTTGTTTTCTCTCTTTCTCGGGGTTCCTTACCTTGCCAGACTTCAATGCGGAGACGAGTGCTTTTTCGTCAATCAGCGCCCCTCGAGCGGTGTTCACGATCACTGCACCGTCCTTCATCTTTGCAAATTCTGGATAAGAGATGATGTGGCGGGTTGATGCATTAAGTGAGAGGTTGAGGCTGAGCACGTCCGATTGGGCGAGTAGCTGGTCGAACGAGACGTAAGTTGCATCTTCTTCGAGCTCTGGAGCAAGTCGATTTCGATTGTGGTAGATGACCCTCATTCCGAACACCTTTGCCCGACGTGACACTTCCTATGCATTGCAAAACAGACCGTCTTTGTCAGTCCATCCCTGAACTGAGATGTTTAATTTCCAACAAAGGGGTGGTAAAAGAAAACGAGATCGCATACCCTGCCAATGCCGCCCATTCCTAGGATACCAAGGACCTTCATTTGGGGATCATGTCCTAGTTTAGCCTTCCCTTGCCATTGTCCTGTAAGGAGTTAGCAGGGGCAGCTTGGGCATGGGGCGGGTGGTTCGCTACTTACCAGCTCTAATCGCAGTTATCGGAACATATGCCTGTCTTAAGGCGCCAATCATCAAGAAGATTGTGATATCTGCAGTGGCGTTGTTGACGGCGACTGGTGTATTCGACACGCGGATTCCTGTGCCGATTAGCTAGGGTCCAAAAAGTATACATACGCCTTGAAATGATATTCTAACAAAGAAAAAAGATGGGGCTGCCTAGCTAACCTTTCTCTGAGCAGGCTGTGGTATCAATGTTGTCATATCCAGCTCCATTATGACAAATGTATGCTAGCGACTTGGGGAGAACCTTTACAAGTTCAGCATCAAAGGGGCCAGTAATCTGCAAGGGCCAGAAGCCAGTATTAGCGACGAGCAAAGTCTTTTTTGCGTTTCCCCTGGTGAGCTCCCTTATACTACTATGGAGCAGGATCCGAGGCAAAGGGAAGGGGATATGTGGGTGATACACACAGCCGTTGACACGTTGGACCGGTAGATCGCCACCACATCATCATATCTACCATTTTTGCAGTTGGCTAGGAACTCTGGTCTAGTTCCCGTGGGAAACTCCTGCGTTGAGATGTCAGTGATTATGTGCTTGGCCAGACGTCATCCTCTTCGCGAGGTCGAGATAGGGCACACAGATATCCAAGATATTGGTGCATCAGGATATGACGATTTTGGGGTACTTTTTTTTTTTTTTTTTAACAGACCTTGAGTGTGGCCAAAGGTGCAAACTCCTCCCACTCTTTTCGGCAATGCACTATGTCTCCGATCAACAGTATTGACTGCGCTGACGGCATGATCCAGGCCTGGCAGACAGAAAATAGCTGCGATACACAGGGCTGGTCAGAGGTGAGGTGGACAGGTGATGGAAGATCGAGCGCTGAAGTGAGATCGAATAGCTAAATAAGGAAGGCTAATGCAGGCTGCAGCTGGTCTGGGGCAGATTAGCAAGGGGGAAAAGCTGAACCGATGCGAGATTATGTAGGTCCGGAGGTTTGGGGAACGTCGACAAGGACGAGGGTATAGAAGAGGGAGTGTAGCACTGGATCGCGATTCGCGGAGATTTATATGCACATGCGAAGCTATTCAAGGGGGGGATTTGGTATACCCCTTCACCGGGCAATGAGGCGATGAAGTAGTAGACCGGGAATATCAGGGAGGAGGGTGAAGTGACAGTTTCGTAGTTGTATGTAGATGTACAAAGCAGACGGGCCAGTGAGTCGACAAGGAAGAGACGGCGGTGAAGAAGACAGAGGAAACAGAAATCTGCGCCATCTAGGCCGGCGTCCTTCACTTTCTCTTCTTTATCTCTTACCTGGCTTTCTTTGCCTTCAAGGGGGGTGTCTCCGCGTATCCCTGGAACTTATATCTTGCCTCCCCGTCTAGCTCTCCTTTCCTTTCTTTCTTTTTCACAGCTGGACAAGGCTCTGGCACCCCGTTTCTTTTTTCCCCGTCTTGTTTTTTCTCGTTTTCACTCTCCGTCCGGGAAGCAGGCCAAGGATATTTGAAATCGTGAGAAACCTGAACCCGAGAGCCGCATGGTGAAGCGCGGCAGGGGAAAGGAGATAGAAGCCCGAGTCCCCAGCGCGGGATAAACCCAACTCCCAGCGGGATGATGCTATTGATGCTGTCTCCCAATTATACGCCAGAAGTCGATATCCACAGGTCTCCAGTTTACATCTATCGGCTAGTTAGTGGGCTGAGATTGGTCGCCGGGAGGCTATCACAACGGCGAGCAGGCCGGAAACTGCAAATAGATACGCAGACGGACACTCAGATAGACACGCAGAGAGACATGCAGACAGACGGACGGACAGCACGATTATTCTGGAGTTCCATGCATACGGACGCCCGGCAGCATGGCGTGGACGCGGTATCTACATTTGGGAACAGGCCTGAACCGCCGTCGATATCGACACATCGGCTATACTCCGTGTAGCAGCTCTATACAACCAGGGCGCGCGCCCACACGACACATATACGGCATACGATGCATACAGCACATGTTTACGACCACATATAAGACGACACAGGGCGCCATGAGAGGATGAAACGACATGAAGCACACCCTTCCAACGCCAAAACCCGTATATCTTCTGGGATGGCCTGGCCGAACCTGCTCGGGTCTTGTTTTCGCCTCTCGTTGCTTTTTTGTTTAGCCTCTTGATCAGACGTTGCATATTAACGCCGTCTGTTGCACAGCGTCTCATGCCCCGGAGGAGAACTGCGCATGCGGAAAAACAGCCGGCTGGACCTCACACCAACACTGCAGCCTCTATTGCTATAAACGGAGCATGCTGCCAAGTTAGGCCTCCGGATATTGAACATCGGGGAAAGTCTGTCGGCAACGGACCAGACGTGCCAGCGGACGGAATGCAAAAAACTCAGTTGCGCTGGCTGGCCCGGATGGCGCCCCGATGCAGGGGCCCCCTGGGGCGTCATGGGATGGGGATGAGATCGATCATGGACTCCCAGCTTGCCGTTTGGTAGCTGTTTACGGAGGATAAGTTACAAGGTCCAGGAATTCGGCGATTGATATGAACGATCGGTATATACATCCAACGGCGGGCGATTCAGCGCGGTGGCTGGCCGGGACACCCCTACCATTAATCTCTCACAAAGGAGTGCCATCCAACTTCCAACCCTTATCATCTTCGTCATCCTCTCACCCCCCCTTGACCATTCCATACAGACACCGCCGTTCAGCTGGCTGGAGAGCATGGCGTCGACCGTCTCGCAGACCCGGGCTCTCGTGCTTCATGGCGCACAGAATCTTCGGCTAGTCCGTAATACCAGTTCTTAAACCCAACTGCCAAGTATTATATCTCGTTCTAACATCTCCTGGTCAAAAGGAAACTCGTCCAATAACTTCGCCGGCAGAGGATGAAGTCCAAGTTATGGTTCGAGCCACCGGTCTCTGCGGCTCAGACCTACATTACTATCACCATGGCAGGAATGGCAACTTCGTCCTCCGCCAGCCATTAGTTCTCGGACATGAATCTATCGGCGAGGTTGTTGGCGTTGGGCCGCCATCGAAGACATCATCGTCATCATCTACTTCGCCCGGCTCGCCAGCACATAGCTTCAAGATAGGAGACCGCGTGGCTCTCGAAGTTGGCCTACCGTGTCGGAAATGCCTCCATTGCCGTCAGGACAGGTACAACATTTGCCGGTCCCTAAAATTTCGCAGTTCTGCGGCTGTATTTCCTCATCTTGACGGCACCCTGATGGATGTCACCAACCATCCGGCCGCAATGTGCCATAGACTGCCTCCGTCCATCTCGGACGTACAGGGTGCTCTACTCGAGCCCCTCGCCGTCTGTCTACATGCGATTAATCGCTCTAACCCACCAACAGCAGAGGACGTAGCACTTGCTAAGTCCGTCGCGGCTGCGAACGGTGGCGCCGCCTCAGACAGCGAGACTGCAGCCCTGATATTCGGCGCGGGCGCCATTGGTCTGCTTCTTGCATCTGCTCTGGCTATCACGCAGCATTTCACGACGATCGTAGTGGCAGATATCAACTCCGCACGATTAGAAATCGCCTCGTCACTCCCCTTTTCCTGCATAAAAACGTTCAAACTAGCGAGCCCCAACTGCACACCTACATCCACCCCTGCAGAGGACGATGTAACTGCAAAAGGCTTCGCTTCGGCTCTTCGAGAGGAATTTGGGCTCGTCCACGGCTACTCTCGCGTGTTCGACTGCACAGGCGTCCCGAACTGTGTACGTGCAGGCATCTATGCTTCTTCAGCTGGTGGCGCAGTGATACAGATCGGTATGGGAGGCCCAAGCCTCCCGACCATCCCGTTGTCTGCGTCCGCGCTGCGAGAGGTTGACCTGATCGGCGTCTTTCGCTACGATGGTCGATGTTACCCGGCAGCCATCGAGCTGGCCTCTTCCCACGTTTTTGACGTTGTGGCGGCGAAAGTCGTTACGCATGCCGTCGAGCTCGGCGAGGATGGAGGGCAAAGGGCGTTTAAGCTGGCTGCCTCTGATAAAGACGACGATGGTAAGACGGTAGTTAAGGTTGTTGTTATGAGTGGAAAGATGGATAGTCATGACTCGGTATAATACACCAAGGCGTACATCTAAACAATCGTGGGGATCGCTCTAAATCACAATAGATATACAGGGGGCAACAAAAGACTATTATACCTGCAAGATGCGTAGATATTGCAAGGGCAGGGGAGAGAAAAAAAAGACATAAACAAAGAAAAATCTACTTGAGCCCTCCGGCTATTAGGATACTCTGTCCAGTCAAATAACCGGTCGTCACACACATTTCTACAACATTAGCAACCTCGTCTGGCGTCCCCAGCCGGCCCAACGGGATAGTTTCAGCAACTTCTGGAATCGCACGAGCATCTGGAATCATCCCGGTTTCTCCAATCATAGCCGGAGCAACGTCGTTTACGCTGATATTAAACTCTGCCAGCCGAGTAGCTAGGTTCTTCATCATACCAGTCATGCCTCCCTTTGAGGCAGCGTAATCTACCACGTCATTCCAAGGTTAGTGAAATGTCGGCAATACGGAAGGGTAACATATAACATACGACACCCATTAATTCCTCCCCCAGAAGCTGAAATCGAGGACATGAGCACGATCCTCCCCCACCGTTGCGCCTTCATATGCTCAACCACACCTTTGACTAAGATGAAAGAAGCCCGTAGATTGACGTTAAGAGTGTAATCGAATTCTTCCAGTGAGATGTCCCATATCTGAGGTATCTTTACACCGTATCCCGCGTTCGAGACCAGGATGTCCGGTACGCGCTCGTTATGTTCAGCCCTGACTTCGAGGAATAGCCGATCGATTTGCTGAGACTGGCCAACGTCGACCTGGTGGATGGATATGTGGAGTGTCGACGATGATAGGGATTCCCTGATTGACTTGACAATGGCATCTATCCCATCCGCGTTTTTAGAGTATGTCAGTGCCAGATGGACGCCCCGAGCAGCGAGTTTGTGAGCACACGCTGCACCGATCCTGCGAACATTATCAACATCTAACCCGATTCTTTTTCGTCCTGGGAGAGGGGGAGCAGCAGCTTACCCACTCGAAGCACCGGTGATCAGCGCCAGTCGTCCCTCGATATCGTTCAGCGAAGCCATCCTGTCGTCTTCCTTGCATCAGGGCGTGAAATGGAGAAGTCTATGTGTTTATGTCCGCGCGGGATGATTGGGATCGGTAAAAACTCCGGCTAAAAACTCCGGCCCCGCCCGCTGCGGGGGGAACTCCTGGGCTCCTGCGTAAACTGCCGATGACCGCGCCAGCATAAGAAAAAGGAATATTCAGAGAGTATAAACATCGGATAAACATCAATCATTGGAGAGGAGGCTGTACGGTGTCTTTAACAGTGATCGCACTCAAGGAATAGCAAAGCGGTCAGTGGACAGGGCGACTAAAAGAGGAGGATCTCGTTCACATTCATCCAGCCCGGATACAGCTGTGTTCCATTATCATGATTCTCAGCTTGTAATCCCGTCTCTAGGCCTTGAAAACATTCTAATCCGAGCATGCTAGGGCCCGTAGCCACTCCATCGCCAGATACAAAGTCGCCTACAGCTTCCAGGTCGAGCCAGGAGAAGTCGTTCGCGGGACTGAACTGCATATACGTCGGTTCCGGCAGGCATGTCGTTGAGCCGGTTTGGGGCATATCGTTGGGTGGTTGGGGTTCTTGCACGGCATTGATATCGGTGCTGTTGATGTTGTTGCTGTTGCTGATGCCGGCATTTGGGTTGGCGTTGGCGTTGGGATTGGTGCTGGGACTGGCGTAGATGTTGTTGTTGTTACTGGTGGTGGTGATGCCATTTGTTGTAGGGGGGAGGGTAGAGCTGGAGAGGCCCTTTGGCTTCCAGAGCAGCTCTAGCAGTCGCGCGTAGCGGTAGCCAACGTCGTCGGGGCTCGCGCTGGCCCTGCGTAGTCGGTTTATCGTTTCGTTGATCATCTTGCGGATGACGGATTCTTCTGCCTGGTTCATGACGCCGAACGAACGTGCCTGGCACGTATTAGTGGGCGACTTTGACAATGGATGAAAGGGAAGAACGGCAAACCTTGTACAGAAAGACTGCAGCATATATGCTATATCTATAGACGGAGATTATCAGCCATATGCCGTGTTTACACTAGCAGCACACTTACAGGTAGAACCTCAGGGGCATGAAATGTAGATGTCTTTCCGGGTCGACGTAGTTGTTCAAGATGGTTAGATACGACTTGGCTGCCTCGACCGATTCATAGATGAACCGCGAATCCTGCATGGAGGCTACATTGCTAAATGCAGCGCGAAGGTGGTCTCGCTGGCTGACAGAATCACTCTTCGGTTTGTGCAGGGCCTGCGAGATGGCAGCCTGGAAGGCAAAGGCGTTTGTATACAGCTTCAGATACTCATAGGACATCTGAAGCATCACATTCAGATTTGACGAGCCTATACGTGGTCAGTCCATCGACAAATAAGTACCAACGACTAAGTCAGAGAAGAGACAAGAACTTACACTCCATGTTACCCCATAGACGGTACCATCGAGAAATGGCGACTCTGAAATCATCGACGTACTTTACGTAGTCGCCCATGAGCATCATATTCCTGCTCGTGCGCATGCCGGAATACAGCACATCATGGACATTCCCATATAGCTGCGTCAGGTCGAGGATGGCCTGGAAGATCTTCGAGTAGTCCTCATCCTGCGGGTTCTGAGGTTGCAACGACGGGAAATCATGGCTGACCAGACCCGTCATGGGCCCGGGGCCTCTCGACCAAAACGCCCGCCCTATCCGCACGGATATCAGCCTGTCGGACACATAGCAGCTCGCCCAGGCCAGCCGTTTGCGGTTATCGGTCTGGCTGTCACCGGTCGTTGCATCGTTGCGGAAGGACGTCTTATCCAGACCGAGGAAGTAGCCCGACCTCAAGGCGATACCGACGTGCATCCACGCAGCCCGGTCCTCCTCGCCGCGGCCTACGGGCTCGATAGACGGACGGAGGCCCTGCGGCTCCCACTCGGCCAGTATGAGCAGAGCTTCGACCGCCTCGACGTCGCAGTCGGTGCCGGCCGCGACGCCGGAGATCAGCTCGAGCATGTACTTTGAGCATCCCTGGTGGACCTGGGGCATGCTGGTCAGGTCCTTGGAGGCAACGGTGAGCACGGCCGTGAGCAGATGTTTCTCCTCCGAGGCGAACTGGTCGAGGGAGGCCCGGTTGAAGTACTTGCGCGGCACCAGGGGGAAATAGCAGTGATAGTTCTCGGCGTAGCGGGTGATGAGCTGCATGACGAAGCCGTGTGTCAACAGCTCGTTCTCGACCAGACGGTAGGCGAAGATGCCCTTCTTGACGCCGTGTCCGTTGGTGCGTATCAAGCCATCGGCGCCGTCTTCCACCTTGGGCACATCCGTACCTCGCTTGGCCACGTTCGTGAGCCGCTGCCACGCATCCGACGGGTTCCTGGGGACGCCCGAGTCGATCGCGCTCTCTCCGGTCGAGTCGTCGTCGTCGTCGTCGTCCTCGATGGAGGTGTCCCGGGGCCCCTCGGACGGGCCGTAGCGGTCGTGGTCGTTGTAGGGGGAGATGTATCTGCTGTGGTTGTAGTTCTCGGTGCTCTGCGGGCTGATGGACGTTTCCAGCGGCCTGGTCGGCGGTGGCACGGCGTTGGACGAGCCCAATGCGCTGGCAGAGGCCTTGATCGTGTTCCTGATGCGTTTCCCGCCGCGGTTGGAGGTTCCCAGCTCGCACTTGAGGTTCTCGTTGTGGCAGCGCTTGCACGGCGGCTGGCCGGGACGCCCGTTGCTGTCTCTGCAGGCTGTTAGCGATGTCCTCGTCGTAGGAGACAGTATACTTACAGGTCGCACTTGGACTTGCGACGGCGACAGTTGTAGCAGGCTCTCGAGACGCGCTTCATCTGGCCGTTCGACGTCCGCTTCATCTTCGGGCTGCCATTCTTGTAGGCCTCCGATTCTTCAGACTGCATCTTCTCTCTCTTGTCCTCTCGTCCTTCTCTCTTCCTCACTTCTGCTCTCGCCTCTCGTCTCTTATCCTCTCCTCTCCTCTGGGGTCGTCGGTGTCTTATTCTACCGCGTATCAGATCTGACCGGTTCAAGCCACGTCCATCACTCTGCTTCTAGATGCAATATCTCCTGCTGTGATCCGACTTGGCATGGCTGGCGCGGAGGACATGACGGAAGACGAAGAGAAGAAGAGACGAAGAGAAGACGAGAAGGACGAGATGGGCGACCAGGTCAGCCTGCAGCAGCATGGATAAGCCGAAATATTGGGCTTGTTTGATGCCCGCTTCCCCACGCCGGCGCATGTCAGGATGTGAGTATAGTATCTCCCGTATGCATATGTATACTTACGCATGTAACTAGCTCAGCATGGCTTGACCAGTGGACGGCCAGGGGGTTTGCGAATGCGACAGGTCAACTATCTACACGGCTCTCCGTCTGTCTGTTCGCATGCACCGGCGAGAGAGAGACGCCCGGTGGTGACAAGTGGTTCTTGTGAAGCATCGCCATGCATCGATGCACCCTACGTCCAGCACTATCATGCCAGGCTCGACGGCCAGACGAGATCATGGGAAGATGAGATGCTTGCTTTTTACGCTTGGCTGCCGTTTATTTGGCAATAGTCTTTGGGGCTTCTGATCGCTCTCTTTTTCGTTGCTTTTTGCCCTGGTTCTTTCATCCAGCACATACCTCCTGCTAGGCAAACAAGATGGGAACGATACGATGCCCGATACGAGGATGATGAGGTCCTGTTGGACGCGAGATGCGGTTATCCGCCAGCCATCCGCTAGACGAGCCTCCGTTTGTTCTCTATACCCGGGATGTCGAGACCCTCCGGATGCCGATACCCTGATATCCAATGGATGCTGACACCAGCCTGAACCGCAATCTATACCTGTCAACATGTCTAGTGCGAGAGCTCGCGGATCTACGAGATGGTATGATATCTCAACTGTGCGTGCGTTGCGAGTAGCTCGTCCCAATAGCGCCGGGGCGATCGCCCGACTTGACAATGCTCTGATTCCAACATGATAATACTGCATCCCGGTCTATTGGCGAACTGACCGGGGGATATTATGTGCCCTTCCGTACCGCCGTCGGGGGGAGGGTATATATACTTTACTCTTCATGCACGCACGGCTGCGCTCGCGATATCGACTTACTCCATGCGGAACGGTGGTCTGGTAGCTGGAATCAAGAACCGATCTTCGCGTCTGATATGATAGCTGGGCCCCTCTCGACCAAACCCCTAGCGGCATCCCCGAGTCGAATCGTCTCTTGCATGCCACTCCCTGGGGCCGGGTTGTCTGCGTCTAGCGACTGTCACGCAGGTCACATCATTACCCCGTGTGTAAACTGCCGTACGCAATCTTCTGCAGGGCGTTAAACAAGTCACCGTGCAAACAGAGGCAGAGGGAGCTGGTCACTGGTGGCTGATCGTGCGACAGGCCTCGATCCTTTATCAAGCAGTACTCTGTGCCATGTACGAAGCACAAGCAGTGGGCAGTTGAGGATATCATTCATTCATTCATCCTGCAGTGCCCGATTGTCTTGCAGGCCGACTCGTATGCTCATCCTCGCGATGACTTTGCCGATACATTGTACTCTGGCTGTACCCTGTTTCCTGCTTGTCGTACCATCATGATCCAGCCTTTGTATGACAGACCAGCGGCCTTCAGCAGTGTACCATCGATGTACTAGCGAGAAAAGGCTAGAGGGAAGAAACTAGAGGGAAGAGGGGGAGCGTCTCGGCCAGTTGCATCGGCCAGTTGCATGCGTGAATACGGGTCTTCCATATTATTTATTCTTCATCTATTCAGCCCTCAAACGGCCGGGGAGACAGCGGATAAAGGAATCACTCGATACGATCTGCGTGAAACCGGGTATTCACATCATAGTCTCCTGTCTGCGCAGATGATCAATATTGGTTCTTTGACGGCCTTAACAAGTCTCTCCTAACCACTCTCCTAGCCTGATAAGCGCTATGGAACTGTCCTGCTCTCCGCCTATATCAGCGTCTTCTTCGGCATCCTCCCTGTCGTCTGTCGTGCTCGCGCTCTGTATAACTGGAAGTCCCTAGGCGACGTGCCACCGGTTAACGCATCAGTGAAACCAGAACAGATACCCCGCCATGAACTCGGGCATTCTGCGTGTTCTGGATAGCCGTTGCTGGATAGACAACCGTTTGTCTATCTACGAGCATCTCAGCCATTGAGCCGGCGACGCCGCAGCAACCGCAGCAAACATCCGACTCACCATACTCCTTCTCGTATCTTCATACCCCCATCCTCATCCTCATCTTTATAATATATTTATATTTATATCTCGTACATCCTTATGATGACTAATGACATAAGGTTGATCCCGGGCCCAAAGAGGAAATTCGGTAAAGTCTCGGGTATAAAAGACAAACAAGTAGAAGAAAAAGAAAAAGAAATAAATAAACAAGCAAACATCTGGATATAATAGACTGTCTCTCACTGCATAGTAGTGGCCGACAGCAGACATGGCGACAAACGTACTCTCCCTCTTCTCGCTGCAGGGCAAGACGGCCCTGGTAACGGGTGGAAGCAGGGGTATCGGGCGGGCGATGGCTGTCGGCCTTGCAGAAGCGGGTGCAGACATCATACTTGTTCAAGTACGTTGCCTATATCATACGAAATAGTTCATAGTTCGGTATCATGCTTATGTCTGCAGAGAGACGCCGGCAACACGCAGACGCGAGACGAGATACTGCAGAAAACAGACGGCAGGGTCAAGGTGACCATCTACATCGCTGAGCTGGCCGACAGGGCTGCGGTAAAGGAGATCGTCCCCGACGTGGTCAGGGATGGCACGGCGGTTGATATCCTGCTGAACTGTGCAGGCATTCAGCGGAGACACCCGAGCGAGGCGTTTCCGGACGAGGACTGGGATGAGGTTTGCCCCCGACTTGACATTGAGTATGACTTTACTGACTGAAGACAAGGTGCTCCAAGTGAATCTGTCGGCGGTCTTCACGCTCTGCCGTGAATTCGGGGCCTATCTGCTCTCCCGCAACGCCCCAGGCTCCATCATCAACATGGGCTCTCTGCTCTCGTACCAAGGAGGCATCACCGTCCCCGCCTACGCAGCGTCCAAGGGCGGCATCGCCCAACTGACCAAGGCGCTGTCGAACGAGTGGGCGGCCAGGGGGGTCCGCGTCAACGCTATCGCGCCAGGATACATCGACACAGACATGAATACGGCGCTGATCAATGATCCAGCGCGGAGCGAGGCGATTTCGGCGAGGATTCCGGCTGGCAGGTGGGGGAAGGCCGAAGACTTCAAGGGCATCGCCGTGTTCCTGGCGAGCGATGCGAGTGCGTATGTCTCGGGGGAGATGGTCAACGTCGACGGGGGGTGGATGGGCAGGTAGTTCTATATCGCCGGAGTATATATGCTATCTCTGAAGTGTGTGAAGTTTAGTCGTATCACATCTGCTCTATCATGAATAGTATCGCTCTATCATGAATAGCATCGCTCTATCATTAATAGCATCGATGATCGGTGACTCCATCCATCTTCAAGCTTCATCCTCCTGAGCGCTTCGATGTTTCATGCATCTCGTCCCGGGCTTCTCCCATCCAACCGCTCCCTGATCCGTCCAGGGGTTGAAGCTGCGTCGCCACGTCTGGCAAACGTCTTCTCCGTAGACTTTCGAGATCAAGACGCTCGACCACTGACAGCGCTGGCACCGCCGTCTGATCCCCTGCATGGCCTGACCCCCGTTTCAGCCACGGCCTGAAGCCACCAAAGAACGCCTTCAGAGACCGTCCAGCGCCTCCCGCTGTGGGTTTCGTTCAGCGCCCAAGTGGATACAGCGCATCTTGGGATGCTGAGATGTCTTCCAACCATCTGGCTGGACGGTCTGATGTCTCTGGCACGACTCGCGATGGGAGGATGCTTGGGCGGGTTCGGCCGTGGGCCTTTGACATCTCGAAGGTCTTGTTTATACAAGACGGGATGGCCCCCTTTTTCTTCCTCCTGTGTGCGACTCTGCTCCTGGGAGATCAAAGTCAGGCTGGAAGATCTTTTCTCTGAGCTGGACTCGGATACGCCTCTTGCCACTCTTTCTGTGCTGTCTATCACTGTCAATAGCCGTCTTGTTCTTTCACTCGCTCATTCACTCACTCTGCTGGCCATTCACTCACTCTGCTGGTCATTCGCTCATTCCGCCGGACAGGACAGGACAGAACACTGCTGAGCAGTTGTAAGTTCGCCTCCTTCACTTCCACCTCACTTTAGATACTGATGCCATGGATAGATCACTCTTTATACAGTCAGGACGGCTTCTTCCGCCAAACAGTCCTCCAGCCAACTTGAACATTCTTTCATTACAGAAATCTCACTCTGACGTCAACGCCTGCAGTCAAAGGCGCTTGATAAAAGCTAATAAAAGCTGATATCAACCTCGCCTTTACTATCACACTCTTTATGCACGCTTGAGAACTGCGTCTCTTTCTTCAGCCTTGATACGCCGCCGGACTCACAGATATGGACATCTACGCCCGCGAGCTGGCTGCTCCTCACTCGCAGAACACGACATATGTATCCCCCTATACTCGAGGTCTGCTCGGCGTCAGGGTCAACCTCGACCGTCTCGTTACGCTGCTGCTCTGCGTCTCCATCGGCGCAGTATGTCTCTTCATCCTGATCACCCGGTTCACCCAGATGTCGCACTCCTATCTGCGCCAGGTCACCTCGGCCACCGCGAGTCCCAACCAGCAACGCTTCTGGGGCGCAGAACAGTCGACTCTGTGGGCTGATATCAAGAACCACGTCCTCTACGCTCCCCTGGGCAGGAAACGACATAATCGCGAGTTCAAGCTGTCCGAGGCTGTCAACGTCGGCACCCTGCCCTCCAGATTCCACTCGGTGCTGCTGATCTTCTACCTCCTTAGCCAGGTAGCCTACTGCTCCGTCCTGGATTATCGTGCAAACAACAAAGCTGCGCTGGTCGCCGAGCTCAGGGGCCGGTCCGGAAACCTCGCTGTCTTGAACATGATTCCCCTTTTTGTTCTGGCCGGGAGGAATAACCCGCTCATCCCCTTGCTGCGTGTTTCCTTCGACACGTACAACCTCATCCATCGATGGCTGGGCAGGATCGTGATCATCGAGTCCGTCGTCCACACCGTTGCATGGATGATCAACGCCGTCGGTGCTGATGGATTGGAGAAGATGTGGTATGATGTCTGCCATGAACCCTTCTACATCTGGGGCTTCGTCGCGACCGTCACCATGATCTTCGTCCTCATCCAGTCTCCCTCGCCCATCAGACACGCCTTCTACGAGACATTCCTTCATCTTCACCAGCTCTTTGCACTTGTCGTCGTTGTGGGCATCTACTTTCACCTCCATATGGACAATCTCCCACAGCTGCCTTGGTTCCAGTTCATCATCGGCATCTGGGCTTTCGAACGCATCATGCGATTTGCTCGACTCGTCTACCTCAATGTCTCTCGCCGCAACGGCCTGACCCGCGTAGTCGTCAAGGCACTGCCCGGTGAAGCCAGCAGAGTCACCTTCTACCTCCCTCGCCATGCCAAAATCGCCCCCGGAAGCCATGTGTACGCCTACCTACCACGCATCTCACTCTGGATGTCTCACCCTTTTTCCGTTGCATGGGCTGAAAGCGGCTCAGGCTCGCTCCCCAAGTCTCCCAAGACAGACAAGTTCAGCGACTCCTCCAAGGCCGCCCTCAGCCGGAAGCCATCCACAATGTCCTCATCCACCGCTGCCTCGTCTCCGCGTGATCTCGAAAAGGGCCATGGTCGAAACATTGCACTTGCCGCCGACGACTCTCAGCCAACTTGCGTCTCCCTCATCATGGCCGCACGAACAGGCATGACTCGCAAACTGTACAATGCCGCCCTGGCGTCTCCAAACCTCACGCTCGAAACAACCGGGTTCATCGAGGGACCGTACTCCTCTCACCCTTCTTCGTTCGGCAGCTACGGTACCGTGGTCCTCTTCTCTGGCGGCGCCGGTATCACTCACCACCTGATGCATGTTCGTGACTTGCTCGCCGCCGCAGACGCAGGCACCATAGCCACACGCCGCGTATACCTCATCTGGTCCGTTCGCACGACCGAGCATCTTGCATGGGTCCGCGGGTTTATGGATTCTATTCTGCACATGCCCAACCGTCGAGATGTGCTCGTTACCAAACTCTTCGTCAGCAAGCCACGCAGTCAACGCGAGATCCAGAGCCCCAGCACCACCCTCCAAATGTTTCCCGGTCGATGTCGGCCCGACGTGGTGCTCGAGGAGGTGCTGTCCGACCCTGTTGGCGCCACGGGTGTGAGTGTCTGCGGTCCTGGTGCGTTTGCAGATGAAGTGCGCTCCAGCGTGAGGAAGCGGATTGGAAATGGACAAGTTATCGATTTTGTCGAGGAGGCGTTCACCTGGTGATCATTCCCGTTATAGACAAAAGATCCTTCAATTCTATTATCTAGATGTCCGCGGTTGGGTATTCTAGTTTTTGCTTCTTGTATTTAGCCCTTTTTTGATGATATCCCTTGTCTAGAGCCGGTTTTGTATGCTCGTTAGCCCAGATGACGTGAAATGACTTCAATTCAAAGAATTACCAAGTTCCAGAACAATGCATGATCCAAGTGTAAAGAGTAATTTAAAGCTTCAAATTCATCATATTGTAATATCACCTATATGATGAAGGATCAATTTATTCAGTATAAGATCAAAGGCTGTATAACTGGCTTATAGAATACCCTGAAAGACGAATGTTGACGTCAAAGCAACGCTATAGTAACACAATAAAATCCAACGAGGGAACATACGGGGAATAAGTAGCTAAATATCGAAATGAATACGCATTAAACGAAGAGGTTTAAAAAGAATTTGGTAGACGAAGCATATGTATGAAGCCTTCTTTATCTTCATCCCATAATTCTCATGAATGAGTAGTAGAAGTGACCGTTGGTTTATTTCCCGTACTTGATCCGGGCGCTAAAGCCAACGCCTCGGAAGCCGTTTGCTTGGTATTGTCGAATAAATTATACTCAGACTGGGAATAATACCTTTCCCTCTTCGTGGATGGGTCGGTCTGGTTATGGCCGGTTGTCGTGGTAGCACCACCAGCAGCAGCGGTGCTCTCCGGTTCGACAATCCTGCTAACTCTATTCGAATCTGTCCCAGAATTGGCGTCCGTTGCGAACTTATCGGCAAATGGATTTTCTACTTGGAATTCATTCGGGTTATATTCCCACGATATGGGAGGCGCAGTAGTTGTTGGTGGTAGATGGTTGATATTGGCTGTATCTGTAGTGTAGTTACTGCTATGGCCGTTGTTGAGCGTTGAAGTTCCATTCGCATATGGGTCGCCCACTTCTGGATTATGTATGGGAGATACATGGTTTGAGAAGGTTCTCGGTGGGGATAACGGAGGAGATATTGGCGCGCCTTCTACATTGCCAGCATTGGTTGGTGGTATGTATAGCGCTGGTTTCGTTTCTCCATTAGGAGCTGGGGGTTGATCTGGAGATTGCTTGGATAATTTCTTTGGTATCCGAGGCATGGAGAGTCGGGGTATATATCGTTGTTTTTTAGTTGGAATGCTTTCCGGTTCGGTGCCTGCCGGCAATGCGCCAGTTACCTGGGGATATGGCTGCTCAGTTTGATGGTTTTGGCTGTGGTTGCGGTGATGATTAGGATTGCTGTCAGCTAGACGCTGGGCCTGCTCAGCCCGTTCTTCGGGAGACTTAAAGCCAGCCTTCCTTGCGTCGAGGGTGGCGCGATTATACCTTGACAATGCAACGGAGATTTTATCATTGGTCTCGATCAGGGTAAGCATGGTGTCTGCGTCTGGAGCCGGGTCTGACGAGTTGATGTAGCCCTGTACGGATCTCGATGCGGACTGGCAACGCGTAGCGAATTCCTTGAGCATATCATTTTGGTAGAATTCAGAAACGGGGGTGGACAAGAGCATCTGCTGGAGTAGTTTTGCTGATTCATTGGCTTCGTTGACTCGTGCGGCAAGTTCGCCAGGAGGGGGAAGGCCACGGAGCCTGTGCTGGCGGGAGAAGTAGTCCTGTCTCTGTCCCGGTTGGGGGCCTGGAGTTGGATTATTCTACATAGAGGTCAGCATCTTAACAGAGATCGGGAGAATGGTCGTCTCACGAACCTGGACTGGCTGTTGTAATCCGAACGGCGGATACCCGTAGGTCTTCTGGAACTTCTCTTTCTCCTTGGTCCACATCTGAATGAGTCCCGTAAGATTTGTATCGTTCGCCTTTGTAACCGACAGCGTCTCGAGCGTTTCACGCAGGATCTGCGCAACATGCATATCTCGTCCATCTCGAAGTAGGATTTTGACGCATGCCGTGAATCGGGAGTCAATATTGCGAGTGAAAGATGGGCCCGGGTTGTCGGATAGGATTCGTATTAGCATAATCGCATTATATTGGCGCTGAGGGTGCGAGCTGGCAGGCTTCGAGAGGTACTTCTGGATCTGGTGTGCAGCGATTTTGGCCGCCTCGGGACTCGATTCGGCGGCCTCCACGATGGTGGGGAGTTGTAGGTATTCATTGCCCTTGAAAGATGTATTAGAGTAAATGCGACGAAGGCACGGTATTTAGAGGGCTAGGGTCGCGCATACGTTGTTTGTATCTGAGTTATCGCAGAACTCCACCTATAGATTATATCAGTTATATTATCACGACAGTAAGAGGCAGGAATTCAAGCTCACCACAGCCTTGAGAACAGCTACTTCAGGCGAGTCATTGGGCTTGCCGGCACCTAGAGCTACTCAACGCGTAGGTTCCGTTAGTTCGACTCATCTCCGAGTAGTAAAAGTGCCGCATAATGGAGGAGGAACAAACCACTGTTCCGCCTGCTGGTGATGGTCCCGATGAAGCGCTTCATTGTCAACGGCTTCTCAGCAACTTTTCCCTACAGCCGACCGCGTGAACAGAGGTCGATAGGAAAGGGTACAGGAAAGTGCGAAGGATGAGGGACGAAGGAAGGTGAGTCGGAGAACGGAACCCAGCGTCAAGGGGGCCAAAAACCCTTTAGCCTAGTGCAAGGATAGTCTGCTTTATGTGCCTATCAACGGCCAACGTAAGAACGTCAATGTCGCTAGCCGGGGGGACAGACATTAATAGCCTGGTCAATGAAGGGCTCAGGGACGGGGATCAACCCAATGTTTGTTCTTCCCGTGACGTTAGTTCCATCTTGAGGCTCTTCTGTTCCTATACTTAGGCAGAAATTGTAGCTTTCCACCAACACGTTATAACGCTTCCGAGACATGGATCTAGCCTTAGCACGGCCGCGACCCATGAACGGCCTGTCTCGTCGTCGTGTTAGATCTTGAGCTTCGTCCTCCACAGAGGCGCTGGTAGCGAATAAAGGCCATCAAACTCGATCCACAGCAACTCTGTTTGACGTTTGACATCTCGTCCAAGTCTCAGAAAAGACTGTTTGTTTCTTCAGGCGACGCGCCAGATGACGCAGCATTGCTCCTTGGCTTCAATAGTGAAGCATCGAGCACTTCGAGTGGTTTGTACCAGTACACCCTCTCGTTCGCGTCCCCGTCTCACTTGGCCAGCCGCTCAGCCACAGCGATGACAACGCAGGATACCTATGCAGGGGACAAAGATGACTTGATTTCTTGGTCCCTAACTATGATCTCTTGATCTCCATTCGACTCGCGTGGCCGCTGGGTTAGCGTCGATCTAACTACGTGATTCGCAGGCAAGAATTAAATTGACTACAGACAATTTAGCAGAGGTTCCGACATCTGAAGCCGTGAACTGGACATAGCAAAAGGCGCGGAATATACTCGGCAGTCGTACAAGGCGTCCATCTTGCAGCATTCCCCGCTGTTGGCCTCATCTCGAATCTTGTCTGACCTTTATGCAGCCTAAGGTGTAGATGCTGTGGAAGTGTTGGAAAATTGGGTGGCTAGTTGGCGGATACTGTTGATTATTTGCCGGTCATAGCATACGTGTTCTTCGCTAGGGCATAGTAACGAATGATATTTAGAAATAGAGATACAGGACTAGAGATGCAGGACAAAGAAGGCCATGGATAGATGTTTGTCTGCAAAAGTTGAAGTTGAAGTTGAAAATAAGCAGTATGCCCGTGCGTTTCCTAATCGGGACGAGACTCCATCCTTATATCAACTCGTATACTCCGTAGCTATACATCAAATACTTATACCAACTTGTATACTTCCAAGTATACATTAAATACATATATCAGCCCTGCCATGAGATACTTATACATCCAATATATGTCACCTAGACGCTGGGCATCAATATTCCAGTTTAAGTGAAATACGCGTCAAGTCCAGTTGGCAGTGCCCCAAATATTAATGCAAATACCTAGCTAATATACAGAGTAAAATGCTTTTACCGTCATCACCTCAAGACCAACATCTAATACCTCGAAATGTCCCTGCCAAAAATCCAGTTGGAGATCCAAGAATACAAAATACGCAGTCGGTTACGCCAACTGATGCTCATCGACAGGTATGCGCCCTTCCACACCAGCCATGCAGCATACCCTGTAAGCCCTCTGGGCAGAAGAGACGCCTTACCTTTGCCTTGGCCCGTTTGAGGAAACTGCATCAGCGCTCGCGAGCCACCTAGGTATGCGATCATGCCTAGATTTTTGAACGCGAAGCCGGGAGCTCGCGACAGGTCGGCGTCGGTGGTGGCTGCGTTGAGGCATTGGCCGAGCCAGATGGCTTCCTGGTTCGTGGACTGGGCTGTTGCGGGTGGTGAGTTGGTTTCCAGCATGCAGTTGTCGCCGATGGCGAAGACATCCTTGAGGGTAACTGTTCGTCCGTCCTGGGATTGGAGTTGGACTCGTAGATGGTCGTCGACTAACAGAGCACCGGTCTTTTCGGCCTTTTTTACACTCCATGTTGATGCCGATTGGGATCCTGGGATATGATCGAGCCTTTCCAGGGCAGACGAGGCCGGGAATTCATCGACTTGACCTAGGGCATCGTTGACGAACTCGTTCATCTCGTTACCTGTAGCCCAGACACACATTGCTATGCCTTCTTCCCCATCCTCTTTGGTCTTGATGGTAAGACAGCCCTTTGGGTCCATCTCGTGCGGACCGGGGGTGTTGGGTTCCCCCCAGCGAAGACTCTCTATGTGGTGATTCGTCTTCACTTCGACCCCCTCTCTCTTCATGGTGCCCATGGCATAGCTGGACAGGGACTCATCAAAGGTACTTAATACCGTGGGCGCAACATCAAAGAGGGTGATGCGAATTAAGTCTTTCAGCTTTGGATAAACCTTTACCAAGTCTTCATGGATGAAATCGCACAGTGAAGCAGCTAGCTCGATCCCTGTCGGCCCAGCACCTACAATCGCAAAATGCAAGAGATGCTTCTGCATTGCAGGCCGTGTGTTGGGCAGGACTGCCAGCTCGAAACATTCTCTTATCCGTCTCTTCACCCGTCGTGCGTCCCCGATGTCCTTGAGGAAGAGGGCATTCTCCCTCACTCCAGGAGTGTTGAATGTCCTGCTCACGCATCCGACAGCGACAACGAGCTTATCATAAGGCACTTCGAAAATTTCCCCGGACTCCCACTGTCGCTGTCTCTCGGCTCCCCGCTCTGGGGGCCCGAGCCCAGGACTGAGCCCATGCTTAATATGCTGGCGCTGTTCGACCCTTGCTGTCTCCGTTACGCCGCTGCGAACCACGCTGGCTTCGCATGTGATGGTCTTTCTGGCTAAATCGACGGCTCGCGCGGCCGCTTGGACGAAGTGGACATTACTATGACGATCTCGGACCGGCTTGACAATTTCAGAGAAATCAAGCGACCCGATGGCGGCGTCGGTAAGGAGAGGCGTAAAGACGAAGTACGACCGCGGCGATATCACTGTGCGCGAGAATTTAGTGGCCGACAATTTGCGGGATAAAGTGTATCCACCCCATCCCGAGCCCAGGATTACAACTCGCTCAGGGCCTGTCTCCCCGTCGGCCATCAAGCCTGAGCCTGTTGTTGGCCGTGCTGGAGAGCCGCCTCCCGCCGAAGGCCCTGGCGACGTTGCAATGCGCCGAACATGCCAAACGTGACCGACCAGGTTCGGCGGACGGGAGGTATGTCGGAGATTAAGGCGAACAAGTCCCATCTGATAGCCTCTTTCGAATAGGTAGAGTGCAAGGGGGTAGATGAATGGCGGTCGACCAAAATATGTGACTGATTGAACATGATGCTGGCTGTTCCCGGGCCACCCGGCGCTCAAACCATGGATGGCTCAAACAACCATGAAACCATCCGCCATCGAGGCAAGCATGAAGAAAAAGAACCTGTCAGCAATTAGATTCCCCCCAGCGATCTGACTGTAAGTGACATATGCAGTCGTCATGCACGCCCTCCAGCCCCCCGTCCTGTCCAGCGTGTGCAGATACCAGGTTCATAAAAGGGGCTCCTCTCTGACATCACCGCCGACCATCGTCGCATCGTAGCATCGTCATATCGTCATCATGATTGGATTCCACCAGCCCGAGGGAAGGCGACTGTGTTCACATGCAAGAAGAACTGGAATCAGACTGCCTGTACGCCCGTATTGGCGCCGAGCCACCGGCGCCGCGATGCCTTTGCAACGCGGCGTCAAGAGAAGAATTGTGTTGCCTGATGCAAGATAGCGCCCGTTTACCGCCCGGCTCTGTTTCCTCATCCTGGCCTGGTACCAAACGCTGTGCTCCGTACGCATTTGTCCGCCCATGATTCGTCCCCTGGCCTTTCTTTTTCTTCTTCCAGGTGACGAGTTTTTTGTACGCCGCTGGCCCGCATCAGGGCCCTCTATACGCAATTTCCCCAGCCCAGCCCTGTTCCTGGCCATCCCCAACCACATCCCACCCAATCCATGGATGCAGCAGTTGTCGATCAGGTGGATTGCTCCGAGTACGGAGGGGGGTAAGACGTGGTCTTGCCGCTGTGAAATATGCCTGACGTGGTATTTGGAAGCGTCAGTGTAGATATGCTTTTGCGTGAAACTTCTGGCGTGTTGCTATAAAGGGTGAAACTGCGCCTGCATAGTTGCCCAAGACGCATTTATATATACAAGCCAGCATCCCATCCTCATTTCAATTATACCTACTCGACTAAATACTCCATACCTACCTACTTGACTATACCCCACCAATTGATATCCATTGACTACGGTTGAACACTGAATATACCATGGCTTCATACTTCCAGCATCATGCCTCCCCCCAGGTCTGGGACTACCTGGAGCAGATGGGCGCCGACTGGACCCACGAATCTTCATTTCTCTCCAATGATACCGCAAAGGCAGGAGAACTCACCTGGGGATCTCAGCTTGACTTCTTCCCCAAGCAGAAACCAGCATCTGCTCGTCCCCGTTCGCTAAAGAGAGAGCCCAGTGATGTCTCCAGGGGCTATCGAAGCGAGTTCCTGACTCGCCGTGACAGCGTCGGTCGAGGAAGAAGTGTCTCCGGCTCCAGCTTCAGCTCCATGGCCACCAGCTCAGGCCAGAGCTGCAGCCCAACAAGACACGATGGGCCTACCGACTTGAGCTCCGTCATCCAAAACCTCAGCTCCCAGCTCGGCTTCGACCTGAACGAAACCTTCAACTGCGCAAAGAAATACAGTAAGCCCGTAAAGTCGGCCCAGTCTACGCCGACCTCTACTCCGGTGGCCGCTTCTCCAAAGATCAAAGCCGCCAAACCATCCAGCGTCCGCCATGAATTCGTCGTCCAGGTTCCACATGTGCAGAAGCCGGCGACTACCGTCGAGTATGACACTATGATGTCAGCTATGAACGCCCCTATCGCAGTTGCAGAGCCAAAGACTGCCTGCGAGAACGCCCAACCCAAGGGAGCAGAAAAGCAGATTAAAAGAACGCGCAAGGTATCTTTTGCCGAAGCCATCCAGGAATTGCCCGCTGCAACGGAACCAGAGACGGAACCAGAGATGATCCTCGACGATGGTGTGAGCGACAGTGAGAGCGACAGTGACAGTGTGCCCGACGCAGTCTTCCTGAATGTGGAAATGGAGACTCCAAGGGCGCCTCGTGTACGCCATGTGGAGATTCGAGACGCTGAGGAAGAAGAGAAGGACTATATCACCATCTATCACTGTTGACCAGCGATTACCATCCCATTGTTTCTGCTCTAGCTGACCTCATGACTTTCTTTTGTTTTTATTAGCAACTTGCTTCTCCTGGATTCCCCCTTTGTGTACTTACATCCCTTCAATTGAATATTTTCTACTCTGTACGACTCTACCCATGAAACTCTCTACGACGTAGGACATTCCCCGTGTGCTCGACTGCTGTCGATCCTCGTATAGGAATAGCGAGAGATGAAACTGGGTAGCTAAATGGCCCGATCTTGAGATCATCGCCGTCCCCTACCCCGTACTCTGTGCATATGCACTGATCTACTCATCGTGGGCCCCTCGTTATCGCCAACAGGCCTTAATAATCCTTGTCCCTGACCCTGACCATGCAAGCTTGCATGGCATCTTTTATACCCATACCGTATAGATGCATATATTATCACAGGCACAGCGACAGAGCCGATCTAATGTGCTTTAACCTTCCCGGCCGACTAACTAACGTTACTATCATCTGGCGCTTTAGCCACAAACGCCTGAAGTTTCTCCCAACCTTGAAGAGATATCCAGTAACCCTTAGTACTCATGGCTGCTACTTACAAGTACTCCGTATACTAATGGCCATTCCAAAAGGAACACCCATGCTGAGTTACAGAGTAAATGAGCTGTCATCAAAGTGCTGAAGGTTGTACTGAAGGTGGTGGCCGCCATTTATGACCTCTCAGGGGTCAAGTAGCACTATTGTTTTATCGTTACCACAGTCACACACATAATTAGTTATTTGCTATAGTTTCGACGCATGCCCGGATTTTTTCTTTTAAAATGTCCCCAGGTACCAGAAACTGTACCACAGACCAGGTACGATGTTACAGGAGGCTTTGGCGACATCGTGAGTACTGAAGTTAAGGAATCAGACCTGGCATGGATACGATATACAGGAGTATCCACGAACCTTATATCCCATTTGCCTTGGAAAGGTGCTTAATAACAGATACCTAGTCGAGCATAAAATTGAGTCTAGAGGCTTTTCTACCGTTTGGATGGCTTAAGATCTTCAAGATGAGAGAGATGTCGCTCTCAAAGATACGTCCTTGAGGACAGAGTTTTCAGTGAATGAGCTCTGTATCCAGGACAAAATCTCCAGGTTGTACAGGATACCTCACATTTAGTGACATGTTTGGCAACCTTTCTGCTCCCGAGAAATAAAGACGAGGGTCGGCACCGGGTTCTGTGCATCCCTTGATGGGTCCATGTATTGATCACAGTGCTGAGACTGAACATGCTGCCTATGGCGGCTCTCATGTCTGCGGTAAAGCAGTTGCTTCAGGCGTTGGAAAACCTACATAAAGCTGGAATTGTACACCGCAGTGAGTCGTTAACCTACCTCTTATTCTCTTTGTTTTTCAAATTGATACACATCCTAATCGAAACTTGAGACATAGATGCTAGGAACTGAATGTGGTGGTTGGCTTCTTTGCATGCTTCTAGCAGATGTGCCAAATACAAGATACTCGGCCGGCCACTAATCACGAAAGCAAACATACCATTTGCCAATCTCTGGAAGAATGGCGAACTCGTCCAGCCTATTCAGGCCCCTGAGTCACTGCGTACAGAGAAGTTCTTGGTGACTTTGGCGCGGTGATGGAGCTTGAGGCCAGCGATCCATTTGCTCCTCAACTGATCTATCCACGTATGGAATTATGTTCACCGGATTGCCTTCATGGTAGACATGCAAGCTTTGCCTGTGCCCTGGGAGTGGAAACGTACTTAAAATCACCCAGAAGCCCTTGATTACTAGTACGATCAATGTGGAATGCCAGATCCCAAGCATGAGCTTGCAGCAAGGATTGCACGATGCCATCCTGAGGCTGATCAAGTCGAGACGAAGCGTATGTTGAATATCGTGTCTAAGGTCTTTACATACGATATTGACAACGAGCGACTGCAACACAACTTCTGCAAGACCGTCATTCAAAGCTATCTGGGACAAGTATGGTTGCTAAAAGGAGTGCTGCGATGAAATATAGCCTTGAAAGTAAGTATTGGACATTAAAACGGCCAGGAGGGCTATCCATATCGTCGCGCGCTATTAACGAAGAAGACAGACGACGCGCTTTATGATCATCTCCTTCTAGACACGAAGTACACGTACCCCTTCAGCGTGGAAGAACTACGATTTCGATGAAGATTGAGGATCTTGTCGTGAAATAGGCGATTTCTCGTATGGGCCATACATCTCGCCTTGCTCTTGGGAAGCTGAGATGTTTAGATATGCCGGAAGATCAAGCTCTTTAAGAGGCAGAGATGCTATCGAAGGGCTAGAGAGCGGATCTTGGCGACCTGATGTCTTCTTCGGCTGTGGGAATATTTTGAAGGATTTACCAGGGACCCCAACATCCTTCGCTACCTATTTCCTAATTTCCTGGAAATTGCAAGTATAAATATACGGCGACCTGAAAACCGGCTGTCGTTTGTACGGAAGACCAGCCTTCTAGACGGGTTGGCTTCAACAGGGCCAGCCTTCAAGCGAGGACGGTGCCTTGACAGAAGACGGATTCGATATACAACGCTTCCGATTGATTGATTATTTAGTGTTCTCGTGCATAAACTGACAGGAATTTCTCCACAGTCAGCCAAACGGTTCACGGGGATCTTCGAGGCCTGTCTTTTTCTTTTCTTTTTCTATCTGTTTATGCACGCGGATCAGTCATCCCTTTCCGCGAGAGGGGGAGGTAATATCTATCAGTGGTCAACCACTCTTTGAGGCTCGCAATTTCAGCCAGGCTGATTGCTAACTAGATGACTCGAAGTAGCATCTGACGCGGCCCCCAAAATGTTGGACATAAATATAAGTAGTTGGGGGATTCTCTACCGGACCGACTGCTTCCACCCCTGATAACGTACGGAGTACGGGAGTAGTTACTCAGCTTACCTCCTGTCAGCATGCCAACCCCGATTCCACAGCCCCCCGGGCTTCCCTTCCTGGGAAATCTTTTTGATCTCAACTCGAATGACACCTGGGGTTCATTTAAAAGGCTCTCCGATAAATACGGTGTGTATGCGAACATCCCGAAGCTGCAGATTTCGCTAATGGCCTAGCAGGTCCTATCTTCAAGATCCAGGTTCTCGGCAAGCAGATTGTCGTTGTTGGAAATACGTCGCTTGCTGCAGAGGTATGCGATGAGAAACGCTTTCGCAAATGCACCGGGGCGGCTTCGTTCCTCGTTATGCGCGAGGCTGTTCATGACGCCCTCTTTACTGCCTCCGACCATGAGCCGAGTTGGGGAATAGCACATCGGATCATGACACCTCTTATTGCTCCATCAAGCGATGACGTGCGGGTGAAAGAACTGCAGGAGATGGCATCAGAGCTTGTTGCAAAGTGGTCTTCAGGAACGGCTCAACCGGAGCGAGTACATGTGACGGAAGATACGAAACGGTTGACTGTGCAATCGGCGATATATCACTTTTTTAACCAACGTCACAATCTTCTTGGTGGAAAAGGGCCGGCTGTCGTGGAGCTACTGGATCAAATCTCTTGGGAAATGGTCCAGCGGTCTAGCAGACCAAAGCTCCTTACCTGGCTCTTCTACAATGGCGTGTACGAGAAACAAATCCGTGACTTTCGCAAAATCGCCGCAGACTTTATGGCTGCAAAGAGGGCAGAGAAAACTCCCAAGCAAGATATGCTGCAGGCACTCTTGACCGCCAAAGATCCCGAGACTGGAGAATCTCTTGACGAAGAGAGGGTCATCGATGAGATAATAACCATCGCAATTACGTCAAACACCGCTGCTGGTCTTATATCATTCGTTCTATACTACCTGCTCAAGAATCCCGAGGAGATGGCGAAGGCTCGCCGCGAGATTGACGCCGTTCTAGGATCTAATTCTCAGATCACGGCGCAAGATCTGTCAAAGCTGCCGTACCTTGATGCAATTTTGATGGAGACCCTACGTCTCTCTGCCACCGCGCCGGGCTTTCTTGTTGAGCCCATCCCATCAGATAATGCTGGTGTCGTTATGCTTGCAGGTGACAAGTATCAGATACCCAAGGACCAGACAGTTATAGTATTGCTCGCTGCTGTGAACCGCGACCCAGACGTTTACGAAGACCCAGAAGCGTTCCGGCCAGAACGGATGATGGGTGAAGCCTTCGAGAAACTGCCTCCTGGAGCCAAGAAGTGGTTTGGGAACGGGAAACGTTCTTGCTTCGGCAAGAGATTCGCCCTGCAGTTGACGATGATTACTCTAGTCGAGATCTTGAGGAACTTCAATCTGGAGATGGCAGATCCGAACTATCAGCTGAAGACCACGAGTAAAGAAATTGGAGCTTTTTTCCGTTCGCCAGTAGGTTTCTACGCCTTGACTAGCCCTCGAAAGAATCCAGTTACAGCGGAGTGAACATCCGGGAAATTAATGGCTTTTTTTTATGGGATCTCATACCGCTTGCAAGGTCAACGGGACACCGCTGTGAAGATGCTTACCGATGTGGTAATATAGCCATCTGAATATCGGCTATTGATGCGAATGCACACGCATGCCATCGGACTGACAATGCGGTGCCTATTATAGTTCCATCGATGATGAAGTAACTATGACCAGGAACCTTGGGGCACGTATAAGTGTAACCGATAGTGCTCTCTTATTTACTATATCTACTATTAAGTATAATCTAATATATCTGTACCTTCTTTCCACTAGGTGATTTACTCTGGCGTACTTATACAAAGCCGTAGCAAGTGTTTAGAGTCCACTGTCCGAGTCCACTGTCCCTTTGAATTCAAAGAGCGTTGCATCAAATGCGATAAAGACACTGTTCTTTATTCAATATTATAAACGGGACCGGATAACTCCTCCTGATCCCGTTATCGACCCTCGTACTAAATAAACATGTACGGATCAAACAAATGGCCTGTCTCCCCCCAGTTGCTCCTGAGAATATTGTTGCACCACCCATAAACGAAAAAGTCATTCTGCAGCTTTGAAAAGAAAAGAAATATCGTCGAGGGGCAGGCTATTAACGTACATGTACTCCGTATACACACATAAGAGAAATAAAAAGAAAGGAATAGACGGCTTTAAATCAGTCTTAGAAAGACACTGCATAAGCGTCAGATCAGGGGATCATCATTTCCCTCCGGCTGTCATCGTCGCCGCCGTCACTGTATCTGAGCTCGTACTTTAGCTTATCGTCTGGGGAGGAAGAAGGCCTTGATGGTCGTCTTCGTCGTGACTGTGACCTCCGACGGTAGAGGTGAATCCACTGCATAAAATCAAAGAAGGCAATGGTGACGAGGAGGAGGATCACCACGACCGTGATGATCATCCCTGGCGTTAGGAATTCTATAGGGCCTGTACTCCGGAAGGAGGCCCTGCTCCGGCTGCTATACTCTTGGGCCAGGAGTATGCATCGAGAACCATCCCTAGCGTACCCGTTGAGGTAGTCTGGGAGATACTCGTCGTTGAGGGCGTTGGCGATGACGCCCAGTGCGTCCGGAGAGTAACCAGACGTCTGTGAGGGTGATAATGAGGTCGACTGTTCAGCATTCGCATCCCGCAGCTCGGCTTTGGTATCGATATGTTGTGCTTGATGTTCAGTTTTCAGTATCTAAATGACGGCAAAACGATACCAACGATGAATGGTCAGCTGCTATCCTTCCATATGTTTGAAACGAACCGAGAGAAGACGCAAGGGGGAGATAACCCACCATCTGGCCTCCGTTCTGTATCCTATCGGCGTCGAGTTCTTCTCTGGTGAGGGCTGTTCGCTTGCGCACTCCCTGGTGGGGGTGCATGAGTTCGCATAATACCCGCTTCCACGCCGAAGCTGCTTCATCCTCTGTGATATAATGGCCCGTTTGCAAATCGCTGCTGTGCCCGACATCGTGGGATGCGAGTATCGGCAGTCCGTTGGAGGATATAACAAAGAGAAGCAGGGTTGAAGCCACCACTGCCTTAAGCGACGGCATGTTTGAGGCTCCTTTGCAGCCGAGAGCCAAAAGCAAGCCTAATGAACCCTCGTATCGGCTCGAGGACCCCTTCGAGTGTTATATAAATGGGTAAAGAAAAGGATATACGGAGCAGACTAGGGAGAAGGGAGAAGTGAATCCGAGGCGACAGAAGCGGACATGTGAGGGATGCGACGGACCAGTGTCACAAAGCAGAATGCGACAGATGGGTTGCACAAGAGCCTGAAATGAGACCTTAACACACACTCCGTAGGCCACTTTATCGTAGGGTCTCCAACGGGTAGCGCCGCGGTATTTATTGCGTTGCTGAATCGCGCATACAAGACATCGCGGCCGGCCAGCTAGCTTCGTCTGGACGCCGCCCCCAGACTCTGACGGGATAGGCCATGGAGCTCTGTCATCAAGCTTAATTAGGGCACTTGTATCTGTATGTTTCATGATCCTTGTCCCAGGTTTGCCTGGTTTATTTTTTCTTTCTTTGGGCAAACGGTGTCTTGCGCGGCCTGCCAGCTGTGGCCCAACCAGACGCCCTTAAACCGAAGGCTATATCGAAGCCACAGGAGAATAGCTTGCGTCACGGCTGCGAATCAAGCTTTCGACTCCGTCGGAGAAGGCTTTTCTAGACGGTTCATGCGCCCTATAGATCCTATCAGCTGGCTCTGTTCAACGACCCTTCAGTGTTGCCGTGCAGGTCTCCAATCTCTTTGGTCAATTTGATTCCTAATTAGGGGGCTAACGAGCCAACTCCCGAGTTCCCCTGAGTCTAAAGTCCCCGGCTAGATGTTATAAAGAGCTGGTCAGCACGTTGCACCGTCTTGTTAGTTGTTAGAATAATGGTGCATTCCCGTCTGATTATTGATCGATGGGCTGTGAGCCAACTTTTTATGCATGCGTAATACATCATCCTGGCGCAGCTTGGAAATCTCCTGGAACCCGCAGTCATTACCTGGGCGGAAATTGAAGCTGTTAGTTGTTGCATCGCGCTGACGTATGGCCCTAGCAGCATCTATGGCCCTAGCAGCATCTGGTATGGCCTTATCAGCGTCCTGGTAAGAATCGCAAGCGACCAGGGATATCGCCTTGTCCTCATCGACGATCTATCGCGCCCCAAGATCTAGCCCTGCCACATGGACTGGAGAGCTCTATCCACTAGGTTAGGTCGACTCCAGCTGAACTTCCTTCAGCCCGGTCCATGGCTCGACGTTGGACGTTGGACGGGGGCTAATCGGGTTCCATCTTCGGGCGGAGTGAACCCTCGCTGGCCTCTGGTTTGCCGCTGAGACGTAGCGGACAAGCCCCAAGTTGGTGATTCAGATCGAGGGCATACTCGGTAACCGAGATGGCGACATGTTGCATCGTTCCATGCAGAGACTGAGATAAGACATTTCTCCCAGGCGTCTTGGTGACAGTGCAGAATCTTCGCGCTAAAGGCTGACTGTGGAGAGGCGACAGGGAATGCGGATAGACTTGAGATCTGTATTGGTGCAGCGTCTTTGCCCAGTCGTCTATTTAACTAATAGCCTCCAAATAAAGCTTCCTCTAACTAATATGCCTTGAGCTGGAGGCCGCACTTCTCGCTGGAAGCACGCCGGTTGGAAGGCAGACTCCAACCTTGATATCGCTTCTTTTTTTTTTATATCGTTCGCTTAATGTCGAGGAATTCAACTTCACGCCTTCAAGATCCTGTGTAGAAGGTTAGGCAGACTGCCAGGTCATGCGCCAACCTCTTTCAATATAAATAGAGTAAACTAGTGAAAGATATTTTCGCCTGCATCGCGTGGCAACGGCAGGGGTAAGGGGTTGAATACGAGCCTATCCAGACACATGGAAAGCCGCGACGAAAGAGGAAAATGCTTTCTGTACATGATGTCGAGGACTAGCGGTAAGCACCGGACGTAACCTAGATATGCAGTAAGGATCAGTAGGACATACGGGATGCCGGGTAGAGCCTGTGCTGCCGAGAATGGCGAGGGTTTATCAGATGGCTATGTTAAGTGCTGGTATTTGGTCATTAGCGAGGGCCTAGCAGTTGTATCGAGGTAATATAAAGGGTTCTTGATTCTTCCGCGCGTGGTCGTGATATGAGCGGTGTAAGGGCGAGGATGTCTTGGTCAACAAGACTGCTCGCTTAAATATTAATACCATCTCGGCATGAAGATACGGCAGGAATAAATGTTAACAAACGCCATTCGAAGATGGCGGAATCATGCATTCTATATACTGTGTACGCCAGCGCTGGTCAAGGTCGTGGATCATCCCAAGGACCATGACGGGAGTTATAACTCCGAGAAGAGGAAGAGTACGCCCGGGTCATGGGGATACTGGCTGGGCTCAACACGATCGCCGAAGAGCTATCCTTGCCATCATCTATGATGCTCTGTCGAGGCTGGATCGTCTGTCTGATCGTCTGCTGCTTGTAGATTCCAGAGTTCAAGCCGTTAAAGTCCACCCTGCCGCTAAGTCGTGTTTCAGACACTGAATTGAGCGTGGAACTCTTGAACCCGAGATTGGGAAGGTATCTCTGGATCAGTGGTCGGAGAATAGGGATAGAAGTGCAAATCACTGCAAAATTCACTTCAATGTCTGTCCACACCCAGATATCGTACCCATCCCCTATAGACAAATCAGATCATGTTATCGATGGCACAGCGCAGAGTAGGATGGCTTACAGGTTAGATCGGCGGACTCGTTGAGTGTACGGTATATGTAGTACGATTTAACACAGCCAGCGAGACAAGAACTGTACATCATTAGCAGTTACTCCACTTAATATAAGGCCCAGGATAAAGAAAGAGGGGTCATACACGACACCTAAGCACATCAGGATGATGAGCACCATCCTATCTCTGATAGGGAGGTTTAGTCGCCAAAAAGTTGGGCACGGAACGACAAGGATGGCGATATCTAGTATGGCGTTGGAGAACGAAGCCCCGAGCAGCCTTCCCGTCTCGCTCATGCATCCCTCCTCGGTGACAGAGCCCCGTTTGCTCCAGTAGTTCGAAAGGGGGCTTTATGTAACCTGTTAGCATGATGTCCCTTCGTTATGGAATGGATTATCAAACTTACATGCAGGCGAGAAGTATCATGATTATAAATGTTATGAACCAACATAACACTAATGAAAGTAACCCCCATACTATCCTGATATATTTCCTCTCGCTGAAGAATCGCAGATACGAAAACAGGATCGACAGCTTGATAAGTGTCATTAGGGGTATGTATAGAAATTGACACAAGTAACTAGTCTATACCACTGTCAGGACTTTGGCCAAATGAAGAGGGGCATGGGTCTTACCAATCTTGAACCCCTTGTATCCTCCATCTTGAAGTCCCATATGTGGTAGCCTGTTTATTGGTTATTATTGCCATTGCACACAAGACACATGAGCGAAAACTTACCCCATCCATACCTCGTGCTGATAATTGCCCCCGTTGAGATGCCAATCAAGAAAGGCTAAGTGTCAAAAAGTTAGCACGGATAGGATGAAGCTGGGCGGTGAGGGACATACCAGCGCAGCTACCATGAACCAGTCATCCCAAGAAGCGGCTTTCTTTATGTGAATGCGAACAAACATCCGAAGTGCGACGACAATAATCGAAGTCACCACCAGCGTGATGCCGATGATGGCGAGCCGAGGTCCCTGATACTCCGGGTTCACGTAGTTTGGCTTGGGCCATGTCTGGGATACCTCTGGAGACGCCGACATGATGGTGGTGAGGAAAGGCAGGAGAAGGATGGTCAATTGTGACCTGTCCTGATCTTCGTTAAAGATGGGGAACCGCTCGATAAATAAGACATCATGCCTGGCCCTTTTCCACCCGGGATGATGGTGGTAGAGTATGGAGCTTTCGATCTCGATCTAAAGGCCAACGGGAAGAAGTGGTTCTTCGTCCAACCAGCCCTTCTGGCCCATAAAATCTCCACCCCGCGTAGATATCGACCGGTCAAAAGACGAGGAGACCGAGAGAGCCATATTTTCGGTCATAACCAAGCCATATCGACCAAGCTGAACATGCGGATTCAGATAATATGGCCCTCGGGAGTGGATCATATCTCATGCCAAAGCAGCAATCCCACTATCTCTGCGTGGTAGATAGCCAGCCAGCCCTGGATCGTGTCAATTTTTAGAGTTGATTTCTCTTCGGCTCTGAAGCTGCCAGCGGTAGAAAATTCTCGCCCTTGATCCACTTCGTAAACGCCCGTGTTGATTGGGGGTGGTTTGCCTCTCATATCCCTGGTAGAGACTTAGAGCCTGGGTTTAAGCAGCCAGTCAGATTCCCGATCGCGGAAACATCGTCGACGGTCGCGGCGTTCGAAGACGAAGCGGGCATCTTCTCCGTATGTTTTAAATAGAAGCACTCGAAGGTGTGTCTGCCGGAGTTACTATCTGATTCTGGGTAGATAGGTAGCGGAATCCGTGTGAAGATGGCGCAGAGTAGACTGGCCGAGCACCGTGTTTTAGGCCATACTTGCATATCTAGCGCTCTTCATTGTAGATTTTGATTGATTCGCATGAACTCCGGCCGTGTCCTGACCCCTCAGACGGGCCTTAGATCGCGATATATTGCTTTTGAAGACTGTTCGTCCCCTATAAGTCTCGTTCTCGGTCCCTCCACCTTGGACGTCGGAGGAGTTGTACACACAAAATCAGTCTTGATCTTCATCCATAGTTGATAAATCCATGTGAAAACTGCCTGTCTATCCGTATGGTCGAGGTTAATGCGAACGTCCCGCAAAAGGAGATATATCCATGGCGAGATAGGTAACTAACAGCCATGTCTCAACCCCAGCCCCAGGCCCAACCTCAGACCCAGCCGCGCACAAGAAAGGTCACCACTCGTTCGCGCAATGGATGCTGGACCTGTCGTGCCCGGCGGAAAAAATGCGACGAGAAACGACCGTTCTGCACGCCATGCGAGCGCAAGTCGCTACAGTGCAGCGGATACGGGCCACGCCTGAAATGGGGCAATGGAGTGGCCTCGCGAGGATACCTTATGGGCTCAGCTATCCCGGTGCATCCCAAGGATGTAGTGAGCGGGAAGAACGAGCCCTCCTCGTCGTCGTCGGCGCAGATAACGCTGGGTGCGGTGGGAAGTAACAGCGCCGCGAAACAGAAGAGCCCCAAGAGCAGTCCGTCAGCGAACGTAGGGTCTCTATCGCAGTTTATGGGAGTCTTGAACTTCTCTGTGCCTCCAGCTCAGAATAAGACGAGCACCAGTTCCAGCTCTCTCTCGCCAGAGGTGAAGTCGAGGAAACCGGCCTCCTCTTCGTCTATACACAGCTCTCCCTCCGTGGCTACGACTTCTAATACATTGGTGACGGCCATACCTCTAAATCCCTTTGACGAGGAGATTTTTGAAGAATGTATGTCGTCAGCCCTGTATTCTTACTATTCGATGCTAACATGTTTATATCAGTTAAAGAATGGGGATCCCAATATCTTTCCCATGGAGCTGAGGCCGGACAGTCTCCCTTTGGAGACATTCTTGCATTCTGCACCGAGTCCAGGTCGTTGGTGGCCAACTGCCTCACATTCCAGCTGACCTTACATCCCGAGCATGAGGACAAGTTTGAAGAATACTATGCAAAGTGTCTAAGGCTATTCCGTGAAGACGTATGTGATACGAAGTGTGCAATGAAGGATGCCACCCTCATTGCAGGGATCTTGCTATGTTCCACCGGGGTATGTACTATCATTATAACAAATTGGTATACGTTCTAACGTCAAAAAGATGAACCGTTGCATGAAATGGACCGTCCATCTTAATGGTCTCTACTCGATAATCCAATATCGAAACACTCTCACGGTCCCCAGCCGAATCAGCTCTGAGATCCTAGATAGCATCGGCTTCTTTGATCTACCTACCCATGTTCTAGGCCGAGCAACGAAACCTCTACATATATGGCGCGACTATTGTCGCGGTAAAAGCGGGATAGAGCCCAACAGCAACATACCATTCAGCCTAATCGACCTTTTCTCGACGATCGGCCAGCCAGGAGTCGAGCTGCAATTCTGGACATGGACATGGAATGAAAGCAGTGGTCAAAATGATAGTAACGAAAACTCTAGCCGAAACGCCCACCCCCCTAGCGCACTGACTCGATTAGCATGGGATGCTACTCGTTTGGCGGGAATTATCTCCGCGCGGGAGTATAAACTGCTAAACTACGCTGAGAGGACCGAATTCTCTCCGACAAACCCATATCAGCCGCCCGAAAGTGAAAACGATAGCTGCCCACCCACCCAGTTCCTTGTTGAAGCTATCATCTCCAATCTCACCACTATTCTCACCACCGAACCCCAGCAACAGCCACTGCCCTACCAACAATACCCAGAACAGACCGATAGACAGCAACAGCAGCAGCAACCGCCTCAACCTCCCCCACAAGAGATGTATGAAGTCCTTAATCTCCTTCTCTACCCGGCCTTTGTTGCAGGAACACAGCATACCTTGCTCACGACCCAACATAAGCAACGCATCGAGGCGTTTTGGCAGGAACTATTCCCGGATATGGGTGCCGATGGTCCCGGCACGCCACATATCCAGGTTCCCCTCGACATATTGAGAGATCTATGGAGAGACGCGAGAGGGAGGACTGCGGATATGATTGCCAAAGAGCGCGGGGTGGAAATCGGGTTGTTTTGAATCTGGCTGACATTTAAATATTTAGTGGATTATATCGTGTGGGAGGGGTGGATGCATGGCGCTGGCAAGGAATGTTAATTACGGCAAATTAGAGGGTAATGGTAGGGATATATATCTGAACATAAGATATAAATGAACAAGTGTTATGCAAAGGCCTTTTCGTTGATCAATTGTGTCTACCAAGGTAGTTTCATATACATATGATATTGATTCGAGGCCTGACCTCACATACAAGTAATCTTGACGGGGTGTCAGATATGAACAAAGCGAACAAATATCCCAACGGAGCATAGCAACTGCTAGGGGAATATAGCTATGTTAAGACAATAACAGAAACGAAGGTCGTTAATAAAGAAAAAAAAGTCGATCAGGTCTTTGAAAGAAAATAAATATTTCACGAACACATAGGTGTATTGCTCTGTTTATCTATTCTTTATTTCTTTCTTTCCATGAAATCGTAGGCAAAGAAAACGCTTTAAAGTTTACCCTGGTGGAAGAGAGCGATGGTAGAGCAGAAGTTACTCCTGTTCTCCTTCTGGGGAACCAGTCCCTTGCCTCCGGAGGTGATCATGTTGGTGCTAGCCTTGGTGCTGACACCGTAGAGGTAGGTCTCGGAGCACTCGACTTCGATCATGTTCAGCTGGCAGGACTCCGTCTTGAGGCAGTCTTGGTTGTAGTTCTCGAAGAAGCTGTACAGGCCACCTCCGTAGAGGTAGACGTCAGTGGAGTTGAGGATGCGGAGACCCCATGCCTTCTTGCAGGCAGCTGTCGTGCAGTCGCCGAAGGTTGGGTCGTTGTATTTGGAGTCTGGAGCGAAGGGGACGAGAGCGTCAGGGTTGGATTGATAGTATCTATATAGATTGTTAGCCTTTTTGAATATGTATAATATTAAGAGTAGAAGAGTGTGACGTACGGAGTCTCGGTCTGGATCAATGCCATGTAGACGTTCTGAGCGTTCTGGATTTGGTAGTTGTATAGAGTGTTGTGCTCTGAAGCGGTGCCGTACATCCAGACAGCGCCGGAACTCTCGATCAAGGCACCTCGTCCATTGTAGATGTTGATCTGGCCATGGTCAGACAGGTCGAGTTCGTGGTCGGACACCCACAACCAGGTGTTCTCGAGGTAGGCAGAGGCCGTCTTGGTGATGTGAAGGAGCATAAAGGCACCGAAGCACTTGGGGTCAGGGGTAGTCTTGGAAGAAGGCGTCTTGGCGCAGTGGTTGCTCTGGAGGTCGGTTCCAGCGAAACCGCCAACTCTGAAGTGAACATCCCACATTCCAACGGACCCCTGAGTTTCTTCAGCAACGTTCCACTCGACGAGGATAGCGCCTGGAGCTGGGCCCTTTGTGGTGACGATCAGCTCGGACATCTCGACGGAGCCCTTGTCGCCTGGTTGGCCGACCTGGAGCATGGGGATGGGGTTCTTCATGTCTGAGAAGGCCTGACCGGTAGCCATCAACATTGGCCAGATTTCTCCGGTGATCTTGATGTTCTTGGGCACTTTGATGGTGGAGGTGATGAGATAGGCGCCGTGGTCAAAGTACACGATCTGGTCAGCGGTGGCCTTGTCGAGGACCGCCTGGATGGCCTTGGTGTCATCGGTCTTGCCGTCTCCCTTAGCACCGGCGCTCTTGACGCTGATGAACGAGCTGGCGGGGACGTTCTCGTACTGTGGCTTTGCGCGCTCAAAGACCTTGCCAGATTCGTCGAGAAGGATGGCTGGCTTGCTGGGCTGGGGGAGGGCGGTTTGAACGCGAGCCTTGGTGACGGGGGCGCTTGGGCAGCTGGTAGGCCCGCCGGTGGGTGTGCCTGAGGGAGTTGGAGTCGATGGGTTCGAAGCAGAGGTGCCAGATGGCATTCCTCCGGTCGGGACTCTGGTTGGGACGCTTGAGCCTTCACTGGTAGGGACTCTGGTTGGGACAGTTGATCCTTCGCTGGTAGCGACTTTGGTTGGGATGGTAGCGGGCGGCGTGCTCGGGATCGGGTATGGGGGAGTCGGCGTCGTCGACTGCGCAGGAGGCTGCGGTGCTGGCGCCGGACATTCACCGCGGCGTGCGGCATTTGGCTTCGCCTTGACGACCGGCGGTGGCTGTCTTCTGGCCTTCACGCCGGATGCGGGGATCCAGGAGTTTCCTTGAACCCAGTGCTTGACAACGGTGTTTCCGCCGACGAGGGATGAGCCCTGGGCGTTGGCAACTGCAACTGTAGATCCGCTGAAGTCGACGTTATCGAGGATCAGGGTACCGCCAGACTCGGGGGCGCTGTTGGCATTGAACGAGGTGACGATGCCCTTGGGGGTGTTGTTGATCTTGCTGTCGAGGATCATGACAGATCCGACGGTCTGGTTGAATCCTCCGTTCGACATGTCCAGGGCGACACCGCAGTCGTTGACGGTCAAGGACTTGAAGGTCCAGGCCCAGTTCCAGTTCATGAAGATGGCGGTGTTGCAGTTGTTGAAGGTCAGGTTGCGGGTGGTGAACTGCTGGTTGCCGAAGAAGGCACCGTAGTTCCCACCATTGAAGACGAGATCGGTCATGAATCCACCGGAGCCGTTGTCCATGAAAATACCGATCTGCTTGTTTGCGTCTCCGCCGCCCTTGACCATCTCGAAGCGGATGTTCTGCAAGCTGGAGGCTTGGGCGACCTGCCAGTGGATGCCGGCCCCTCTGCCCCTATCGAGGCCGGTCAGGTCGATGACAACGTTGCGAATGCCGCGGAAGAAGTTGTTCTGGTTGGTGTACCAGTTGCTGCCGTCGTTCTCATAAGGGTCAGCGTCGATGACGGCGATACCTTCGAACGAGGGAGCGGCCTTGATCACCGGCATGTTGACGGCGTCACCAACGATCTGGGTGTAGTAGTACTGGATGATGGGCTTAGACACGACATAGGTGCCCGGGGGGAAGTAGACCAGCGCCGGCGTAGTGGTTGAAGAGTCGCAGCCCTTCCCACAGCGGCTTCCAGAGGAGATGGCCGTGTTGATGGCAGCAGTGTCATCAGAAGACCCGTCACCTATACCCCGTCAGCCGTTTCCTTTACAATGATCCTCTGATGTTCAACATACCTTTGGCGCCAAAGTCCTTTACATTTCGAAACACCTTGTAGTTGGCACCACCGTTGAAGGCGGCGACTCCCTGGCGTTTGATAGAGCTGATCCAGTAGCTGGATGCTTGGGTCGACGGGTTTGGCGACTGGGGAGTTGGAACAGCCGCAGCAGGGGAGAATAGGCTGACCAGGGTGAGCAGGATCTGGCCCAGCAGCAAGCTGGAAACCAAACCGCGAGCCATGATGGTATTCTGAGATATGGATGTTTGAAGTTGTTGTTCTTGTTGTTTTTGTTGCTGTTCTTGTAGAGAGCTCAGTGGCCAGCACGGAGCAAGTACTATTTATGTACTGATATAAAAAGATGCGGAAGGAATGTCGACAATGAAAAGCAAGACCTATATCATGTCAACATCGATTGACTAGACGTAGGTCACTGCTAGCGATAATGAATGTATCTGCGCAACAATGTTATTATCCTGTATTCACAGTAACAAGGCGCAACAAGCAGGGAGGGAGCGTCAATGAAGAAGACAATGATGAAAGGTCAATGAATGACAGGAAGGACAGGAGGGAATATGCCTCTCGCAGAGAAACGAACAAACAACTGGCAGAGAGAGAGAGAAGAAGAAGAAGAGGGACTTGTCACGAATATATGAAGCAAGCCTCCTTTCATTAGCTCTCCTCCAGAGTTCGTATATTCATGCACGCCGAAAGTACCAGTACAAGGGCCGGGGGTGGCTGCAGGCGGCGGGCGCGTAGCTAAAGACGCCGGAGAAACGTACCAGGTACCTCGCGATCTTCAGTCCACCAACCAAGTGCTAACAACGCCCTCCAAGGAGCATCCAACCGCCGCAGACTAGCGAGTTAAGCTCAGTTAGCCCGTCAAGGGGTTTCTGGAGATCCGTATATAGACCGCGGCCGTCCAGTCGTCGGCTTCGGCCAGGACCCCAGAGAAACACGACCGGGTTTCAGCAGGGGGGGTTGCGGGCGTCTAGAGAGATCAAGGGGGCGCCGGGGAGATATCGAGGGTCCTTCACTCTGCAGGATACGCTCTCGTTGCACGGATGTCTGTTTCGTCGAGGGCCCTCATTTTTTTTTTGGCGGGCGGGAGGGCGACTGATATAGAACATCTCGGGTCTCTCCAGCAGGCCTTTGCCGTCTTCCTGGCCGTGTGGGAGCGCTTGATCTGATGATGGTGATAGGCATATAGCCATGCATGGGGTTAGCATCTAATTAGCCAGTGGCAACGGCCATTCCCGTTCGCATGGCCACGAGGACGGGCATGACCTGGTCATCTCTCGACACATCAGATATCACCATACTCTTGATACTCTATATGCTCAATACGGAGTAATGTACAGGCCGAATGAGCGTGTCTGATCACTGGTACTCGGCCGCTAATGCATCACTCACATCAACGCCAACCGGCAGACTAGCAACCTAGCAGATCAGACTATGGATTAGACAAAAGGCCCCAAGAACTCGCGCCCGTCTGACCACCAACCAAGCCCTTCCAGCAGCTCGCCGATCGCTGCAAGCCGCTGCTAGTGCGTGGAGTCGATCTGGGGTGAGATCGCATTCAGGTCTTCGCTGAGTCGAGCCTGTGACGGCCACATCTGCCATCGATGGAGTCTACGGGGTATACGGAGTCTGGGTACAGTCGAAGTGGCACAGTTAAGATCTTGGTCTGGTCATCCAGAAGGTGGTCAGGCATCAGAACACAGTTTCCGCTATCCACATGGCTGTCATGTTATCTGCTATACCGTATAGGCCATGCACTGCACACCGAGTGTCATATGGGTGTGCAAGAGGCAGAAGTCTATGGTAGGCAGTGTGGTAGCACGGCGGCATGCTGGATGCAATCCGCGGAGGTTGAAGGGGAAAGGAGACCTTACACGGCAGAGATGTCTGTGGATGGGTGGAATCGATGACACCGTTACCTTTTTTACTCTATACTCATATTCAATAATATGCCACAATACCACTCATTAACCGAGCAATTCGCTTCCGTCTACCAATATACACCTCCCGCTCTGACATGTCGACTCCGCGTTGTCCATGAATTTAGACCCTTTGCTCGACCTCGTTGATACGATCTCCATACTTTATTTCTCACCGCTATCCCATGTGCTGGTTCCTCGATCCTCATGACGCGGGACGGCCGTGATGTCGACATGGACATCCGAGGCAGAAATATGTTTCAAGTGGGAGTGCAGATGCCGACTGAACTTATTTTGGAAGATGTCGACGTGGTGTGGGGTGATGCATGGAAAAAGGGATGTTCATATCATATCGTTGATCACTTACATACGTCGTACATTGAGAATAGATCCCGAAATAGTGCCATATAACAGACTGCCATCCAGCAAACAAATCCGTCTCTAATGATGTGTCGTCCTAACCCTTGGTCTCCAGCTTCACCCTCTCAATTGCCTGTGCAAGCCTCTTGATCCCTTCCTCCAACACATCCTCGTCCACATACGCCAAACAGATACGCACGAAGCTATCCAGCGACTCACCTGCGTCTCGATAATCAGGCTCTGCACCCGCACCGGCGACTCTAAACTCCTCTCCCTCGGCAAGCTGCAGATTTAGCTCTTCCTTCGCTACTTTCGCGACGTGACTGGATTTCACACCAGAAGGGAGATGTAGCCAGAAGAAATAGCCGCCTGAGATGTCGCTGGGGATGTCCTCGGTGGTTACAGCGGGGGAGAGGGGCTTGATGAAGTTGACGCCGAGGGGATGCAGATGTTTTTCAATGGCGGAGCTGAGGATATAGTATCGCCTTGCGTACGCGGGACAGAGAACTGTAGGGATGAAGTCCTGTATGAAACCTGTAGAAAGAAGGTGGGACATGAAGGTAGACGTCAACTGGGATGGGGCACCGCCAGACCGTGTTGAGCCACTATCCGGGTATACACATTTAGTCTTGGTCAAGAACTATACGTATAGAGATACTCACGTCTGCCCGACTGCGTATGCGAACTTCTCTGTCCCCTCTGCCCAGCCAACACGACATCCAGGACCGAGCAACTTGCTGAAACTCCCATTACTCATACAGTTCCCAAACTCGTCGACAGGCCCACCGTCCAGGAATCGATCTATATCGACCAGTCGGGGCGCAACGGCGGTAGTAGGCTGTGGCTGCGTGGATGAAGGATCGCTGCGCCATTGTAGAAAGTCATAGACATCATCGGTGACTACGAGTGCGTCGTACTGTCGAGCCAGACGGACAAGCTGCTTCCGCCGCCGGAGAGACATTATTCTAGACGAGGGATTGGAGAAGGTGGGCGTAGCATAGATGATGTGTTTGTATATCTTGCGCCATGGCCTGGGAAGTTTGAGCTTCTACCCATCGTCAGTATAAGAAGAGGTAGAAGGGATAATATATGCTATACCGGCGTCAAGTTACCATCGGCAACTGCCTGCTCCTCGCTCTTCTTCAGCTCCCTCTCCAGCGCCGCAATATCGATACCCTCTGCATCCTCCCTGACGGCCCTCATCTTATCTCCGAATCCCGCATCCTCGAATATGCCACATGCAAGATAATACGTCGGCGACACCAGCCATATGTTCCGCGTATACACCGGGTCAGAAAACACCTGCAACACACAGGCTAGATTCTGGCTTGCCCCTCCCGATATGACGATGCGGTTTGCCCCCACGGCCTCCCTTGGCTGGTAGAAGGTAGTCAGCCATCTGGAGATCTCGGCGCGTAGGGAAGGATCCCCTTCATCGGGCCCGTAGCCTAGAGCTGGCGCAGAGAGGGCCGGGGAGGCGAGGACGGCCGTAGATGCGCTGGAGAGGGCGGACGTGGGGTGTAGAGAGGGATGCGGCCAGCCGCGAAACAGGTTGATGGGAGATTTGGTGTAGCGGACCGTCATGGCTGTTCCTTTGACTGGTATAGTTGTCTAGCTGGCAGATAGACCTTGCTAGCGATGTTCCATTATTAAGTCTTGGATGCGGCGCGGGGCGAGCTGATCCATGTATACATAGCTCGCTGCTTAGCTCAGACTTCGACGGTGCATCCGATATCTTGCAGGGTCATTCCAGCAGCAGTGTATATATCACTGTATCTATAGAAAGGTAAGTATTATATTGAGCAATTAGTGCTTGATATCCCACTCACCTTGGTTTTTGCGTAAACAGGATAGGTTTAAGACTCTGAGTATGAGGAGTCCTATACAACGCATCCATCTCTCGATGTTGTTGTATCTTCCCTTCTGGGCAAAAGAAAGTGAGGCTACACGTGATCTACAAAACAGCATTGGTGGTTTAGTGGTAAAATCCGTCGTTGCCATCGACGGGCCCCGGGTTCGATTCCCGGTCGATGCACTTTTTTTTGTTTTTGTCTCATCGCCTTGGAGGTTATTCGGGTGTGTTTTTACACCTGAATTTTTCGTTGAACAGCATGCGATCCCTGGCCAAATAGTCACTGACTGACCGGCTGCATTGCATATTTGTCACATGATCAGTAACTACAACTCCCGTCCCCCCGTTTCTACCAACATCAGTTGATGATATCAACCCTTCACAACTCCTTGAAAAAAGCCATGGGACGAAAGAGAGTGGTTGTAAGATACCAGCCATATATCTTGCCGCTATATCATCTAGGTAGACTCCATCTAGAATAGACCTGGCCCAGTCTCATCGTTCTTCGGATATATCCTACAACTTAGCACTCCATCTTCACCTCTTTTGTGATGCACTGTATGCGAGGCTTTTGTTTATAGCATGGCATATTTGGACATAATAGTTCAGACGTATAGCATTCGTCAAGTGTTATTTCACAAATCCTCGAGATATCATTACTCCCCTGGTTCTTCTTCCTGGTCAGCAATTTCAGTTCTCCATAACTCGAGTGTTTTAGAGCTGTATAATGTGTCACGGTGCTCGGGACCTAAAGTCTCAATGCTAAGCTGTAAACACTCAACCATGAGGTCAATGGCCTCCCTCACCTTGCCTTGCTCTTTCCAGGTACAAGCAAGATTGTTCATGGCACGTAGCGTGTCTTTATGTTCTGGACCTAAAAGCCTCTTTCTTGACTCGAACACTTCTGTCTCTAGCTTCTCTGCTTCCTCCCATCGGCCCTGTTCCCAGTATGTTAATGCCACGTGGGCCATAGTCGATAATGTGGCTGGATGTTCTCTGCCGTCGACCTTTATTCCCATCTCCATCGCCTTTACCCCTAACTCTTCGGCCTCCTTCAACCGTCCCTGGTCCCTATATGTCACCGCTAAGTTATGCATTACCGTTAAGGTGTTTGGATGCTCTGCACCCAGGATCCTGTTGTGTATCTCTAACACCTGCTCTTCTAGCTCCGTAGCCTCCTCCAGCCTCTCCAGGTTCGTGTATGCATCTGCGAGAACACCCATACTGGTTAATGTATTTGGATGCTCTAGGCCGAGAACCCTCTTTCTTATCTCCAGCACTTCCATCGCGAGCTCTTGAGACTCCTTCCACCTCTCCTGTCCAGCGTATGTTCGTGCCAGATAACTCATAGTAGTCAATGTGTCTGGGTCCTCTGCACCACGAACCACTTTCGTCCTTTCAAGCACGTGCAGTCCTATCTCCTCCACTTCTACCAATCGCCCTAGGTGGGTATATACCGCCGACAAGTTGCCTAGGCTAACCAATGTTGTAGGGTCCTCCTCACCCAACAGCCTTTTCCTTTTTTCTACAACTTCCTCCAGTAACTCCGCAGCCTTCGCCCACTTACCCGCATAGAAGCATGATAAGCCTAGTCTACCCATAGCGTCTAGGGTGAGCGCATCCTCGTCGCCAAACACTTTTTTACATACTTCCAGCGACTTCTCTGCCAGCTCGTCCGAATCGGCCGTATTTCCCTTGGCCATGGTATACTCTGCTGCATTTCCCAAGAGCGAAGTCCACATTCCTACAACCTCTTTATCCTCGGGCTCTAGTCCCAACGCTACTTTTGCATGGGGGAATAATACCTGGCAGATTGCCCAAGTTTTGTAGTCCCCATCTGGAAAATTGGCAGAAAGCTGTCTGATAAATTGTTGCTTCCAGGTTTCATGTGCACCATGAGCCTTGAGCCACTTCCGAGTGGCTAGCTGCACCAGCCTGTGCATTTCGAAGAGAGATGGATCCCCGCCAACTGAGATAAACGAGTAGTCCCTTAGAACCTGCAGGTCGTTTTCGAAGCCATCATCCTCGCTTGATTCGGATGTGCTGGAAACGGAGTCACGGTCTTCATCACTGTCTTCATCGCTAGCGCTCTCGTCCGGCCTCATACCATTACGGCAACAATGGAGCATGAATTCGGGAATCCCCTGCCGGTCGAAAAAGCTCATATACGATAGCAAGTCGGTCGCGGACCGGCGCCTTTCCCGTATATGTTCAAAGGATATTTGCCATGTAGTAATGACGGAGTTTTTCGCATCAGTGTCTCGACGAATCTTCCCTCCTTCAAAGCTAAGCAGGCTTGTCTTTCTAGAATCACTCTTCTGGAACTTTTCAAAATACTGCTCCACTGAGACGCGGGGTGCTCTTTGGGATATATATGCTGCAGCCTGGGCGATTGCAAGAGGCATAAACTCAAGTGCTTCGGCAAGGTTGGCAAGGGATCCGTCATTGGTAGTTGATCCGAGTTTAGTCCTTAGGAGGGCTATTGCGTGGGTCTCATCCATAGGTTCGACTGGTATTATGTCACTTTCCCCTACCAGCTGTAGAGCCGCCTGTCTGCTTCGGGTTGTGATTAAGACCGATCCATTCTGCGCTTTGGGAAGATACGTGATCAGTCCCCTGCCGTTGGACTGTCCTTGATCAGAAGGTCCGGGTTTTAAGAGAAAATCAGGCTCATCGGCATTGTCGAGTATGATCACCCATTTCCTACCATGATTGCAAAGCCAGTCATAGACTAGCTTTAGGATATTATCAGTCTCATCCCGCTTAGGAATCTTTGCTCGTTCTGCAATCTCCCTATAGCTTTCCTCGAAACGTGCTGAGTTACTCGCATATACCCAGAACACCCATGTTTCAGGCCTCTGATCCCTGATGCGGTAACCATGTTCAATTGCCAGCTGAGATTTCCTTTCGGCAACAAGTTAGTAGCTGTAGTAGTCTGATCTTGGTATATTTACTTACCCAACGCCTCCTAGGCCGACAAGAGCGGCCCAAAAACCCGGGGTAGCCTTTTCATTTATCTGGTCAAGGATTGTTTGACGGACGACAAAGTCCCGATCACGAAGAAATGGGATAGTCGAACATGGACTAGGTGGTGTTGCTGGTCGTTCTGGATGGTGAATATGAGTGTTTATGGGCCCAGTGTTATACCCAACTTGAAACCCCCCATTTGCAGGTCCCTGAAAGGTCGTGGTGATATTATTGTTGACGACGTTGTTGATAACAGTCTCGAGCAATCTATCCTGCTGTGCAGCAATATCCCGGAGAAGAGAGAGATTGTTTCCAGTACCCCCTAGCACGGCTACTTCTGACTCGCAGAGCTCTCGCTGACGCGACTGAGACGCTGAAAAGAGATTAACCAGAGCATCAACCAACTCGGTAATGTCCTCTAGTAACCCGGTGAAGTTCTTTTTCTCGTACAGCGCCCACTTGGCCTTCTGCCGTAGACCTGTCTGTTTCTGGCGCGTAATAGCCAACTCCCGCATTTTTTCATGCAGTTCTCTAAGCGCTGGATCAAGGTCAGTCCTTGGGTCGCATACTGCAAGGCTGAGGTCGGTAGTGACATCTGCAACGTCTGTGCGAGCCTGACATTTAAATTTGTCCGAAATGCCTTCCGCGTCTGCGAATAGCTCGAGGATTTGGCCCATGAGAGCTTCTGCCTGGGCCATTTCCTGAGGTGGTATTTTTAGCCTGCCCCCCGCGCCTTCGTTTAGACCCAGGGCGGCACCCCATCGAGAGAGCCGTAGCTTTGCGTTATCAAGCTTGAGCTGACATGTTTGGAAGTCCTTGCCAAACTTACGGCCCAGTTGGACGTAGTCGAAGCACTCGACGGCGTTATTGAATAGCGCGGCGAGGCCCACGACGCCAACGACAAGACCGGCAGCTTCTGCCATGTTCGGACTGGCTCTTCTGGCTCTTCTGGCTCGCAGACACTGGACTGGACTGGATATATGGCAGATGTGGCCCACTATTCCGATGATACTTGCGTTGCTTCATGTAAAGAGAATGCAAGTTGCCCAACACGCCATCAGGAAACTACCATCGCAGAGAACAAGAGCGCGATCATGCTGTTTTCTCGACCGCATCAGGCTGGCGGACGTGGAGTGCTGTGATTAGCTCGCGCGGCGCAAGGATGGCCTCCGGGGTAACAGCGAGAAACCATCGGCCGTGATGCAGCCACGATAACACTGGACATGATCATGCTTGGTATTCCGTATACTCCGTACTCTGTACTCCTAGAGATAAGTGTGGTATACTCCGTAGGAACCATCTATACTCGTAGATAAGTAATAGGCATCCATAGTGTACTCCGTATGTCTTATCGCGATAGTGATTCCGCGTCTCCTTTCCTCGACGTCATCTTTTCTCCTTACAAATTGATCCTTCGTGGCAGAGAGCTCCGTGGCTTGCTGGTGGAGCGCGCAGGGCTGTCCCTTCGCATGGTACTAGTGGTGACCCCCTGTTTTACCTTGTCTTGTCTCGCCCGGCTGTCTCGTGTGGACAGGGTTTGCAGCCCAGGATCGGGTTCCTGGAGCAAGAGACGACGAGGCGACGAGATGACGAGATGACGGTGAAGACAGAGTCTATCTCTCCTTTATTTCACGCCAACCACGTCAGATATTTCCTGTTCCTGCTTCTGTTCCTGCTAATCGTCAATTTAACCGTCGATGGCGGAAGTTTGAGACGGGAGAAAAAAAAACAACTTCGAAGGTTCTATTCTTAGATCAAGCATAAAACAAATAAATATACGAACGGCACGTTCTCGGACGACTGGACCGGCTGCCACGCTGGCGGTAAACTCAGTGCTTTGTGATGTGTCTGGAGGCTGATGCTGTGAGAGGCGCGAGGAGGAGATCATGAGACGGAGTGACGAGATGCAGAGGCAGAGGCAGAAGCAGATGAGAGGCAGAGGCAGATGAGAGGCAGATGAGAGGCAGAGGCAGAGGCAGAGAGGCCAGGATGGGAGAGGCGACAGCGTGTCTGCGGACGAGTAAACCCTGTATGGCCGAGGAGAGTCCGTAGATGGTGGACGAGGTGGACGAGGTGGTGTTTCGTCCTTGATATACGGAGTTCTATCTTCACCTCTCACTTCTTCACTTCACTTCTTCACTTCACTTCTCCACTTCACCACTTCACACTTCACACTTCACCACTTACTTCACCACCACAGCGGCCTATCCCTGACTAGCACTGCAAGGCTCAGCATCATCCACTCGTTCTTACAGTTGCTGCGGTAGTCCAGGCAGACCACGCGAGAAGCGACGAGGACCAAGCAAAACAGCCACTAGCCGGCTCTAAAATACGAGAACTCTTGTCGTCGTCTCGGACGTGACGCTGATTTCCACCCTCCCGGACTTGTTTGGTCGATCGATCGCATAAGGATACGCACTTGGGCTGGTGGCCGACATATATAACCTCCGGGATCGAGCAAGGGCAATACGAAGGAGAAAGTCCTTGAGCCGCATCGACCAGGAAATACATATCAGCTTAGCCTTCTCAATCCTTCATCCTCATCCTCGCGGGCGCAGCGAGCCTGAAAACACAGATCAGAAAGAAGAAAAAGAAGAAAAAGAAGAAAAATAAAAAAATTGGGCCTTGTTGCTTTTCTTGGATACGCTACTTCGACTCCCTGAAGGACTACGCCCGGCTCTGGAAATCCTCAATATTTAGGCTCGCCCTTTTCTTTTTCCACCGTCGCTTCTACGGATTCATCTAGCGGAGAGCCGGATTTCTTCCTGCTCCGTACTCATCTCCGGCATATTCACCTCTTATCAGTGTTTGCCTCGCCACTTCAAGGAAAAAACGGTGACAGCAAACCAGGAGCACAGCAGCAGCACAGCAGCAGCAAGGAAAGCAGGCAGCTCTACATCAACATATTTCCACCTGAGCCGAGACATCTGACCAACTTCAACCATCATTTCTATCACGTCCATGTTGCTCTCTGCACTGTGGCCTTGATTCTCTCTCACCATGCTGGCCGCTCCATCCAACAATCCGGTCCGCCGACTCTCCTCTCTCTTCTCCCTGGGCTCGCCAAAGCCCGACGAGAAACGCTCCTCCTCTGCCAAATCCTCCCAGGCAACAGCCGCCTCGTCCCGCTCTTCATCAACAAACTCTTCACCCCTCCAGGCCCAGCATAGCCAGCACCAGCAGCATCAACATCACCTGTCCGAGCAGACTCATATATCAACGCTGAATCCTCGAAACGTCTCTGCTCCAGTACCGGGTGAGCATGCATATCAAACCTACACGCCTCCTCCACGCCTATCCAGCCTGAACCCAGACTTAGCAAGCCCGCAGTCACCAGATGCGCATCGTCGTCGCCAGAGCTGGAGCGATGCCATACCCCGTTTCGGCACGGCTGTGAATAGACCTGGCTCACGATCGGGCCCGGGACTCGGAGTTTCAGGAGTTAACATGAATCCTACCCCTGCTGCAGTAGGGAAAGCGAGAAATTGGGCGCCAACCAAGTCGAAAATGGGCGCGGACGCTTCAAACGCTGGAAAGCGGGCTTGGATCGCTGGAACTGATAACGATCTGGCATACGATATCAGTACCTTACTGGCAGGAGAGAGGGTAGGATACATTTCTACTTCTTACTACGCATGTACATCGCTGACTTGACTTTGCTAGGTAACTGAACTCTGGGATGACGCCGGAGATACATACGTCTACCTCTTCCCGCAAGTTACCGGCCGCCCGGCCTCCTTCAAAGTCGACTCCTCCATCTTCTCTGCATCAGCATCCCTCACCATCCTCGCCCGCGGGTCCGCCAACCCGTCTCCTCCCCAGTCCACACGCGGTGGCCGACAGGGCCTCCAATCTCACAACCCTAGCTCCGCCACTCCTCCTCTCTCGACACGGAACGGATCTACCTACGACGATGGTTCGGATGGGCAGACTTCCCAGGATGGCTTCCTCGATGACGACGCACAGGAACTACATCTCTACCTTCCCGTACCCCTCAACAGCGATCTGTCCTCTGGGCCAGAACCGCCTGTCCTCGCTGACGATGACATGGACATGCTAGTCCTTTTCCGTAACCTGTTTGCCTTCCTCATCGGCCAGGCGTTGATCGCTACACCTCGCTCGCCATCTATATTCGCCATCTTCATAGAGGTGTCCGGTCTGCTGGATCGGTTTGGGTTTACAAATCTAGACCAGTCGACGTTTGGAGAGACTGCTACGACCAGCTTCGGATGCTACTGCGACGAACTGGATTTGATCGATGTGCGTGCGTCGAAGGAGCGGGCGTTGGATGCCATCATCCTCGGTGAACGGATGAGGTACCTTCCTCTGTACCAGGAAGGATTCACACATGGCGTCGCCGTGCTGGACGATATGAAGAAATACGAAGCAAAGTTCAAGGCCGTTTCGCCCGTGACCAAGAAGAGGCTGGAGCGAGGATATTTAGATCTGGACAACCGGATAAAGACCTGCGCTGCCAAACTCGAGGACTTTGACTTTCCTTCCTTGTTCGCCGGTATTGCAAACTCGAACATCGCCAACGAAGCTAAAGTCATTAGCTTCAAGAACTGGAAGAACGCGTATATAGGCTACCGAAAGAATGTCATGACCTACTATCGTGCCCGCTTCGGTTCATGGCCGCCCAAGGCTGGATCAAAGAAGAACCAGTTCCAAGAAAGCGGCCTCAACCGCCTGGTCCTTCGCGAACTCTACCAGGACGTCTGCGACCTCTACGACATGCTCGTCGACCGCAACCACCTCACCACCCGCTCCGCTGATATGACGACCTCCGTCCTCAAGGCCGAAGACGCAAACTCCACCTCCCAGGCTCTCCGGCAGGTTATGTCCGAATACGATCGTGCCACACCGCCAGTCCAACCGCCTATCCCCTTCGACATTCCTCTCTTGCCATCCATACACTCGATACGTCGTAAACTAGACCCTAAACAGGAATCCAAGGAACGCAGCAAACGGCTCTCAACCGGAGAAGTCAACGAAATCCTCGTCTCATGCTACAACCACACTAGCATGAAACCTACCCCGTTCCTGGAGAACTTTATGAATTATGAACGCCGTGTCGGTCATGGTAAATCCGCCGATGAACTAGCGGATATGCGTTGTGGACAGTGGCTGTTCATGTATGCTGTCATTCAGTCTTTGCCGATGCTTGTCGTCGATGCGCCGGATCTCAGATGTACACACGGCGTGGAATATTTCCTCTGCATTCCACCACGCGGTGGGTCGCCATGGTGTGCATCTGACCCGAAGAGCGGTAAGAAATGGTTCGGCGTCGCCGGCGGATCAGGTGTGGTTAATCTACCATCTGACGTGGTTGCGAATGGTGTCGATGCTGTCTATCGACGCAGTCACTGTTGGGATGTTGCTTTGAAGTGGGCGGACCAGCAACAGATTAATTCGTCTGTTATGCTAGATCCAGCTACACAGCCAGAGGAACCGCAGTACCCGCCTCCTCCTCCTCCACAGAGCCAGCCACAGTCGCCGCAACAGCAGTACCAACAGCAGCAATATCCTCAATATCCTCAAGCGCCACTGCAATACCAACAGCCGCAGTATCCTCAGCAGCAGTACTCTCAACAACCACAGCAGTACCAACCATACACGCAGCAACAGTACCAACAACAGCAATATCCTCAGCAACAATATCAGCACTACCAACATCCATCTCTCTCCGTTTCCACGCCTGATCAACCCACCACAGGCCCCGTCTCCGGTCCGGGCACTCCAAACGCCTATCCAACACCCACTCAGGCTCAAAACTTCTATCCATTCCCTTACCCGCCGCCTCTCTCGTCTACCGGCTCCTCTTCCGATCGCCAGCCCACACCGCTCCTCACCCCAGGCGACGTCACTCCCCCCAACATTCCCATGCTTCATCTCCAACCGCCCAACTCGGCCTTTGCCCGCGGTGCTGGAAACCCAGGTAATCGCTCGTCGATATACATGGGCCTTGAAGCGCTGCCGTTACCTGCTGGCGTTGCCCCCATTGACCCGTCGGGAAGGACAGTCAGCCACAACCCCAATGCAAGCTTCGATCATATACTGCAGGGAGTGACGCAACAAAAGAAGAAGAAGTGATAGATTCACTCAAAACAACATTGGCACTTAAAACAACATTGGATTCGGTTTTTTCCTTTTTCGCCTTTTTCCTTTTTGGCTTGGCTTTGCATTGATTGTTTGCCTTTTTCATACATTGCTGGTGCAGCGCGTACATTTACATTGTTTACTGCAGATGAGTACAAGACGAGACAGGACGAGGATGAATGGTTTTAATTTTTAATTAATGCACGACTGACACATACTGACATGCAAGCGAGAAGCCGTACCCATACTTCTCTTACTCTTGGCTTTTTAGATACTTCCTTTTCCTTTCCTTTCCTTTTCTTCTACTTTTGCTTCTGCTTCTGCTTCTTGCTTACTTGTATTTTGTATTCCATTCCATTCCATTCCATCATCCAGGCGGCGCTGCACAAAAGAACAAAAAATGTTGCCGAACTGAATAAATAATAGACATTACTTACATTACATGAATCATATATACATACAACGGGGTTTCGGGTTGCGGTTTTATAGCCCTTGGTTTCGGATTTTTTGGGTCTGTTGCGTGTTTGTCTGTTTATGCTGAAGGAGGAGGATTATCGTGTCTACTTGTTTAGCCTGCATGTTATATATTCTACTTTGAATTGGAAAGAAGAAAGATTCTTATTCCTCGTCCCTTTCTTGCTATTTTTCGCTAATGTCTACCATCGATTGGAGCTTGGGTGTTATGGTGTGAGCTAACATTATCCATTCTCCGTCAGGCCTTCTCGACCACTCATCTCGATGATCGCCAACATCTAGGTAAACCCAGCCATGTTGTTGGCGGTCTAACTAGTATAAATATAGGACTGGCGTTTATGACATGGAATATTCTCTTCTGCGGACCTTCGCCAAGTTGCTCCCGTCTCTCACCTCCGAAAAATTCAACGCCTGCGAAATTCTATTTAAAGCGCTTCCACAGATTCATCCAGCAACTTTACTAAGGACACCAACTATCCAATCAACCTGCCGGATTTATGGTTAACTTTCCTATTTAAGCATGCGGGAACGCTGAACCATGCGCCAGGCCGCTGCACGAACCGGGGTTGAGTTACAGAGTTGGGGTCGACCTGTTAACTACTACTGTTATATGTTGGATACAGGGCTCTACAGCAGCAAGCGTCTTAGGTAAGACACCGTTCGAGGCTGTGTATTGATTTTCGCGGTTGATCTCTTGCAACGGGCATGCTACATAACTGGCTAGACGCATAAACGGCAACGCTGCCCGCGTGGATAGAATACCTTCTGGTCGCCCTATTGTCTATGCTATCTATGATGCTTCCCCAGATACCATCCGCAGTCATGCATACCCAAGTACATAGCCTCGCTATGTATCCCGGATGCAGAGTTACATAACAAGGGCCCGACCCTGCAATGGGGCCAAACATGGGCTTGAATACCCAAATGACTCGGGCTGTGATTAAGCGCAACCCATACCATATCCAACATCGTTATCCGTTGACCCCTTGCCGGATATATGGGGCTGAGGCTTAGAAATCCTGCCCTGGTTTATCGCGACCAGGTAGAATAACATGGTATAGAGGAAGATGGACGATGCGAGCTGTGATGAGGTTATGTTTATAAGAATGCTGCTCTATCCGCTGAAACTGGCTGGCTGCATAATTCATCTGGCACCTCGAATACTCCCCTTACCTCAAAGATAGAGCAAGAAAACGTCCTATCAACCATGAAGTTGTTTTCTCTCTCCTTGCTAGCAATATCTGCATTCTGCTATCCTTCTACATCGGCTGCATACAAACAAACTTCCACAAAGGATGTGGTGAACTCCTGGGAATCCGTTCAAGCAAGACATCTCTCTCCAGCATACCCTCAAGGTGGTCTTAGGAAACGCCGTCCAGGTTCTATACTGCAAAAGGAGGCAAGCCTTGATTTCGTTGACCATACCGCTCACCTTACCGCACGCTCAAATGATCCCGTCTTCGTAACGAACTTGAACGTGGGGAGCCAACACCCGATTCTTTTGCTGGAAGATCTAGAGGATGGGCTTCACGATATCAGCTGCTCCGAGTCGGGTATCAAACTCTCCTTTGATTCCGCCGAATATATGGAAGCAGTTAGTGAAGAGTTGATGGGTATTGGGGAGTTTGTTGCTATCTCTTCGCACTTAGATTGCAACGAGGATGAGCAGCGAGCACCGCATATGTGAATAATGGATTCTCTGGTTAGAAGAAGACAAGTGCTAACGCCGGTATAGGATCACCAAAGTTACCGTGGACAAAGCGAACAACACCATTACGCTTTCGCGGACAGATACTCGGTGGGAGGATGCACTCTCAACCATCGATGTCTCCTTCTCTCGTAAGAGACAGAGTAATGTCGTCAGGCGCAGTCAAAAACCCAACAACTCCATCAAGCGCAGATATGAATCCTCTACTGCCTCCTCAACTCCCACGATGCAATTCCCATCTGTGCCTTCGTATGCACCCAACTATCCTACCACAAACAAGATTAATGTTAGCTACAAGAACAAGACATTAGTCCCGCCAGGGATACCTGGTGCAAGCCTGATCGGGTTGTAAGTTTTTCTATTCTATGGTCAAAGGGCCTGACCAAGGCTAACCTGTATAATAGGCCTGAAGGAATCACCCTATCTTGCAAGGACTGTACTCTTAGCGGAGGCCTAGAACTTTCGGATGGCTCGTTCAGGCTCAACCGTTCAAAGACAGATATTGGCAGCACCCTCCAATTCATTGCCGAGGGTGAGGTTGCACTGGATGTTAGTGGAATATTCGCTCGCATGGAGCTCGAATTGGCTCTCGACGCGGGCAAGGAATTGCTCAACTTTTCGGCACCGTTTCCATCTATCCCCCTTACTCCCTTTGCGGTAAGTTTATTTTTTGCAAACCATGCCCGCCCGATAATGGCGCACAGTGTAATTTTGAGCTAATTTAGGCTAATTCGCTATAGGTTCCTGGTATCGTTCAATTCGGAGCTATTTTCACCCCACAAGTCTCGGTATCGGTTACCTTGAGCCAACCCATGAACTTTAGTTATGGGCTCGAAGTACTGGTATGCCACTATTCGCCTATACAGCGGGCTATCAGACACTAACACCCCCTTGTTGCAGGTTCCAAAGGACTCAAGTTTTAATATCAACCTTAACGAAATTAAAAATTCGACAGCCGAAGGATTGTAAGTGAGAATTGTGGAAAGACAAGAGTAACGCTGGCTAACTCTTACGCTTTTCAACCAACGATTAGCGAATACACTAAATTCACCGAGATACCCTTCCAGTCCTCTCACGGTATCACCGATCTTACCTTTGCCGTCAGCTTTTCACCACAAATCCTTTTGGGTATTGGCTCCCCCACAGGCCAACTCAAGGGCGGCGCCGGCGTAACCTTCAACATGCCGCATGCATCAGTGAAGCTCAGCCAACTAGACGGAGTTGACGAGAACTGTGAAACGGTCGCTCAAGTTCCCGGCAACCAAGAAGGCAAGAAGAAGGAAGGCGGCAGTCTCCTTGACAGCCTTGTTGGCAACTTCACCAACGTTGTGCCGAAACTTGATTTCAGCGTTGTCCCTTTTATTGAACTAGGGATTCGGTTACCTAATCTCGACGTGGTTCGGTATCAAGAAACGACCGTTGCGGCTACGCAATACAGCCTACCGACGGCGTGTTTGGCGTTTGATAAGAGGATGAGCACGTACGGTGCCCCAAGCCAGGTTTTGGCTACCACGACGGCCGGGTCGACGGGGACGGCTCTTCCCGACAAGAAGAAGGCAGCTGCTGTGCAAGTCAGTATGACCAGTGGATGGATATCATTATACGCATGCCTGGCAGTGGCAGCGATATTTACTGCCCTGTAGGTGAGGATATATGGGAGCTCTGTCTTTTCTTCTTTTTCGACCATCGTTCATTTTTGCATAGACCAGCTGATATTTGTGCCCCTATGCCATGTTTAATGACTTACACCTAATGAGTATTCACAACTTGTTATATAGCGAATATATCCACGAGATCCAGGGAATTCTATAATTATTTATTATCGTCCATCTCTCCTCACCTCGACTAGACATCAGTAGAAGAGTATGGTAGAAGAGTATGGTATATAAAGGGCGAGGGGAAGGCGCTCTCACCATCAAAGACCGGCCTTGTGGTCTAGTGGTATGATTCTCGCTTTGGGTTCTTCCAAGTCTGCGAGAGGCCCCGTGTTCGATCCACGGCGAGGCCCCTTTTTTTGCTCTTTCTCCTGCCTCTTCTTCTTTTTTTATACACCCACGACCGACAATGAGATCAGGATGAAACTCGGGGTTGAGAGAAGGCTGTGCCTGTTGTTTGGCTGCTGGCTGAAGTTCTTGGTTGGGCGGTTGTTCCTGACTCATCCATGGATACACGAATATGCTGGAGATGACTCTGTTTACGAGCATCAAGCTAGTTCTACAGGCTGTTAGGAGGCTGCTCGCAGGTTACTGGTAGACTACTCGCAGGCTACTCGCAGATTAGCGAGATTGCACAGTCATAACGTTGTCGGAGTCACTCTGCGCGGTTGGCGTGGGAGCGCTTTTGATGCCTCAGGATCACCATCCCAGTTCAGCTTCACCAGGCGAGAAGAACAGTCTCTGACTCAGTGGTGGATATCTTCAAGGCAAGGCTTCAGCTTGTACAGGGCGGTCGGTACATATTTAACATGGTGAAGCCTCGATAGGAGGAGGTCCTCTCTTGAAGGAAGACACAGCTTCATATCTCCCCTTCTTTACTATTACTACATCACATCCCAAGACCAGATAACAGCGAGACCTATGGCGGACCCTGAATCATCTCCGGAAAGGTTATCGCTTGTATCCTTTCAGACTGCACTTTGCATCGTCCCTCCACGGCATCTGTGGCAGGATATCGACCGTCTCAGGTCTCTATACGATCAGGCATACGGCAGGTGGCCGCCACATATCAATCTTCTTTACCCGTTTGTCGCAGCAGACCAATTGCCAGTCGCCTCTAAACTCATACAAGATGCGTTGAGCGTTTTAAACCAGTCTTCAGAGTCCAGCAAGATTCATCTGCAATCGGGGCCAGCTGGCTACTTTCGCATCCGTGGACGCAACCATACCATCCATCTCACACTAAAAGACGAATCAAAGGCCCAACTCGTCAAATTTAGGACTTCTGTTCTCGAATCTCTCGGACAGCATGGCCTAGAGGAGCGTCAGTACTGCCCACATCTTACCGTCGGCCAGACAAAACCAGACGATGACCTGCGAGACTTCTTACTTGATAAAGTCAATAAGCTGCCCGCTATCCAATGCGACCTTGGGCACCTCGTAATTCTCCATCGTGAGAAGGAGGGAGGTCCCGGCGGAACGAGCAGGATGGTGATATGGGATGCAATCGATCTATCCGGAAACAACATGTCGAATTCCGAGGAGCTTTCTCGGCTGTACAGCGGGATTTCGCTGCATGGCCTGGAAACAGCTCTTGATGAACCAAGTCACAGTGTACCCACGGAGCCTATGACTACTTATGAATTTTCGACCGATCGCCGTTCGTGGAATCCCATTACGGAGACATCAGTGGAAACGACGAATGTACGAACCAACAGTCTTGCCGTCTCTACATATAATGTTCTGGCAGAGTCTACTCAACCACCACCCCGAGACCGATATGACCTCCTGGTTAAGCATATTCTTTCCACACACGCCCTGGCAGATGTCCTGGTTCTCCAGGAAGTCTGTGATGATTTTCTGATATTCTTGCTTTCTCGTGATGACATTCGTCGACGATACCCATTTGTTACACATGGACCTCCAGGCCAGGACGGGATACCCCCTCTCCCGAGCCTCCGGAACATTGTTGTCTTTTCTCAGTGGAAGTTTACTTGGGCCTGGCTGCCATTTGAAGCGCGGCATAAGGGCGCAGCCATTCTGAAACTGGATGGAACCGGGGACTTAATTTCTTCCCTGCCTACCGTGATCGCTGCTGTCCATCTTAGTTCAGGGTTAACCGATGCCACTGTGGACAGTAAAATGTCCCAGATACGCACCATCTTAAGCCTGCTAGATAAAGACTACCCCGATAACCCCAGTGTCATTGCTGGTGATTTCAACTTCGCCACTTCGCAGGAGGTTATTGATACGTCTTTGAAGCAAAAGACTATTTCATCAGCTAGCGTGGAGAAGATAATGGGGCTCAACTATTTACTATCCAAGGCTCAATTTATGGACGGATGGGCTGTTAGTTGTGCTGAATTTGGGGATGCCCCCACAGATCCAGTCACGGACGACAGCTCTGGTGAAGGGGAGCATGGAGCCACATTCGATCCGATCTCGAACCCTCTTGCAGCCCAATCCTCAGTCAATGGTAGACCTCAAAGATATGATAGGATCTTTGTCCGCCAAACCGGCAAAAGCACGGTTACTGATTTCAATTTCTTTGGCCTGCCTGATACCCCTGAAGATGGGAAACCGTCTCTTTCTGAGTTTGCCAGTGATCACTGGGGAATACGGGCCCAAGTGCAGATTGGGCGTAATTTGAAAGAAAATAAAGCTACAGAAGCCGTCTCCAAGGCTGCTCCGTTAGAACTAAAAGAGGTGCCTGAGAGCCTGTCCGCCTCAGAAGGGCTCGAATCGGGTTTACAGGCTTCTTCGATGTTTCCTGGTGAAGGTGATATCAACACACGAAAATCTATCGTCGCTACACTTACAGGAATCCTGACGGAGCCAATCCACGACTCTAATGGTAGAGATATCAAAACACCACTTGTTTTGATTCCTGTTGGCTCCTATGGTTTAGGTACTTGGAATCCAAACTCTGACATTGACTGCCTGTGCATTGGCGCTATAAGCTCAAGCACTTTCTTTTCGCTCGCAATTCAAAGGCTCCGAAGGGCATCCGCCCACGGAATACGAATCTCGAGGAAGGTCAAGGCTGCAACGGGTACAATGCTGGAGCTACAGGCTGGAAATATCAAGCTCGATTTGCAATACTGCCCAGCAGCCAAAATAGCTGAAAGGTAATATCCCTTCTTTATTTACCTTGTGTGAATCGTAGAATTGGCCACTTACCTCATTGTTGAATATAGATGGCAAGAAGCTGCCAAGTTACCGCCTCAGGACCCGATATTTGACCTGTCATTCTATTCTTTGATGAAACTTCAACCATTCAGGGACCAAGAATATCTCAAGAGAACGATACCAGACTTGCACATATTCCGCCTTGCTCATCGTTGCATTACTTTGTGGGCCAAATCATCGGGGGTTTACTCTTCGAAATTTGGATTACTGGGTGGCATCCATATAACTATGATGCTTTCGAGACTTCATCAACTTCTTCATGAAGATGTAGGACGAGTAACGGCCCCTGAGCTAGTTTCCATGTTCTTCCGTCATTATGCGAATTTTGACTGGAAAAATAAGATTGTTGATATCCCTGGAAAGCAGTCGAAGTATCGCCGCTCACTGAGAGAGCCAATGGTGATCCTAACGGTCCATACCCCTACTATTAATGTGGCCAGAGCTGTCACCGCACCTTCGCTGAGAACTATTGTTTCTGCGCTGAAACGTGCGGAACAACTCCTAGCTGAAGATGGAGCTACTTGGTCTAATATCCTCAGCGATACTAGTATCAGCCATAATAACCAAACTGGCGCAGATAAATTTTTGGTGACCTACAACAACTATATCAAGGTCAATGTGCAATACTGGGGCCCTTCTTCGGCCCAAGCCAACTCTTTGGTAGGTTGGCTGGAATCTAGATTCTTCCGCCTACTCAATGGTATGTCAAGGACACCGCATAATATGGTTTAAGTCAATACTAATACCGCATAGATCTTGATAAAAATGTTCCGGGTGTTCACGGTCGGATCTGGCCCGCTCGGTTCACCTCAAAAGACGCACCTGATGGAGCGGATGAGGGAGAAACGGAGTATCAGGGTTGCTACCTAGTTGGACTTGAACGGTTGCAAAGTGCCACGAATATCGTAGCAGAAGACGACAAAGAGGCGCTGCGGGCTACCATGGGTCAATTCACAGTTAGTCTGCATGAAGAAACCAAATACTTCGACTCCACCGTCTGCTGGATCGATACCACGCATGTCAAACAGGCCGAATTGGGCGAACTCAGACTCGACCATAGAAGCTGGGGAGAACAAGGAGGGGGGGGAATGGGTGCATCGGATTTCTTCTCCGACGAGGATGCCGATGAAGACCCCGATGAGGATGATGAAGTGACCAGTGCCTTCTTTAGCGAGGAACATGCAGTGAATAAAGCCAAACCACGCTCCAAGTCTACGGCACCAGCGTCTAAACCGGTCAGCACTAACAAACTCCGTCCCGCGGCAGATATTATCAGCCGTCTTCGCTGGGATCCTAAGATTGATTCTGGCGATTACATCGTTGGCTATGAGGATCGGTTTCTAGGAGAGAAAGAGACGCCGCTTTCCAGGTGGAAGTCAGAACAGACGGATGAGGAGTTTATACCGCAACACCGGATTATTTACTTCAAGAGGAAGAGTGATGGAAGACGTGTCTGGGATAGGGAGACAAGGAAGGATGAGATTTTCGGAAGCGGAATTGGGGGAGAGAAGCTGGCTTGAACACTCTGTCTCGCTGATACCTTCTATACAGTGTGTATCATAATATATACTCATACACTACCTGCTTCCTGTGAGTGTGCCAACTTATAAAACTTATAAGCCAGTCTTCCAACCTTTTGCCGTGCGAGATCGAATGGCATAGCACAAGCCTCTTCCCTTTGTTTGAGGCATAGCTCGACCTGCCACGCCGAGCATTGAATGACTCAATTACGAGGTCGTTGATTCGTAGAAACCTCGTTAACCGTTGTCCTGATAACGCCTTTCCTTTCTTTTTTTCTTTTCTTTTCTTCTTTTCTTTTTCTGTACTCCGTAAGCTCAGTGCCTCCCTCTCGCCGTTGGCATCCTGTCCCCCTGTACTCCATGTCAGGAAAAAAAAAAAAAAAACCACACCCCCGGCATCCAACAGAAATCATGCAGCCTTTAGTAGACCCAAGTCCTCGGTATGAGATGAAGGTTCTTGCGCTGGGCTTGCCGCGATCGGGGACACTCTCGATAGCTAAGGCGCTCACCATCCTAGGCTACCAAAACGTCCACCACACGCTGACGGACGCTGATGATGGCAAGGCAGCATGGCATGTCTTCAACCGCGCTGCCGATGCGACCTTCCCTGTGCTACCAACATATAACGGGCAAGGCTTCAGTCGAGAGCAGTGGGACAAAGTATACGGCTCTTGTGAAGCAGCAACTGAGGCCGCCGCCATGTTTGGCCCGCACATCTTCAGGGCTTATCCAGACGCCAAAGTCGTCCTTGTGAGGAGAGACTTCGATAAGTGGTTCAAAAGTGTTGATGAAGTGGTGATTACGGGGCTATGGAGCCCGCTCGCCCAATTATTCGCCTGTGCCGTACAGCCACTCCTGGGCTCGTCGACTGTCACGGCAATGAGGAAGGTCGTGCTAGGGTTTTTCGAAGCGAAGGATATTGAGGAGATACGCAAGAATCCGCGGGCTGCGTATGACCGACACCATCGAGAGATAGAGGAGGTGGTACCGCCAGGCCAGCTGCTCCATTACAAGATGGGCGACGGCTGGGAACCCCTTTGCGAGTTCCTGGGAAAGCCGGTGCCTGACATGGAGTTTCCATGGGTCAACGAGACCGCTGAGCTGAAGAAGAAGAATGTCAAGATATTCCTATCTGCTTTGTCGGCGGCAGGGATGGTACTGCTTCCGTGGGGGGTTGGGGCCGGGGCCATAGGAGTCGCTTCGTGGATGATGGTGAAGAAGTCTGGTATTCTGAGCTAGGCATGATTCTCATACGGAAGGTCATTGGACTGGCCGCTACATCTTGTTTTTTGGTGTCATCGTTACCGTCAGATATATTGATGAACAGGCGCTTTGGAGGTTGGATGTTCAATTTTAGCTAGCATCTCCTTAACTGGTTTTATCCTCACCAGTGAACGATAGCATATCACAGATTTTATGAAACAAGGTAGCTCATGAAATATACTACTTTGAAAGGATCAGGCGTCATATCATAACCATGAATATGGGCTAGATAGAATAGATATACATGATAGCGGCGAGTGTACTTTTTTACCACCACATTTCTTCAGTGAAGCCCCCCAACCAAGTAAACCAGCTATACCATCACAAAGAAGAAACCCGCATAAACGCCATTGCCTAGAAACACTCCATCCACCTAGGTAGATACCCCAGCCCAAAAGATCAATCAACTCAGAAGTAAAACACGCAGATAAAAGACAGTCAAGCTAAATGGTCATGGATATCACAACTCTTTCTTCAAGAAATGTTCGGGTTTATGCGTAGTCTCGTAGTCGACGTGTACGTAGGCTCGTTCGACATCTGGAAGACTCTCCAACTTCGTCTGAAGCTCTTCTGCAACATCATGCGTAGCCTCTAGAGTCTTGTACCTGTCCATGACGATGTCTACTTCAACGAGCAGGCGCGGACCAGAAGTGTATGCACGTACCGTGTCGATGGCCGTGATCAGCGGCGAGTGGGTCATGGCTAAGGTATCAACATTAGCTGCGCACAGGGAATGGTAAGAGTCGCTGCATGGGATCGCTTACAGATATAGGTGATGAGTTGCTGCATCTCCGTATCGGCCGTAACGCCGATCAGAAGCTGGAACTCAGAATAGGCAGTCCTGGTCCACAAGCCCGAAATAAGAACAGACAGTACCAGGGCTCCCACGGGATCGATCCACCACCGGAGCTTACTCCCACCCACGGAGGTCAAGATACCGAGCCCGTTGATGAAGAGGTCGTTCCTATGGTCTTCCCAGAGGATTCGGACCTGCGAGTACTGGTTCCGTAGTGCCCAGCAGTAAAGGAAGAGGGTGAATTTGGTGGCAAAGGCGATACACACTGCTATGACGGCTGTGAGATAGAACTTGCTTGTCTCGGAGTTGCTGCCCTCGACGAGATCCTTGATCGAAAAGGCAATAAGAATGAACGAGACAGCAGTCATAAGGAAACAGAAGAAGATGTTCCCTGCTGTTTCGATTCGGGCTTTACCTGCGGGAAACTTGCGTGCGTCGACACGCTTGACTGCCTTGTGACAGAGGAGCAGGGTCAGGTTGGACATTGGGTCAAAGATGGCGTCCGCCATCGTCGTGAAGAGGGATAGGGAGCCTGACGAAACGGCAGCGTAGACCTGGAGAATGGACAGGATGACATTTGCCGCGAAGCTGCCGTATACTGCAATCTTGTACTTGAGCTGGTTCTGCTCATTCAACTCCTTCGCGTGTCTGACATGTTCGTCGACGGGCTTCAAGAGACGCTCGATCTTCTCATTCTGGGACCGGTAGAAGGACTGCAGCCTTCTCCGGTCAGCGTTGGTTCGCCCCTTTTGCTCGCTCGAGATGCATTTCCGCCGACGACTGGTGTTTGCTTGGATCTGGTCGATTTCTGCGTTGGACTTTAACTTGGTAGATAGTTGGAAGGGGTCGTTCTCGCGAGTGTAACGGGGCGGACGCTGGACTTCTTCGTCAGATCCTTCCATTGAATAAGGGACATGCGGCACCGGCTGCTGCTGCTCGGACTGGATGACGGTCTCGATGCCGGTACTCATGGCTGGAGTCGAGGCTCTGGAGAGAGGAGGAGGTGTCTCGGAGCGGCCATGGAGGGCGTAGAGGCTCGGAGTGAACGGATGAGGAGGAGACCGAGTACCGTCCGCCATGGTGACTTGCTTTTTGCTGCTGTGCAAGCTAGATCGGCCGCGATTGGAATAGATGCGAGTGCTTGTTATCTAGGTGACGTGACAGGTCTAACGGCGTCTGCCCCCTGTGTGCGTCGTGTTGCCGTATATGTGGTATGCTGTGAAGATGCAGAGCCGTCCTCGTACTGTGTAGACCGCAACTCCGGGGAATCCGCTGGCAGGATGCGGCCGGCATCAAATACGTCGAGTCCTGGAGCTCGAGGTGAGGCGCAGGGATGAAGCCGCCAGGGATTTCCAAAACTCTTAAACTCTTAAACGCTGGCTTGGCCGCTGATTGATAAGATAACCTTGTAAACCTTGATAAGACGGCGTAAAACTCCAACCAGATCTTGATCCCGGCATCCAAGATCTCGGCCGCCTCAAGAAGTAGACCAGAACGCTGACTACTTGACTAATAGTTATTAAATAGTGTGTTAGGTCTACTATAGATTAACCATGTAATTAGTTACGGGGTACATCGGACACTTTGGAGTAGCTGATGGGTTAGTTGGCGATGAGCAGTGCCTCGGCCCACTTCGGTAATAGCTATCCCTGTACTATTTAGCTATTTAGTTAACTAATTGCTTGGAGCATCTCCAACATCCTCGCCCATAAGCATATTCCTAGAGTACGACTGGCTGACATGGCTGAACCAGCGTATAAAGAGATCGCTCGCCGGAAGCAGGCACAGCTCGAGTCTGATATACCGCAAAGCTGGCGTCTCCCCCCTCAATGGATACCAGCCGGCACCCTTTCAGTGGAAGAATCGATCACCAACACCCGCGAATACGATCAGTCGGATATCACTGATATCCCGAGACGATGCGGTCTGCTAACGTCCAGAGAACTTGAGATTACAGAGTCGTGGGATGTAAAGGGGACATTGGCAGAGATCGCGAGTGGAAGGTTATCCTCAAAAGATACCTGTCAGGCATTTTGTAAAGTATGTTGCTCAACATATACATTGATTTATTTCTATTTACTGACTGATTATAGCGTGCTGCCATTGTCCATCAGCTCACCCGATGCCTCGCAGAACCGCTATTCGGTGACGCCATGAAGCGTGCGGAGAAGCTAGATGAGCATCTCAAAACTACGGGCAAGACATGTGGCCCTCTACATGGTCTACCAATATCAGTCAAGGATACATTTGACATTGAAGGCGTGGACTCTACAACCGGCCTCGCTGCTCTTGCCTTTAAGCCGACCAAACAAAACGCCCCTCTGGTTGATCTTCTCTACTCCCTCGGAGCAGTCATCGTGGGGAAGACAAATGTCCCACAGACTGTGGGAGCATTAGATAGCGTTAAAAACCTATTCGGCCGGACACTGAACCCGTTGAACCGACGACTTACCGCCGGAGGAAGCTCTGGCGGGGAGGCTGTCATCGTCTTGATGCGAGGCTGTATGGTTGGTATGGGGACCGATATTGGTGGCAGCATCCGTGTCCCAGCCATGTGTGAGGGTCTCTACGGCTTTAAGCCTAGTGTTGGCCGGGTTCCCTTTGGCGGCCAGGAGTCTTGCTCTGTCCCTGGACGCAGTAGGGCAAGTATCCAGGCTGTTGCAGGGCCCCTCGCGAGATCAATGGATGACATCGATGCCGTAATGAGGGAGATAGTCCCCAGATCGGAGCTCTGGGGCGAGGATTGTATTCCGGGACGATGGGCCCCGGAAACTTCTACAAAGTCACCAAAATTTACTGTTGGGATACTGCGTTCTGATGGCCGAATTCCTCCGCTACCACCTGTTGCAAAGGTTCTGGAGGAAGTTGCCCAGACTCTTCGCAACACTGAAGAGGTAGAGGTCGTTGAAATACCCGTTCCGCCTGAGCTTGGAGAATGCCAGGGCGTGGCCAATTATCTGATGGGCATTGACGGTGGTGGACATATGATGGACTTGTTAGAAAGCACCTCGGAGGAACTTATCCCATGGCTAAAAGATCGAGCTAGACGCGGAACTCCCAGGTCACTCGTCGATCTCTCTAAACTCCAAGCAAAGCGCGCGCACATCGAAAGGCAGCTAATGAAGATGTGGACTCTCCCTGGATCCGACAAGACGAGGCGTGTGGACGCAATAATCCATCCTGTTGCTCCCCACCCCGTTCCGGAAATCGACAGATATAACGCCGTGGGATATTGTTCGTCATTCGTTCTGGTTGACTATCCTGCCGGTAACTTGCCTGTCCGAAAATTCACAGAGCAGGACTTGGAACTCGGGAAGGAGATGGACTCTAAGACCCTATCCAGCTGGGACAAGAAGAACCGGGAACTGTGTATGTACCCTATTCTGGCCTTATTCTTATGCTCATTTCGTTCTCTAACTTGGCTTCTTAGGGAACTCAAACACAGTTGATCGAAGAGTATATCTCAACTCCCCTCTTTCCATCCAGGTCCTAACCCCGAGGTTGCACGATTATGATCTATATTATGCCATGGACACCATTGACCGTGCGTTAAAGCATGGAAAACGCGTACCCTCGCAGTTGTGAATCGCAGCGTTTCTGATATAGCAATTTCATGTTATACAGCTGCCCTATTACCATCCTCACGACCTTCAGGAATTAAAGTCCGAATTTATCATATAACTTTATATCGTATCAATCTTGGGCATGTTATATGTCAATAAATGTAAACCCTATAGTAGATTTACATCCTTCCCTTCAACACAGCACCGCCATCGGTCGTAATGACAGCGCCATTGATATGGTTCGCCCCCCTACCAGCTAAGAACACGACCAGCGCAGCAATATCCTCTGGCTCTCCAAGTTTACCATTGGGTGTCTCCGCTGCCATCGCCTTAGCGCCTCCCTGCATCTTTATCATATCGTTTGCCATTTTAGACGGGTATAATCCAGGCGCGATTGCGTTGGTAAGGATATGCCTTGGCCCGAGAGCTACAGCGAGGTTCTTGGCCAGGTGGATGACAGCGGCTTTGGAGGTAGAGTAGCTGAACGTAGCATTGTCGCCCATAGTACCCATACCAATTCCGGCAACCGATGCAGTGATTATTACTCGAGATGTGGCTTCGACGGTGGCAGACTTTTCGAGCAATGGCGCAAACCTATTTCACCCTGTTAGTCCAATACTTCCATGGTGTATGATTCAAAAATGAATTGGGCATCACTCACTTTTGCACCGTGTAAAAGACACTCTTAACGTTCAAGTCCATCACTTTCTGGAACGCATGCTCGGGGTGTGTGTCAAACTTCTCACCCCATGTCGCTCCTGCATTGGCAAACAGGATATCAACATGATCTGTCGTCTTGCTAACTTCTGCCACTAGGCGTTCGATATCCGACACCTTGGAGCTATCTGCTGGCACAGAGTATGCTCGAGCACCAGGTCTTTTGTTTGGCAAGGCGTTGAGCGCAGCAACAGCTTCATCGCAAGCTTTCGCCTTTCTGGAGGTGATGTAAACCTTTGAGCAGCCAGCTTGGAGTAAACTAAGATCAAGAGGAAAAGATATGCGTCAGCTATGAGAAACTAAAGAGCAGCATCCTCGTAATTAACGACTTACCCGCTAGCAGCGTGCAGTCCCAGTCCTCTCGAGCCCCCAGTGACAACAGCAACCTTCCCTTCAAGAGAGAAAATGCTCCCGAAATTTTTCAGCTGGACCTGTGCTTCTGCAGCCATAGTTATCTTCCCTTCTCTATATATCCGGCTGGACCTTTAACAGTTCAATATAATGAGCAGAGCGTTCCTAAATCTCGTCAACAATACTTCGTACGGATATCAGAGCCGAAAGTCCTTTATAAGGATATAGAAATGTAGCTCGGCATAAATCGTTTCTTTTCGAGGGGCTGTGGAGGTGTTTCCTTTGCCTCTCAAGTCTATTCCTATAGTGCCGGGCCACGGTCTAGAGAGCGCAGTTTTACCGGACGAAATGCCCCAGAGGCCTATCTTTGTCCTTTGATGTCCCTTTTCGGTCAAAAAGCCGACGAAATGCCGAGGTTCTTTAGTGCCAAGGAACAAGACCCAAAGAGGCTAGTCTAAAATAACAAAGCGGTCTAGGCACGTGACTCAGTACATATAAATATAGACAGCGATTTCTCGTGGAGAATATTCTATGTTTCAACATCGAAAGAAGATATATCATTATAAAACGCACTTGAAGGAGAGAAACGCTTCAATTTTATAATGGAATACTCTAGGATATATCACCACAGTGATAACTGAGGCTATTAGACAGCCGAGAGCTTGTCAACAAACCCCTTGCCCCAATGGGTGCTACAGAATAGTCAGTCAGCCTATAACCCTCAAAGGGGGTTACGAGAATGGTGTGGGGGGTAATAACGCACCTTGTATGAGTCTCTATAAACTCAATGAGCCGCTTATATTCTTCCTCTCGCCGCTTTTCGTCCATGGTCGCTGCCACACGAATCGCCCTCGCTACCTCACTGGAGTTGAAAGGATTGAATTTCACACCACCTTCTAGGTACGAAGATACCCCGGCGAATTCGGAAACTGCTAGTACGCCATGTCTTTTTTGCTGGCAGGCTATATATTCTAAGGCCACGAGGTTCATGCCGTCTCTGGTGGAGGTAAGGAGACATACGTCGGACGCGGCGTATAAAGCTGTGAGCTCTTCGAAAGGAATGGACCGGTGAACAAACATGACTGGCGCATAGTCGGGTTTCCCTTTTTGAAGATTGTTAGCCTTTTTTTCAGAATGCTGGGAGCTATATTTGTTGCATAATTCCCATTCTCTCGCTATGTCACTTGCAAGTGCGAAGGGTAAAATTTCCTGGAACATACCAAATTCGCCGTTAACCATTCCCACAAGCTTATATATCTCTGCCTCTAGCTCCTGGTATTCAGGGACATCTTCACGGCTGGGCACCGCAATCTGGATCAGGACAATTTTCCCAACCCATTCCGGATGCTCACGAAGGAATTCTTGGAAACCGCGCAGTTTCTCGGGCAATCCTTTGATATAATCCAACCTATCAACTCCAACAATCCTCTTGATCCCCTTGTATTTATCGTCAAGTTCGGCGATTCGGTTCTGGACAGCTTCTGATTTCAATGCGTCGGAGAAGCGGATTGGGTCTATGCCGACAATGAACTTTCCCACCTGAACTGTTCGGTCCTTGTAACGAAGGGTTAAGCCGTCCTTTGAAGCGTCCCTAGTATCATAGGAGATAATGTTAATATCCTTGTGTCAAGCTCGAAGCCCATAGCTCTGAGTCGCTTGACAATGGGACTTACAGCAATTGGGAACAGGCCTCCGCAAAGTGCCCGGCATAGGCATCCGTATGGAAGCCGACCAAGTCACTACTCATCACTCCATCTAACGTCTCAAGGTTCGTGGGAAGGGCCCGATACACTTCTGCCGCAGGGAATGGAGTGTGCAGAGAGAATCCAATTCTCACTGACTTTTTACCCTGTTTGGCAAATTCTTCTCGCAGCATGCTGGGCAAGAGCATCAAGTGATAATCATGGACCCAGACTATATCACCATCAGACGTGGCTTCGGCGACAATTTTCGCAAACTTGCGGTTGACATCGCGATATGCATGCCACCAACTCTCGTTAAAGTTCTGAATTCCGGGCTGATAATGCAGTACCGGCCATAGGATGGAGTCTAAGTGAAAATATACAGTCAGCATTGGTATAAAGTGTGGATGGCCCAATAAATCTGTATTGTCTGCGAAGGAGTAAGGTTATCCAGGGGATATTGACTTGAAAACCCATTGTAATGATTCTCCGCCAGCTCTTCATCCAGGAAAACCGGCACCGCGCCTTGCTTCGCGAGCAATTTTCGAACATCTTCCTGTTCCTCTTCTGGCACTTCTAGGCCAGTCCATCCAAACCATTGAAATCCAATCGATTCTGATATTCCGCTTAGGCTAGTTACCAGCCCACCACTGGATGTTGACGCCTCGTATTTGCCCGAATCAGTTCGTTTTAGAGATAATGGAAGACGGTTGGATACCACGAGCAATTGAGGCTTTTTGCCCTCTTGAGCTTTGCTATCGGTCATTTTGATTGTGCTCTGTTGCAAATATATCTTTCTAGATTCTTGTACTCAAGTATGTAGCTTCCAAGGTTGCGATGTGGGAGATTAGTTTGTAGTTTGTGTATTATCCATTGATCAAGAAGTAGCGTGAGAACAGAGACGACTGCCTCGTTCATATACCCTTTCCTCTGTAAAACTCATGGTAGGATCAATAGCAATGCACTTTCTACAAACTCACTGCTTTCAGGGATCAGGTCAGGGAAGAACTCTGTTGGCCCGATGACGTTGGCATATGACGTCGGAACAATATAAAAATAAGGCTACTTGGTTTAGGCTCCCACCCTTCCAGAACTATAGCAAAAGTATTAAGAAAACCAGCTCGATCCAGAGCTCGTTATCGCAGGGATGGATGGCCAACGACAGGAGTACAAAGGGGCCTACGGCCCAGTATTAGTTGTCATTGATTGATCTATTCGAGCTATCAAATGCTACGACCAACGTTCGCCTGACTAGTCCACGGCTTCTCAGGCGTACTTTACACACGAGAACGAACCCTAGAACAATGTTAAAACCTCCCCTGGAATGAAAGCCGTAGCGGCTATGTCGACGTTCCGCGCGACAAGCGAGTAATGGTCCTGCCCTCCTCACAAATGAAAATCCTAAAGCACATCATCCAAAGAGCGTGATTACTATCCCCGTAAACAGGTTGATGGAGTGGTCGTGGCAGAAGGGGTACACCTGTGCCTGGCGTTTACCAAGAGGTAGATGCCCGTCTTTCTCCTGTCTTTGGTTAGATCAGTCAGTTGGTTATGGATGGGATATTTGATGGTCAGAACTTGTTTTTTCTTTTCCTTTTTTTGTTGTCATGGCAAGCCGGTTTGCCATTGAAAAGGCTATTGGGGCCAAGCTTCGGCGATTGGGCACGGCGCGCGGTGGTTCTGAGAAGGGTGGCCGGCCCCCCTGGGTGAAGTGTAATCCTGCTCGGAGTCTGGATTATGCGGGTGTAGCTTGAGTAACCATTCCGTTCTGCGAGACATGACGTTTTGATGCTGTATCGGATACTTCTTGGCCCTGGAGAGAGAAAAACAGGTGGTTAGTACTCCACTTGTGCTCGGCCCACGTTCTCTTTCTCCTGTTCGCATTTGCTCCCTAAGCTAGCTTCAGTCAGTGATATATTTTGAGGCTTCAACTTACATCCACTGCATCGATGTTTCGCTTTTGTGCAACTGTCTGTTCCACTTTCTTGATAACCTTCTTCTTCGGGCGGGAGGGTCGAACTTCCCCAGGCTGGAAAACATCGTCGGGGAGATTGTAACTATTCCCAAGTTAATGTCCTGGTCATTTTTTATTATATTGGAGCACGGGAGTGTGACGTACTTGCGAACGTGTGTTATATTCAAGTCGTTGATTCCGGGTTGGTATTGTGCCCAAGATGTGCATGTGTTTTTGAACATATGGGTGTCGGTTGATATATCTAGCGACCGTGCAGCGCCTTCGAGGAGTCAGTTGTATCATATGAAAGGGTGCGGTTTACCTACCTGGTGCTAATGGTTTGACTTCCAATCCAATGTAGTAATTAGTGGTATAAAGAGTATACTTATTCTCTCCAGTGGGATTGGCCGACTCTGCAATTGCCACATTTTCATTCGCATTCTCGGCGGCCGCTACATGAGTGGGATCGTTCGTTTCATCGGTGGTGGCGGTCTTGGTGTCCTTTGCCTGGTATTTCATAGAACCGGATTTCACAGCGTTGACTTCCTCGTCAGTATTGCAGGTATGCACTCTCTCGAAACCTTTGGGGAACGGGTGGGCGATTTCTATAGAAGATTTGCGGTCAAGTGCTCCAACCAAATGTCGGAGTTTCGATTCTACAAGGCCCGACCATATCGCCTGTGCCTCTTTGGTTGTGCTAGTTGAATTGATGCTGAGATAGTATTTATAATCACCCGAGAAGAAGCTGTGTCGAGCAAAAAGATCGCTCCACTGAAGCTGTCCAACAAAAATCTTGTCAACAATGTCTCCGCCTCGCCTAAGCTCTCTAAGCATAACGGCCTTGGTGGACATGGAAACGTTGTGTGTAGCGCACATAGAAGGGTACGCGGGAGTGATTATAGGCATTAAATGGAACCTATCACCATGATATATCTGCATACTAGTATTAGTTCTGCCTTTGGAGTCCAAGGGATATGATCATGAACTAACCTTTGGATTCCACACTTTCATATGAAGTGGCCCGTCTTCGATATGCTTCAGCAATACTGGCTGTGGCCAGCTCCACTGGTTCATGATTCTGAAGAACTTGCCTACAATGACCGAGCCGGTAGCCTGGGGGTAAAGCTGACAGACCCTTGCGACCAACATGGCCCAGGCAACACCACCAGGGAAACCAACAATGTTCGAGTAAATGGCTCGACCTAGGTAAAACAGTCAGAACGGTCAAAGTAAAGTTTTGACGCCACACTCACGTTGTGCCCAGAGTTTTATAGCCCTCAATGCAAGGCGGAAAGTCTTCTGCTGAGGAACAAGCTCTAATATTTCGTCTGTCACTCGGGTGCCATTAACGCATCGTATCTCCTTCTCATCTAGTCCACGCAACAGATCTTTATTTTTCAGATCGAGATTAGGGGGTACCGAAGAAACGATGAGCCGAGCGAAAATCAGATCAATGCTGATCCCAGAAATCTCAATCTTGATAATGGGGACAAATGCATCCGGAACAGGGGTCATTTTTTCTATCGCATCCTTTGGAGCCGCATTTTCGAGCAGTGTGGGGAAGTGGGTAAAAAAGTCTTCTATCGTAACGTGCTTGGGCGCCACCACCAACGTATCAATATCGGAGCCTGCCATTTGCGAAGAGCTGTGTCAGTATAATTTCCCGTTTCGCTATTTGCACTAGCCATGCGAGGAGTGTGGCACTCCAGAGGTACGAACCAGGGCCATAGACACCAAGCCTATAACTTCCATATGTGAATATTTTACCGCCAGAGGCATCGATCGCAGCCTGTGAGAGTCCCTTTTCCTTCCCTACGACCTTGATGAATTCGATGGTCACACGCTGTAGAAGGTGCAGTGTTTGCTTCCTAGAGAAGAAATTCAGGAGCTTAGTATATTTCTTCTCTCCACTGGTAGGCACAGTAATCAAGCAAACCTCTTCTCCGTCTCGGATGGAGCCTCGAAGTTATTCTGTAGCTTCAGCTCTGCTATCAACGCATCGTTCTCCGCAAGCTCGGAGGGCGTGGGCAATGCTGATGACAGCGGGGGAGTAATGCCCCACTGGCGCGACTGAGGAGCAGCCATAACTTTAGTATTTTGCAACAAGTCTGTTAACGTCGTCCTCGTCTGTTCTTCGAGATATCAGATCGCAGTGTGCCAGGCGCGGCTAGAGATGGCAAGGCGCCAGGGTGGGTTGGATGTGGGTTGGATGTAGAGAAGCAAACGAAGAAGAGAGAAAATAAACAAAAGAAAATAATACAAACGCTCCCAGAACACCCGGATCGCGTAGAAGTGAATGCCGAAGGACCGCAAATAGTGAATTCCACGTCCAGAAAACGAGAGGTTGGAGGTTTGTTTCCTTGCAACAGGAAAGACGATATTTATGGCGGTTGAGTCACGTGATACCGCGGCGCGGTTAAAAAACACCAAAAAACACGGAATATTTGATAGGATCAAGTGAATTATCAATTTAACTATCATGTAAATCTTTGACGATCCTACTAAAGGCGAATTACAGCATTTATAGCTCACAATCTATACGCAGACTAAATAACAGAAGAACTAGCTAGCTGCAGGCCTTCAGTCCTCGATACCAGAAGCCTAGGCGGCTCCCAGGGGAACCTTTTTGAAGAACTCGACCAGCTTGTCATTCAACCATTTGACGTCGTCTTTACTCTCGCCAGGACCGCCCGCCCAGTCTAGGAATCTGGAGTTAGCCATGAACCGAGCTGATTATGGATAATACACTTACGGCCCCAAATAGACGGGAATACGTCCAATTCACCAACACCGGGTGCCATGTTAGCAACCTCATACTGCGAGTCTTCTGGTCTATATAATCGATAGATGGTTAGCAAAGAAACAGGTGTACGCATTCTATCCAGTTCGGTGAATTGACGTACGGGAAGTACAAGTCATGCTTGCAGGGAAGGACCAGGGCTCTGGCTTTGATCCCCTTGAGAGCTGCTTCAAAGTTGCCTTTATACGGCTCCTGCTGGGAAATATCTCCGTTCTGCCATGTTTGCAGCATCACCAGGAGGTTCTCGGGATCTAAGGTTAAAATATCATATTTAGCCGTGGCCTGTTTGCTGATGATGTCACTACACTACCTTTGGAAAGGAAATATTTCTCCCAAAAGTTCACCAGGAAGTCTTCGAGGTCCTTGTATCCAAGGGCCGTCTCATATAGCTTCTCGCGATAAAAGGTCTGGCTCATACCCCTGGCCATGGGAGAGGCCGTGTTAGTCCCCGGAAAGGGTTCATCTTGCAGGTAGTATGAAAAAGGGACTCACCATCCGGCATACACTCTGCCAACGGCTTTCAGTCCTATTTCTCTCTCCTCCTCCGTCCACTGGCGACCAACAGCACCTTCAGTACAGACACCATCCTTGCTAGATCCAGCAGAGCGGAAGCGCTTGACGGATAGCAGGGCACTTTTCACGCCTTCGAGGAACACTTTATTATGCAGAGAAGTCTTTGCGGCTCCACAGAAGGGGACGATGATGTCCATAAAATCAGGGTATTGGGCTCCCCATTGGAAAGACTGGCCAGCTCCCATAGACCAGCCGAGAACAGCTCTGGCATGCTTGATCCCAAGGTGCTCCGTGACCAGCTTATGCTGGGCCCTTACATTGTCGTAAACGGAGACCGCTGGGAAGGGAGAGAGGTCGGTATTAGATGGAGACGAGGACTGCCCGTTTCCGAATAGAGCTGGTATGATAATGAAGTACTTCTTGGGACTCAGTTCCTTGTCTTCTCCTATAAGCCAGAAGTTGGCCGAGATGACTACAGCAGTACTCCACGAGTTAGCATGCTCGCCATCCATAGTTTGAAGCACAACTTACGTCCAGAGTACCACGATGGATACACGATAGCCGGCAGCTTGGGATCGCCAAAGGTCCTGTACGCGATATGTGCCTTTGGGATAACCTGTCCGCTCTGGAGCGTCCAGTCTCCCAGCTCAAAGGTGCTGTATTCCTCCGCCATTCTGATAGATAACTAACGGCTTAACCAAGGTGAAGAAGTCTCAAGAACGAGATGCCTTCTAACCTCCTGCACTTCACCCCGCTATATACTATTCTTCTACCCTTGTAGCCATGGCTTGTCCGTCCCGCCGTGCTGAGTAATTAATGGTTGATAAGCCGGCAGAGTACGGAGTAGCATCGCCAGTATTTATAAACACTTGCTATCCCGCATAGCATCTGCGAATTAGATTAGTTCCCGCCATCCTAGATATTTTGAGCTTGTAGTATATTGATTAATAATGATTTTGCGGGGCAAGCTTCTACAACTTGTCCTTCTTTGCCTAAAAGCAGCTTAAGGGGACTATGAATACCTTCTACTGTTGAAGCATCTGTTCGTGTAGGATATATATAAAGTCTTCGGTATAGTCCTCGTTGCAGCTATCAGAAATCATGAAAGCCGTCGGTATGTCAATTCATCCGACCAAGCTGCCTTGATGATCATATCTAATAATAACTAGACGTTAAGAATGGCGCCGGATCTGCATCTGATCTATTCATCAACGATTCTGTCCCCAAACCAGTCCCGTCACCAACCCAGTGCCTTGTCCGGGTGAAGGCATTCGGGATCAATCGTGCTGATACGATACAGCGATCTGGCTTTTACCCGCCGCCCCCCGGAGCATCCAAGATTCTGGGCCTTGAATTCAGCGGGGTGATCGAAACCGTTGGCAGTGATCAGGAGTCTACTGGTACGCAATGGAAAGCTGGAGATGAGGTTTTTGGCCTGGTCTACGGGGGAGCGTACGCAGAGTACGTCGAGGCCGAGATGAAGCTGCTCATTGCTAAACCAGCCAGCTGGAGCTGGGAGTATGCTGCTGGCTTGTGTGAGGTAAACAATTCTCCGTTGGCGCCAGATCGAATATTTATGCACGAGACTCCGGTCTGATATGATTTTAGATATGGTTCACTGCCTTGCAAGCCTTCTACCTCGTAGGAGCCTATAACGCAGATACCACACGGTCGGTGCTATGGCATGCCGGCGCATCCTCAGTATCTATAGCCGGCATCCAGATAGCCCGACTTGCCAACTCTTTACGATCAGATATTCCGCCGCCAAAGGTGTTTGCAACCACCCGCAGTGACGAGAAATGCAACTTCTGCGTCGAGGAACTCTCCTGCGCCGGTGCCGTCAACACAACCACCCATAGCGATGACTGGGTCGAAGAGGTCAAGAAGCTGAACGACGGAGAAGGAGTCGATTTGATCGTCGATTACGTTGGGCCAACCTACTTCCAGCCCAACTTGAACCTTGCAGCCAAAGACGGGCGAATCGTTTTGTTAGGTCTGCTCGCAGGATCTGTTCTGCCGGACAAAGTTGATATCCGTCCCATATTGATGAAGCGATTGCGATACGAGGGCAGCACGTTGCGATCCAGAGACGTGAACTATCAAGGCAAGCTGCGAGAACTGTTCGAGGAGAAGGTTTTCTCTGGATTGCAAAGGGGGTTGTTCAAGCATGTTGTCGACTCGGTCTTCAAGTGGGAAGATATCCAGAAGGCGCATGAGCTGATCGAGAGCAATAGTACAAAGGGTAAGATCGTTTGTACTATTGACTGGTGATGGGGGTAGCTCCCATGTATTTTCCTTGTAAACCTAGTACCGTGTATGAATTTGCATGGCGTGATTATTCTTGAGCAGAATAAGACTCTGAGACAGGACAGTGTAACAAACGTTTAATTTATGTCTATCATACAGCAAGATACAAGAAAAACCGCGGATAGAGAATGTGGATATTTGATGGCGGTATTTTTGTGTGTTTGAACTTCAAGTTTTGTCAAAAAACTAGTGCTCGTGGGAAACCTCTCCTCTGTATCCTACAACCTTGAATCGTCCCAACATCTCTCCGACGGAGAAGAATCCGATAACCTCTGCGGTGGTGATGCCGACAATGGCCCATTGCTTTGCATCGAGGCTTCGGAGACGGGCAACGCTGCCGTTGGGATTCCTTAGGCTAGCGAAGATGGTGGATGGCTGACGGAGGGAGCTGAGCGTGGAGTAGAAGTACGATTGGAAGGTGGCCATGTTTCTGTCAAAGTAAAGGTCAATATCGTAAACTGGCCGTGTAAGGCCGTGTAATTGACTTACGGTGGTGCCATCTTCTGGCCGCGGAAGACGATCTTCGACATCTCCATGGCGACTCTCGAATAGTAGATGGTTGGTGGTATTAAAGCTGGGTAAACGGCCAACGTTAGTGAATGTTAAGAAAGGAACTGTGACCTGCAGTTCATAGCCCAGCAATGTCAAGGATTGGGTCTTTTATATCTCCTTACATTCGACGAAAGCGACGACTTTGGCGGTTCTTCCTCCAACTCGCTTCAAGGCACCGCCAACGCCGGACATGGCACCAGCGATGGCTGGGCCAGCAGCAGCGGTCACCTTTGTAAGGCCCTCCGAGGCCTTAGCAGTAGCTGTAGAGGCGGCATCTTTGGCCTTAGCGGCGGTCTCCTGTGCGGTGGACGAGTGTCTAATCGCAGGTCGTCGGATCACTGTTCGTGATTGCCGGATCAACATACGGGACATTGTGGCTGACATTGTGAAAGGAGAGGAGCGCAGTTCTGCAGAGCGGTAGACTGAAGCCGGAGGAGGAGAGATGGCCCTACGAGCGCGCGGGAGCTGTCAATGGCGGATGGATGCGTCGGGGATGAAGATGTTCGTTCTCGTTCTCTTCGCTGATTCTCCCAAGTCGCCGTCGATTTTCGATTTTTCGGGTTCAAGGGGATATCACGTGATATCATAGTTAATCCGGTCTTCCTCCTTAGAAACCAATATAACTTCCTCTCTTCCTCTCGTCCTCTCGTCCATCCTCGCCCTCACGCTCTGCTCACAGGCTGTTGTCCTCTTGACGATGATGTATGAACAGTTAATGCATGCACCGGGTGCTCCTCGTGGCCTGTAGCCCGCAAAGATGGGTTGGACAGGCGACTTCACGTGTACGGGCCGTCACATGTGGTGTCATCAGCATCTCCAACCGTGATGATGGTTGAAGATAAGAGCCCGACGGCGAGACGAAGGTTTCTGTAACCCCAGGCTGGCATGGCCTACAAATATACCCGAGCCGTGCTGCAGGCTCATGCGGCACTCTCGATCCTACACTATGGAGCAAGGAAGTTCATATATGGCCACCTCACGGCAGGGTTTTTCTAACGTTGCAGATTATAAATACATACTATTGGGCTTTTGACGTCTCCATGGAGCTCCCCAGACCGGCAAGAATAGGGTTCAGGGAGACATGTCTATCCCCGTTCGCTCAGATGTTGCGGTACCGCCCCTCCAGGCGAAAGAAACGCAGCACCAGGATTAGATTTGTCCCATTTCTCCAGAAGAACACCGCTTCATCGTCAACTGACTCGCGCGGTATAGACGGCACGGCCTCTGTCCATTCTATACCGACGGTTAACTCTAGCAGAGTACATATACTCGGCGAGAATCCTGACGCTTCGTGTTACCAGGACTCATGGGCTGATTTACGAGTGGTATCCGACGACATATGGTCAAAATATGCCCAGCATGCCAACGGACCGCTAGAAGGGAATGGAACGTGTGGTTGGCATTTACACTACTCGCCTTCGTTGCATAACAATTCGAGCACGTTTCTTGAGCAGAGTGATCGGAAATACCTTGATGATCGACCGATCACTGGCCGAACAAGCCTGGATTCAGATTACCGTTCAACGTCAACTTCCACATTACGGTCTAGCAACACGAGTGTTTTGTCTGCAGACAGGACATCCATTCGAAGAAAAAGCTGCATCCCCGACATCAGATCGGAATATACACATCCTAGTCCACCGCCAGACGGCCCAACGCCTCGTCCCCCGATGTGTCCGGTCATCTCACGATGCGGCTCGCCTCGTGCAGCGGAGTTAGTTCAATTCTTGGATCATTTCAGCTCATTTTGCGTATTGGACGCGATGTCACCTTGCAACGCGGTTGTTGCAGCGTCTCGAAACATATGGTCAGCGGGTGACCACGGAGACAACTTCCCGCTCAATATTAATGTCCTGGAAGAAGACGCCTGCCCTGTCGTTTCTGGATATGATGAAGATGGAAATGGCATCTCATATCTTATTATTGTCACTAAGCTATTTACTGCCTTGTCTGGAGAGTGCCGTCTGTTTCTCGCTTCGCTTCTCGATATCACAGATTTCCTGCATGCAGTTACTTTCGAAGATCTAGAAATGAGGAAATATGCGAAGGTATACAATGCTGAGGACGAAGATTCGTCGAGTATTATTTCACAAATCAACCTCAGCACGACAAATCAGGCTGATACTACATTGCAGCCTACGGATAAAGGCCACGCTAAAGAGATGCGTCCCATGCTAAAGGAGCCCGGGAGAGAGACTGCACGATCAGTTCCTAGTCCTATGGGCATGGGACCCTCTCAGACGACGGAACAACTGCTTTCCGAATTCAGCGCCGAACTCCTCTATCTTTACAAGGATACTTTTATTCTAGCAAGATCGCCCTTGGACAATAAACTCTACAAAATATCTCACGTCTCTCGCTCGTTGCTCGCGGATGGCGAATATATCCGCAGCCATCTGAAACACACGCCAGCCGATAAAATGCAATTGCTTAGCAAATGTTTGGGGCAAAATGACCAGTTTGATATGGTTATTAATTGGGGGGATTCTGGGACAGAGAAACGGCTCTATTGTGCCCCAATTTACTGCCATACTTCACGGGACTGGGTTTGTACGTTGACAGACATCGAAGCTCCTTATCTTTGGCGTCGAAATAAGACCTAGACGAATGTCTTTGAGAAAGGTTATTCCCTCCACATACAGTTATAGAAAAGAAGCATTTTGCCTCATGTCTATCTACCATTATGTTGCGGAATTTCATTTTTAGTTCTTGGATCATCTGTTCCATAGATGAGGCGCATGTCAGCCCACAGCCAACATGAGTAGGATTTTTTAACTGCAATTCAAAGACCGCCCTAAATCACGTCAAATTAATGATATGGGCTTTGCTTGGGCCAACAACCTGCACATATCCTGGAAGTTGATCCCACCCCGTCATCTACACAACGGCAGTGAAACTTACTAGGAAAGGCAGGTTCCATTTACCATGAGTGTTCCCAAGCTAGGCTTCTGTACGATCTCTCCCCGCAGTTCCCTCAAGTCGGCCGTATTATACAAATAGGTGATCGACAGAGGGTCAAGTGGGATGTTGGCTTGGACATGTCACACAAGGAGCCTAAGCATATATGTCTGATACTTCCCGCCGGCCCTTTTCACTTCTTTTGAGCGAGAAGCCGGCCAGAAAAAAAGTTACTTGTTTTATGGAGATGCTCCTATTGTCCTCTAATGCTCTTTAAAAGCTTTAAGTATGTTGCCATCTTGGCACTGCAAATCCGATTCCTCCTTGCGCACCCTGATGCAAGTGCTTCTAATATTGAGGATGACGATAACGATCTGACGCGATATGTCGATTTATTTATTGGGACAGAGGGAAGTATTGCTGGTACTTCCTACAACGGCGGGAGTGTTTTTCCAGGAGCAACGTATGGTCGACCACTTTGTTGATTGATCATGAGACTATAAGGGCCTGACTGGTAGTAGTGTACCGTTCGGCGTCGTCAAAGTGGGAATTGACACAATAGTGTACAAATTGACCCTGCGTTCCTTTAACTTGAATCATCGCTGAGACGTCTTATTGAATAGTCATGATGTTGATGAGAGGAGAAAAGTAGACGTTAACGCAGGATACTCGCCAGATGGGAACGTTTCTGCGATATCATTCTTACACGAGAGCGGAACAGGAGGCGCGCCAAAATATGGAATCATCGCTCAGATGCCTCTCTCAACCCTCGAAGGAATTAACCTAGCTGACAATAGGACATATATGCAACCCAGAGTCAGCAATGATTCCGCGGCTGTGGGATACTATAAAACCAACTTGCAAAATGGCATCACGGTAGAGATGTCTGCAACTGACCATGCTGGGATCCTGCAATATACTTATCCTCCTTTTGCTAAGAAATATGTTTTGGTTGACCTTAGTCACTATCTCCCCACACATGGCGAACCGGTGGCAAATCAAATGTATAGCAATGGAAGGATTGATTTGAAAGACAGTGGTCAGAGGTATACTGGCTATGGCATTTATAGAGGCGGATGGAATGAAGGTACCTTTATTGCACTTCCATATGATTCAACAGCTAACGCGAACCAGGCCCCAATTATCAGGTTTTCATGTGCGCTGAGTTTAATGTCGCTCCCTCATCTGCCAATACATGGCATGCCCCTTATTCCGATCCATATGACCATATCAGGGGGGCGACAATTATCTCGGGCCAGCAATCAATTACTGGCGGAAAGGATGGGTATCAGTATGCAGAAAGGGTTGGAGCTCTCTTAGAATTCCCGCCAGATACAACGATCCTAAAATCAAAAGTTGGAGTCTCCTTCATTTCGACCGAGAAAGCTTGTCGATTTATTGATGAAGTTCGGTCTTGGGAATTGAATGATACCATGAAGGCTGCAAAGAAGCGATGGAATACCGAAATTCTAAGCAAGGTTACCACATCTGATATCAATGCAACAAGGTTGACGATGCTATATTCGGCACTATACCGTGCGCACCTACTCCCTAGCAATAGGACTGGTGAGAATCCGTACTGGGAGTCCACGGAGCCATACTACGACGACTATTATGCGATATGGGACACATTTCGATGTCTGAACAGTCTATACTTGTTATTGAAGCCGCAGTTCGCAGCCGAAACCATTCGTTCTCTAATTGATATTTGGAGATTTGAGCGTTTCATGCCTGATGGTAGAAGTGGTAATGCAAATGGAAGGGTATTATCGATGTTCATTTGTTCATTTTTCTGGTCAATTAAGAAGGGTGCATACTGACCATCAAGGCTACAGGTTCAAGGAGGTAGTAATGCAGACAATGTTTTAGCCGATGCATACGTCAAGGGCTTACAGAAGGGGATCAACTGGACCGACGGCTACTTGGCGATGAAAACCGATGCCGAAGTTGTTCCGTATAACAATTTCGACGCTGCGGACCCATCCGGCTCCACCAAGGAAGGACGAGGTGCTCTTCCAGATTGGCACAGGTACGGATACATCACTCCAAACTTCGGTCGATCTATTAGCCGGACGGTCGAGTATTCATTGAACGACTTCGCCCTGAGCCAAGTTGCAAAGGATTTAGTCCCAGAGGACTATCAGATATATCTAGACAGGAGTGCAGGATGGCAACGCATCTGGCACGAGGACATTAGTAGCCTTAATTTCATCGGATTTCTAGCACCAACCTGGCCAAACGGGACGGTCACACCAGGCTATGATCCTCTAGACTGTGGAGAGTGTGAATGGAGCTCTCACTGTTATGAGGCGTTACCAGTAGAGTATGGGTGGACCGTTCCGTTTGATATGGAGACGCTGATTGAGCTCATGGGAGGACCGGAAACGATGGAACAACGGCTTGACGCAATGTTTATTCCAGGCCTCCGCCGGGGTGATGTAGGCTCTGGCGGAACGAACACAATTGGTAGCTTCAACTTTCTTACTACATTTACTCGCCATTTCATCAATTAATGTTGCCACGTTGTTTATAGGCACCACACTATTCAACCCAGGGAACGAGCCCAGCTTCTTCACTCCGTTCCTCTACAATTATCTCCCGGGGCGGCAGTATAAGTCTGTGCGTCGTCTCCGAGACACGGTCAACTCTTATTACAGCACTCTCCCGTCTGGGCTTCCAGGTATGCAATCAGACATCAGGCCTCCAGCAAGATTTGTTCTAATGTCGAGCACAGGGAATAGCGACGCAGGGGCTCTGGACAGCTGGCTGATATGGAACTTTCTGGGCCTATACCCGGTAGTAACTCAGCCTATTTACATGCTTTCGAGTCCGTGGTTCAACAATATCTCTTTATCCGTAGGAGACAATGCAAGGCTTACTATCACGGCCGAGAACCTCGGCGACGAGAGCTACTTCGTCCAGAGCCTCATGGTCAATGGGAAGCCGTGGATGAAGAGCTGGATTAGTCACGACGACATCAAGGATGGCGGGAGTATTGAGTTCATATTAGGCTCCAATATGGCCATCTGGGACACGGGAGACCTTCCGCCCAGTCCCGGTCACGTAAAGTTGGATGTGTAGAGGGAACTTCTTGAGACTTACTCTGATACTCTGATCTTTTAGCAGGAAGCAGTAGCTTGCTTACTAAGCTAGGGTGTTTGTAGAGTTTGCAGCATTTGTTTACATGATCCCGTAACTTTATCGCTGGCCAATGAAAATGCAGTAAAAATAAAGTAAACATGCCAAGCCTGCGCTATGACGTCTCCCGTGATTAGTCATCACACCTTAATCCATCTTTGAGTTTTTGCACCATCGCGACTTGTTTCGCTCTTGTTCATGAATGCAAAGATGCATCTATCCATCACGGATCCCTTGTTGGCCGGCGATGCGTCCGGACAAATAGCAGCTGCTTATGGCGCTCGCTGTAGCCCCTCTTTGCCGGTACGACGTCGGACCCGCAAGAGCGAGAAGTGTCAGTAGCCTGGATGCTACCGTATCCGTGGTTGGCTTGAACCATGTCCAGAGGATAACAAAACGATACTAAATTAATCGCTGGGTACTTCGTACTCTGGTGTTTCTCTAAAGGTTAGTTAAATAGACGCTGCCCTCCCACTCCTGGCCCGAGCTATTTTCTCCCTGGTTCATCAACAACGTGGGTGTATATTTTTGTCTTTTGGTTCCTACATATAATGGCTTCCCTGTGACTCTTTCCCTCTATCTACGCAATTCCTACTCTTTCCTACCGTATTATACGTGACTCGGGTGCTTTGGTTTGGCTCGGAATACCTTCTCAACCAATATTGCAATAACTATGGCGGAAACTGCCGCAAGGGAGGACCCCAAGCAGGGTGATTCCGATGATGCGCTTACTGAGACTTCATCAAATGCCGGTTTGTTAGCGACCATTCCCAAGGGCACCATGGACCCTGTATACGAGGCAAAGGCCCGGTTGTTGAACAAGGCCATCCTCGACATTGGGATGGGCTGGTATCAATGGCAGCTATTCATCGTCATCGGCTTCGGTTGGGCTAGCGATAATATGTGGCCGGTCATCACTTCCCTCATTTTTACTCCTGTGAAGAACGAATTTATGCCATCTAGAGCTCCATATCTCACATTGGCGCAAAACCTGGGATTACTAGCTGGAGCCGTCTTCTGGGGGTTTGGATGCGACATGTATGGGAGAAAATGGGCGTTTAATCTGACGATTGGCATCACAGCTGTGTTTGGTCTGGCCGCTGCGGGTTCGCCCTCTTTTGCTGCCATCGGAGTCTTTGCTGCGTTGTGGTCCATTGGAGTAGGGGGTAACTTGCCGGTAGATTCCGCAATCTTCCTCGAATTCCTCCCTGCAACACACCAGTATCTTCTTACAATTCTTTCCATCGATTGGGCTCTGGCGCAGGTGCTGGCAAACCTCGTCGCCTGGCCGCTGCTTGGGAACTTCTCATGCCAGGAGAAGACAGAATGCACTCGATCTGCAAACATGGGTTGGAGGTACTTCCTGATCACTATGGGAGGTATTTCATTCATCATGTTTTTCCTGCGATTTGCCTGCTTCACTATATTCGAATCACCAAAATACTTAATGGGTAAGGGCCGGGATGAAGATGCCGTCCGCGTCGTACATGAAGTTGCTAGGCGAAACGGCAAAACGTCTACCCTCACAGTCGAAGATCTTACACGCCTAGGGCCTCCGATCAAGAGTAGCGCCGTGGATGCCGTGCATCGGAACCTCCAGAAATTTGATCTTCAACATGTTAGAGCTCTATTTGCGACACCGCTACTGGCCGTGTCTACCTCACTCATAATCACTGTTTGGGCATTCATTGGCCTCGGTTTTCCCCTATACAACGCCTTCTTGCCCTTTATCCAGGCCTCGCGAGGCGCAGATTTTGGCGACAGCTCCACCAACATCACATACCGGAATTCTCTCATTATCGCCGTGCTTGGGATACCGGGTTCTCTCGTTGGTGGTGCTCTCGTCGAGGTTCCCCGTTTCGGCCGCAAGGGAGCACTCTCACTATCCACCACGCTGACAGGTGTATTCCTGTTCCTGTCTACCACCGCTACAACCTCCAACGCGCTGCTAGGTTGGAATTGTGCGTACAATTTCATGAGCAATATCATGTACGCCGTCCTTTATGCATATACGCCTGAGATCTTTCCGACAAAGGACCGAGGGACGGGTAATGCCCTGACAGCTGCGGCAAATCGGATTTTTGGCGTCATGGCACCTATTATTGCAATGTTTGCTAACCTGCAGACTGCTGCGCCGGTATATGCTAGCGGTGCTTTGTTCATAGCAGCCGGGATTTTGGTTGTATTTCAGCCCTTCGAGTCTAGGGGGAAGGCTAGCTTGTGATGGCCATGTCTATACTTGCTTTACTTCTGTTTCTACCCGCGGTCGTCTCGAAGTCTTTACATTATTTCTGAATGGTGGAAAAGTACTTAATGTCTCATTGCTGTTGGTGTACGCCTAACGAAGTAACATTGAATATCTGTTGTACGAAGAGAAGAGAACAAGTCGATTTGATTATATATATGCTAACCTGACCTCCAAGTGAATATAGACCGCCGTTATCCCTCAACGCCCACCGACTCGAAGTAGCTATCAGGCTCGCAGCTGTCACTTACCACTCCAGCCCTCTGCACTTACTAACTCCCTCGTATGATGACTCGAACGCCTGCGAGGAGCCGTCGTAGCCATCCTTATACATGCCGATGCATCAGACTTAGTAAGATACTCGTATATACCTTTTCCCGTGTGGTTCTCACGCGTCAATAGAATAATGTACATTTCATCAGGAGACACGACCAAATAAATATCACAGCTTATACAGACTACTATATACGTACATGTACACACAAGCATCAGCATCTCGACTGCAGCCACTGGTTTTACTGCTCTACGGCCTGTTGCACTGAATACTCCATCGCCAAGCACAGGAGTCCACGACATCCGCCATCTTGACCACTGCGAGAAGCTCTGCGTCTCTTCTCCCTCCACTACGTTCCACATCGCACAGGGATCACAGCCAAGTCTCGGAGATTGGCCTCCGCCTGGATGATACATGATGGAAGCTGGAAGATGGAAGACGGACCTCCCAGCTCTGGCGGCTGTCTGCCTTAGGCCGCCCGGACAGACGACAAATCAAGAATAGACGAACGGACCGAGGCTTCGGCTCGATGCATAAACAGAATTTCTTCTGCCCTTGCAACTGTTCGAGACAGCTGAGCGTTGCGATACGATGTCAGGTTTATCCCTGCCAAACACGGCCTCTTAGCCTTGAAGGATCATCAGTTGATTTCTGGAGCAGCAAAGGGAGGCTTTGGCCCGCCAGCCCGCCCCCAAAAGACTCTCAGGAACACCCTCCAGCAGGAGATGCTCAGTCGAAAACTTCTTTCCATCGTCTTCAAACGAGGAGTGAGCAACCGCATCCTCCCGCTATTCACGGGGACGACGGCTTCATGAAGTCACCATAATGATCTATTCGCCCTTTTTCACCTTTGTCTGTTTGGTTTCATTCCCTCACCTCGTCAGTTCTGCTTGCGACCCGATACCGCCGTTGTCTCTACGTATCGGAAATGCTACGATCACGGACAGAGAGGTTGTACGATGGGGGCTTGGGGTAGAATTCGGGACTCCCCCTCAGACCATAGTTGCGGCGCTTGATGCGTATGTTGTTCTTCTAAACATCGTCATCAAAGAGACCGTGCTATCACGACTGCTAACACCGCCGGCAGGGATTGGAATAATACAGCATTTTGGAACACAAGCTTGCCCTGCGGTAATCTGAGCAGACCAGCATGCTCCTGGGTGCATGGTGGATCGTTTGACGAATCCGGCTCGACATCATGGAAAAGGACGAAGAATCCCGACATGATGGAGCTTAATCCAGGCGGAGATGCTATCAACGCACGGGGAAACGACAATCTAAAGCTGGGCTCAGATATATTAATCGACCAATTCCCGGTCTATTTCCCAAAGCCGCGGGTTGTACCTCAAAACGGCATCGGGATGGGACCAGACTCCACCTTCGTCAACTTCCTCTTTGATCAAAAGAAAATCGCATCGAAAACATGGTCGTTATTCTGGGGCTGGCAGGGAGCTGAGCAGGCACATCAGATGAACGGGAACTTGGTATTAGGCGGATATGATAAGGCGAAGACGGGCGGCGCGAATTTAACTTCAAAATTCTCGGACGGCATTGGATGCCCAAGCTCGTTACTGGTATATCTGAGCAACATTGTCGTGAACCACGCAGACGGGAAGAACTCGAGCCTGTTTGGCACGGCAGGGTCTGCGTTGCGTGCGTGCATAAAGCCAGATAACCCCCTCATCACTCTCCCAGAAAACGTCTTTGACAACCTAAAGAAGTTCTTGCCTGGGAAGCCCGTTGAGCATTCAATGGGCATATACCCTTCCAGCCTTGCTTACGAGCCGGAGAATGTGTATGTATGAAATTTCCCTACTAAGCGCTATAGAGGCTAATTTCTATCCACAGGTTCGCGGGCAACATCACCTTTACGCTATCCTCCGGCCTTCAGATCACTATACCAAACCATCAGATCGTTCTCCCAAATGTGGCAGTTGATGCTGATGGGAAGCAGCAAATGGTCGACAACAACAAAACCATCAACTTTGGCCAGGCTAGACAGGGCGTTATGCCTTACCTTGGCCAGCCGTTCCTTTCATCCACCTACTTGCACGTTAACAACGAGCTTAAGGAGTTCACCGTCTGGGAGGCGAACCCAACAACCGACACCGAGCTAGTTCCTGTCAGGCATAACTCAGACGACTCTAGCTGCGACGACGATGGCTCCTCTCTTAGCGGTGGTGCCATTGCCGGGATCGTTGTTGGAGTAGTCGCGTTTATAGCGATTGTAGCGTTGGGGATATTCTTTTTCTTAAGGCGGCGGCGCAACAAGAATAGGGATAGGGATTCAAAAGCTGGCCTTCCCCTGGTTGAGGTGAATCAGGGATTGGACGATAAGAAACAAGATACCCCTCAAGAAATGGACGCTGGAATAAGTCAACAGGCGCCAGTAGAGCTGCCAGATCAGGATTATTCGCCGCAGGAGCTGCCTGCGGACGTCCCATCACATCATAGATGATCCCATACCCCCAAATATAATAGCTGACAAGCATTGCCATTCCAATGAATATAGACTAATCACGATACCACCTAAATGTTTCCATGATAACTAATCCATAACTAATCTAATATTAAATCAGAGAGGAGGAATGCACCAGTAAACTGCGCGCAAAGAGAGGTACACATTCTATAACCGTATCTCGAGATGATTTAAAGGTTTTCCCTACATATATTTTTAGTGCCAATGACGTCACAACGCAGGCCTGCAACTACAGATCTATAAAGGGTCCGGACAGGCGAGCAAATCATCGGAAATATAGAGAATAATGAAATTATAGCATAGTAAATTTGAATTTGACTATCCAAGCTTCGAGTCAGAAAACATTTAGAAGTTGAATATATGCGGAGGCTGAATGTAATTACAGGACGGAGAAATTCAACAGATTTCCCAAGTCTATACCCAACTTTAAATCGTCTAGGATTCTCAGTCAAAAAGATGATTTACAATGCTAGGGTACTAGATAAATGATGTAGAATTTTACTGACACGCATAGACGAATGGAGTCAAGACAGTCAATTTCCTCACGATAAACATATTCACAGGATAGTTATGCAGCAATTGAATATATATAACCCTGGCCAATGAGTTGAGTATGGTCAGGTATCCATAACCAGAACATCCAGCGCTGCGGCTAACCTTTATGCATCCAATACCTGATATGGGAATTCTTCACACTTTCCGCTGCACTATTAATGAAAAGTCATTTCTGAAGGGCCTGTAAGCGGTATTTCCACCTTCATTGTCAACTTTTTCAGCCTCTCATCATATTCGGCATCATTTTTGTTGCTTCCCTTGTTCTGCGCGTTATACTCTTGCTTGTAGCCTAGGACAGTAATGTTCGTGATTTCTAAAGCCTGGCCTAGTTGAAAATCAAACTTCCCCGTAGTCTTGAGAGTGTCTATGTGGAATTCGAAAGTGATCTCACTGGTATGAGCTTGCTCAAGGGAATCACCATCGTCTAGGTAAAGACTACCCATTGCATTTCCATCATGATCGAGACAAACAACGAGGTTGAATGGCTCTTTTCGTAGTTCCGTAGTGGTATTGGCACTATTAGCTCGCATTGGAATAATGCTACCGCCACGGCAATGGAGGGGAATATGTGTGGTTGGGACATCTTTCAGCGTAACCATTTCCCCCTTTCCTTCAACAGGCTCTCCTGTGTAAAAGTCGTAGAAGATGTCGTCAGGCAGATATATTTCAACGCTGGTGGAACCCTCCTCTGTGACGGGGCTAACCAAAATGCTATCTCCGTAGAAGAACTGCAGGTCAAGTGCAAATGTGTTCTTGTCTTCTGGGTAGATATAGAAGAGAGGATTCAGAATGGGATCCCCTGACTGGCTCTGTCGGTGGAAAGCGGTGTATATATAATCGAGAAGTTTGTACCTAATATCTATAGCTGTCCTGGCCGCTTTGGCAACGGACTCCCAGCGATAAAACTCCTGGTCACGGCCAGCGATATCGTTGTGGTTCCTGTAAAAGGGGTAGAATGCCCCGAGCATAGCCCATCTTGCACATAGCTCTTCAGTGGTGTTGCCTCCAAAGCCGCAGACGTCAGATCCTACCATGGGGACCTGGAATATGGCAGCAAATTGGAGCATCTGCGAAATAGAAAACCTATATTGGCTCCACTCGCTGAGATTATCGCCTAGCCTGGATCATGTCAGTAAAATACATACCAAGTGACGGGACTATCCATACCAGTGACCAACATGAGCTCCAGCTCCAGCAAAGGTACTTCGAGTAATTACCATCGGCCTCTTGGTTGGGCGTCGAGTCAATAGCGATTTTCGGCTAACACTGCTCATCACTAGATAGACCGGTACGGGTGATTAGTATATTGACATAAAGAAAATCCTTGTACTTGAACTTACTAGTGCCGTAAAGATTGTGAGTGTCATACTCAGCCAAACCGTTGGCATGAATTAAGTTGGTGTCCATGGTCCTGTTGCTGATAGACCCAGCCTCGTTATGAATTTGATAGGGCGGGTCAATCAGGTCACGACCCGGTAAGCCCCCTTTGCTTGAAACCTTCTCCTCATCCCGTTTAACAATTTTAGAACCCTCTGGTTGGAGTTCTTCTGGGAATCCAGGCAAAGGCCGCGGGATAGATCTGACTGGTGGCGGAGCAGGTGGTAAGTCATGATCTCTTTCCCATGCCTCTGGGTCAGAGCAAGGCCATTCACAAAAGTTAGCGGCTTCGTTCATGTCGATCCAGAGTGCATCGATATCTATCCCCTTCTCGGGATCGAAGAATAGCTTGAACTCGTTATTCCAGTAATCTTGGACTCCAGGGTGAAACCAGTCAGGAAACGCAGTGACGCCCGGCCACACGGCACCTAATACAATTTAGCTTTGTGCCGGTATGGAATGAAGAGTAAAGCTCACCTTTATAAATCGACCCGTTAAGGGCTTTCATAAATATATCCTGCTCTTTGCCTCGGTCGAAAGCATCGTTATCGCCGTAGCTCACAGCCGGATCCACCATGACAATGTAGTGCTGGTCATTTTCGTGAAGGTAATCGACCAGTGCCCTCATTTCATCGATTGGGAATCTCTTTGAGTCGAGAGTGAATACCTTGCGTCCGTCCATATAGTCGATATCTGTCCACATAGTTTCCAACGGGATACCTGCCTGGCTATAGTTATAGACGACTTCGGCAACATTGAATGCATCCCGGTAGCCATATCGACATTGGTGGAACTACATAGGGGTCAATTTAATATTCCAAAATGTGTGGTGATGAATAGACTCAAAAGATAGCATACCCCGAATCCCCAGTAGGGCATCATAGCCGGCAAACCAACCACTTTAGCATATTGAGATGCAACCTCTTTCGGTGTTGGGCCAGCCATGAAGTAAAAATCAAAGACGCCACCGATTGTGTTATATTCGAGATACTTCTTTCCACCATTGCCTTCGTCACTCCCTACCTTGACATCCATGCCATTGGAGTTGAGAAGAAACACACCATGCGTGCCTGACTTCTCCCTATGGTCGAAATAAACTGGGTGTGAGCCGTACAAGTTTGTTCCAGGCGGGATACCATAAGCATCACGATTCCACAAGGTCGTGACAAGGTCGTCAGTTTTCAGGCGCAAGGGGTCACTGTGTTCTCCTAGGCCGTAGAGGTTGGGTTCGTCCGGGAGAGAAGTGCGTAATCGTAAATACTGAGACTCGAAGATCAAAGTCGAGCCAGAGGTATCAAATAGCACTTCACCTGTCGCACGTCTGGTTATCTTAAATGAGAATGGTTCTTCGGTGAAGGAGAACCTGAGGGCCGATTTCCATTGAGCATTGATATCCGCCTTGGATTCAGGGCGTGGGAAGACGGATTCCGGGACCTGGTATACATCTTCCTTTGAGTCCTCAATGCTAACATGCAACCGTGAAACTAATTGTCTGCTTGTTAGAGCTGTGCGTGCTCCTCTCGACTGATTATCGAGTTTTCTCATCTCTCCTAATGGGACAAGGCAAAAGACGTACGGGTCTGGTATTCCACGCGAAGTTTCAGCCGTCCGATATCTTTGCCGTAGACATTGCATGCTTCACCAGCAAGCCGCAGGTCAGCCCTCAAAGTGTGTCCATCATCACGTATGTTAAACGCCTTGTATCCCGGGCACTTTTCCAAGGACGGCGGAGGGGAGGCCGACAGTGCCGTTGCAGCGATGACTGCAGCGAGGACGAGCGCGCGCCCAAACATCTTGATTCTCTCACCAACCTGGACGCTGATATTATAGAGGATATCGAGGTGCGCAGGTGAAGCCGAAGTCTGGTGTTGGGTTCTGGCGTCCAGAATGCACAGCAACACCAGCATATATATACCACTCTGCATCAGAGCGACAGGAGGAGCTACCCATGAACCAGACCTGCCGACCTTCTTCCTTTCTTTTTTTCGGCCTGGATCCGGGCAGGGGCAGAGGCGTGCTTGACATCTGGGCGTTATAAGAGTGCATCTCATCCATGTATTCCTGCATCGACGTCGAGTGGGAACCTGCAGGCCGTATTCTTGGATGTTACATCGCAGGTATATCCCCTCTTCCAGAGAAACAAAGGCCTCGGGCTGTATAACAAGATGCCAGCTGCCGACTCTATGTTGCATTCACTTTGCATCAAGGATCCCATGTCGATCGGCCTGTTAGCTGGATATTCAGACATGAACATTGGCTTGAAAAGACAACTATTAATTTTTAACATTTATTTACGGACTAATAAGAACACCGAAAATATTAGCTCTGTCATATATTATGCTAAAATATATTTCAAGAAGTCGACAATGGCATCAAAGCCTTCTGGTTCCTTCACCCAGTGCCCGTCGTTATCTGCTCCCGAGTGCTCATTCCATTCCACCTTCATCCCCAGCTTTGCTAGGCTTCTATGTGCCTGGCGACCTAGTTCAACATCAACCCATACATCATCGACTCCATGAAGCAGCAGTACAGGCGTGGACAGCATGGTTTCAGTCTCTGCCGTGCTGGCTTGATGCTGTTCTTCACACCGGATTGTATCCAAGAGGAACTTCGGTAACGTCTCGTTGGGATACTCGATATTCTGTATCTCATTCGCGAATGGAAGCCATCCACACATTCCCACGAAAGCACCAATCCTCATTTTGACCTGTCCAGGCGAGCACAACAATGCCCAAAGAGCCGTCGCCATACCCTGGCTCATACCGCCCAGCGCAAGTCTTTCAGATCTTCCTTCGAGAAGGTCGATTTCTCGGCTCAAAATCTCCAGGATATACAGTGTAGATTCCCTTAGGCCCTCGACCTGGAGGTCTTGCTGCTCGGAGATGTTCGATAGAGAGTATATGTCGAACCAGGCGGCTAAATCCTCCTTGAAAACAGAGCTCCACCGATCTCTAGATGTAGGAAATACCCAGCGACTGCCAGGGAAATGCGCTGCGAGGGTCTTGTTCTCGGAAGATTTTGAGTCGAAGAGCTCTTCTGCAAATTCGGCGCCGTTGCTAGAACGCCCGTGTAGCAGGATGATAGTGTGTGTATGGGCACCCTTGGGTTCGACAATATGGAGAGCAGGAAATGCCATTCTTCCTTATTTGTAGACGATTCCTTAGGAAGGTAAGTTATCAATATCGAGTAAAACCCGTAGACCCAAGCCAAGAAATTATAGATCTGATGTCCTGTTAGAGCACTGTTGATTAAATATTTATGGGATTTACCCATGCATGAATGGCGGGGCTTAGTTAAACAACTAACACTTTCCGGCATCCTCCTGTTGGGTCGATGAATGTTATACTGAGAACCGGTAACGCAAATCAGTGCTTATTATACTTCGAAGTAGCAGCCAAAGCCATAATGGACCGTGTTGTAGGTTCTCGAAGATAGGAGGGACGGTAATATTAGAAAATAAGAAGATTGTATCATTATGGTACTAGCAAAGGAATAAAACTAAGACTTAATAGACACGCTTCATACCTCGTTCATATCTGCAATTTAGTCATAACCATACATTATATCCAACAAATAGCTTTCCAAGTGATACCGGCCAAATAAATGTGACATCTGCATCTAAAGCCATCAAGGATCTCACCGGTCAAGCATACGGCGCTTGATATGCTCGAGCATCTCCTTGGGCAGCTCCTCCTCCTTAATCAGCCCGATAGCCAAAATGTCGGCCCAGAAGAACAACGCTCGATCCTGTGCGTATGCAAGATAGTCAAACTCATCTGCCGCTTCGTCTACTTGAGCTTCCTGCAGCGCTTGATCGCTAGCCGCTAGCATCTGCTGTACGTCAACTGTTTCCTGTGTTGGGGTTGTAACTGTATCCTCATTCTCGCCATTGCTTGATGTGGCATCGCCACTGCTGCCGGGGGCCGGTGCTACTGGTAGGTTTGTCTCTGCCAAAGCGGCTTCAATACCGGGCACTTTCGCCTGAACGATACCCCATGCCACCCATTGCGCTGAGTTGGCAATACGCCAGACGCGAACTTCGTGTAGGAGTTTCTGGACTTCTGTCTCGAGCTCTTCGTCGACTTGTTCATCCTCGCTGATGGAGAATGGGACGGCGGGAGTGTAGTTGTCGAGGTTGAAGGGGGCGACTCGCGGGCTGCCAATATACGTGGGTCGGAGGCCGGGTGTGGTCATGGTGCTGGATACGGAGCTCGTAGAGAAGTTGTGGTTGGCGGAGTAGGGATTGTTGCCCGTCTCGGTATAGGTAAGTCGGGGTCGATGGGTGAGATAGGCGCGGATGAAGCGTTTCTGCTCTTCCAGCGTCGGGTACCAGTTGGCGTGACATTTCCAGGGACGGTCTTCGTCATGGTAGTTGTAGCACCATTCAGTCTACGAAAGTTAGCATATCCGTTCATTTTGAAAGATTTCGTGGAGAAACTTACAAAGTGATTGGCAAACTCCGCTCCACGCATATTAGCCGATGCATACTCGAAATCGATCACGACTAGCTGCTTATGCTCATTTGCCGGAAGCAACAATGGTGACTCTCCACTCGGCTCGAGGCGAAGAAGATTGCCATATTGCGTCTGTAAAACGTCATTAGTCAAGTCCAAAGACCTCTATAAGAAGGCAAGGGATGGAACGAACATCATTATGAGCAAAAATCAACCGACGGGTAATCTCCTCCACTCCTCCAAAGCTTGCAGCGAGCCACTGGCGATAACTATCAACCATACTCCGGAAAGTTGCCCAGGGAACACCGCAGACAAACCCACGCTGTCTCCACGGCTCCTTCATCGCCTTCCCCTCATTATGGTCTGCGAGAATCTCGTTATCGAGCCATGTAATCACCTTTTCGCATCGGTTCACCCATTTATCCCAGTTCTTCCACAGGCCAGGACCCGCCTCGCGCTCTTCAGGCAACAATTCAATACCCTCATGCAGCTCTCGCATGCGTTTCGCGATCTGGATAGAGGTCTCTGGTACGCGCAGATCACGGGTTGTAAGGGTGCGAGCGTGTAGATATTGTTCGAATCGACCATTCTTGAAAGTTCCCAGAACGCGTGGACCAATGTTCCTCTTTCCTAGACGGCGGAGGACTTGCAGTTCGTGCTCCCTGTCGATTAGATGCTCGACTTGAGGCCCATATATGCGAAGAAGAAGTTTTCTATCACGTCGGTTAATGTTATTGATATAAATTCTGATTGAAGGGGAATAAACTTACGGAGGAGGTTTCCTGTAAACATTTTGACCAGAGGTAGGGTGGGCAAACTTGGACATGTCCTTTGGTGGTGAAACGAGGTATACTGCATTGGTGAGCGCACCGCTCAGACGAACGACCTCAACCTCTCCACCAGCATCAAGGGGCACTCTTCTCCATCCCTTAAACCCGAGTGTATGCGTCAAACGAACGATCTCGGACTTGAAATAAAGCCAATACTCCCTATCCTTTCCAGAAGACTGTTTGCTTCCATCTATCTGACTGAGTGCTTGTGTGTCGACGTCCGAATCAGCTTCGCCTCCAGAGTATAGGAGTGTCTTTGAGTTATCGAGAACCACGTCCGCGCTGGGAACGGAGAGTTCGGTATCCGTATAATCGGAATCAGACGCCGAACCACGTCGCAAGCCCTTCAAACCGTAACCTCTCTTCCCCTGACCCCACGAACCACCACGTCTCCGCCTCCACGGGGTTCCTGATCCAGATGACCCATCGGCGGAATACTGAGATAGAATCCGTTCTAGCTTTTCCAGAGCAAGAGTTGATTCTGGGACCTGAGAATCGCCCGACGTGGCAACATCGGTACCCAAAAGCTCCCCCTTGTTGGGCGCAGAGGTGGACCGTGGAATGAGGAGAGGAGACTTTGCTTCACGAGATGTGGACGCTGGTGGCAGGCCTAGCTTTGACTTCTCATGATACAGCCACTGATGGACCTGGCCTAGGAGAGCGTGATATTGAGCCTGAACACTGACATCATCTGCCGTGCTACTTCGGAAGAGAAACGGATGTTGTTCGGGTGTAGGTGGGGGGAATGCTGGAAACGATGAAATGGATGAGGATAGCTGGTCTTCCTCTGCCGCGGGCGTGGATGTTGTTGATATTGCAGAGACGTTGTTGGCGTTGCTATTCGCATTCAGATCACTGGTACTCCGATCCAGGCTCAAGTTGGAGATTTGGCTCGACACTGATTTCAGGGATGCAGAGGATGACTTTGGTATACTAGGTCGTGCAGAGACCCCTTTCTTCCCAGAGCGGAATGTCTTTCGACCTCCTGGGGTATCGGTTCCAGAACCCGGCTGCTGGTCCCCTTCTTGCCGAGTTACGGGTTGCTTGTTGGTAGTTACTGGTGGTGTAGATGTAGGCTCTACATCTTTAGTATTGAGAGCTGATCAACATTCAGAGGTTAGCAACGTATCGATGTTTGATATACCGCAGGACAGGCAGACAGTATTATAATATAATTTTACATGCTGGGATCATTGTACATCCATGTTCTTAGAATTCAGCTGCAATAGGCCAGAAATGGGTAATCAGATACAGAGAATAAAATATATCAGACTCCTCCCTCAACCATCTATTACCAAACTGTTTGAGATATGCCAGTATAACAAGAAAAAGAACATATCATACAAGGGAAAGCTACAGCAGCTAGGGGGGAATCAGGGTGGACTCACTGAGGTTTTTCTGTGGTGGTGAACGCGTTGAATCGTTCATGCTGGTGATGTCTTTTGCTGTGTGTAGTCTGTATTGCGTGCTGTAAGGGAAGAGACCTGAATAGATGGAAGATATATGCCGGAGCGGATTAATTATCCAACAATAGCCAGGAACAGGCTAGAAGAGAAAGACAAAAAGAGTCAACTAGAGAAAAAGAAGAGTATCCCTTCTAACGATCCAAAAGAAGACAAGAATGATAGTGAATCTAAATATCTGCCTTGAAATCGGTGCCTCGTATATAAATTTGCCTTGAACGTTTCTTTTTTCTGTCTTTCCTTCTCCCTCTTCCCTCTCCTCTACCGGTTTCCTTATGGCTGAATGGAGCGGATAGAGGTACGAGCTGAGGTCTACTGCATACACTCCGTTACAGGGAAAGATATTTCGACGTCAGCACTGCGTAAGCGAGCGAGAATGTGGGAGCCAGAGCAGGAATAAAGTGGAGGCTGATAAGCTTGAATGATCCTTGAGCCAACGTGGATCATCGATCAGCTAAAAATTAGCGCCTGTCAAAAGGGAAAAAAAAGGAAACCCGTATAAGAAGAGAACTAGAGAACGGAAGAGACCACCGCCAGAGAAGAGTATAGACAAGAAGACGACGAGGAGGACGAAGAAGTGATATTGAACATAGGAAGATGAAGATGAAAAAAGGAAGAAAAGAAAAAAAAGACGTCGTCAACCTGGACATGTGACGTCCACCTTTTAGGCAGGTACAAGCATGAAGTATTTTCCCCTTTGGGCCTAGTGCCGAGGTCCCTTCGAGTAAATCCCGTGACCTGCTTCTTTGCTTTTTTGTTGCTCTCGAATTCGATATAAAAAGATGCGCTCGAGGCGCGACATTCGTTAATTCGTTATGACTTATTATTTAGTGGATTATGCTGAATGCTCCATAGTGGACTCCAGGTGCGTTTGTTCATTTACAAAATGAAGATACGAAGGGAAAGATTTTGTTTACCACGCCAGACCAGACCACCCAGACCATATGATATACCCGAAAACAGATGAAAGATGAAAAAATGGCCGGAAAGAAACAAGCTGAAACTGAAGAAAAAGAATAAACAAGACCAAGCAACCTGAATTAAAGGGTTGGTTGGGAAGAAGATGAGCGACTCGCTATTATTGGATGGAACTGTGAGATGGATGAGCCTAGTTGGCTGCCCACTGCACAACCTGCAGCGCCGAGATTACAAGTATAAGCGTCGATGGCAATATCCTATACACGATTAGCTTTGCTTTCTTCCGCTACGAGCATGGCGGATCGGACTTACCAGATGACATAGGAATGGAACAGGATCCTCGACATGGCTCCCATGTAGACATTGTTGATCTGACATATCTGTGCCAGCTGCAATGCCGACGGAGCACCGACGAGCAGGAAACAGACGACGATAAAGATCGGATCATTCAGTATGCTTACGGGCACGTACTTGGCAGTGACCGCTAATATCGGGCCCATGATGAGGGTCGGTAACACCATACGTGCCACCAATGATGCGATGATCAGCTTACGTTCCTCCTTTGGATCCTCTTCGTCCGCCAGTGCGTCCTTGGGCAGCGTGCTTCGTTCCAGGTTCGCGCCTAGCACGACCAGGATGAGTGGGACGGCAACACCGCCAGACTGTTTAACGGCACGGGTGACGGAGTTGCTGAGGAAGTTCCCTGGCGTGAAGAAGACGCGTTGTACGGACGGTATCGACGCCACGAGGACGGCGACCAACATGGCCCAGAGAGGCGGGTTCATGAACGCCCAGAGGCCGGAGAAGAAGGAGGCAGCGCGGGAGTATGCCCAACCGAGGAATTTCTGGAGAGGCAAAGGTAGGCTGTTGAATAGTTGTTGGGAGGTAGAGCGGACTGACTTGGAGATCGATCGGAGGGCGGAGTGGAATGCTGATTTGGCCGTGGTCTGCTCCTGGACACGGGGGAAGTGTGCAATGTCGTCGTCAAAGTCTGGACGGGCAGCGAATTCTCCGTTTGGCAGGATAAGGACTGGGTGGTCTGTATTCTCGTCGCCTTCACCGTTCGAGGACGGGAACTTGGCATATGGGCGGTGTCGCTCGAGGACGGGAGTCTGGTCGCCAGATTCAAAGTGAGAATCCTCCGACGAAGAATCCGAGTACGTGGATCTAGCCGGCGTGGCCTGCCCGCTGTTGACGGCCGTTCGTGCCGGATCAGTGTCTGGGTTGTCGAGGTACCGTTCGGAGTCGTCGTCAAAGGCCAGACGGGCATTGGCGGTCTCTTCTTCGTCGCGGAGGTACGACTCGCGTGGAGCAAGCAGAACATGGTATCCCCAACTCCAGCGCACGGCCTGGCCCAGCTGCTGGAAGATGAGCAGATATAGGATCCCGCGGGCGGCAACTTCGCTGTCGTTGTCGCCGGGGATCTTGTCCCAGTGCAGGCCGGACAGCGTCTTGGAGAGGGATATGACGAGCGATATGGGGAGGGAATTGGAGTTTCCAAACACCTGATCGCCTGTCTGTCAGCTTGTTCAAGTCGATCCGGGGCGGGGAGGAACATTAACAACTTACACCCATGGCCTTGACGAAATTAGACTGGCGCTTTTTGAATCCAAAACACCTGGACACGATCATGGCCGACAGATAGGATATGAGCGTCTGGATGACGAAGAGCACGGGTATGATGGCCAGGTCCGCGAGCTTGCCGGCCGTGAGCTGCGATGCGAGCTTTGTGAAGATAAGACAGGGCGTAAAGAGCATGACGTTCAGGTTGGCGACGAACTTCTGCGACTCGGCGTCGAACATGCCCATCCACGCGATGATGTAGCCCGGCAGACTGACGCAGACGACCTCCAGCACGGCTTCGAAGACGAGCAGGGCGAGATGCGGTATCGACGGGTGCGGTCCGCCGCCGGACGCAGCGTTGTTGGAGCCATCTACGAGAGAGAAGAGGGAGAAGCCTGGATTTGCGCGCTCGAACGACTGCGGCGAGGAGAGGAGGGTCATGATATATTCGGTCAGTCGTCTGTCGATGTAATGTAGATGCGAGCTGAGGTAGAGCTCGACCCGGTATGCGTAGACTGCCGGGCAGGAGTGAATCAATCGCAACAAGAAGGAAAAGAGAAGAGAGCCAGCCCGTCCAGCCCTTCAAAAAGCAGCACGGTCAGAAGGCGGATCGGACTATCTCTCTTGTGCCAGTTAGCTGCTGCTGGTCGACATCAGAATCGAGTTTCCAGGAGATCTCGGGGGCGCAGGGATCAGCCATAGCAGCGATGTTTCCTGCCCGCCAATCACAGTGGGAAAGAACATCATGCCTATGGCTGACTCTACCACGAACTCTTGGCCGTCTTGGTCTTACATCTTATCTTACATCTTACATCTTACGTCTTACTACGTGGTCATGGAAGATGGAATGGAAGACGATAGGAAGACGATATGGGCCTGCTGTTACACTGTGGCTGCTCTGTACACGGTGATATACTCAGCTACGATGGCTTCGGCCCTTGCATCGCAGCTCGTCCTCTTCCCCGTCGTCTCCTCTGCCAGGGACTCGCTGGCTTCCCTGCGCACCAAGAGCGCCACCTCGCCACTGCCAGGACGCGGCCCTGGTTATCTCCATGGCCAGCGTCATCGTCAACAGTTACGCTATCGTCTGCTAGCTTCGGCGTCTGGTATGAGTTGGTATGAGTTGGTAGAAGTTGATATATATGAGTTGATATGAGTTGATATGAGTTGATATGTATGAGTGATGAATTGATGTCAGTCGGAGAATATCGACATTCCATGCCTGAACGTCTATCAGATCCGCGGATACGAGACTGTGGCTGAAGCCGCGTGGCTGTCGATATCATAGACGGCTTCTCTCCACCGATGCCGTGTATACTCCATAGAAATCAACCATGCCGTGTCTCTCTTAAGAGCATAAACGTCGTAGCGGTCGGCAGGCCGAAATTTCAGGGCTGAGCTAACCGTCTCCCTGGTTCCTGGTGGCAAGACGATGCCATAGCCTAGAGTGTATACCTATAGTGTAGCGAGATAAGACCGGGCCCTGCGATGATCCGGCGGGCTTTTCTTCCCACCAAAGACCACCACCATAGCCAAACCACCACCGGCTTCACCCTCGACCTCGACCAACGACCAACGACCATAACTACGACCGTCACAGTGGCAGCATCGCCTCGCCGGACACGTCTGCACAGTCTCCAGGCCTTGGACCCTGCGATCTCCCCGTCTGAAGACATCCCGCCTCGTCCCGCAGTATATTTATAGCTCGTTAGTTGCAGACAGCATCCCTGCCAGGTCTCGCCGATGCAGACTCTGCGCTTCCCTCCAGGCCATAAATACTGATATAATAGCATTCTGCAGACTCTCATGGACCGCTAGGCCGCTCGCTGCCTCTCGCCATTGCTTTATCTCACCGCATTGTGCGCCACGGTGGTAGAGACACAGAGAGAAGACCACCACCAAACCCCCACATCACGGTAACAGGCATGGAAGAACATGATATCAGGATGGGAGAGGAGGTCGAGATAGGAGAAGCTACGGCTGGTGCAGATACGGCAGAGAGCAGGCCCAAAGCCGCGCCCACGCCCGCAGGTCTGACCGTAGATGACGGCCGCCCGCAACTGTCGGCCATGCAGGCTGCCTCTACCTCCTCCGTCCGCACCATCTCGGGCATGCCCATGATGACCCCTTCTTCCACCCCGCTGGGCCATGTCAACGCCGCCCGCCGTCCGGGGCCCATGCCGGTCCGCGGCAGCCAGTCCAGCGGCTTCACGCAGGACATCCAGGAGAAGATGAAGGCCTTCTCCCTCTCCCGCCAGGGTGCTCCGGTCAACGGTAACGGCGTGGCTTCGTTTCCGGGAGCCTCCTCGAGCGCACCTACGGTTCCACAGGGTACGCCCAACAGGCTGCCCGGTGGTGTCCCGGCCATGAACCTGGCCGCGCCACAGCCCACCGGGCCCTGGTCTCCCCCCTCGGGACCCGGTCCTATCGGGCGTACCCCTACGCCGAAGATGGGCGGCGGGCTGGCTGCGAAACGAGGTATGGCGGGGGGCATGAAGCTGTCCGACGTCTCCGGGCCATCGCCAGCAGGAGCGTCCCCGGGTGACAGAGGCAGCACGCCAAACGTCAACGGCACAGCTCCTACGCTGTCCGGCAGCGCCAGCTCGTCACAGGCCTCACGCACGCCAGATACGAACCCAGCTGCGTCGGCGTTTAGCAAGTATTCTGACTTTATCGATACCAAGGCCGGCACTATAAATTTCAATAACAAGGCCGTCATACATGGCGGCGGTATCGACTTCTCCTCCGGCCAGAGCTTCAACATATCCCTCGATGAAGTCGAGTCCCTCAACGAGCTGGGTAAGGGGAACTACGGCACGGTATATAGAGTACGACACTGTCGGCCTCGTCTACGCCGGCCAGGCCTGGGTCTAAAGGGCACCATGGCAATAGGGAATCTACCTCCAGACAGCACCCCTACTCCTACTCCTACCACCAATACTACTACTACATCTACAACTACTACCACCAATACCAACACCAACACCGATACCGAGGATAGCAACTCCACCTCTACCGACACCGATGCCAATACCAAGAAAGACAAAAACGACCTCACCAACGTAATCATGGCCATGAAGGAGATCCGACTCGAACTCGACGAAGCAAAGTTCACCGCCATCATAATGGAACTCGACGTCCTGCATCGCTGCGTCTCCCCCTTCATCATCGACTTCTACGGTGCCTTCTTCCAAGAAGGCGCTGTCTACATCTGTGTTGAATACATGGACGGCGGCTCGATGGAGAAGGTCTATGCAGGCGGCGTACCCGAAAACATCCTGCGAAAAATCACTCTTTCCACCGTCATGGGCCTCAAGTCACTCAAGGACGAACACAACATTATCCACCGTGACGTTAAGCCGACCAACATCCTCGTCAACACGCGTGGGCAGATCAAGATCTGCGATTTTGGTGTCAGCGGTAACCTGGTTGCAAGCATTGCCAAGACGAATATTGGATGCCAGAGCTATATGGCTCCTGAACGCATCTCCGGCGGCGGTCACCCTGGCAGTGTGGGCGGAGGAGGGACGTATAGCGTCCAGTCCGACATCTGGAGTCTGGGGCTGACTATCGTCGAGTGCGCCATGGGAAGATACCCTTATCCACCCGAAACATATAACAACATCTTCAGCCAACTCAACGTACGTTCTCACCCTATTACCTTCCTTACTTTCCTTCTTCCATCTCACTAACATACATACAGGCAATCGTACAAGGCGACCCCCCCACTCTACCCGCCGAAGGCTTCTCCCCTGAATCCAAAGACTTCGTATCAAGCTGCTTACAGAAAAACCCAGCCCTCCGACCAACCTACGCCAACCTCATCCGCCATGCCTGGGTAGCAAGCCTCATGCAGCCTCCTCCCGCCGCCACGGCAGAAGGCGGCGCTCCACCCCAGACCAACGATCACGACACCTTCGACGAGGAGGTGGCAGAGTGGGTTCGCGGTGCTATCGAGAGAAGGAGAACTGGACAGGGCAACGGCAAGGAACGTCCTGCCTTGCATGCCGTGGCACTTGATGCAGTACCCAAGAGCCCCCTGTTAGAAGGCGTCAGCTCCCCCATCGCTTGAAACATGTATCTTTCCTCCAAATTTTCTTTTGTAGACTGATGCCGATGCTGGTGCGGGTGCTGGCCACCTAACATCAATGGAAGGACCAAAATAAATGAAAAGCAACAGCAACATATCAACATATCAACATATCCTGACCTCTCCCCCCTTTTCTTCTCAGGGTTCTATATTCTACTGTGGCATTGTCTATGAAGTTTTTCAATCAAATACCCCCCCGCTTGGCCGTGCATGTTTCGACCATTTTGTTTACTTGTTTAACTATGCATTTTGCATTTTCTTGTATCTTTTTTCAAACCTACTACTACAATCATCTATCAAAGGCCGTTATATGGGATTGATGGGCTTTCTATTTCTAACAGATAATGATAATCACTCTTTACTCCAAGATTGATAAACTTCTCCATTTGGTTAGACGAAATAGTGTCTTGATAATAAGAAATTACCCCTATTAACCAGATAGATAAGCTAGTCTTATCTTTTTCCATGTATTGCATTAGGATATTTAGGGATTAGTTAATATGGTCAACACACATATCATGCCTATACCACAGCCGGGGTTATATGTGCATTTTCTAATCCAATACATCCACCATCTCCGTCGAGAGCTCTGTTTGTTTAACCGCCTCCAACCCAGGCAATTGACAGCATTTTCCCGAGATGTCTCGTCCCATTTACGACCTCTTAACCAAGGGCCAAAAGGTGCTCATTAACGGCAGCCGTGGTAAATACCAGGTTGTAAAAGCGCTAAAGCGGAATGTCTTTCAAGCTTCAACCATGGACACTAATACACCGTACGCAGGCAACGCGCTGTCTCTTTTTCCTCTCTTCAGTTTTGATATACATATGCTGACTGAAGATCAACCTGAGGCAAAGGGTGATCATTAAGACAGAGGGTGATGATCCAATCGTATACCAAACGGAGGCCAACTGTTATGGCTACCACTGTGTCACCAGCTCCCCCAATATAAGAGCAATGCGCGAAGTCATTGATAACGGAACAGATCAATGCATGGTGTTTGAATACTTGGATACAGACCTATGGTCGTTAAGGGCTAATGCGCAGGAACTCGGCCAGCCTTTTCTAAAAGCTACTGCAAAGTCCATCCTCGAGGCTGTGAAGGTGTTCTCAGATATGGATGGGCATTTTACTGCCGTGCATACAGGTATTCGCAAATCATATACCCAAACAACCGTACTCTACGTGTGTTTAGTAGACTGATATCAGACTGATAGATATTAACCCTAACAACGTCCTGGTCTCTGATGTGGACTCGTCGAAACCTATAGCCAAACTTGCTGATCTTGGAGCATGTATGTTGCCCTGGTTAATTTCATTCTGGATATCATATGCTTACTTGAACTAGTGGTTACTTCCGAGGGCTTTGACGACTTCCGATTGCAAGGGGTTGAAATTCGTGCTCCAGAGATCTGGAAGGGAGTATTGCCTACGCCTCCTTGCCAGATATGGTCCGTTGGTATTACTGTAGGTTCCATGGTTTTCGTCGTTTCAATCCTTGTACATCCAACTGCTGCTGACCTCTAACTAGCTAACGCACTTTTTCGCGAATCGAATTATATTTGGAAACTGGGACCAGGATTCCCGTGCCAAAGAGTTCCCTCTTGATGTGAATAAATCCGCGTGGGCAATTGGCAAGATTATTAAACTTGTTGGACCATTAGAACGAGACGAAGATCCCAAGTATAAACCCGAACTTGACCTAGCAGAATTCTTTGTGAAACAGGACCTTATTAAAGTTGGATCTCTTGAAGAAGAGCTTGCTAAAATAAATACCCCTATAGATTGTGTTGACTTTATTCGATATCTCCTGACTATCGACTACAAGACACGGCCAACGGCTGAGCAAGCACTACAGCATCCATGGCTTCAGGATTTGGAGTGAGTACAACGGATGATACGAGTGCCAGCTATACCAAAGAAGCCGACCCAAAGTCCACTTTTGCACAGCTCAATCCTGAAAGCACATCCCAGCCAGAGAGTAAAGCAACTGTATAATATCTTAGGCTATCATATCCTACATCTCCACTCTACCTATACCTTTTGAGAAGAGTATCAAAAAACTCACACGCAGCGAGAACTAACTATACCCCCCTGCCACGCCTACCGTAGTCCGCGCTATCTTGTATCGAATATCTGGGGTCAGGAGAGGAAACAAGATATAGCTGGGTGGGTATAGGGCTGCGTTCGCTCTCCAAGGCAGCCTCCATTCTCTGCAGGTAGCCTCCATTCTCTGCAAGGTAACCACTGCTCTCTGCAAGGTAGCCTCTGTTCTCTCCAAAGTAGCCTCTGTTCTTTGAAGGCTCTCTTCTACTTCCGCCGTAGCAGCAAGTATGGGTTCGCTGTATAGAAGTTAGCCTCTCGATATTTTAAAGTCTCCTATTATATAGGTTACTTACTTGTTGGTATCTTGTCAGATTCCTGTGTGTGGTTACGACTCGTTCCCCGAAGCCAATGGTACCCATTGGACACTAGGCCTCTTTGTCCCTTGTGGTTTAACATATCTTCATTCAGTTGAGATGGCTTAGGTAACAGTCTAAACTTGAAGAAATTGCTTTTTCATTCAGATTGTAGCTATAGAAAGAGGGAGTTAGTTAGTACATAATATTTAGTAATATCAAGGAATATTCTTACGTGACCTGAATGCGTGATGTTTCATGGATGAAAAGAAGTGTAAGGACAACAACAACTGCCAGAAGGATTCGAAATGCCTTTGGATCCCTACAGTATAGTAGAGTATCCGCAGCTATAGTTGTGCCATTGGTAAAATTTCAGATTCCTGTATGTGGTTATGACTCGTTCCCAAAACTAATCGTACCCATTGGACACTAGGCCGTTTTGTCCCTTGTGGTCCAACATAAAATTCAGCATATTGTCGGCTCTTGTGCAGGTCAGGAGACTGAACGTTTGTAGTATAAGGACTTGCACTGGTATAGAAGGTCTGGGAGAAACTGGAGACTTTTTTCAAATTGGTGGTACTTGAGCTAGTGGTAGGAAAAGCCCTGGAGGTATCGCGCTGGATGAATAAACAATAGACGTTTGCTTTCCTATCTCAAGGTAGACCAAGTGGAGAGGCGTATCAGGAAGACTTGAGAACGAGGCACAGCTTCGAGGAATAATGGAAGTAGAAGAACTCGGTGAGTCCAACTAGGGCCTGAGGATAGTGTCTAGAGCTTCGCATGTAATTAACAGCTTAGCAAAGTTGAGTTTGATATCTATAGCAAGAGAATATATAATAGAAAGCGAAGATATAGGCGGATCCCCGCGGCTGGAGGAATCACGTGATCTATCATCCAACTGCGCGACGAATCTCGCCTCTCGCCAGGGATATATAAAGATATTATAGAAGGCTGATTAATTGTAACGAGAAGACTTCTGGAGTAACTAAGTACCTAAAATGGCCTAATAGGTATATATCAACACACTACTATGTAGATACGTGATAGCACTGCATGCTGACGTCATCAGCCGCGAGCCTCGGCCCTTGAGAAAACGCCGGATGAATAATCAAAACATCTCGAAGCGTCAAAAAGGGCATCGTCTTGCTCGAGAAACCGAACTGATCGCAGGGAAGACTTGAACTGCGCTATCCCGGTCAGTCTTCTGTCCAGCTAACTGTCTCCCGCGTCTTTCCCTTCCCCCGCCAGCCAAGGGATGCCCTCCTTGTCAACCCCACCATCCGCATCAACGCTGCTCTCTCGCATCGGGCGAAGCATTACACATAAAAACGGCCTCTTCCCGCCAATCGCTCTCTCGACTCCTTCTCGCTCCGCAGCCCGACGTTATCATACGCAGCAGCCGCCTCGCAGCAGCTTATACTCGCCCTTTGCTGCTCGCCACAGAACGCTGGCGACTAGAAAGGCCGAAGTCACTTCTATACCCCGCCTCGGAGCCATCTCGAGGCAGCTATTCTCTTCCCCATCGACGTCATCACAGGGTAAAATGGCCCCAATTGATATGGAGGGCGTGGAGAAGTATGACTACATTGTGATTGGAGGTGGTAGTGGCGGCAGTGGTGGTGCCAGGCGAGCTGCCGGATGGTACAAGGCGAAGACTCTGATCGTTGAAAATGGCCGATCCGGAGGCACCTGTGTCAATGTTGGGTAGGATCGATTTGCTCTCCTTTATGTGTCCACACGGAGAATCAATATGCTAACCAGCTTATCTAGATGTGTACCCAAAAAGATGACATGGAACTTTGGGTCCATCAACGAACACCTCGAACACGCTAAGCACTACGGCTATGACGTTCCCAAGGACATTAAATTCGACTACGGCTACTTCAAAGGCACCCGTGATTCGACCATCGAGCGTCTTAATGGCATTTACGAGCGCAATTGGAACCGCGAGGGCATTGATCTTGTCAAGGGAACCGCAAAATTCCTCGAACAAAAGGTGGTAGAGATTGACCTAATGGACGGCTCTGGGAAGAAAACCGTCACTGCTCCTCATATCCTCATCGCTACGGGCGGATACCCAATTGTTCCTGACATCCCCGGCGCCGAACACGGAATTACCAGTGATGGGTTTTTTGAGATTGAGGACCTACCACCCAAACTTGCTGTGGTTGGAGCTGGCTATATCGCTGTTGAATTGGCTGGCGTCATGCATGCTGTCGGCGTGGAGACACACCTGTTCATCCGTGGAGAGACCTTTTTGAGGAAATTTGACCCCATGATTCAGGAAACAATGACCAAACGCTACGAGGCAACTGGCATGCACCTGCACAAGGGCTACACTGGAATGAAGAAGGTGGAGCTATTAAGCCCAGGAAAGGGTGCCGAGAAGCGTCTCAAACTGACATTCGATGACGGATCAGAGATGGAAGTCAACGAGCTGCTATGGGCCATTGGCCGAGCTCCCGCAGTCACGAATTTGGGTCTCAAGGAAATCGGCGTTAAACAGAACGACAAGGGACATATTGTTGTTGATGAGTTCCAGAACACTTCTGTGGACGGTATCTATGCTCTAGGTGATGTTACCGGTCAGGCAGAGTTGACTCCAGGTATTTATACACATATCCCCCTTCCTCTCTACCATATACTCCACCATGGTGCTAACTACCATTGTAGTCGCCATCGCCGCTAGTCGACAGCTTGGAAACCGTCTCTTCGGACCTCCGGAGCTCAAATCATCGAAGCTCTCCTACGAAAACATCCCCACCGTCGTCTTCTCTCACCCAGAAGTCGGCACATCCGGCCTTACTGAACCCGAAGCCGTTGAAAAGTACGGCAAAGAAAACCTCAAGATCTACCACACGAAATTCACAGATATGTTTTTCAGCGTCTTCCCTGCTGAGGAGAAGGAGAAGAACCCCACGGAGATGAAGCTCATTTGCGCTGGGCCAGAGGAGAAGGTTGTTGGCTTGCATATTCTGGGTCTCGGCGTGGGCGAGATGTTGCAAGGATTCGGCGTTGCGATGAAGATGGGTGCCACAAAGAAGGATTTCGATTCCTGTGTCGCCATTCATCCTACCAGCGCAGAAGAATTAGTTACTCTGCGGTAATTTATCAACATCTAGAGATATCTAACGTATGGATAGGATATAGACCTAATATTTTTGGGTTGGTTTTTGTGTTACTACATCATTAAATATATTTTTGCATGGGCAGTTTGGATCATAAAATAGAACTTGGCCCGGTTACGAAGCCTATATTTTCTATTTCTAATGGCATCTACCTTCGGCCGTACCGCTGATATAGCATTACAGTTTCGAGTTGGTCTTGGGAGGAGACACATCAACCTGATTCCACCAGGGATACACGGCAGGGATATCCGCCGGGTTATTAAATGAGCCTTTGAACTCTGCGCTCCTCTTCTGGAGGAAGCTTTTAACCCCTTCCTCGTTATCTCTGCTGCCGAAGAGCGGGTATATAAGCGACGAATCAAGTAGATGAGTTGCCTCCGCGCTGTCTGGGCCACGATACATGAGATCTCTCATCAGCGAGGTTGATAGCGTCGAGGTATTTCGCGCAATGTCGTCGGCAAGCTCAAGAGCGCGAGCCACCGTCGCTTCGGGCGTGGGCAGAATCTCTGAAAATAATTCTTTCAGCAGCGGATGGTCTGCAGGGTATGTGTTGCCAGTAGTAGTGACGTGCAGCGCACGCGAGTGCCCAATGAGTCTTGGTAGGAAGAAGGACGATACGGCTTCCATTATAAGACCACGGCGGGAAAATACAAATCCGATTTTGGCCTTCGCGGTCGCCAGACGGATAGTAGCTGGGAGGGTCATGGTGATCCCAATACCAACAGCAGATCCATTAATTGCCGCTATAGTCGGTTTTCGGCAATTGTGTATCGCCAGGGTTATCCTACCACCACTTCATCATAGACAAGTTACCGTTAGTTCAGTGTTTAGTTATATATTATCTACGATAGAACAGCATATACATACCCGTCCCTGTGATCCTTGTCCCTCTCCGCAGCCCCGCCTTTTCCCATTCCCTTGAATCCAATATCTAGGTCTGCACCGGCGCAAAACGCCTTGGTCCCTGAGCCTGTGAGCACGACAACCTTCACACGATCATCAATATCCACCATGCCGAACACCTCGGCCATCTCCCTGGACATTTGCTCAGTGTAGGCATTGAGCTTCTCAGGCCTGTTTAAGGTGAGGAGCAGGACCGGTGTAGGCGTCGGGGACGAAGCTGGGACATGGGAGAGCTTGATATGCGCCGTCGGCAGGGCAGCGTAAGAATCTGGAAGGGATGGAGGCATCTTGGTATAGCTCGCTGGGAGGATGGATGGGTGGTAGGAGAGATAGAATAGTATGCTCCCGATTAAGTCTGCAACGAGTCTTTCGGGTGTAGGAGGGTGCTAAACACACAATCAAGTCAGGTTAATATGTCAGTTGTAAGTATTGAGGAGAAGTTGGGTCGATATGGCAAGCCCGTAGGATGAGCTGGCTGTCCATACAGCTGCTGGAGCCGAGGTTCAAGGATTCATCAGCCGAGGCGGGGATATATTCTCATCAACGGTGGCTATCCTGTCGCGGATTTGTACATATAGTCTCTGCGCATCAACGCACCCTGGGGGCCTTAGGTAGCAGGCAAGTGTTGATATCCAGGTTGATATCCGTTGTCGTTTGCGGAGGAGTTACTGAATCTCGCCGGCTTTAAATCCGGGGGACTGAGGCACGTGACCTTTTATTTTGGCCGGCGAAAAGCAAAAAGCTATACAGCTCTTTTTGTAAGGATGAAGATAACGGAGAGCAGAGCCAGCTAATCAACTACTAATTCCCATGAGACGGTTTCATTTGGTTGCCCAGAGATGGGGCAGCCGGCCGTCTGTCTATCGGGCTGCTCGACAACAGTCGGTCTTTACGACTCTCCATAGCAGATACTGTTCTTGCTCTGCGCCGTCAGAAAAGTCGACCCCTAATATCAAACAAACTTCTGCAGCTCCAGCAGACCACAGGGCCCTCGGAACAGCCCAGGAACTCTTCACCAACTCCATCTATAGCCCCGGATCGCCGCTCTTCCGCCCCAATGGCACCCACATCCTCAACAAGCTCATCTCCTTTCTCCGGGCGCAATACAAGCAATACGGCTTCCGCGAAGTCCTCACGCCGAATATCTATAAACAATCTCTCTGGGAGGTATCAGGACATTGGCAAAATTATAAAGATGATATGTATGAGGTGGCTGGCCGTGGGAATACAGGCGAAGTTGAAGGGTCTGCCGCGGGGGAGGACGAGACATATGGGTTAAAACCAATGAACTGCCCAGGCCACTGCCTTTTGTTTAAATCTCAGAAACACTCGTATCGGGAACTCCCTGTCCGATATGCGGATTTTAGCCCTCTTCACAGGAATGAGGTTTCCGGTTCGTTGTCGGGGCTCACTCGAGTGAGGAGGTTCCATCAGGATGATGGACATATATTTTGTCGTCCATCGCAAATTGGAAGTGAGATACAGTTGGCGCTAAAATTTGCGGATACTGTCCTCCAAACGTTCGGACTTGCGGATGGATATAGACTTGTTCTCTCTACGAGGCCGGAGAAGGACTTCATCGGCAGCTTGGAGCTATGGGAGACTGCAGAGCAGCAGCTCCGACAGGCGTTGGATAACAGCGGTCTAAGCTGGGAACTTAATGAGGGAGATGGCGCGTTTTATGGGCCAAAGATTGATTTACAGATTCAGGATTCCCACGGGAAATATCACCAGCTATCTACTATACAGTTGGATATGAACTTACCACGGAGATTTGAGTTGGAGTATCTGGTCCCCGAAGGCTCAGAGGAGTACGATCCAGCTACTGGTGGGATAGCGACCCCTGTTTTGATCCATAGGGCGATATTCGGCTCGCTAGAGCGGTTTTTTGCACTCTTGATCGAACGATACAATGGTCAATGGCCATTCTGGCTCTCACCTCGCCAGTCAATTCTTGTCACTGTCGGAGGAGATGAGCAGCTCACACGAGCTGCAGAGGACGTTGTGGCTAAAATATCCGGATACCAACCCATCACTTCCCACCGGCCTGCAGAAAGCAATCTCCCTCTATCACCGCTACAGCCGACATTCAACGTCGACCTCGACCCGTCAAATAGATCCCTAGCCAAAAAACTGCGCGAAGCATATACTGCGAAATACAACCTCGTCTTCATCATGGGCCCCAAAAACGTCGCTGAAGGGTCGATTGATATCGACTTGTTCGGTCAAGTTAACGGCAAGAGTGAAGAGGAAATCAAGGCGTTGTTGCACGGCATACCATGCTGGAACGTGTCCGTCTCGACGTCCGGTGAAAGGACCAAGGCACAGATAAGGATGAAGGTCGATGACGTACATGCCTGGCTTGTCGAGCTGGAGAGAAGGTTCCTATGACCTTATCCATCGCCATATGAAGATGAAGATATATATAACATATCCCCCTTGTAACAATAAATAAACAGATAGATGTACGAATAGAGCCACCTAATGACCTTCCATTCTGGGAATATTATCATGTGCGCGGAAAAACTATTTTCCCGACGCGCTTACCTCGGCCTGGGAAAAACTAAACTTCCGGTCCCGATTTGCCCCGCCGCGGCTCTTTTCGAGATTATCAAAACGATCGCAAGAGAGGATGGAACAGCAAGCTGCTTGCTTTCCAGTGCGTGCAATAGAGCGGACAACTTCAAGATACGACATTTCTCGGATCCTGTGAGATGGCTGTTGAGCCACAAACTCACTGGCCGATTCATGCTGCGCTCCCGTCTCGTTGGACCCCATGTCTGACTCGTCAAAACCATCAATCTCCCGAAAGAGCGCTTTCTCGTGCGAGGCATGTCGCAAGCGCAAGGTAAGGCTCCGTGAACATTACACATTGTGCAGCTGCTTATGGGATATAGGTAAAATGTAACGCCGCAACGCCGTCATGTTCGCGATGCTCCGCGCGGGGTGAAGCGTGCATCTATACCTTGTGAGCCTTTCACCGCCCCTTCAAGGCGATATACGCCTCCATATCAAAAAAGCGATATTAATTAGCAACAGGACTCCGACCCTGTCGTATACCCGAACTCTCGAATCGCGCATTGCAAAGCTAGAGGCAGAGCTAGCAAAGTTCAGAAAGGACCCCCAACACCGCAACGGTGCGGACACAGAGCAAGATCGCGGACTGAAAGTAGAAGAGTCAGACAGGCCATCGTCCATCGATTCGTTTGAACAGCATCGTGAAGATGTTAAGGAATCCGTGGATCTACTCTCCCGAGACATCGAGGGCCTGACGGTGGAGGACGACGGGCGCATCTCGTTCCATGGTCCGACCAGTTTATTCCAGCTGCCCAGCGGCCTAGCGGAAATCGCAAATCCCACTTTATCCGTCGACAATGAGTCGGATGGCCGAAAGGAACGACTCATTAACAATGCATGGAGAGAACGTGCATTCGAGCAATTAACTACCATCCCAGTATGACTTTTGATTGACAAAACGAGGAATCTTGTTGAATCATCCCCACTCACTAATTTCCTCCATTTTAGGAACCGTTCAACTACTTGCTGGACTCCCACTGGTGCTGGATACAACCGTTATTTAACTTTGTGTATCGCCCTGCCTTTACTCGTATGTACCAGCCCATGCGGCCCTCGTAGACCACAGTTGTATGGACGCTAAGTTTGGTTGATCTTATAGGTGATATGAAGATGAACGGCCCATACTTCTCCGAAATTCTCCTAAACGCCATTCTATCCCACTCCCTTCGGTGGTGCAGGGACGAACCTAAGATCGCTCGCATGCTCGATGCCTACGATGGAGGCCAGCAATTCCGCCAGAGAGCCGTGACTGGTTTATTTGAAAGTTTGAAGAGTGGCAACGGCCAAATCACGGTTGTTCAGACTCTGCTTTTGCTGAGTGCCCAGGAATGTGGCCGTGGAAATCGAACCCAAGCATGGCTATATAGCGGAATGGCCTTTCGACTTGTAGAAGACTTAGGCATCACCATTGATAGCCGGAAGTACTCTGGCTCGGTGCAATTCTCAGACGAAGACGTCGAGATTAGAAACCGCCTTTTCTGGAGCTGCTACTTTTGGGATAAACTGGTGTCGCTATATTTCGGCCGATCGCCGATTATCCAGGATACCCCCGTCAGTCCACCCCGGATATTATGTACGTATCTATCCCTACCATTTGACCTCCAATGATAGCAATACTAACAATATTATCAGTGGATGATACTGCCGAGATCGAAATATGGACACCCCACGGAGTGGTATTCCCCGAGGGTATGCACTATCCGCCGACGCAGGCCCACTCAACGTCATGTTTCATGAAGATGTGTTCGTTGGCGGAAATCCTCAACCAGATAATCATCCACATATATGATCCTGTTCGACAGAGCACAGAAGCCCAAATCCAGGATTGTGTGGACAAACAGGGGGCAAATCTTGAGATATGGTGGAATGAACTTCCGCCTTTCCTAAAACTCGTTCCCAGTAGCCTCCCTACATACTGCCCGCCTAGTCACGTCGTGACTCTAAAGTAAGCTAACTGGAATACCCCAGTCCGCTTATACATACCATATCAAATGCTGACTCCAGCCTAGTTGTTTATACCACACCACCAACATCCTTCTCCATCGCCCGATGCTCTGCTCTAGGCCATTTAGAACCCGGGAAAACGCTACAAACAATGCTAACCACTTGGTCCAATGTCTCTCGTCGGCTACCTCTAACATCTCACTATACGATCTCTTTAGACGGACTTTCGGCGATAGCCATGTCGTTCTGTCCCTCGCGTACAGTTTATATACAGCCGCTTCCATATTTATACTCGAAATTCAGGCATTAAAATACGCATCTGCTTCGACGTTGGAGAAACTGAGATATTGTATCTTGGCACTTGAGCGTGTTAAGGCGGCTAATCCAGGTGAGAAATTGAACCTTTTGAATGAGTTTGGGGTTCGGCATGGACTAACGATCCAATTTATAGTTATCAATACCGCGCTTGGTTTGGTCGAGAAAGAACTAAAAAAGCTTCGCATCAACATCTTTGATACTCCGACCAACCCAGACCAGCCCGCTATCCCCGCCCAGTCTCCACAGACCACTACTTCATCACCTCCCGCCTCTTTAGATCCGCTACATGGTCAACATATATATACCCTACCCCCACACGGCGCATTTAGCATCACTCCTCCCCCGGCAGACCGTCAACAAGCTCAACAGCAACAGCGACAACCTTCACATAACCCAAATCCCTTCATTATGGATACACCACCGCTACCAGACCCGCCAGATTTCATCGCTCAAGATCGAATGTATGACATCGCACCAGAACTGTTTGAGGCTTTTTCGTACGTCGAGCCAACTACCCCTGGTGGCGTCGGGACGGGGTTCGACACCACGAACTGGGCTGGGACTGGGCCAGCTAGCTAGAGCTCCTCGCCGATTGCTTACCGCGTACGGAGTACGCGCGAGTTTATCTTTCCTTCTTTTTATCCTTTTCTGTAAAAAGAAAAGCAACCGTTTTGGTTTCTCTATTGTACATATGTGATGGATACTATGGCGTTACTTTGCCTTTTTAGATAGGTTTGCGGTTATTTGGACTTACTTATGGGACCAACCTTTTATGCAAACGGTATCTATCGTCTTTGCAACTATTTCCATCTCGTTCTACCTTATATAGATCCGCCCATATCGACCGGAGTATAATGCTCCGGCTTTCGGCTTTCGGCAAAATGATAGTAACTAGTCATGTGATTGTGGTATTTATTTATTTTACTCCATCTTCAAGTTCGAACATCCGGCTTGCACATCGCATGTTCCATGGCTTATATTGTACGCAGCAGGCTTCTTCATCGACCAAACATCTTGAGTTCCTCCACTAGGCGAGCAAAATCGCGGTACAGAACCATGAGTACCCCGCCAAAGCTGCCACCTTCATCATGGGACAGCCACATGCACATTGTCAACCCAGAAAAATACCCCCTCGCGCCGGATGCGCAATATGTGCCCCCTGTCCATACACTCGCTGATGCAATGTCTTTCGAATCTTCAGTTGGTATGCGAAATATCGTCTTAGTCCAACCGTCCATATACGGATTCGACAACTCATGTATGCTTGACGGTTTGAAGGAACTGGGCTCTAGTCGAGGAAGAGCGGTGGTCTCGCTGGATCCGGACAACCAACCGTCTGAGGATACCCTAAAATTATGGCATCAATGGGGCGTTCGAGGAGTGAGACTCAATTTGCAATCTACCGGCAAAGAATTAAATGCCGAGGAACTAAAAACGATCATGCACAAGTACGCAGATATAATCCGCCCGTATGGCTGGGTTCTACAGCTCTATATTGCCCTTCACCACATCCCCCTTCTGCAGGCTGTTGTCCCAAGTTTAGGAGTTAAAGTCTGTTTCGACCATTTCGGAAGCCCCAAGCTACCTGCCCCGGCTACTAGTACAAGCCATACGACAAAATTAGACCCATATTGCCTCCCAGGTTTCAAGGAATTGATCGAGCTCCTCAAGAATGGTCATACGTACGTTAAAGTATCCGCCGCATATCGACTTACCAGCAACCCCGAATTTGACGGCCTGCGGGAAATGTGCATGGAGTTTATGCGTGTGGCCCCAGATCGGGTAGTGTTTGCTACGGATTGGCCGCATACAAGATTTGATTCGATCGATATTGTTCCGTTTATGAAAGCTTGTGTCGACTGGTGCCACGGCGACCAGGCTATGGTTGAGAAACTATTCCAGCGCAACGCAGAAGAGCTTTGGGATGTCAAGGCTGTAACTGAGTCGTGAAATTCCATAGTCCCCTTGTTTATACCCATCGTCACTGCATATATATACTTCTTTACAATCCAGCGCGTATTCACGAATCCTAGCATCGATCAGAGTCGGTCACTATTGGTAATTGAGTGGAACCCTTCATCGGTTATCCGTTAATATAATACCAGTTCGCAATGGCAGGACGTTATCTCCCTTTGCAATCCCGAAAAGAACACTGCGCAGTACCTTACAGGCCCTCTCATACTAAAAGTATATAACCTGTTGCTCTCTCTCTTACATTTTCCCCCTTTTCCTTCTAAAGTTATTCATACACGAAAGATGATCAGGCAGACCTTGCATCCGCAAGCGATTCTTACTCCTGGCTAACTAATATATAACCCTTTGCGCGGCTGTCACAGAAATGGGTTGTGTTGTCGGCCTAGAATGACCAGTCATCAATGAATCCAATCTGCTTCTTATATTGACGGTATGTCAAAGGCAAATGTAACTCACGAGAGGCTTGCAACATTCGACGGGAGATTTATCTTTGCATCCTTCTTTTCTGGGGGCTGGGGTACCTATTGGATCCAATTGTCGACATGTCAGCTTCATGGTCTGCGCCTTCAAGACTGGATTGCGGGAAGATTATCCTACATCCGGTGCCAAATAGGCCCTTGGGGGCTTTATCTTCATAATGGGTACAGCATAGCGGCTCTCGCTCGCTAGGACAAGTCCACACGGCGCTGGAAGTTGTAATGAACGATGATAGAGTCATCAGAGCCATTGCAGCTATGTTCAGCCCGTTGGCATGCATGTTTATTGAGATGGTAGTTCGTCCTAGAGCTAATGTTTCAGAGCTGAGAGCAGGTTGTTCAATATCAAGTATAGTGATCGGTAGACGTGATCAGGCTTGAGGGCGAAGTTGGAGGATGGGATGAGGTGTTCCATCCTATATAAATATCCCATCTTGAACAGCACCTGGAAGATGCACAACTCGTTACCCGTTCTCTTGTCATATCAGCAATATTGCTCTCGTATCCTCGTCTTATGACCCTTTCCTGCTTGTGACATCTCATGAACCGATATTAGGTACTAAATGGATGTTGAACCGAAACGAAAGCGGTCAGCCGTTACACGGATTGCGCAGTTTCATCGCCATCGCACAGGACGATATAAAACTGCTACACACCATCAACCATGCCTAGAGGCAGTCACAGGGTAAAGAAGGTCAGGATTAATGTGTAGCATGTCTCCTCAGCAGCTACAACAAGGTATACCTCCTGGGCTCAAGCCTACAGAGATTACAAGGCCCTGCCAGGCTTCATATAGAACTGTCAAGGACGGGTTCAAAGTGGAACAAACGAGAGTAACCAAGTAACTACTTACTAGTTTAACTAACCATATTGCTTTTTCCTTTACGAATGACGAGCTAAGTACCATAAACATCGTTAACCCCTTTTCTTTTTTAGATCGTGAAGCGGAACCGTGGATCATCATCGCCCATATTTCCCAAGATGCTCTCGTCCAGCTGAAGCCTATCATCACGTTTGCCTTGTTCTCTCAGCCTGTTCTCACGCAAGAGCCCCAGAGCGAGGACAACACTGCCGCATCCGCACATGATAAGGGTGGCCAGGCAAACGCCGTATCCAACAAAGTACCGTGGCGCGTCCTTCATCACGAAGACGTTGCTTGCAATGAGGCCACCTAGGTTTCCAATTCCAATCTGGATTGCTAAACCAATGGCCCGTTTATAGTGACCTCCGAGGTTGTTCGCCAACCAGACGATGGTCACGGGCTGGACGATATAACAGCCTACGCAGACAAAGAAGACGGCCATATAGCGAATGCCGGCCGGCAGTCCACCGACGATGGGCCCCTGGCAAAGAAGGATAATATACCCAATGCTTCCGAAAGTAACGCCAAAGAGGATGAAGCCCAGTCGATGCCTGAGACGGTCTGTCAGGTATGAGACGACAAGTGTAACGAACGCCGTCACAAGCCATATCGGAATACTATGGATCTGGCTTTGGATCCCAGAATATCCGAGGGACCTCACAATTGTTGGTATGAAAAGGGCTGTCGCGTAACCTGATACAGTAATGTTGATATAAATAAATGTGCCAACATATATTTTCCAGTCGGTCAGGATTCTTTTCCATGCGGTGATATCAAGTTTATCCATCCTGGCTCCGCCCCCAACGTCCTGGCTGCTGCGAGTCTGCATCACCTTTTTCTCCTCGCTGGTCAAGAATTTTGCCTGCTCCGGCCAGTCGGCAATAAAAAACTTTGCAGGACCTGCAAGGGCGATTGAAAAGAGACCCTCCAATATAAAGATCCATCTCCAGCCAGAATATCCTCCTAGTCCTGCCATATGGTCGATAGCGTAGGCTAAGAGACCGCCAAAGGCTCCCGCAAGTAAGCCAGCCACCCAGAAGAGCGAAAGGCGCTTTTGGAATTCATGGCGCTTGTAATATGTGGCCATTAGGTATGCACAACCGGGAACAAAGCCTGCTTCGAAGGCACCGATGAAAAAGCGACAAACAATAAGATCGCCGTTGTTTCTCACGAATCCCTGACACATGGATGAAACACCTATATCAACGAACGTTTAGTCGGGATTCCTACCCAGTCACTCTCGAGGGTAATTGAGGGATACATACCCCATAGGAAGGTGAGGATGCTAATCCAAGTTGATGGAGCAAATTTCTTTAGCAAAATGTTACTCGGGATATCCATCAGGACATATGGCACAAAAAATATCTGCACTGCAATATTGAAGTCATTCCCTTTGAGTTTCAACTCATCCATTATCCCAAGGACCGCGACATTTCCAAGGTTGATGCGGTCGAGAAATCCGAAGACGAAAAGGATCCATAGCGGAATCATGAGGTTAATGTCAACCTTTCGCATCATCCTCTTTTCTGCTTCAAGAGACTGGCTCCCTTCTTCGGCCGGACCGCATTCTGAGTCTGATCTTTCAACGCCAGCTATCTGGGGCTTGCCCTTCTCCTCTGCTGCTAGGTCTGCCATATCTGTTGGCGCTGTATTGCGAGTGCGATCACTAGAATCAAATTTGAGAAGAGCGATCCGACACCGAACGAAGCAAAGGTGCAAGACAGAGGAGAAAGAGGAATGAAAAGAGGGCGAATCCGACCAGTTACACGGTGTCCATTTGGTATTCTAAGGCAGTCTGATGCAACTAGGCCATGCAGATTTTTCGAACCCGACCTGCAGAGTACGGCGTACGGAGTACTAATCTACCATCAGCTCGGACATAGTAGCATCCATGTCTACTAGCAGCCAGCCTGCAGCAATCAAAGCAATGTCGCATCTAGCGCATGGGATTTTGTTTATGCTGGAGATATAATCCCACCACTAGGGTAAGTTAATTAATCCATGAGCAAGAAGGAAATCCATGGTCGTTGTCAAGATTAATAAATTTCGTCCGCAGCTAGACTGGTGAACCGTGAGAGCGAAACACGCTCGTCCGGTACCCGAAGCCTAGAAAATTTCCTAGCTCCCTTAATGGAGCACATATATGCGCTTATGGGCTTGTTTTATACGAACGGATGCTTAAATAACACGGACGGCGGAACTAGCTTCGAAAACCCATCGCTCGTCGCATTGGTATCTCGCACCAGGATACTCCATACTTTTCTACTACACATGCCGCCTGCTCAGCCTATTATGTTTCTTCCAGAAGATCTGTGCATTCTAAAACGGGTAAAGAGTACCAGGTCAAATCTCTATTCGAGATCTACTGGTAGTTTATTGCGTAAGAGAAATACCTCCACAGATCCTTGCTTAGACCCATGATAGAGTCGCAGGACTAACTAGACTGAATATCCTAGCAAGCCCGGAATTCCTCGCACCAAGTCAACGCAACGCAGGGCAACTGGTGTCCCTGCTACAGCGACACTGGGCGTGGCTAGACTACCATCATGGTGTGCAAGGAGCGGCTTGCTACAGGGTTATTTATATAAGACCCTTGTAGACACCAAACTGCGCTTGACGGCGCACATTACGGAAAGCAAGGCGCCGAATCTGTGGCCCCAATTCTAGGACTTCCGCTAGATGAATAATAGCTGTTTTGAGCGACTAGAGCGACTTCAAGCCACTACAAAAGACTACGGAATACTCCTTATGCGTGTCGTAGTCGAGTTTTCAAGTCCACCCGTGGACAGAGGCATCGGCAAAGGAGTTCCCTTCTGGCCCATTCATGCCAATATACATTAGTCAAGTGTTGCCTCTCAGCACGCGCCCCTGCCTGCCCTACCCTGGGATGTCGGCATGGATGAGCACCAGAAATACCCATACATTACCCTGCATTCCAGTCAAAATTCCAATGTGTGCTTTGACTTTGCGTGGGATGAAGACAAGGGATGTACCCCTGCCTCACTACCCATATACAGTTCCTGTTGGATTGCCATTACTACTACTACCTTCTTTCTTTGAGGCTGGTGTTGGCAATCCCGCTGAAGAGTTTACAAGCATAGCCATGGGTTGGTTGATCCTTCACTTTTCTCTGCAACTTTTAAGATCTCCATTACTTTTTGTTTCCCTTCTGCTTCTCTTCAGCATGTACTCCATAAATGGGTTGCGTTGAGGTTCGTCGATTGTGAAGCCTTTCGATGAGGCACCATGCCGCTTTTCAGCCACTATGGGGATGTTGAAGACATTTCCGACCGACTGGCCATTCCAGCTCTAGTATTTTCGATCCTCACACCACTCTTTATTATTGGGAGAGTTGTTAGTCGGAAGTATTATTCAAAAAGTCTGGGACCTGATGACTGGACAATTTTGGCTTCGTTGGTATATATATACACCCCTTTTACGAGCCCGCTATAATAAAGAGATGAATAGCAGGGAATGGAGAAACGGTTGCCTAACGATGAGTCCGGGATTTAGGTATTTGCAGAAACCATTTCGATCCAAATGATCATAAGTAAGTTGGGCCATTTCCCATAAAATACCTCGGAAAGGCATCAACTGATCATTCGATAGTATGCGGGTGGGCATTCGGTAAACATAAGGATGATATTCCTCCAGAGATACTCGCAAAGTCCTTAAAGGTATATTAGCCCACTCCAGAAGACTGCGGTAGGCGGACGGACAGGCGCTAACACTGCTCGACTATTTAGCTGTACTATTTCGCCCAAATATTCTATAAAATAACCAGTGCCTTGACAAAGATTAGCGTTCTGCTTCTCTACCTCCAGGTTTTCATCTGCCCTTGGTTTAAAACAACATGTTGGACGGGCATTGCCGTTATAGTCGCATTTACGACCGGAACTATAGTTTCAAGTATCTTTCAATGCAACCCACTACCATATGCGTTCGACAAGAAGACCCCAGGCGGCGGGAGGTGCATCAATATTTCGGCGTTTTGGTTCGCGAATGCGTCGTTCATTATTGCAACGGACATGTTCATAGTCCTTCTACCTATTCCAGTGATTCTCAGACTGCAGTTACCGGACAGGAGTAAGGTTGCTCTCTGTGGGGTGTTTGCTCTTGGATTATTGTGGGTTTCACCAGCTTCAATCCCTTTGTTTTCATATTCCGCCTTATATACCCTCCCACAGATTCTGAGGTCAATGGATACCCTGTCAACTGACGCATATTCCACATAGTGTTTGCATAACCTCCGTTCTGCGTATCACGACCATCGACCTTGCTACATCCCACCTTGACACGCCATGGACAAATATCGATTCCTCGGTTTGGACTGTAATTGAGTATAACCTGGCCATCATATGTGCCTGTATGCCACCGCTCTGGCGTCCGATCTCGATAATTTTTCCCAACTTTCTGGAACGTTTCATCAATTCCCGTTATTGGTCTGGCAAGAACAACAGTGGCCCAAGTCATAGCAGCAAGCCATCGATAATGAGTGCGGCCATGAGAGCAGATCAATCCGATATGTATTTTGGCAGAGCATGGTCTCCGTTGCCCTCGAATGCTACGCCTCCAGACAAATCCAGATCACGGCACCCTAGCACATCCGCGAGTATAGGAATTGGGAAGCTGGAGCTTGATCACGAGGCACAAACCCGAATGGACTCCATAGTGGGTAAAGACAGTGATTCGGAAAGACATGGGATTCGAATGACAACACACGTTGTAGTCAAGTACGATGAAGCAAGTGAACATGGAAGCTCAGACCGGATATCGACAGATATAGAATTACGGCACGTTGAAATAGGTACCCGGTAGAACGAACATGTGGGGAACTGTGCTTTTCTCAAGGTGTGTGGGGAGTACTGGCGTTAAGGAGCGGTGTGGCTGTGGTGACAATACCCCAAGTTAGCTATATTGTATATTTACTCACAACGAATCTAATACATTCTGCTGTATAAAATTGCACCGGAGGCGGCAGCCTGCCAAAGCTGCTCGTAGTAGCAACACTGCTGCCTACAAGCCATTAATGTAAACGGTGTATCGGATATCCCTGCGCATAAAATGGCTCTGACTAGGCTATAGCAGGCACCATATGAGGTCCACTCATTCCTCGTTGATTTCTTAACGTTGGATCTATACCTCCACATGCCCGAGGCCTAGAACGCATATGCCATCGTTATGTGTAGGAGAAAAGGATCTCTCTATAGAACTTTGCCCAACTAAAATTCGGCTTCGGATAAACTTTTATACGGCCGGCAGGATTAAGCTTATCCAGAACTTCGGGATGATGTCACATCATGCCAACATGAAGAGGCAGTACAGAAGTACTCTTGGACTCCGTACGGGGCATGGGGTTCTGGGGGACGTTAACATGCGCCTCGCAGGCCTACCAAATGGCCCACGATACGCATTGCCGCAGTTATAGTGCATAACGCATGAGGAGAGAGATCCTGCATACCCTGATCGCTAGAACACTCCTACTAAAGACCTCCAGAACGAGGTATAGGACAGGCACGACCAGCTTTTCGTCTCTGCTGCTTCATTACGTGTGCACACGTTGGTGTACACCGTATTCACCAACGTCTTGTCGCGATGTCCTACCAGTCACCAGCTACGACCCCTCAACAGGAAGCCCTAAGCCAAGATGATATAAGGGCTCCTCAGCCGGCATATAGCACAAATTATGGCGAAATGGACATAGGACAAGAAGGGTTTGGCACCAGAGCCTTTGTCGCCGGTTAGATTTTATCAAATATAATTCTGACTTTGCAATCAAACTGACGTGTGTTAGATGACGGCCGTGTCGATGTCAATATTCAGGAGAGGGGACGACGTCTTTCTACCGCTCTGCAAGAGGTCTTCACACCTACAGAGACCATTTCACCAGGTGCACCAATTCTCCAGTCATTGGAGGACACCTACGGGAAATCCAGCATACCTCGTCTCAACCTCGTGATCCAACTAGTCGGTTCTCGCGGAGATATACAACCATTTATTGCCTTGGGAAAGGTGCTGAAAGAAGAGTACCGTCATCGCGTTCGGATAGCCACACATTTAATATTTAAGGGAGCCGTCGAAGAGAACGGTCTCGAGTTTTTCAATATCGGCGGTGACCCAACCCAATTAATGTCATTTATGGTCAAAAATCCAGGTTTGATGCCGGGATATGAAGCCTTCCGCAACGGAGATATTGGAAAAAGGAGAAGAGAGATTTCCGAGATTCTACATGGCTGCTGGCTGTCATGCTTTGAAGCAGAGGATGGTTCTGGCAGAAATACGTCCGAATCGTTACCTGGAGGAACGCAAGGCTACAAGACCGAGACCGAGCTTAATCCATTTATCGCAGATGCAATTATTGCCAACCCTCCCAGCTTCGCTCATATCCACTGCGCAGAGAAGCTAGGTATACCCCTGCATCTTATGTTCACGTAAGTATAGGCGGGCATCTATGGATTATTCCAGTTGCTAATATACACGCTTACTAGTATGCCATGGTCACCCACACAAAAGTTCCCTCATCCATTGGTCAACATACAATCATCGAATGTCGAAATAGGCGCCGCAAACTTCATATCATACGCATTGACGGAGATGCTCACCTGGCAAGGGCTCGGGGATGTTATAAACCGCTTTCGGGAGCGAGATCTAGGCCTACGGCCGATTAGTCTTATATCGGGGCCTGGGATGATTTCGCGTCTACGTGTACCATATACATACTGCTGGTTAGTGTCTTACATATCGATTATCACTGCCGTCTAAATTTACTGACATGCTGGTCAGGTCTTCATCACTACTCCCTAAACCAAGGGATTGGGGCTCTCATATTGATGTCGCGGGGTTTTACTTTCTTTCGAGCCCATCGGACTACACCTCGCCGGCACAACTGGCCAATTTTCTCGATGCAGGGCCAACACCGATATATATTGGTTTTGGCTCGATTGTGATAGACAATCCTGACGAGCTAACCAAGTTAGTCCTAGAAGCAGTACGGAAGTCTGGTCAGAGAGCATTGATCTCCAAAGGATGGGGCAGTATTGGTGAGAGCGAACTAGAGCTTCCCGAACAAGTTCTCATGGTTGAAAATTGCCCTCACGACTGGCTCTTTAAACAGGTTTCCTGTGTAGTTCACCACGGAGGGGCAGGGACGACAGCTGCTGGTCTCGGTTGTGGAAAGCCCACCGTTGTTATCCCTTTTTTTGGAGACCAGCCATTCTGGGGATCAATAGTGGCAGAGGCTGGAGCTGGACCGCCGCCGATACCTTACAAGCGCCTTACAGCGGAAAGTTTGGCTGCAGCAATTGTATCTGCGTTAGAACCAGAGACGGTTCTAAATGCCGAGAGGCTGGGAAGGCATATACAGGGTGAAAGTGGTGTAAAGCTAGGAGCCACTAGCTTTCATAACCACTTGGACCCTGCATCTCTCCGGTGCATGCTTATTCACAATCTACCTGCCGTATGGTGTATTCGAAACACCAACATCCGCTTGAGTGCCTTAGCTGTTGCTGCATTGGAAAATGAAGGAATATTGGGCCTTGATGACTTAAAACTGTACGTTTATTTACCGATACTAGTAGTCTCTACCCAATTCTCACCTAACATGGACTTTTTATTTTTAGGTACCGCCCTCGAGAATATAGTATCAATCTAGGTCCATATGATCCTATTAGCGGCGGTGCTACGGCATTAATTGGCAGCATTGCAGATTTTACGATTGGCATTGCTGATTTCCCTGGGGAATTGATCCAGGCTACTTTTCCCCCTAGAAGTAATACCATGGAGGATACCCCTGTGCGTTCGAGTAGAGCGGCTTCACCAATGCCCTCCACTTCTAGTGATACTGGAGATAAGCGTTTACGGCGTGCATCTTCACCTGAAGCTCCGAGCTCTCCGCCACAGAAAGCCGATGAAAATAGCCGTCAAGAGGCAGATGAAAAGTTAGTGACCGTTCCCAATCACTACTTTATTATTTTATATCGCGGTATACTAATTGCATCATCTTAGCAAACGGTGCGATGTTGATAAATGGAAAGCTACGATGGACAATGTGATCACCACAGGCTATGCTGTGACTAATCTGGTTGATATTGGATTAAGGTCACCCATGCACTTTGCCTTGGGTATAGCAAAAGGATTCCACGACGCACCAAAACTCTATGGTGATCAGAGTGTGAGGGAATGGGAGGAGGTGACCGACTTTCAAAGCGGGCTAAGAGCAGCCGGAAAGGTATCGTTTACCATTTTTTTATATGTGGTTTTATGAGAAGTTTGCACAGGGAACTGATGCAGTTTTAGGAATTTGGGTATGGATTTTATGATGGTATATCTGGCCTAGTGACCCAACCTATCGAAGGGCTGAAAGATGGAGCAGCAGGCGGAATAATGGGAATTATTAAGGGGGTTGGTGGGCTGATTTTAAAGCCGGGAGCGGGTATGGTTAACTTGGTAAACTCGCCCCTTTACGGCAGTCCCTTGCTAACAGAAATAAATACAGGTATATTCGGTTTAGCGGGCCACACCCTTAGCGGTATCCATCAAGAGATCCAAAAGCGCTGTGGGACTACTGTGGATAGTTACATTATAGCTTGCCGGAGTAAGCAAGGCTACGACGAGTGGTCTCAGGCAACACAACGGGAGAGGGATGACATTATTCAAAAATGGCAATCTCTGGGGGTAGACCTTCAAATCCGAGAGGAAGAGATACCCACCCAAAATGGCATGGATGGCCCTACTGAATTTGCTATCTGGCGTACTCTAACAGATCGAATGCGCTTATCTAACCAAGGAGAGCCTAAGGGGATAGAGCATAGGGGATAGGGGTTTAGTCAAAAGGCATACACGACATGAGCATATCTAGATGAAACGGCACCATCACCCGCTTCGGGCAAACACTAGAAGAGCTAGCTACACATGTTATCCCATCTTAGCCTTAGTCGTTATCTGTGCCGCAGAAACCGTAAAAATCGTTGCTGGCCATCCCACGTCAGTCGCCCCCTCACACATCAGACACAAACTCAGGGGTCAATAAACACTAATGGTAAGGTTGACAAGCATTCGGACGCTCGGGAATATCTATTGTCGTCCGTCGCCACCGTCATCATCACAGTCGCTGTCATCGTTATCGTCGTCATCGTCGTCATCGTCATCGTTATCGTCGTTATCGTCGTCATCATCGTCACCATCGCCATCTTCATCGCCAGCTTCATTGAGAATACGAATCGTACTTAACGACCCAACAACTTCCCCAATCTCCTCAATTTCACTGTTCGAACGTATAGCCACGCGATGCGCCATTGCATTTTCTTTTAACTCTTCAGGAAGATCATGGCCCATCTCTTGGATAAAATTGTAAATCATGCTGTCCCTGAGATATTCTCCATGCGTAGCCCATGCTTTCGTGAGCTCAGGCCATTCAGAATCCGGGAGCTCACTGCGAACTACACCAGCCCTCTTTGCAGCTCTAAAGTGTATGATCATGGATGTCAGGTAATGGAAGTATAAGTAACGCGCTCGCGGGCGGAAGTTGTTGGGGAATATTAATTTTTGCTCATGCAGCTCGGAAAATGTCATGGACACAAATGGGCATATTCTCCTGTTCCAAAGCCCCGACTTATCGATGATGAAAAGTTTCCATCCTCGAACTTCGGACTCGTCTGAGTGCGCGGGAACAATGGCGATCTGGTGGGTATCAAAGTACCTTTCGACTACTTCAGGGAGAAGTAGAGCGTTTCGTGGTGAGTTTATTTCGTACCTCGCGTCTGGGCCGAATATGTACTCCATTGTCCTTTCACCGAGAGAGAGAGGGAAAATATGAGCTGCGACGAACTGGGCTTTATCCTGCCAAGTGCCATCCATTACACTAAAGCATTTGAGACCCCCGCTGTCTCGTGTAGTGCCACCATATGCTTTTAGCACATCTCTTGAGAAGTTGCTTTGGTTCTGGCGGCTTGTTTTTCGTTTGATAGACAAAAGCAGCTCCACGTAGGCTGCGCGCATAGATGTGACGTTGGTGGTTGCCGACAGTTGGAGGACCCTATTTCTCTTCTTGAATATTTTTTCTTTCTCAAGAATGGAGAGCCGTTTGGCGTTTCGACGCTCCTGCTGTGACATGTACTCCTCTGCAGCTTGTTCGAAGTTTGGATCTGTTGAATCGCTACCTCTCTGCAAAGCACGAAATCTTATACTGCTGACCTCTCCTTGCCCGTCAAGTTCGTCCTTGATGTGCTTCCAGTAGTCTTCTGATCCGTAGATCTCTTCGCTGCTTCCTTGACGGGCTCTTTGGATTTTGGACCTTATGCTCTTCACATGAGATTTTTCCTCGTCTGTCAGCTTGGGGTCCATTTTGAGAGTTCGGGGGCAGAAGCGGCAACAATGAGTAAGGCCGAAATATACGGACTACAGATCAGTAAACAAAACCGTTGTCAAGAAGCGTATCGAGAATCGTGCCAAGGCAAACCGTGGGGAAGAGAAAAAAGAAAAAAGAAAAAGTGGAGATGCGCTAGAGGCTTGTGCGTGTTTTATAGGGACTAGGGTGGCGCTAAAGTTAAGCGATATTTGAATCTTTCATTTTCATTGGCTGGGACTGATTACATAATAAGAGCATACTATGACATCATAGACTATTTGGTACTTACTCGAGAGTACTCGATATAATAATAATTAATCGAAAAGCGATAGAAGTGAATACTATACAACGTATGGGGAGGGGCATGAAATAAAATAAAATAAAGTAAAGGGGCTTATCTTATCTGATCTAAACTTTATGCAAGCTGCACATCTTCTGCACATTTAATGCAAGGTCGCAATGCCAAGCCCCAGAGTCACTTTGTCAATATAAATAGTTCAATTTCCACAGTTCTCATCGCAAACACCAACTCGTACTGCTAACAGTGGCTTTTATAGCCAGAGAAAAAGATGTCTTGTCTCTCGCAGGTGCTCGAACGCTGCCTGAGGGCACTGACTGCCGCTGCAGCAGTCCTTGTTATCGTTGGCGCACCGACAGCTTTCCTCCTATGCCAGCACAGCCGGCTCGGCCGCAAAGTCCGCCACTCCTCGTCAACAGGCTCGCTCGCAGCTCTACCGCTCCAGAATATCAAGTCAATGCCAGTGTCCAGCCACAATAAGGATGCCGCCAGCGAAACTCGCGCTATCTACGACGTGGCCTCCCTCTCCACAGCGAGCATCAACGTATCTCCCTCGCTCTCCGAGGACGAGATACTCACTCGGTATCTACGACGGAATATGACTGCCTTTTCCCGCATGCCGCAGGCCTACGCACTGAGCCTCACGTGCGATCAGTATGCCCGCAAAAGCTTCAAGGCATCACATATTCAAAGGCTCAATTTCGAGCCGGGTGACATTGTGTGCGGCGGGTATAAGGTTGCACTTCGAGAGCAAGACAGGGTTGAATTTGCAATGGAACTAAACGAAATACGGGGCCGATTAGTGACCACCTTTGAAAGAAAGGAAGACCAGATTATCTTTACCACGCAAACTTTGATGTGGCTACCCAGTCATATTACAACACCGATGCCTTTGGAAAATCCGATCTTGAAATTCGCTCATGAGCTTACGTCTTGGTGGATGTTGGAGGCTGGCCTTTTATATATCACGGACTATACCCCTATCTGAGTTATGATGGCAGTGGGTAACTGTCTGGGCTTTATTTGGTGTACCATTACGAGTATCTTGGTGTTACTTTGGTGTTATTTGGTGGTAATGCGGTTGGAGTACGTGTCTGTATATATATTGGTTAAAAAATCCGTGGTCAACGGTCAAAATCCCAGCTCTTGTTTTGTATCTTGCCTCTAGCTTTGGCCGTTGATCTATACAAATCGCCCTTGTCCAGTCTCGAGCCAAATTTAGAACGGACGCCGGGATAAACTTACTCCGATGTTTGCACTGTTTACTTGGTTTGCTTGACATCATTCCGAACTTCTGGCAGGAAAGCGAAGTTGCTTGCGACGCGAAGTCAAGAAAGCTCTCTCCAACGAAGTACACTGGGTCTTGGGTATATTTGGCGGCCTTTGGTGTTGGCATTGGCTGTGGCGATCAAGGTTGTATTATCATTTGGAACAGGCTCTCCCGCGGGGTAGCTGTTGGAGTTAAGAAATCGGTGAGTATGTCTGAAGAGGCTGGGGGATGGAGCACCATCGAGTCGGATGAGGTTTGTAATAGCCATATGGTTCCAGGGTCGTCTATCGCATGCTTATGGTTTATTACTAGGGGGTTTTCACTGCCCTGGTAGAAAATTTGGGTGTCAAGGACGTACAGTTTGAGGAATTAGTATCCTTGGATGCCGATACAATACGCTCACTAAGGTTAATATCCGTCCCAATCTATCTTCAGTTTATACCAGAGGGATCATGATGCTGACTTTATGGTGGTAGCCCTGTATATGGCGTTATCTTCCTATTCAAATGGGTCAGCGGTCACTCGCGAAACGCCTCCAGTCCACAGGACGGGACGTTTGATCCCCTCGCGGTCGAAAACGGTCTCTTCTTCGCCGCCCAAACCATCCAAAATGCCTGCGGGACACAAGCAGTTTTATCTGTAATACTAAACCAAGACAGCCCGTCTACCTCTTCAAGCGGAATCGACATTGGACCTGAACTGCGCTCCTTCAAAGAATTCACCGCCGGATTTCCTCCAGACCTCCGAGGCGAGACGTTGAGCAACTCAGCCCGGATCCGCAACGCACATAACGTATTTGCTCGTTCTTCGCCCTTTGTTGACGAAACATCTCGCCCGCCACCATCGGAGGAGGACGCGGAGTTATACCATTTCATCGCCTACCTTCCATTTGGCGGGAAACTATACGAGTTGGACGGGCTGCAGCCACATCCGATAGCCCACGGGTCGTGTGATTCCGAAGAATTTCCAGAGAAGGTCATCGAGGTACTGCAACGACGAATTGGGCGCTACCCAGAAGGCGAGATCCGGTTTAATCTCATGGCCGTCGTAAGGGATCTGAGGATCCGCGCACAAGAGATTGGAGACGTAGAGATGCTCGAGAGAGAGAAGAGGAAAAGGGGAAATTGGGGATGGGAGAACTCGTTAAGGAAGTGTAACTTTATTGACTTTACTGGGCAACTGCTGAAAGGCGTTGTGGGTATGAAGCTTCAGCAAGGGACGGAGGAATATGACAAGTGGATAGAAGCTGCAAAGAAGGCAACCAAAAAACGAGCGGAGATGAGGGGAGCAAATCGTCATGGGTAACATCTAGTACTATGCTCCGTATCGAGAGATCTAAAAATGGTAACTTATGAAGTAAAATATTCCGTGTTCCTGTCTATAAAAAGGTAGACTGAAAATAAGGGGCTGAAACAGGTGCCGTAGCCTTCTGGGCGGCTTTTGAAGAGAAAAATAACACCCGCAGAATATTCCGTACCTAGATAGAGAAGGGGCAAGTAAAGCATATGAGCACCCCAACTGAAGGATACTTGAAAACGTAAATATGTAATTAATAAATATGGATAAAAGAAGTAAAAGACCCCAATCTAAACTGCGGAACCAAGAATCCCCTGGGAAAAATGATGAACTGGTATAAAACGCTGTACAATAAAGGGGGGAAATAGAATAATAAGATTTCTTCGCCAATGCTCTTGTCGTTCGATAACAAGTTGATGCTCCCCAGTCGTCCCCTACCCCTTTTATATATCCCATCACACAGTCTCGGATAAATCGTCAAATCATCGAATATTGAACGGCAAGAAATTAAATGGGTATTAAGGCGAAAGCAAGTCTAGAGTGTATTTGCCGGTCTCGGTGCGGAGGTGGGTGGTGTAGTAGTAGTGGTGGAGGAACTGGCGCGGTGTTGGTGGTGCTGAAGATGGTGGTGGTGCCTGGATATTCCCAAGAGGAAAGAAGTAAGAACATGAACCTCAACCGGACCGTTTTCCTTTATTCATAAGAGTATGATAGGAGCGACGAATGGAAAACGTGAATATAGCCAAATAACGGAAATAGGGAAGAGGGGGAAAAAGTGGAATGGAAAAAAATATTTGTACAAGAAGTGAAATGGTGGTAGGTTTGTAGTTATTGGAGATTACATTTGATTGTTTTGTGTATGTTTTGGATTGAGCTTTATATTAAATGGGTTGAGGGTGTGTGTGTGTGTGTGTGCGCGCGTGTGTGAATAGACTTGATAACGTAGACGGGTAATATCTAGTATCAAGTCCAGCAGAGTTCCGGAGCGACCAACCCTCCTGTCACATTAATTGGGGGAGAATCGTGATAATCTGTCCCGATGGTCGGGCCCCCGTTGATAAGATTTCCGAGATAAGCGGGATTGAACATCGCTGACTGCTCGGGCTGTTTATATTCAGGAATGCGATCCTCTACTGGATCGTGGTGTAGCGTGGGTGATGGGTATACTTGTGAGTGGCGACGTGAGTGAAGCATCGCGTTCGACATCTGGTATGGCGAACCGACAATGGCTGGAGTCATCGGCGAATGTAACGGCGATGTGGTATATGCCGGGTATGCAGTGGTGGTAGGACTGACAATGGCAGCGGATGTAGATGGTAGGTGAGGTAGATGAGGCGTTGGAAGCGCATGATGGTATGGGCTATGCGAGCCTGTGGGGTATCCGTCGAATGATGATCTTGGCGACCATTGAAGACGGCTGCGGTATTCGGCCACAGTCTCGGCCGGAAGATCCATCAGGCTCAGCGCGAGCTGAATCTCGGGAGCAAATGGGTTTGTTGCCCGGCGATGGTATAGGATTCTTCGAATCTCTTCGATCGGGTTCACGGCCATGGAGCCTAGATATGATCCGCCGAATTCTGGGAACAGGGGCTCAAGCGCAAGTGCAACGCCGAAAAATTGGGATAGGACTGCAAGAGCTCCTAGATCTGCTTCTCCACCTCGCAGCATTGCCGAGGGGAGCCAGAAGAGCCAGATTCGCAGCGGCTGGAGCCTTTCAAAGGCTTTCTCTGGCGACTGGACGGGAAGCTCGTCCCGAAGTCGTTGCGTGAAGGCGAGCAAATCTGTTACTCTTCGGAAGTGTTCCTGGTTATGTGAAATGCGTTGGTGGATGTTTTGGAGGTTGACGATAACTCTATCCAGTCTCATGATATCCTCGTTCTGGAAATGACCCAAGGTTCCCGGGTATGTCGGTGTTAACGGAGTTCGTGCGCTTCGGAAGGCTCGTTGACTGTCCATAAACCTGGCCAGCTCTGACTCTTCTTTCCACCACGGCTCCATAGAATTTAAAACCTATTAAATCAGAAAATGTTAAATCTTGCGTCATAGTATTAATATGGTTAAGCATGAACAAAATCTTACAGTTGAAACGCCTTGTTGCAAGGAAGCCCAGCCTCTCCTATGGTAAATGTGTTAGTTGATGTCGACACACCATATACTCCAAGCGGAAATTAGCTTACCATTCAGTGGATTGCCAGGAGAGCAGCAAGGATGAGGCGAGGATAGCATCTGAATTCTCTCTTGAGAATGAACTGATGGCCCCTTGTAGGCCCTTGATGGCGACTCCTCGGTGGTGATAAGCGAGGTTTTCGGTATCTTGATTTTGCGTCATCCAGGCAATGTGGGAAGCGGAAAGTGCCAAAATGGAACTCATAACAAAGTCGTTGGATAAGGCAATAGTGAGGAATCTGTAGGCGTGGGTTAGTAGTCCATTCATTAAAGAGTATTATCAACCTAAGGGTCAACGTACATCGGCATCTTCTGAGCCCAGACAGTACAATTGCTGTAGCCTCTTCGGTGAAGATCAATGGATAGGCCAGCGATATGATGAATAAGTCGTAGATCTGTTCGTGAGAATTTATACCAATAAGCCCGCGAGCTAAGCTGTAGCTCAGGGAATGGTGGGTTTCCGGATTTTTGCCAGTTCTGAATCTCCAATTCAATCTCGGGAGACATGAGAAGATCTGGGCTTCTGGCGTTATTAGCAGCATCATGCGCTAGGACGTTATCCATATAATCACATCTGCAGTTGTGTTTGGTGCAGTTTCGGCTGTGCTTTATGTTAGTTTTATAGCGATATACACCGAATCGATTTCATAACTTACCATTGCGGCATTGTCTCATCACATCGTATATGTCGTCTCTTGCATGTCTTGCAGCCCTTTCTTGACTTGGTATGGCTCTTGCGAGGAGGTCCGCCACCAGGTCCAGCCATTGCGAATAGATTGAAGGGTTATCGGGTTAAGATGGTGGTTGGTTGATGGTCGTTGAGATGGACAATTGCTTGTCCTTTTGGTGACGGTAGATAGTGAAGAAGATTTGAAGGTTGAGTCGGTAGCAGGCAGCGAGAGGATGTTCAATCAAGGTATATAAAAGACGGGTAGGCAATACGAGATATAGTCGTTGATAATAATAAAAAAAGGGCTGGGTATATAAATAGAAACAGGGTCGTAGTGGTAGAGGGGGACGCGGAACGGGCTGATTATCTCTGGGTCGGGTCGAATTCTGTCACAGACGTCCTTTCAGTCCGTTGTAATCTTCCGTGCTCCTCTTCTTTTTCGGCTGGTTTGCAAAGATCACCACGGCGGGAACTCTTATAGGGAGATGGTCCCAACGTTGCGATCTCTTCCAAAAATCGATGCCCTTCGTCTTTGTTGCTCCTTCTCTGGCGGAAGAGGGGTGGTCTTCGTTGGGTATATATAGACAGTTCCGGTACTCCGTGTATTTTGTCCTTGGTGCTTATATATCAATAAGGCTAAAACACGAGGTGGTGAGCAACGGCTGAGATGAGGTTAATTGAAGGGTATGGAGATGGAGATCGAAGAATAATAGGTGCAGAACAAGGTATCTGTATGGATATATATGAGGACTGGAAAGGGTGGAACACTTCTACCAAGTCCATAAAATAGGCGTCAAGGGTATCGGATGAATAGGGACCCTCTTTTTTTTTCTGTTCAGCGATCCTGGTCAGGGTCAAGATATATACATCGGCATAGTGTATGACGGGAGCAAAAGCAAAGAAATAAAAAAAAGAATAAAAATAAAAAAGCAAGTGTGAAGAGGGTGAGAGGAAAGCGGAGCTTTTGCAGACACAAGTCAGACTGGGGTGGAGAAGACACTAGGTCGAGTTGGGCAAAAGACAAGAGAAGAGATCCAAAGTCAGACTGGGGTGGAAAGACAAGGCAAGGAAAGGATGGGGAGGCGAAAGTATATCAGGCGTAATAGTAATAACCAAGACGTTAAAGCGTTTAGTACGTTTAGAAAAGGGGAGGCAGAAAATAGGAGGGATTTCGGACGGCGGGAACGACCATTGGAGGGAAATGAGGACAGGAGGATCGCAGTAACAGGGGATGGGGCTGCTGTTGTGGTTAAGTCTGCGATTATCAATGTGAATAAACATGGTAACATGGTAGCCACGGAATTAGAATTAAGATTTGAGCCAGATGGAATGAGTATGGGGGATGGATCCAAGAAGGGACGGAGTTGTGTGCTAAACAGGCGTTTGGCTGAGGGCGGACAAGGATTCCGCCATCCTTCTGCGCCCAAGGGCATGGGCTTGCTTAGTTACCATGTGGCATAAGTCAAATCTGTTACAAGGTAAGTGTATATAGATAGCAAAAGCAAAAAGAAAAATAAGAAGAAAAAAGAAAAGATTGAGAAAGTACAAAAAAGCAAAAGCCAAAAAGGAATAATGCAAAAGGGCCCAGGGGTGTTGGTGAGAGAGTGAGTGACGGAGTATGTACGGAGAACATGGAGTACAGGTGGGAAAAATACCGATACCGACCAACCGGCCGGTCGACCATGGTCAGCTGGCTTGCTGGTTTGCATGGTTGGCCAAGGGATGGATCCCAGACGGCTGAAAAAGAAAAAACTGATGGCAAGGGAGAGGAACCCTGGGTCCTTCAGCTAGACAGCTGGGCAAGGCCAAACAAGCGCAGAGGTGCCATGGTGGTTGGAGTGGTGGCAGTTGTGGACATCGATCTCTTGTCAGCGTGGAGAACAGATCTCATCCACTCTCCCGGCAGGCTATGGAGAGAGCGTAGTACCAAACGAGAAGGTGGGAAGGATACAGAGTTCAGCGCCGGCGAGTCGGGAAGATTCAACACCAGCGGGAGCGAGCAGAAAGAGCTCGACGGCGCAAAGTAAAGTCAAAGACCAGTTCACCTTCATGAGAGCGAACGGTGAAAAAGTCGAGAGAAATGGAGAAGAAGCTTCTGCTTGCCTCGGCGCACGGCCAGTAGTCTCAACCCGCGCTGTTACTAGTAATGTATTAGCGACGTAATTTAGCATCGCCTTGAACTTGAAACTTCAAACATGATGAACGATGGTAGCGGCTCTTGGGAGGTTAACTGGCAATCCTAGCCTTAGCTGATGAGCACCCGCTAGCGTCGGACCAGACAAGTCAGTTGCAGCGGTGGAAGAGCCTTGTGAACGCCTGTCATAGCAGAAGCCTGTTGATCTGCATTTCGCTTGTCCAACATGCAGAGCTCTACGTACGGAGCAGTTAGCGATGTCATGGCAGCGTCGTTAAATCACCAGTCACCAGGAGAATTAAAAATAGCCAGGGGAAATTACCCGTCGTTTCAAATATACAGGAAACTACAAAAAAAAAAAAGGGAGGAGAAGCTGCATGAACAGAGATGAACATACCATCCCATACGTCAAGGACTCCGCATACCCTCGATAGAACGACAGGGTTTGCACGGGACGGGCCCTTCAAGGTCTCCCGATCAGGTTTCCACTCCCTTGATATAGCATTGGTGATATAGGCTGTGAAGAGATCACGTCCATTGTCTTCTGCCACTTGTGTAGACATAAGAATCTATCGAAGAGGTTGAGATATCCCAAGAGGGCGAAACGCTCGCTGCTGACTAAACATGTCTGTTTACGGAAGTCTTCGACGTTCTCCCTTCGACGTCCTCCCGTTTTTTTTACAACGCCGGCATCAACAGCATTCCTTTTTCCTGTCCTCTCATCTCTCCCTGCACGCCACTCGGAGCATGGTGAGAAACGAAACAGAAGGGGAGAGAAAAAAGCAAAGCAAGAGAAACAGGAAACAAACCAGGTGGTGGCTGGTTAGCAGCAAGCCCGCCGCCCATCATATGATATCTCTGCCTCGAGGAAGATGAGGCCTATCCCTGCTCCCTAGCCGCTTAGCTAGCGCGACTTTTTTCAACTTTAACGTGTTTCAGATTTGCGTGAGGGAACTATTATTATCCCAGGACCCTGTTGTCGTCGCGAGACGAGACTGTGCGACCGATGCGTGGCAACCAAGAATCCGTCGTCCCGTCTCCTGCTGCACCCACCCACAGGCACTTTGGCTCTGACTGGTGGCCGGTATTGGGAATGGCGGCTAGCACGAGCAAGAATAAGCGAATGGACCCGTCGGATTGGATCTTGCGGAACGAGGGAATGCGGGAGTGCGAGGGCTCCGATACAGCGAATGTTGGGCCGATGCACGATGTACTTACTTACATGGCTCTTCCTTGCCATGCGATGGGAAAGACATCCTTCTATTGTCGATCTTTTTTTGGATGCGGAGGGCGTCCACGCCCCAGGTCCCCCATCGACGAAAGTGCGCTCGCGACGGAGTACTGAGACTCCTAAGAAGCTGCTATTTTTCTCCTAGCCCTTGCATTGTCTCCAGACTGGCTCAAAAATAAGATTCGGCCCTGTTGCTTTGTTAGCGGCCGTAGTTTTCCCGATTGGGAAATTGCTATACGAGCTCTGATTGAGTTGTGGACTGCAAACTTGCCAGATAGGGAAAGTTTAAGACAGCTGAACTTCACAATGATTGGGCCGTTCACTTCAATACATCGGCCAATATACATACACCTAGTATCGCTATACGTATATCACGGCGTTCTATATACATGGCGAACAAGGGTGAAGACGGCCCGATTCTACGGCCGGAGTGATTCGCACCGAGCAGGTCGAGCAGGTAGCGAATACATGCAAGGACAATACAACAAGGGTTCCTCGGATGTACGCCAAGCCTCATATCGGTCACTCTCGACCAATCAACAGGTTTAGCGATGCTGTTCAAACAACGCTTGCCTGCTCAAAGCGGCAGTGAAAATGACACACTGGACTCCCAAGTACGCCCAGGAGGATATGGGTGGCCCGCACATTTTCAGCTTGATTGCGTAAGTACCAGTGCCGGTGGTCCGGCACACATCATCACATCACATCCTTTCGCGTCGCATCGCATCGCACCGCAATCACAATGGCAGCGACAGTCGTTGTCGTCCATGCTAACCTGCAATCATTTTTCGACCATAATTCTCCCTTTCTCGTGTGTGGAGTGCAAAATTCCAAGGAAGATCGCCAGATACGAAGAAGAAGCTTTTCTTAGAAGATTTCCCCTTTTCTATGCTCCTTCATAGGAAATTCCCCTTGGGGAAGGCTTTCGTATTCTAACTGTCTGTCCGCTTCTTTATCTGCACCACCTGCATCGTTTGAATTCTAGCCACTGACGAGTACTCCAAATGAAAAATCCAGCCACGTTGCCAACTTAATTTACGACTGCCTTCTTTTCTCATTTGTCCTTTCCTTTCAACAAAGTGGAATACCACGTTTCTATGTATATCATTCGCGTGTGCCCATGAAGATGACGCACACGTGGTTATTCACCCCAACTCCATATAATCTATATGGAATATAGACCAGGTTCTCGGCCTAACAGCTAGGAATGTACATATAAAAGTACGACTGCGAAGAACATATTGTGCTTACTTACATGGAGCAGCGTCCGCCAAAGTATGCGATATATGCGTCGTTAGCCCGTGGGTGGCTTATCATGCAAAAGTCAGCTCCTAAAAAACGATATAGGCTGACAGATAGACTCCACGTACAGGGCGCATAGGGGCGAGATAACCGACTGGGTCGGCTGAGGGGTTGGGCTTCGAACATATTTTGCCCTACCATCCAAAGGGTTACATGCGCATTATTTGCACTACGCATACACTTACCTCGTTGTGCTCCTGTTGTACAGACCGTGCGAGAGAACGAAAAGCCAAAAAGCAAAACCCCAATCACATCATGCTGTGGGGGACGGAGATGAAATACCAATAACATGATGGCGGAATTGTGGGTGGTGGAGATGAACTCTAGCTGATACTCCAACGTTGCACAGGGCAAGCCACTCATCCAGCTAGCCAGCTCGCAGCCCAGACCCTATCCAGAGAGTAGATGGTACTGAAATCTCCCAATACC